AATGGTCTTCACTTTACACAAGCTTACCGGCACTAGTGGGACTCAAGGATATTCGCACGCAACGCCACTGACCAAGAAACTCCTTTGTTGCGCTGTAAGTTCGAGGACAAAACCGAGTGTTTTCATTCAATCTCTCCTTCGAAAAACCTGATGACGTAGCTGGGCGGTAGCAGTACCGCCCAGTGACGATATTTGAATACGGCTCATAGATTGGACCCGAGCATGGCGTGGAGACTCGATTTGGGCTCGTGATAATCGATAGCTCGAGAAACATTTGGGTAGTGTCCTGTGTCCAATCGCTGCAATGACGACAACAGCCGAACCATAACAATGTCTTGAACTCAGCGCGTGTCCTGTGCTTTGCCAACCCCAGCGCATGGCTATGATCAACATTGGCGGCATATAATCGGCTCCAGATCACGGGGCCGCTTGTTATGGCTTCGAGTTGAGGGGTGAACTCTGCTCGTTTTTCTTTATTTTTTTCTGCGACTTGGATTGCGTGTGGTGAAAACGAAAGGGTATTTCACAGATCATTAACGTCAGGGATTCGTTCTAAGTGGTATTTGCGCAAAATAAAAATATCAGTGCACCGCCCCTTTAAGACTGTTGGCTTTACAGTAAAGGCTGTGGTCTGTGGTTAGGGGGCTTCAAACATCAGCTTGGTGTGTGTGGTGATACGCCATTTCTTGAAGTTGACAACGAACACGTTTACTTTGTCTTTGATGTTCCACACCTTCCCAAAACAACCAAGAGCAATCTCCAAGCCCACAAACTTTGCATTTGAAATGAGGTCATTGAGTGGTCTTCTATTGTTGAACTTTATTGTTCTATCCATGAGATGAGCTTGCAATTGGCTCCGAAACTTACTGAGAGAAACATTTTTTCAAGAACCTTTCTGTAACATGGAAGAAAATTGTGCCCCACAGGTCTACTCTTTCTTGCAATCATATCCCTTGTTTATGCCAAGGAACTTCCTGAGGCGGCCATGGCTACAGCCTTTCTCTGTGATAGGATGTGCATACCTTTTTAACTGTCTAAATAGCTAAAAAATTCAAGAAGACAGGGCAGAAGTTGCGTCATGCCAATCTGAAGGGAGAATCTGAAATACTTGATTTTTTTCACCAGTAACTCGGATGGATTTCAGCATGGCAGTTGCAAAGTAGGAGGCAGCCATAAGCCATCATTGGGTGGCAAGTTACTATAAAAAGTTTCCTCATGCTCTGTGATAAGCTTTCAAGCAGCCATGACTTGAAGTTCTTACTTACACGACGCCTGCAGCAAGACATACTTGAGAACGTTTTTGGAGCTATATACGACAAATGCTGGGCTGCAACACAAACCCAAATGTGGATCAGTTCACCTCAGGACTAAAGCACCTCTGGATAAAAAAACTGTTCAAACTTTCGGACAATGAAAACGTAGAGGATGACAAGGCTGACCTCCTAAAGGAGTTGCAAATATCTTCGCACCATGAAAGTTTAATTTCAGACATTGTGGAATGTCTTTCAATTGATAACTTCCCGCCACTAGAGGATATTTCTGAGCTGGCATCAGACATCAGGTCTAACATAATTGATGACTCGTCCACTTTTTTTTATCACGTTTGGGGCTATTTGATCAAGCTTTTGCTTGAGCAGACAACTTACAACTGTGGCTGTTCTCAGCTGCTATCGGATGAGTCTAATAACTTGACCGGGCCTCACCAGTACTGTCTTGTTCCTAAAGCATACCACGTGCCTGGAAAATTCTTCGGGAACTTAGTAGTACCATCACAGGCTGCCTTTCATTTTATTCAGCAACTAGAAAATCACTTTCTTCCCATAATAGAGAGTGTGACACATGTTCGAGGAGTCTGTGCCGCCTAGTATAGCACACTTTGAGGTCTGGGTGGTTTTAGCCTTTGCCCAGAGGAGTACCACAAAGGGTTTTTTTTAAAGTTGTTTTGCAGAATCCGCTTGTGTTGACATGTTTGATTTCTTAACCTGAATTTGGACAAAGTTCGCTTGCACTCTTCAGTGGTTAATAAGAACGACACAGGTTTAACTGTTAATAGTGTATTAACAGAGGCGGTTTCCAAACCAAAAACAAAAAGTGCTTAAGTGGGCGGTGCAGCTTGCTCTCCAAATATTTGTTTCCCTTACAGCGAATGTGTATCACGGCTCCCTAACAAAAATATTTGTCCACTTTCTACAAAATTTTGATAGAGAATAGTGTATAGAGGCTAAAAATATTTGAAAGAAAATGTATCCACTTTTGTATCCACTGTCCATAGTTTTTTAGCCGCTTTTTTCTGAAGCCATATTTCTTTTCTGAACAATTTCGGGGAATTGAATCTTGTCAGATTTCGAATAGAGTTCTCATTGTTTGGTAATGGCTCGCCCGCAGTGAGTTTGAGGCTATGCAAATTGGTGTTTTTTTATATTTTCCGGAAATCGGGAATTTGTACTATCCGGCGTGTGCTTCGCGCTGTTATTATACTCTTATGACTGGTAATGATAGCGATGTCTTATTTATTTTTGCACTTACTTCCCGTACCCGTGTCGGCGTGAAAGTGAATGTATCATACAGCATGTTCTCCGTGGAAAAGTTTTGTTAACTTGGTTCCGCTAAGAATCTATTACGAAGTGTACGATATGCCGAAGTCCTTCATATTCATTTATTCTTGTGAGTATCGATCTCTTTCGTATGAAACGTACAGAGCTTCTGAAGTAAATCATGTATATATGAATGTGGTCCAATAAAATGTGTTCGAACCACTTACTGTTGTTGACCCCAAAATGCTCCACCAGCCAGGAGTCAAAGCGGCGATTGTGTAACTTCAATGCTTTTCAATAGAAAAAGAACAATATATATACTTATGCTTTGTGAAGTAAGTTGAAATATTGTTTGATACATTTTGCACAGACTCTATCGTAAAAAATAAAGCAAAAATGCGCCAGTATTAAAAAAAAAAAAAACAAAAAAAAACAGCGGCTTCGGGAGTCAAGGAGCTCCCGAGAACCGAGCGAGGCGGGGAGGAAAGAGAGAGAAGGGTACCGGAGAACCGGGGCAGAAACGCCCAAAACGAAACCGAAACTAACTTGACCGGAAACGGAATCAGATTACACTTAATACCGCCCGCTAGGAGCGCTACCTGTCACTGGTCTATCTGGGCCGCTGGGGCCTATGGCAGTGTCCGCCCTTTACCTTGTGTATATTACTCTATGGCTACGCGGCTGACGTCATGCCCTCTCCTACCCTTCTATCCTCCTTGACTGGTAACCTACTTGAGGCTCTCTACGCGCGATCGGCGTCGACCCGTCGGTGCTATCTGTCGGTAGCTCTGTGCAAGTTTCACTTTCTACCCAGACAGACCTATATTGCACAAACCCAGTTCCCCATTCTGCCTCAACGACTCGTGTCACTAGTTTTTCGCTGCGACAGTGGAGGCCACAGCTGCACCCGTCTGGCATAGCGTGAAATAATAAAGTTTAAATTTCCCCGCGCAAATACTTCCTTCACGCTCCGCGCCGCCACCGTTCGTTTCGTACGGCTGTATATGGTGCCTAGATCGCGTCTTCGACTGGTGTGTTTAGCGTCCTATCCCGCCCATACAGCAAAAGTGGTCCCAATGTGGCAACAAATGACGCGAGTGTCATGCTGTTGCCTGTCGTGATCCTGGCGGTTGGCCGTAGAAATGCTGGCGAAAAGCACGAGCGAACGCGAGTGTCGCTTTCTTCATGGCGTCCGTTTAGGCGTCCCAACTTCCGGCTGCTGCAACTTCCGGCTGCTGCAGCTTCCGTGAACCGTCACAGTGGTACCCTAACAGTGGAAAGCGACCTGCAGCAGAACAGGCGTCTGCCATTTATACCACAACTGTTGGGGCGCCGCCAGGGTCGCAACAGGCGACAACATGACTTTTCTATGATGTCATCAGGCGGAAATTGAGGGACCACTTTTTTGAACCCGGTAAACACACCAGTCGGAGACGCGTTCCGGGCACCATAGCTGTAGTACGGCCAAGGAGGATAGTACGGCGGTGGTGCGAACGCTGCGTCGCTGCGTCGTCTACACGCCGCCGCCGGACGAAAAAGCGGCGGCACTCCGCCGCTTGGAATTTCTGACCGAAGCCCAGGCTTCCATTATCAGAAAGGGCAAAGTTGGGCTTTTTTTATTGTTTTAGATAAAATTATGTCTAATAAAACTTGGTATTTATAATATATTTGATCAATCGCTTCATTTGGGGAAACTCCAGAGTACAAAAGCGGCGACTTCCGCTCTTAGCACCCTCCAATTTCGAAAACGAAACTACACGCTATCTGAGCCGGAAATGGGGGTACCCATGATGCATCCAACTCTGGAAAAAGTTAGAGCACTATATAGCTCCTTCGGAGCAGAGTAGCGCAATCTAGAACGCCGTCTCTCGGCGACTAGCGGCGAACGCCCGGAGGTTCCAACTGCGGTCAGAAATGCATGGAGAACGTGAGAAAATCGTTGTTCCTTCAGTTTTGTGGGGATGTACGGAATGGCAATCGTTTTTGACATAATAATGAAACATTTTAAAATAATTTGCGATAAGTTTTGTGCCATGCAAGGACGTAACTTTTTTTAAAAAATTGCCTGAGCGGCATCATGCAGCAGACGACACGGCGACGTCACACCATTCACGTGACCCGCTCCGGCCAACCCGAAAAGCCCATCTCCGCTGCGAGCAAACATCGTCTGCTTCAAACGCCATTGCCCTGGAAATTGCCTTCTCAAAATTTGCACACGCATCCGATATTATTCAAACTTTGATAGAGTGTTCAGCGCTTTACTAACTTCACGACAGGCTAGTTTTGAAAAGTGTGAACTCGCCGTTATTTTTTTAATCAGCCGTGTTATGTCGATCTCCATGTATTCTCCCATAGGGCGGGCCGCCTCTTGGAACCCTGAGTACCACGTGACTCGCGCCGAGCTGCTCTGTCGGCCATGTTGTCGGCAAAACACGGGGTTCAAAGGATTGCGGTACTCTGCTCCGTAGGAGCTATATAGTGCTCTAGAAAAAGTACCCATTCACCTGTTAAAAAGGAGGCTTGTACAAGAACCGCCGATTTGCACTATGGTACGGTGGCGTCAAATAACCGGTAAGCAGGTCACAGCTTTCTCGCAACTCTACCCAGGGACGCACTCGCTTGATGCTCGCAGAACAACGGAAAAAAAGGATTGGGGCAGACGGTGTCACTTCGATGGACGCTCGCCGAAAACCCCCCTTGGGACATTCACACAAACACACACGTCAAGCTACGTTTAGATATGACGATATGACTTGCACGGCTTTTGCTTCGGACAGCCTCGATCTGGACGATCGTCGCCGGCCCGTCGCTCATGAGGCGTCCAGCGTCGTGCCACTCGCTTGGAGGCGGGCCAGCTGCAGCGTTTGCCAGGTTTCGGTTATGGGTGTCAGGGGGGCGGTGTTCATATTCCATTTGTTTGCATAGGCTTCTGCCGAGCACGCGCGCCGACTTCAACCTCGCACACGAGTAGCCCCTTTACCCTGCGCGTTTCTGGGGGTTCGGGGAGCCCCCGGGTGAGCGAGGCACAGTCCCCCGAGTTTCCAAGCCTGCCCAAGGTGTCGGACGTTGGTCCGGCATTGCCTGCGTAGGGATGGACGCTTGGGAGTTGAGAAAGACGTGATAGCTCGCTGTCAGGATGCGCTCAGGCCCTGCACAAATGTGGCAAATCTTAAAAAAGCTTGCGAGAATACACGTGACAAGTGTCCACTCGCAGCATGTCAAACGTGACAGGGTTTTGCCTCTGTTTCTTTTATACTCCTCGCACAGGAAATAGCTAGTTCACGGGGAAAAACGAACGCCGTGCAGTCCTGTCGTCAGTGTGCGCCGTCAACATCGAGTATGTCATATCTGTCTCCCTGCAAGTGAGATAGTAACATGTCGGACCGAATGCCACCCGTGAATACAGTGTATGTCATGTCTGAAACCTGAATGGGTTGAGACCCTTGCTTTTCATTGCCATGCTTTTCCACACAACATCTTTCCAGGTTTTGGTGCTTGCCTAGGCTGGTTCGAGGACCTTCTCTTAGAGCGACATGCTCTTGTCGTTATCATGGCGTTGCCCCTTATTTTTGCCTTGTCTTTATCCTCTTAATCAGATGTGGCATCTGGGGCAGTGTCTGATCAGATAATTTTGTTGAATTTGCCGAGGAACAGTGCTGTGTTTAGTGCTTGGTTGGTGGCAACTAAATGGCTACACTTTATAGCAGCAATTCTCAAACTGTGGTCTTAAACCCCCTGTCATCCGTGGCACCATTGGTTCGCAGTTATTAGAGGTTTGCTCCATCGGGGACACATTACGAAAGGGTTGAAATAGTAGGATCAATCATCTTTGCAGCCATAATAGAGTTCTCATGAGTCAGTGTGCTCTTACTGGTTTTAGTTGTAAGTGCATTTCTGGTACAGCCTTTCTGAGAGGAAACACTCCGATACCTTTTGCCACTTTAATACTTCCACTGCGAGGCCGCTTTGTCGGAACTTGTGCACATGACAACGGAGACAATAAACATAGTTTATATTGAGCCGGGTTGCCAAGTTCAGCTTTCTTCCATTTACGATGATGTAAGTTCCCTGTTGTGTAACACATTGTCTTCATGACATCATCAATGGCGTCTGCGAAATGCAGTGTTAGGTAAAGTACATTTAAAAAGACTTCAGGTAAAGTACAAAGTGAATAAGAGGTGATGTACTTCAGGTTAAGTAGTAAGTACACTGAATTCAATGTATGGGCATCAACGAGAAAACCGTACCCTGTTTTTTTGCTCCGTAAAAATAAACTAGACATTGCGGAGAGCTCAAACTCCGTCAGAACATAGCCCCAGCCATTGGAGCAAGGTGCCAAAGTTTCAGCACCATCCGTTTCCTTATTCAAAAGTTTTAAGCAATTTTCTGAAAATTTGAATGGAAAAATGGCGGCCGACTGAGCTCTTGAATGCATGAAGTTGTAGGGCAACAGAAACCGAAAACAGGTGAAAATAATGGGCCCCATTTTCCTATTGAAAATTTCAGAAAATTACTTATAACTTTTGAATGAGATAATGTTTAGTGCTGAAAATTTGGCATCTTGCTCCAACGGCTGGGGCTACGTTCCAAAGGAGTTGGTGCTCTCTGCAATGTTTAGTTTATTTTCGCGGTGCGAAAAACAAGGATTGGTTTTCTCGCGGATGCCCGATAATTGAAGCAAAGTACTATAAATACAATGTACTTTCAAAGTATAGTGCAAGAACTTTTAACGGAATCTTTCATGATGCCCTTTCATTCCCCTCTACAGTGTCTTTTCTTAAAACTGCTATGCATTGCCCCTGGGATATGGGGTGCATCAGTTATTTTCGAAAATGGCGGTGAATAGTGAATCAAGTGGCCGCAGAAAGTTTTACTTTTGCTGGTGAGCCATTTAATACAATCAACGTACGAGGTGCTTATATGTACCAGATGATGTCCCCCTAGCTTTTGCAAGCAATCCTCTGGGGGGGCAGGAGGAGGGGGGGGGAGGGAGAGGGAGGGGGAGGGGGAGGGAGGGAGGGAGGGAGGGAGGGAGGGAGGGAGGGAGGGAGGGAGGGAGGGAGGGAGGGAGGGAGGGAGGGGGGGGGGGAACGTCTTCTAATATTTTTAACCTCCTCAGTCCTCGCGCTGACCGAGCAAGAAGTAGCGAGAGCTTGAAATGCTGCGGGAAAGCCACCCCCCGTGCAAACGGAGCTATTTGTCGTCTGCTTGCGTTTCTGGTGAGGGTAGAATATCCCTCCCAGTATTTCTGCATAGTCGAATGCTCATTCTCCACCAAAATGTAGCTCTAGCGGTCTGAGCCAGATGCCAAATTTTGAAAACTGTTATCTTATATAAAAGTTTTAAGTGATTTTGTGATTTTTTCAATGGGAAAATGATGGTTAACGGAGCTTTCGAATGCATGGAGCTGAATGGCGCCAGTTACCGAAAACGGGCTAAAATGGGCCCCATTTTTCCATTGAAAGTTTCAGAAAATCGCTTATAACTTTTGAATAAGATGGTTAGTGCTCGAACTTCGGCATCTGGTTCGGACCTCTAGTGCTACCTTTGGGCGGAGGATGAGCATTCAGCAATGTGTAGCTGAACGCTCATTTAGATGCTTACTTATGTTTTCATATTTTGTATTTCCTCGTTTATACTTGCTCATTGTCCGGCCCTCGAGACAGCGACAGATCCCCCAATCCCGCCCCTTAGCCAAAATGTTTGGTGACCCCCGCTCTGGAGTAATGTGGAGCCATATTGTTTCGTGGGCTTAGTGTGGTCAGTTGTGACTGGCTTAAACCGTTGTGCCTGACGGGAGGACGGAGGAAGTGCTTTCGATCGTCTAAGATGATCAAAAGTGTTTTTACTAAAGTTGTCTGCTATAGAGCAAAATGGTTTTGCAAATGCCATACTTAAGACTCGACAAGTTGCATCTCGGTCTAAATGAACCGATGTACCACAACTCGCTTGTGGTGTCCTTGCAGCTCTTCTGGGAACAAAAAGGAGGTGGTAAAGTGCCGCTGGTGCGTGGACAAATGTCTCACAAACGGACAAGCCAGGCAATGGGGGAAAGCGGTTTGCTGATACCCCGAGCTTATCTTCCGGGGGACTTGCAACCATGCTCACAAGTTTAGCTGAAGCAGCCGATGATGCAGAAAAGTTATCAAATAATGATTATCTTTAATGCTGGTCCAGTGTTCATGCTGCTAAATTGCAGTGAGCGGGATGGCTTTTTTTCCTTTTAGTTCACAGTACTGCAGGCTACACAGGGGCTTGAGCAGGAGGGTTTTCACATGCATAATTTCAAAGCACACATTTACCTGGTTTAATTGGTATAATAGAACTTTTTTCGTCTGCTAACCTTCAGGAAATTATCCGAAATGTATTTTCTACGTCCTTTGTAATTGTTTGTAAAATTGTTTTGTAATTTTTGGGGGTTACATATACGAGTGTAGTGCAATTTTCATGTTCCTATATTTTGCTGCAGTTGGTTGTGTTGTAAATGTGGTCTGGTGCTAGGAGCCTAGCCAAGCGACCTCTACTGTCACCTTTTGCCTCAGCTCCAAGGCAACGTCGGGTTTGGAATAAATTAAAGAAAGTCAAATGACCTCACAAAGTGGGCTGCGATTGACAGCAGCAGCTGTTGTATTGTCAGGAAATATCCTGTTGGACATTGACTTCTAGTGGATGTGCTTTAGGATATTTGCTTTAGTAGACTAGTTGTAGGAGATGTGCTAGATTGCACAGGAGAATCTTCCAGGCTGCGACAGTGGCCGCGGTTTCAGAGCTGCAGTTGTGGGCAGCAGCTACGGCGGGGGCAGATTTTCGAGTGATTTTGCTGGGAAGCTAACAGCTGCCTCTGTAAACAAATAATTATAAGGCAGTGAAAAGAACACAACAAATCGTTTAAAGCCAAAATTTACCCTGAAACACGACAGATCCAAACATGTCAATCTAATGGCGTGGCTACTATTTATAGGTGGACGTGCGCAAGGAGGCCCCATTCATTTTGGCTGCAATCTAACATTTAGATTGAAGTGACAGGTCTTTGAGCCTCGTAGAGTGCCGTGACTCTACAGAGCCAAATGAAAGGTGTGAGCAGGGTCTATGTCCTCTGCAGGCTACTGACGGAGGCAACACGATGGCGGCCGACATGGCCCAGAACGTGGATGTCGCCTGCTACTACGTGACCAAGGTGTCCTGGAAGGGCCGGTGAGTGCTTCCACAACGAGGGACCGCTCTGCCTGGGACCTCTTCCCGTTCTTTGTGCAAGCGTCTCTTCGTCTCACTTGCCGACTTCCCGCTGTTTCACCGAACGTCGGCCACTTTTTCTGCAAAAACTGTGCATTTCTGAAAAGATTGGTCGTCTCACTGGCATTTTTCATAGGTGTACTAAATGCATAGCATTTAGAACACCTTTGCTCCTCTCTGCCTGAAATCACAATCTATTGTACGCATTACACACTTCAATCGAACGGATTGCCTGGAATGCCAGTCGGCCGTCGTGTAAGGGCGTCTGGCTTCCTGTCGCTGCTGGGTCTCGCGCTCTCTTTTGGCAGCCGCGTCGAAGTGCAATTTTCGAGAGCCAAAAAAATTAAGCAAGCACTTGAAATTTTTCTAAACTCGACTTCTAATCGGAACTGGCTGTTTATTTACACAAATAAAGAAGTTGATTATGCAAATTTAATTAAAAGCTTAATTATCCTAAATGCTGTGTACCTCAGTAAATAGGCCTAGTAAAGGTAACCGACACAGTACATGTCTTAAGTACTAAACGAGCATGTTGGTAACAGTAATTAAACATGAGGAAGATACGATACTTAGAAAGGGAGGACGGACCACAATGACTTTCATTGTTGTCCGTCCCCCCTTTCTATGTACCTTTCTCATGTTTAATTAGGTACATGTCTTGTTTCTGTGCAATGCATATAGTTTTCACACAAAATATTTTGGCAAATGTTTGATGAAACCTGGCAGACTGCTCACAAAAATCAGTCTCTAGTTTTTTCGCTGTCCTCACCTGCATCTGTGGTGTACCAATTGTGGCCTTCCAGTACCTATAGTAGCTTTGCTCCTTAAAGCCCTTAATCAGCAACAGCCTTCGAGTACCTCTGGTACTTCTGGCGGCCGACAAAAGTAGTTAGAGACCCAAACTTACGAAAACAATTTTATTTAAGATGGCGGCACAGTGTGACGCTCAAAACACTCGGCTCAGACCCTAGTCGGCACGCTTTGCACGTACCGATTCTTTTTTTGTAGCCATTGAAACAAATGAACCGAGCGAGCAAACCTCGGGGGCAACATCTTCACCCGTTGACGTGCACAAGTGACGGCACCGGATTGAGTAATACATTTTTGTTGCCACCATCATATGGCAAAAGTTGCCGCTATTCGAGCTGCTAGATGGCTACAATTGGGCACCATGTATGGTGCCCGCGGCATTGTGGGGGATTCTCGGAACTGTTGTTGCAGTTGGCGGCAGCAAGGGGGACAGTGGACTCGTTGCTGAGACATAGTCTTCCTGCCAACCAGCTGTCAAAAATTTTAGCTTCCCAGGCTCGAGGTGCTTCGAGAGCAGCACCGTCTGCACTCGCTCAGCTGCTGAGCCCCTGCTCGTACTGCTGCTACCACGATGACTGTGAAGTGACGTGTCAGATTGCTGTCCTTGGACGGGACAGCAGTTGAAGGCTCGTTCCGCGTACTATCGTAAAATTTCGTGCGAATTCTCGCCCCTTTTGAAAAGGCAAATGGTGAAAGATATCGGGTGGGCAATATTTGTGAAGGAAAAAGCAAAGGTCTGTACAAAGTAATTGACAAAAACCACAGCACCTGCTGTCAACTGCATAATGTGGAAACCAATACCAGATCTTAGAATAAACACACAGGAACTCGCTACAAACTCGAGTGTCAAGGGAACTGATACCGCAGATTGCAGAGGCAGCCTGTTCCACAGTGATAAATATGTGGGAACTCACTACAGAATTCATCAGCTTTACTTCGGTCCTTTGGGATTGGGGAAGCTAGCTGCCGTTGTCTAGGCTTTTCGCGTGGTTTCGTAGCTGGGAGCTGACTTCACTTGGAGAAAGCATTTAAAGTGCCATTTGGCGCAGTTTCAAAGCTGATGACGTCGGCTTGCTCCATGGGGCAGTTAATGCTCTCGCATTAAAACCTCTCTCTGATCAGACTCTGAGAAGGGTCTGCATCAAAGTACCTGCCAATAAGGAAAGGTCTTTTGTTTTTGAGAAATTCCCCAGCTTTCTAGTCTTACACTTTAAAAGTGATAACCCACTTATCAAACTATCACCTTTTGTAGTTACCAAGGTAGTTGAAGGAATTGTTGGACAGAAGTTTAGTGCAAAGAAAATGGCATCTGGTGATCTTTTTGTGCAGACCACCAAGCAGCAAAATGATGCTGTTTTAGCATCTGACTATAAAGTCAGCGTCAGTCCCCATCGCAAACTAAACAGCACCCAAAATTTCATTTCTGAGTACGACTTGCTCGATTTGACTGACACTGAGCTGGTGGAGGGCCCTTCCAGCCAGGGAGTATGGTGCCAGGCAGTGTGGTGGCACGGTGCTTCACCATTCGCTGTGGTGACACAGAACGCAAGACCAAACATGTTATCTTGACCTTTGATTGTACCGCTCTTCCTGCGACTGTGAAGGCAGGCTACCTCCAGTGCCGCGTTCGACATTGGAGCACAAGGCCGTTCCAGGCATTTGGGAGAACTCTAATAACAGGGGACGTCGCGTGGAGATTCTTCTGTGCCGTCTAAGAATAGGTCACTCCACCTGCTTCGTGGTGAAGATGTTACACTGTGACCATTGTGGAGAGCTTGTGACCATTTTACGCATTTTATGGCATTGTTTGTCTATGTTCACTACGTCAAGCATGTTTCCCAGAACTTATTAAAGGTCACCAAATTAGTTCCATTTTATGCCTCGCTTTTACTTGGCGATAAACCTTTGGTTCTGCTCAGCCGTGTTTGACTTTTTGAAACAAACTGTTTATATGATTTATAACTTTGTAGCCTCAGAGTAGTTCTTGCTACAGTATGCTCCAATTACGTTTAGCTTGGTGCACTACAGCCCTCGTTGCTGCTGCACCAATAAACTCCTAATAATCATCAACCATTCAGCTGAGAGCTGTGCTTGCTCCGTGAGAGCCAGCTCTGAGGTAGTTTGGTCTGCGAGTGCCGGCTCGAATTTGTCTCCTGGTGCAGCTACCAGCGGGTCTTCTCGGTGGGCACCCTGGGCATCCGCACGTACAACCTGAACAACATGGAGGTGACCAACCAGTGGGCGTACGGGGAGCTGCTCTCCATCCTGCCCAGCAAGGGCGGCATGGAGTTCTCCATCACCTTCCGCAAGGGCCGCAAGGGCGAGGGCGCCATGCGCTTCTCCTCCGAGCACCGGGCCGATATCATCACCCAGGCGCTGGTAAGTCTGCTCGGACACCTAAAGCCTCCTTATGCAGAGAAGAGACGACACGCTTTGAGGTGTGCCACTTGCTTTTGGGGCAGTCAAAACGGTGGTTTAGTGTGGGAGAGCAACAAAAGGAATAATAGAGCGTGCACGACAGAGGAGGGAGAGGAAATGCCTTCAGAGCTCAGTGGAGGCTTAGAGCCAATGTCCTCAATTGAGAACCACCAGAAGTGCTACATCACGGGTCTCAGCGCCTTTTTTTGATTGTTTTCCTTTGGTGGCTAATCCACTAGAATGCAGACGGGCGTTGTGACGATGCTCTTTTGGTCTGCGTGTTAGCATTTGCATGTTTTTTAGCCTTTGACTGTGCTCGGATTTACGATAGAAATTCAGTTTCCCACCGCTATGTCGGTAACATGGCGGTAGGATGGTGCACCTCTTGACTCTTTGCGTCGCTTGACTCGGTGCGTCCCTTGACTGAGTGCATCTCTTGACCGGTGTTCCCTTTTGACAGAACTTCAAGCACCTGTTTGCCGAGCCACGCGAGGACTGCACGGTGAGTGGGCAAAATATTGTTATTAATAGTGGAATGCACTGCCACCAGACGGCACCACCTATGCTTTTAGCTCGCCACCTCTGTTTCATATATAGTTTCTTCATTCCAGATTAATAAAAAAGGTGGCAGCTTGACAGCTGTGTGATATTTTTCTTGGCTTTACTTAATCTTGTAGTTCCTATTTCGTGGTGTGGTCATGCTGCACGTACAATAAAGCTAACAAAATGCTATTGGCTCAGGCACAGTGGAAGCCAATGGAACCATTTGCCATTGTACTCCCTCTAGCGGCAGAGCGTGGCTAGGCGGCTGCAATGCACCACTTTGCGACTACAGGATTCCAGTGCAGCTGTTGCACGTTTGCTGCTGGCTGGTAACATCTTTTGCCCCCTCCCCCTACCCTGCTTCCCAGCACAAGTTCCGGTGCAGTCGAACCCGGTGTACTAGAGTAGTGCTTCTCTCATTGATAGATTGCGCGCCGTGGGAAAGTGGAGTAGCTCAGAGTTGTAGACAGATAGGCTCGATGCATCAACCTTGACCTTACATTCTCGGATAGCCCTACTGTGTAAAGTGGATGACCCTATTTGATATTCGCTTCTATAAAATTTTGGATATTCATAATTTTCGAAGCGTCGATGGAGACGGGCTGGAATGATTCTCCGACCGGTGGGTTTAGCCTCCTCTTCCACCCACGCGTCGAAAGCGGTCCCAAAGTGGCAATGGACAACGTCGCAAAAGCTGGCGTGCGATGCCGTCGGACGTCGCAGATCCCTGTAGTTGGGCGTAGAAATTTTGGAAGAAAGCGCGAGAGAATGCGAGTGTCGCCGTCGTCGCTGTGTCCCAACTCTTGGCTGCCAGCGACGTAGCCGGTGGGAAGGGGGGGGGGTGCTCTAGAAATGCAGCCGACTCCATATTATACATCTGCATTTTGACCACGCCTTTGTGTGTAATATTTATGTTATAGGTGTAGATTATAAGTGTATGTTTTAAGGATTTTGACCCTACAATATACACCTGCATTTAATGCGATAGCGTTCAGGAGCTCGTGTCATAGAAAACAAAATGTTGGCATCGGTGGTGTTGTTGTAACAGGAAAATCTTGTTTGGTCCATTGGGTCATGACGTCACAGCCACATGACCTTGCGCGGGAGTTTCAAACAACCCAGAACGTTCATGTGAAACGTGACGTCACGCGTGGAATAAAAGTGATTAAAACGTGACATGTAATGTGAACTAAGGGTCGTCGCATGTCTCTAAAGTAATTAATTGGCCTTAAAGAAAAAATCTGAATAATTTTAAGTGGAGGCGGGATTCAGACCCACAACCCTTCGGTTGTGAGTTAGACATGCTACCAACTAGGCCACTTAGACATGCTTGTACAACTTGGAAACAAGAGGGGGTTTATATGTTTAGGTATTGCATTCCACTTATGAAAGTGAAGCTTAAGAGCATCCTCCTGTAATTTTTTACCCCCATTTAGACATCAACCCCCCGCCCCCCCCCCCCCCCTAAAAAAAAAAAAGAAAGAATTCCTGGATACGCGATTGCTGGCTGGTGAAGCTTCCGTAAACCGTCGAGCCGCAGCAGAACGGGCATTTTACACGTCCACATCCACCGCAATGCCAGCCGCGGTGCTGCCGGCATTGCGGCCAGCGACGACGCAGCACTTCTGCGACGTTCCCGGGCGAAAATGGAGGGAGCACCTTTTAAGACGCGGTAAACGCACCGGTTTGAGACGCGTTGTGGGCACCGTAGCGGAGGCACGGTGGTAAGAGGCTGCGACCCGCTTGCAGCGCTACATGGGGCGCAAGCACCACTGGTCCGAGCGGGAGATTCCCGTGGTGCTGGAGGTGGGGCCCCAGGGGCTGTCCCAGCTGGAGCCCCACTCGCCGTCCCCCGTGGCCCTCTACCCGTACCGGGACCTGGTGGCGCTGGTCGCACTCTCGGACACACCAGGCGGACTCGCCCTCGTCGTGGGGTCCTTCGACCGCCTGGTGAGACGCCGGAGGAGTCGGACATTGGGTGTCGGACGCACAGTGTCGGGAAGGGGGAATGGGACGGGTGGTGGGAAGGGTTGGACGCGGGGTTTTGGACATGTGGCGTGTACGGGGTGTATCCGATGACACGTGTGCTTTTGGATGGGACTGCATAGATTGGTTATGAAGTATGAAGTTATGAGCTTACCTTATTTGAATGAAAGAAATGAAAAATGCTTTTTTTTTTTCTATAGATAGGCATGGAGTGTTGGACATGGGGTGTGTACGAGCTTTAATATTGAAGGGCACGTTGACCTTTGAAGGGACCGCATGAATAGGGTTCTTAACGTGTCGTGCTACGATTAGCTATGGCTCTGCTCGTAGCGGGTGCATGTATTGTTTGAAAGGATGAAATTTTGAGGTCTGCCGAATGGAAAGAAAAAAAAAAAAGAAACATGCTTTTTTTTTCCTGTAGACGACCATCCAGCTAAGCCTTTTTGTTCTACAGATTTTTCAAAGAGCATGATGTGCAGGGTGGAGAATAAAAATCGAGAAGATTTAAATCGGGCTTTATGTCCCGATTTAAATTGTGTTATGAATTGGACTAGTTTTACTATTTTACTATGGCGATTTTAATTACACCTTTCCCGCAGAAATCCCCCATGTACTTTTTATTGACTGTTTGCCTGTCTTGCATTTGTTCTGTACTGAAATCAAATAATTAGGGGTGTGCAAATATTGAAATTTTCGAATATGAATAATATGAATAGTAGAGAAAAAAAATCTTTGAATATCAAATATGTTTCAAATATGTGTGTACCATTAAAAAACAACAAAAGAAAATATGTAAATACTTTTTTACTTTCAAAACCGAAAATGATGTTAACAAATCCAAATAAATGAAACTACCCGACTAGTGCGTATAAACAATGCGACTTGTAACACAGCTATTATACCTTTACTAATGGCGCAGCGTGGCCTTCGTCGCTTTTGCGCCATTAAACCCGTTAATCATCATCATATACCTTTACTAGTAATCACCTGTCAACCGTACATGAAAGCAGGCAAAAGATGCAACTGATAAGTTATACAAATTGACAAAATTAAGAGTGTGCACAACTGCACATGTCTAGATAGTATGTAAAGATGCAACCTGTAATGTCACACAAAGTGGTAGTGACTTTTTTAAGAAAATAATTGAAATTGCCCTTGTCTACCCAGCAAGTCAGATGTCAGCTGCTAATACAATTATTGCAAAACATGCAAAAAAATTGATTGTTCCACATGTTCAGTACATGAGCGCTCCCTTTTTGCAGTGACAACTGCTTACAATTAATTTATACCAGGCTTCAGCCAAGTATAAATTTGAGAAAAAAAGCAGTGCTCTTCGGAGCAAATCTTAGCATTGAGCTTTCTTCCTTATCCTTCGTTTGTCAGTTAGATAACGTCCTATTGCAAACAAGTCAAAATGCAAAAGAATGTAATGATAGCTAGAGATGTAATGCATTGCAAGCAAATTAGAATGTAAAAAAAAAAAAAGAAAAAGTTTTTTAGCTATTTAAATATTAAGCTGTTTTTGTTGTAGTATGGCAGGGTTTACATCAATAAAAAGTTGTTAAAGGGAAACTGAAGCGGTTATGTATTTGAGAAAAAACACCTAAATCATCTTCATTTGGCCACTATAATCACGAAAATCGAGATTTTTTTCCAATTTGGTGCACAGAGGCTGCAGAAATTACGGTAGTTTCTAAAGTACCGCTGAAACCCCTCCTTCCCGGGGCGTGACGTCATATTAGGAGTTTTCGGAATCCCTGCTCTCGCACAATTTCAGCGCCCTTCAAAGTTATGCACTTGCACTCTTGCTATTTTCAAAAAGGTCAGAAATAGATGTCACGACTGGCGTCATTGCAGAAAAATATGCCTTGCAAGCTTACAATTGCACGCTGCCCTCACGAGCTACACGCGCTTGGCGGCCCAAAGATCCTAGTATGATGACAGAACCGATCGGAGGTTTTTCGTGTTTTCTCGCCTTTAGTTACATCTTTGGGGAAAATGAATTCAGATTCACGAGATAAAAATACGCCAGAATTCACCTTTAACTCTAACTCGTTTTTTTTCAAGAAGTGTTTCAGCTTCTATTTAATTAAACAATGCTTTAAATCTGCAGTAATCCTTTCTTCCACATTGTGATTAGTGATGGGTAGATTGATCAACCAATCTGGTGTTAAAAAATGCCTGTCGTGATAAATAGTTGCTATTTTCTAGCTGCGATGATTTAAATCGAGATAAACTTATTGAAATCAAATGTTTTTTTGTTTTTTTTTTATCTTGAAGGGCAACTTTGGTCAATAACTTGAATTTGCAATTACGACTGTTTTCAGCGAAAGCAGTGACTCTGAATAACAAAGTATAACGTTTTCTTTCGATATTGCATGTAGTTTTATAATTATCATGGCTTAAAGTTTGGTTTCGGGCGTCTACGGCAAAACCGAAACTATCTGCTATAGGGATGGCAACACAGTGATCATCAGATGTGCGACTGTGTCGTGACGTCGCAAGGGTGCTGCGCCAGTGTTCCTTGACTAAAAGCTAACCTGCTTGCCGCCCGCTAAAGAGCAGCTGGTCTTATCTTTAAAATCGGTTTTAGTGGAGTATGTGGCTTTACCTTGACGTAATATTTTGGCTGTAAGCATGCTTTGTGTCACTAAAGCAATGCCAATCATTTTGATTTCGTTTTTGACCGAAGTTGCCCTTTAAGAAAATTATGATTTCTTTCCACCCTGATATTGGGTCATTGTATAGTGTTTATGTTACGATAGAAAAATGGTGTAATGAAATAAAAGTGGCTTACAGGTTACCTTTTTTATTTTGCCAAAATGAACGCCGCAGTCGTCCACATTGTCATATGATGATTTCATTAGTCATGATATAAAAATGCTGGAGGCTGGAAAAAAAATTTATTTTTTAAGACGGCGTGATTATTTTTTGGTTATACATTTCAGCTTCAACGACTGGAGAAAACGAAAGTAAGCACACACACGGTCATATTCGACCGAAACCCGCTTGGCGAGTAAAACGCACCTGTTACGCATAAGTTGTTCATTCTTTTCTGGTCTACCAATATGCACCTTAGAAAGAGACTAACAGCTTCCTTTTGCATAGTGAAATAATGTTGATTATTTACGTATACAAAAGATTGCAAACCATTGACCGTGTAAGTGGATCGCCGCATTTGGGAAATTCCGGGAACACAAGTGGAAATGCTGGGTCCCTAAGAATCTAGTTTAAGGGTTCTTGCCTGGAGGCGAGGGTGTGTCTGGTCTTGAACCCACTACCATTCCGGAACAGGGCACTAACGGTACGCTTCCTGGAGCCTATTTCTGACCAGTGCGTTCATCGTCTGGCATTGCCCATGCATCAAAAGCGGTCTCAAGTGGCAACAAATTAGGTCACAGGAGATGGTGTGTCGTGCTGTTGAATTTTAAGATTCCGGCGGCGTCCCAACTTCTGGCTGCCGAAACTTTTGTGAAATGTCGAGCCAGAAATGTACCTACAGCAAAAAAGCTGCTTCTGCCGTGTCTTGCTCCGCCGCAGTGTTACTGCCAGCTTTGTGGCAGGCAGCAGCACGACGCTTCTGCGAAGTCGTCAGACGGAAATTGAGGGATCACTAACGAGGACGCCGTAAGCGCACCGGTCGGGGACACGTTCTTGGTAGCGTACCGGCGAATGTCCTTGCGGAGACCGTTGCACCCCGCGATTCGGTGGCTGTGGGTTCGCAGTGTCGATGTGGTATGTGGGACTGCAGCACGTGTTTGTGGTGGAGAAGCGGGAGGAGCTGATGAAGCAGGCGGTGAACTGTGCCGGTCAGCACGTGGGGGTCTCCGTGGCCTTCAGGGAACCCATCAGCCTGGCGTCTGCACTCCAAGTGCGCCTGGGGCGCTTCAGGTCGGTCCTCGTCTGCCATCTGCAATTGGCGCACGCTGGCCGGGTCCCCGCGGCGGCACGCTCGGGGTGCAACCGTGTCTCGTCAATACAGGCACCTCTGTTCCCCGCAAAAATGGTCCATGATGCATGTTGTCCGTAATAATGAGTCGAGGTCGAGATCCCTGGCTGCTCCCTCTTAATGCCTGACTTAGTCTCAGTTCCCTCTAAGTGGCAAGGGAAGTGCCTTGCCTTCCACACACTGCTCGGTGGCCGAGCGCGTTGGCGCGCCTCAGGTCGAAGCAAGGGGAGCGAAAACTAGCATTGCAGAACCCAGAGATCCTGGGTTCAATCCCCACCCCTGCCCGTTCAGATCGGATGAGCATTGTACCGGCGTGCGGTCGTGTATCACTACTGCGTGATGCACGTTAAAAACCCTGGGGTAACAGTGCTACTGCGCTGGCTAAAGTTTTCATCTAGAGTGTAAACCAGTGTCGCCGCACCCCAAGGGCAGACTGACCGCACGTTATATAAACACAATCATTAATTTTTTTTCTTGGGGTGTAGATATCATTTATGAATGTTCTTCCGGTTTGTCATCCGTGGCCTTGACACACATAGGGAGAGAGGGTCAAGTGACCCTTTTGCCAGAAAAACCCAGAAAAATATTACCAATGTTGTACTGTCCAGACCTTATCTCTTTCTCGGGAAGTGCAACCAACAACAGGCAAGAACAGAGCTCTGGGTGTATTCTGTGAACCAAAGGCTCCACAAATCGCATTTTCTTTTTTTGTGCTTATGGACAGACTTTAAAACATTCGTCTCCATATTAACGAGACAAAGACACTCCTATATTCTCAGTTCATTCCCAGACTAGTTGTCTGTGATTTGGGCTACAGATTTTTATATAACGAAGCATAATTGTATGAGGACAGATCGGTCCCCGAAAATTTTGTCCATAATGCGCAATGTGTATGATAATGGAGTTGAGGCATGTAGCCGGGGGGTGGGGGAAAGTGGTGGTGGTGGTGGCGGCGGCCCATGGGGCCTGGCACCCCCCCCCCTCCCCCCCCAAATCTTCCATTTTGTTGGGGCCTCCTCCCCTCGTACGGCATTTTGTCATGGACATCCCCCCCCCCCCGAATAAAAATCCTGGCTATGTGCCTGATGGGGTTAAAACATTAACGAAAGACGACTTTACAGCCCACGGCATCGGGTGGTCTAAGAACATAAAAGATGTTGGTTTGTTGCCAAGTTTATTGAACTCTGAGAAATTTGCAAATAATGACAAGGTCTTGGCAAGCGAAAGTTGAGCGCTTAAAGGTTGGTGGAAACCTTGTATGCTTCTTTCCAGCGTCGCCTCTGCTTTTTCGAGACAACTCCCACACCAGTCAGTCGGACGGGAGTCGGCGTGTAAGCGTCGGAGTTCCACAAACGCAGGCTTATTTTTGGTTGCAGGAAGGGCATTGCGAAAAAACAAGATACCCCATCGTTGTTTTTGCCGAAAGTTCTACACTTGTCCGTTCTGTAAAGTTAATCTCGCTAAATCTGCTGCCACTATCGTGGTGCAACGGTAGCATGTTGCGAGGGGAGCACAGTAACATCCTTCATTCCTGCTGGACCCTATTTTCCCAAACCGGCAAGGGTGGACTTGCCTTCGGTTCCCTAAAAGCGGGCGAGCGTCTCGGTTCTTGTAACATGCTTCCGATGTTGGGAGTCATTGCACGCTTTTTAGTTTTTGGAATGCGGTGGTTTGTGGATGGTGGAGCGGGGGTGGGGAGCTTAATGGCATCCTGGGTGACTCACAATGGGCTCTGCTTGCAGCACGGACGAGGCACTCACCTCCCTCTGCGAATTCGTGGTGCACAAGGTCACACCGAGGCACAAGGTTGGTCTTCGAAGCTCTTTGACGCGCAGTTCTGGGACTGTGTGACACCGTGTTCTTTCGATCTGTACACTTTGACGGCTTCCACCCACTTTTTCCGTCCTATACTCTGTCTACCCCTAGGCGACATTGTGGGGGGGAGCTACGCATTTGCCAGATCAGTCGACCGCGTACACCTCCCCACCCGATCTTGCGCCCCGTGGGCATGGGCGGGAGCGAGATCATGTGGCAAATGACAGACGTACGACTGGTACAACAAGCAGGTAGCCTTTACTACACTGTCAGCTTGGGGACAAACAGAGTACAGAGAATTAAAGTGGAATGTGTTTTGTGAGTCGGTTTTGTATGGGAGAATGGTCACAAATGAGCACCATGAAAGAACAACGTGCTGGGGGTGTTACACTATGTCAAGGTCTTATATAAAGATATAAAGATTGAGCCCCAGTGGGTGTCGAACCTGGATCGATGTGGTGGCAGTAGGATAGTATTGCCACTTAGCCGCTTAGCACAGGTGCTCTGAAAGAGTAAATGAATTTATTTGCATGAAAATGGGCCGACGAGAGTGGCACATTTTAATAAAAAAACAATATTATATATTAAGAAATAGAAGTAAATAATAAAAAAAAGATACAAACAATAAAAGAAAGTAATCTTGAAAAATTAAATGAAAATAAAAAGAATAGATAATAAGAACATTAAAAAATCTAGCACAAGCGACCCGGAGTGAGGTTTGTGTGGGACACGTTCTGTGCTCTCTCTGGTCCTTGTCAGCATGATCAAGCTTGCATAATTTTCTTTTATTCACTCGGACGTCGAGAGAACCTTTGTTTTAAAATTGTGGAAATAATTTTGAACAGTTTTGGTCTGGAAGAACTGCTCAAGCAAGTTTTTGCATTTACGCTGGGGCTTCAATTGGGGACTAAGTCTCTAATGGAGAACTCGTCTGATAAATTCAGAGTGCGTATCTTCCGCTGGCATCTTTGGGTGCAAGTTGGTCACCTTTCTCTTACCGATTTTTAGCAGCACTGCTCTCATACGTGCCATAACCACTCTGCCAAAATCGGCTTCTGTACAAAACGTTTTTTGCGGTCATACTTTTCTTTGACATTCTGCTTTTGACACTCTAGATTGACTAAACATTTGACACTCTAGGTTGACTAAACAATGTAGGTGTATCCTCGATAAAAATGACCATAATTTTCTTCGCGATTGGTGCACAGAGCTCCAACTTTTCACTGCTTTCTCCGTCATAACTAGCGGTCTACGCTGTTAATTTCATTCATTTTGAGCTGAGCGTTTAAAACATGGCCCTCTCGGGTGATCTCCTCCCTTAAGAGTCTCGGCCAGTAGCATGTTCAAAAAGACTTCTCGACGCACTTCGATGAAGCACCAGCAGCGAGTGCCTTAGAAGGAGAGGAGCACCCTAGGCGGGAAGCCCTGAGCGCTTGGGGGTCACGGGTCCTTCCCCTCGCAGGAGCCGGTGAAGCGCCTGCTCTGCTTGACGGAGAGCTGTCTGGTGGAGCGGGACCCCTCGAGCTACACCGTGGTCACCCTGCGTCCGCTGGCAGACGTGAGTCTCCCCTCCTGCCCCCGAGGTTCTTTCCGGGCCCCAAGAGCCCAAAACGTTATCCCGGTGAACCAGTGGACAAGTTTTCAGACTGTTGGTCCTCTCGAATAAAAATAACAGCAATAACTGCTATAGGGTCTCTCCACCACTGGAAATGACTTCTGACGTTTATGGTTGTAGTTGGTGTAGTAGGGCATAGGGGTCACCAAATTGTCGAGAAAGATTGCCCGCATCCCATGGAAAATCTAACCTGGGTTGCCGCATGCGAAGCGGAGGTGGTTGACACAGACCTACGCCGCAGCGTTAACAACCTGCTTTATACCTGGGGTTTCTGTAGTGCACAATGCCCACTGCATTCACTCTCTGGAAAACAAAAATGGCCGATAACAAATTGCCGTTGTAGCACTGTCAATGCCAAGAGCTCGTGCCAAGAGACGCGCTTTCTTGTGCTTTGGAACAAAAAAGGAAAAAAAGTGTTTGGAACACAGTGGTCGGATGTCTAGTTTGTTAGAGCACTTTTGTTCACTCAACTTGAACGTGACGCCAATGCCCAACAACTTCGCTGTAATGTCTCGCAGCTATTGCTGTGACTGTACCGTAAATTAACACAGGGCTGCTCAATTTTTTAAATGTTTGTTATTCTCGCGAATGAAGGCAAGCGACATAGAACGTGCAGCTTGTTTTTGGCTGTACTGGGTGCGCCTTGCAAATTGTTTATTTCAGTGTGTCGATGAAATACTCTGTCTAAAATTTCAGGTTGCGTGTTCAGCCCTGAAAGTGCACTCTTGTGCATTCTTGTCAGCTCGCTTGCACCTTTGCATTAATTGCATTATCATCATAACCTCCTTGGAGTCTATAAAAGCCACTAGGATGCTGTCCAGTGCCTTATCAGTGCCTTACCTCATCACATTGGAGTGGGCAGCAATTTACAATGGTAGCTGTTATGGGTTCTTTCCGCCACTAGAAATGGCATTCGTTGTTGATGTTGTGGTTGGCATAGTAGGGCATAAAGCACAGGGCATCTGTCATTGCAATTGCCAACTGCTTAAAAAAATAATTTCCACCGCTCGCTGGATGCCATCCCAAGTCTGCTGCGCGGGAAGTGGGCGCATTAGCACCGAGGCTGCAGCATAGCTTTGACAATCTATTTTATACCGTAATATCTTGAGAGATAGACCACCTAAAATTGAAAGTGAATCGGGTAAAAATTAGGAGTGAGCTAACTTTCAGTGTGCAATCGAGAAAAGTTGAAAAAATTAAATTTTTAGGTCATCTGTCCCTGTCAAACTCTTTATTGTGGTGAGGGGAAATGAAGCGAAGATGAGTACTTCCCAGTCAGCTATGTTATTCGCTTACGTGCCACTACAGCTAACCAGCCGCATTTACGCTGAGGCTATCATTGATCCGAACACTACGACTACTAGAAGTGGGCCATCTTTAGGTGTTTCAGGAGAAATAGCTAATAAAGTCACCATAAGGGGGTGGGTAATCTTTCTTTTGTGGGGCATCTCTTGGGCAGTTACGCTATACGGCATTTGTGGAACAAATGCGTGCACACGAGTCTCGCGTAGTGCCTGCTAGATAGCCAAAGTTGCTGCGACGTTGCAATAAAATATTTTTTGTCGTTCTTCAATAATTTTAAAATTAATCTTAATTCTTTGTCAAAGTTAAAAGCTTTGGCTAGGTAGCGCAAGCCATTGCTCAATTAAAGGGTCCAGCCGTATCCGTCCATCTAATACCACCTAGGGGGCGATCCCGCCCGTGACGTCGTCGTCAGTGGATGTCCGAGCCGCCCCAAGCTGCAAACGATCTGAATCTCGACAAGAGTATGGTGCAAGGCGACAGACGCGCGCTAGTGTCGCGCTCGTTGCGAGACGCCAAAACATGCGCTGGTGGCAACGTAGATGCGCATCGCCCTCCGTTGCTGGGAAAACTGCGAGATGCATGCTCGGGAGTACGAAGCCAATTGAGACTTCGCTGTCAGGACCCCACAGCGTGTGAACGCGATGCCGATGCCCGACGACTTTGACGCGACATGTTGCAGTTTTTGCCACTACTGTATTGCGGGTTAGCCCGGGACTGCTCATTTTTAATCTTTCTGAAATCGATTGGGTTAAATACATTTCCGATTTCACGCTGCAAATCCGACGTCCACTCAACTTTTGAAGCGTTAATTGGCAATAACGGGCTTTGTGGACATCGCCGCAAGATATGGTAAATCGTGTGCAACAACTCTAGATCTTGTTTGTGGTAATGTCTCTCCTCTAGTTCATTGGGTCGCGATTCCAGAAATTAGAGACCATGAAGTAGTTGTTGGTAATTTACTTTGCAAGCAAATGAGAATTCAGAAACTGCTCCACTGCTGTCAGCCACCTGGCTGGCAGTAGTGGAGACATGCAGCCATCATAATTTTCGTGCTGCCACGAGTAGCGTTTCTTATTTGTGTGCGTGCCACCACAACCCACAGTGATGCAGGCTGCTGTCAGAAGTGTAATGCTACCACTAATGATGGCACGAGCCAGCTATCAAAATATTTTGATTATCGTAATGCACAAAGAGCAATGTGTCTTTGAAATCACTTGTGGTAACATTCTCGAGGCTGAGAAACTGCACTGCAATGCGAGTTTGCCATGTCCTCAATCTGCAGTCTCGCTCCTGTTTTGTTTGAGTTTGTGTAGTGGGTGCCGCAGCCGCAGGTTTACTGCTAATTTTTAATCAAGTTTCGCCGTTGTATTTTGAAAGATAGCCCTCCCTATATTTTTTACCTTTTATCTCTTCATTACAGATGGGCATTTCTCGGGACCTTACGGTCGTTTCATACGCATTCCTAAACAACGGTCAAAATTATTTTGTAAGCTCTTTACCACTGTCAAAAGCATGTCAGGGACACGTCAATGACAATTATAATCTGTCCAGATAGTTATTCTAAAAACCTTGGTGTATACGCCAGCAGGATGCCCACAGGTTGTCGTCTTGTGGAACTTGCGAGGCAGTGTAAGCTCGGTCTTTCTTTGAGAATGTAGAATGTAGATGAGAAATTCAGTCTTTGCAACATGACTGCTATGGTTACTGTCAAGGTGAGGATGGCAAGGAGGACTGCCTTCAACAATGCTTGGCTTCTTGTGCACCTCGAGCGCGCAGCCAAGCATGATGGAAAACGCATGCTGGAATCTAGCCGCTCTGAGGACACACCGTGCCATTCCAACTTGTCATGCAATGTTGCTTTGTATTTTTACGCAAAATGAAAATTGGCCAACGAACATGCGGGGGTTTATTATGCAAAATGGCACGGCAGTGATTCATTGCGTGTTGTACTGGGTCTGAACCGGACTTGGCATTTTACTGGGAATATTGCGACGACCGCGGCATTAAGTGGTCACTCTGTTTCTTCCTTAAATTACCTTTCTCTCGCATGATGCCTACTTAGTGTTCTCGAAGGTTTCTTCTTTTCTATTTTTCTTTCTCTCCTGCCATAGTTACTTTTCTTGGTGCTCTGTGGCCTCGCTGGTCTTTACTCCTCTAAAACCCAACCGATCGACCGTGTTTCAGGTGTGCCGCATCGTGCGTTGCCGAGAGCATCTGCAGCAGTTCATTGTGGAGTACGGGCAGGGCGACGTGCGGCACTACACTTCCACTGACAGGTGGGTGTCTGCTCCGAACGAGCGTCCCTTTATCGCGAGTTTCCGTCAACTCGCGCGTTCCAGAACTATCGGAGCAACTCTTCAACGCGTCGCCAGTCTTCTCAATCGAAGGGTCAAGTTTCGACGGAAACTTCAGTCGTCGTTGTTGCTCCCGAGCTCGCAGCTACCTGGAATGTGACGATCAAGTTTCGTCGCGAGCGAGCTGAACCGCACGACTTCCACCCCTGTTACGGTGTCTGGAACGCATCTCCGACCGCTGCAATTACCGCATCTTAAAAAGTGGCATCTCGATTTTCACCCGACGACGTAGTAGAGGTGTCGCGTCGTCGCCAGCCGTGATCCAGGCGATGTTACAGTAGGAGCAGTGGTGTTGAATGTGGCATGCACCCGTTCCTCTGCAGATCGCTCTCCGGCTTGGCGGTTCACGGAGGCTTCGGCAGCCGGGAGTTGGAACCGGACAGTGACACTCGCATTCGCTTTTACTTTTTACCGGGACTTCTAGTACCAACCACCAGCATTGTGAAATCTGACAATGCGACACCTTGACTCCCGCGACGTCGTTAGGTGCCACCTCGTGACTGCTTTTGATGTACGGGTGGGATGGGACACTAAGCGCACCGGTCACAGACTCGTCCCAGGCATTGTACTCTCTGCCTTTCCCATTCACGAGTACTTTGGAGGACTTTTGCGGCTCAAAATTCACTTCCTTTCCTCCCGAAAACGGCTGGTCGAGAATTGGTCGGTTTCAGTCGTATTCACTCTCTTTTTCGTGGTCACGTGGCATTCAAACTGTGTGTACTAAATATATTAGAAGTTGTGCATCATCTAAGGGGCACATTTAATATTAAAAAAATAGAAATGAACGCAAACCCCATTTTTGTGGCCTCCAAAAAATTAAAAATACGTCGATCGGAAAATAGACGTTGAGCAGATCACGGGAAGTACATGCACACTTCATTCTCAATGTTTCAACGTACCACGGGCGGGACGGCGCAACGGTGGCACACGACAGACCAACATTGCGGGGGACTTGGGGCCGCTACTTCGGAACTGTCGTTCATGGTAGTACTGACCAATCGATATTCAAGCGCAGAACATCGAGCGGAAGGGATATAAGTGCAAAACAATCGCACGACAAACGATTCACGCAACTTCCTCTTTGTCGTCGTCCGCTTTGCACGCCGAAGAAGCAAGGGAAACAAAAAGCCTCGAAGTACACCTAAGCACTTCCTATGACGTGAATGCGAAAGCATGCAAAGCCGCTTGTTTGCTCCCTTATTTCGTCTGCTGCATACTTTTCGTCGCTGGTCAGCGTGCGCGCTCTCCTGAGCGCGCTGACCTTGGACGTTCCGTGCTAACAGAGCGTTGACAGACACGCAGCGCCATGGGGTGAGCGGTCGTTGAAACTGACGCGCAGCGGCCAATTGGAGCCTCCTAGACGCGTGCCAGCCAATGGGACCGAAGCCAAAAATTTATCAGCTTTACTCTGCTCCTTTGGGATCAGGAATTTTGGTGCTGTTGGCTAGCTTTTTGCGGGGTTTCATAGCTGGGAGCTGGCTTCACTCGGAGAAAAGATTTAAGGTGCCGTTTGGCGTGGCTCGCTCCATGAGACAGTTAACGATTTTGCATTAAAAAGCGGTCTGGTGTAGCCACATGACTTCCTGCCATCTCTCTTCTCTACCTACCTCTTGCCTCGTCTTTACGCATTGCCCACGTGTCTCGGCCATGAGCTTGCGTGCACATGTTTCGGTACCGAGCAGTCGAGTTTTTTTGCTTTATTAAAAATATACGTGACTCTGGAGCAAAATATTGATTGAGTATTATCCTCACACCATACTAATTTCCTCACACCATACGAATTTGTTTGGAAAAAAAAAAAAAATTGTTTCTGGAGGTCGTTGGTGTCTTTTTAAAGGAGCTGTGCAACGATTTTAACGTTGAAAGAATTGGCATTTTCTGCTTTTGATATTGTTCACTGTGTCACAAATGGCAGAAAACACACCTCCTTTCATCGAAATGTTGCGATTCCGCCGCGCAATAGCGAGGCAAAACTTGGAATATTTCCCGACCTGCAGCCACGAGCGGCGGCCATGAGAAACAAGCGGCGTGACGTCACTTGGGTAGTTGTAAAAAGGATAGCAAGTTGTGTGAATACCTGCTCGATAAAAGGTAACTTTTTTATAAATCTTGTCGTTCCAACATATATATAAATGCGTCAAAACTCTGGTATCATCGACAAAACTTTTATTATACAGAGTTTTAGTGGCGCCATCTATCCCAGGTCCACAAAACCGCGAACAGCCGCCAGAAGCCGGAGGGGGAGGGGGACAGCACTGGACAGGCAAGGACGGGTGGTCACGCGGTCGCGAGCGGATGAGTCCTCGCTGCTCGCTGATGGCTCTAAAGAGAGAACTTTTCCGGAACTCCGCACCTACTCAAGTGACGTCACTGTGCATGTGACCCGGAAGACGATGCACGAGTTGAGAGGCGGCAAAAACCTGGATCTTTTTCATTTTTTTTAACAAAAACTAGGGTATCCAGGCAAAATCTGTTATCTGTAGTTCACTACAGAAGTGTCAGGCATCAACTTCCACAATTATTTAAGCAAAGCCCTGAAATTGTTGCACAGCTCCTTTAAGGGTGAGCGTCGTTTACATCGCAGGGATGCCCTTCTGGCCACGGTGCTGGACGGGGTGCGGGCCTCGGGCAACGGCAACGTGCACATGGGGCTGGAGCGGGAGGCGAGGGGCCGCCGGATCGGGCCACCCTGGGCTCCCAGCGAGGAGGACGTCGAGGCCGCCTTCCTGCGCTTCCTGCACCTCCGGCCGCCCTCTGGTATTGGAATGGGCAGAGACTGGAGGCGCCCTGAAATGTGGATGGGGTTTTCGTTTCTTTGTGAAACATCCTTCGAGATTACCAATGCAACCTTCTTTTTTCTGAATCATGTCATCCGGTCATGCTCTACAGTCACAGTGTAATAATTTGGGGGTTTTACGTGCCAAACCGACGAAGGGCACCTGGCATGCCCTGGCGGAGGACCGAGGATTAATTTCGACCACCCAAGAATTTTTGTACATGCAACCGAAATCTTGGTTACATGTTTTTCCCCTTTTCCTCAAGAAGCCTTCGTCAGGTTGCCGGCACCTTGGCCTGGAATCAAAGCCGCCACTTAGGGATCTGTAGGCCGGCACTCTACCCCGTAGCCACCTTAAATTTTCATGTTTATCATTTGGCCCCTGTTTGAAAGTAGACGTTTTTTAATCTTTTTTTTTTCTTTATTTAGTGGTGAAATGAATGCTCCCAGTGATGTGATTGCTGCGCCAAAGTGCGTCGAAGTGCTTACCCCACTACATCTTGCTACATTTTGGCCAAAATGTAATGAATTTGTTCTGACATTGTACCAAAATGGAATTTCACTTTACTAATACTGAAAGTATAGTAGCTGAGGCCCCGCTACACTGCCGGATAATTGCGGTAGGCTTGTGAATATTTGCAAAACTTTAGATTATCGCCTTAGTTAACATACTGCTCGATGTGATCTCTGTGTCAAACACTGTTGTGCAATAGTTCTCGTGTTTGTGGTCTGGTAGGTTAGGTAGCTTCATTGAGTGCGCTTCTCACCATGCAAAGGTGCACGGTGAGTGAGAACTGTGTAGTAGGCATCACAATTTATCGTATCTTGCTTTGCGCGGCGCAGCCACGTGCTAAGGGGAAAGCTCTCCTCCAGAGCGAGGCGTTGTGCACGCAAGCATCGAATATATTAAAAAAGAAAAAAGAACTAAATAAGTACCGATGCAGCAACTCTGCCTTGCAGTAAAAAACTATGATTGCACATGTGGCTAGTAGTATATATGGTAGACTGCAATATTCTGACGAAATTTTTGTTCAAATTCGAGATTTAGCGGCGATACATATGTATTGATGGAAGGTTAATATAGACTTTTTTTATAAGGTTTTTTTTTTTTATGTCAACACTCTGGCTTAGCTACTCTTACTTTTACATAGGTTCCATGTGTGCAACGGCACAGTAAACAAAGTAAATTCATACTTATTCAGCTGGAGGAGCGGATGAAAGCTTGGGAATTGCCTTAATGAGTTTGACTGGGTTGTTTTTGAGACTCGTTAATCTTTCAGACGCAGATTCTTCATTACCATGAACAAAGTCACGCATATAAAATCTCATTGATGTTAATCAAACGACAAAAGCTTTCTTTTTATCTGAATTATTAATTGCAGTTTTAACCTTTATTACAACCCTTCGGACTTCAATGAAACATCAACTTGGGTGCTCAATCTCATTCTGTTCTAAAATGATTTCCACAAAACACACATTTTAGTTTATCTCTGGCTTCGTACCTAAAATAACCATTCACGACAGTTCATACTTTGCGTCATCATTCAGCATATTGCCGTTCCTGGTACCTCTACAGGCAGCAGCCAGTTACATGTTTGAGGGAATCAAACCTGCCGTGCAATTGAGGCTAACCAAAAAGTTACGCAGAAGTGGGAAGGCAAAGTAGACAATGCTTCTTGGTGTACAGGCCAACACATGAATCTTGACGTAAAATATTTGTGGAGGTAGGGATGTGTGGAGGTAGGGAATCCTTCTAACTGCTTCAAAAAATGCTCCAAAATTATTCAGACCAATCACATCACTGTGTTTCCCACCTGCCCCATTGATCCTCATTTTTTTTTTTTGCTTTGTTGCATACATTTGATGTACTCTACATTTCTGTTTTTTGTTCATTGTTATTAGCAAACCTAGGAATCGGTGCTTGTTGCAACTAATGTTTTGACTATCACTACCGTCTTCTTTTTTTTTCTTTTTTCTAGCAAGCTTTTTAAGGGCAGAAACCGCCTGGGAGGGTCAACTTTTGAACCCTTGACTTAAAATTAATGAAATTTACAGAGTAGGCTGGTGGTCATGCTAGAGGGTGCATAACAAAATTTCAGGTCTGTCGGTTAAGTGGGAAGATAACTAGGGCAGCTTCTATCAGCCACACCCCTACATTGTTTAGTTAATCTATCGTCGGAAAACTATCACAATATTCAAGATTTTTATTCGCTAGATATGTAGCAGAATGCCTAGGAGGTGTGTGTATGGAAAGTTTTTCTAAAAAAGTCATTGATTTCTATTAATTTTTTCTTCTGCAAAATTGCTCAACTTTTTGGTCTTCTGTGTCTCCGACAAAATGTCAACATTTTTAATAAAAGACATCCATAAAGTGACAAACAAACTCCACAGGCACACTCCTTATTAAATTTCAGTCAGGAAAAGTGAAGAACGAGCCGTCCCTTTATTGCCATTATCAAACGATAGAATGACTAAAATGAAATTTATACAGTCGAAGCTCGTTAATTCGACTCCCGTTATTTCGATCATCGCGTTAATTCGATCCTTCCGTTTAGCACCGTCAGAAATGTACAGGCTTCAATAGGCAGAAAACCCCGGTATTTCGATCTGATAAATATCCCCAACCCGATAATTCGTCCCGGGAGCCAGCATCTTCGTAACCAGGAAATATTTTTTAAGCTAACACTATAAGTTTAAAGGTTAAAACGGCGCCTCAGAACATAACACGCGTCCCTACCCATTTTGGCAAACAGCCGTTGCAGCGAGCCCGCGCCTGATTGCGACACCTCCACAGACGCGCGATGCCCGGCGGCGCCCCCGACGCCTCGAGCCGGGGCGCGCTCCGCGAAAGAGCGCCCGCGCAGACAGGCGCCCTTTCGCCGGCGCATCGCGCTGGAGAAAGGGCCGATTTGATTAGTCGAGATAAGACCCAGTCAGAGCGCACCGGCCCGATCACGTGGGGAGTCGCGCGGAAGGAGACGGGAGCAACGAGAGGGAAATGAGCGAGCGATGAAGTGAGAAAGAACGTCGGGAGGATGGAGAAGGAGACTGGAAAAAAATGAGCGAGCGATGAAGAGTGACCGTGCTGTCACGCGGTTTCTGGTTTCTGTTCTTTGGAGTGCGCGGCGTTTAACGCTCATACCGGAAAATGTCGAAAGAAAAGCGAGGAAAGTACTCTTGAAATGATTTAAAAACAAAAGTTGACATACTCAACGAAGTTAGGGAGGGAAAATTGACCAGAAAAGAAATTGCCGAAAAGTATGAGTATGACCTCAAGAAAAGCACGCTTGCTACCTACATTAGGAATGAAGCAGCAATCGTGAAAGCTTTTGACGAAGAGCAATTTGTGAATTCAAGAAAACGCCTTCGGAGTGCAGCCCATCCAGAACTCGAAGAAGCCGTTTACAAATGGGTGACAGAAGTAAGAACGCACAACCTTCCGATGACTGGAGACATGATTCGCGCAAAGGCTCAACAGTTCAGCGAACGTTTGGGCATCGAGGGATTCCGTGCTTCCGAGGGATGGCTCGCGCAAGATTCAGGGAGAGGCACTCTCTTATTTTTAAGCACGTGTGTGGTGAAAGAGCCGATCTGGATGAAGATTTGTGTGAAAACTGGAAGACGTCGGAGCTCGCACGTATTCTTGCGGAGTATGCGCCAGAGGACATATTCAATTGCGACGAAACGGCGTTGTTTTTCAAAGCTCTCCCCGACAAAACGATAACGTTCAAAGGGGATCCTTGCACTGGGGGAAAACGCAGTAAAGAGCGGGTGACCGTGCTCGTGGCAGCCAACATGACAGGCACGGAACGTCTGCCTCTTTTGGTGATCGGGAAATCCAAGACGCCACGATGCTTTCGGAACATCCCGCGGCTTCCAACGGACTACCGTTTCAACAAAAAAGCATGGATGACACGTGAGATCTTTCAAGATTGGCTCCAAAAATTGAACCGCCAGTTCGCGTCCAAGGGGCGCAAGGTCGGGTTAGTAGCGGACAACTGCAGTGCGCACACAAAAATGCCGGAGCTGTCTATGATCCGCCTGATTTTCCTTCCACCCGCAACCACCTCACTCTTGCAACCAATGGATCAAGGAATAATCAAACACCTGAAAGGCTTGTACCACAAGCATCTCATGGCAAGAATATTGCTTTGTCTGGACCAGGGTAAGCGCTATGAAGTCACTCTGTTGGCGGCGATTCATATGCTTGTTAAAGCTTGGACGGATATGCCAAGCCAGGTCATCGCGAACTGCTTTTGTCACTGTGGTTTCTCGTGTGATGGAAATACCGCGAGTTCGACGACTGCATCGGCTACTACGTCTACATCGGCAACTGCATCGGCTACAACATCGGCAACCACAATTGAAGATGAAAACTTTGACGAAGAGTGCAGTGCTCTAATGTCCACTCTACCCGAAAACGTTAGTTTCGATGATTACGTTGCGATAGATGATGGAGTGCTTGTGTACGGTCAATTGACTGACGACGAAATCATCGCATCGGTTCAGCGTCCCGAGGGTCAGGAGGACGACAGCTGCGAGAGTGACGCCGAAGAGCCGCCGCCACGCCCATCTCCTGCCGAAGCATCCGCTGCGCTCGATGTACTTGCGAACTTCGCAACGTTTGAAGACACCGACGGGACGATGTGGCAGCACTTTGAGGATATGCGGAAATTTGTTTTTGCGAAGCGTCTGACGGGAATGCGGCAGCAGAAAATATCGGCGTTTTTTTCGAAATAAAACTCCGTCGTCGCGGTTGGCTTTTCGCCGCTTCTCGTGACGTACGTCGTTACTCGTTTTTGATCGATATTCGATAATTCGACTCTTCGATAATTCGATCTATTTTCGAGGAACCGTCAGAGTCGAATTAACGAGCTTCGACTGTACCAAAAAGTGGAATGGAGAAAAATGCATTCCAAGTGCTCCAAACCCTACCTTTTCTTTAGCTTCGGTGGGCAGAAAATAATTTATAAAAAATTAGCTATGCAGTGTAAACTAGTGAAAATTTCTGGGAATACTCTGGATGTAGATGTATGTAAATATGTAATTTTTCAAAATCAATGTTTTTTGCAGAATTTTTTTTTTTCTGGGTAGTATCCTTCCTTAAATGATTTAGTTTTGATTATTGTCTTCATTCGAATTGCCTATTCACTTCAAGATAAAAAGGGAATTTCTTTTAAACAATATTTTTCAGAAAACTTTGCTGGAGGGTACTCCAATGCAACTATTTGACCTTAAATAAACAACTTCTACTTTAACTTTTAACATAGCTTTTTTAGCGCCTGTGTTGCTTTGAAAAAGGTCACGTGTGTCCCTGGACGGTCTCAGCTGCCTTCTTTTAGTGCCATTTCCCTTGCACTGCAGCTGGCTGGAGCAACCGGGAGCTTCTAGAACGCTTCAACAGCAATGTGCCTTACAGTGGGCTGCTACACACAGCCTCCAAAGAGGTGAGCACTCTGAAAGGACATCGATGGAAAGGCCTCGAGGCACGGGTCTCGCAGGTGCCTTTATGTCAGAGGCGTCTAACCTGTATTTCACCATCGTCATCACTTATTAAACCCCAATGGCCCATATGGGCATCACACAAGGTGTGAAGAGTTGCAGAACTTGCGTGAATGCAGACAAATACAAATGGAGAAAAAGTTAGCACTGAGATCTTGTTTTTCAAGACATCAAACTCTGTCACCCAAAAATAAATCTAAATTTGCTAAGAGTAGAACATTTTGGAGTACAGTGTAGACCGCATATAACGTATGTCGCGGGAGTCGCGAAAATCCGCACTATAAGCGGTACCGCACTATAACCAAAACATCAATTTTTCAGGCCAAAATACATGCCATGAGACAACTTACACTTGTGAAAAGAATTTATTTTATGTTAGATGAAAAATAAAGCTTAGTTTGAGGAAAGTCGTTATTTCACCTGACTAGTACAGTTCCGTCTCAAGTGTGTTACACATTTTGAAAGAAATGAGCAGCTTTTGCCTGGCGCAGCCTTTTAACGGCGTCGCGGGTTGCGGACGGACGTTGAGAGCGTTCAGGATTGCTAACCCTAATCACTTTTCTCCGGAGATGAAAACGCGTGAAAATTCGCATCCTTCACACGGAACGCGCCAGTAATACCTTGAACTTGAGCGCACGCATGAAATGCGCCAAATAAGAAATCCGGGCGATGTTCGAGGACACAAATGCTTAGAAATCACCACTGTAGTCGAAGTAAACAAACACGACGACACGGGCGTTTCTGCCGTCTTGAGAGCGCCGCCACGACATCGCCGCACGGGTAGGTGGATCTTCCCTTCTAGTACGTGCTGGGTTATCATAGCGACACACAACGAAAATTCACAGTCAAGGATAGCGCTTTTACGCGGAACGATGAGATGAACGCCGCCTACGACGACGATCACAACCGACGCCGTGTTTGCGGATAGAAGCAGCCGACCCGCGACCGGCATGTAACGCGCGCAACACTTCTCCTCGACCTGCGATTGGTCTGTCGCTGCGGTTGTTTGTTTCCAACGCAGCGGAGGGACGCACGCACGTGAACGACACGTGCGTGCGTCCCTCCGTCGCTATGGCAACTGAAGCCTTTCGCTTCTTCCCGCTTCTTCGAGCAACTCGGCCGACTCGGCTCTGGAGCAACTGCCACGCGAGTGCCGCTTGCTGCTCGCGCCGTCAGTGCCGTTATCTAGTGTCGCACAGGGAAGCGCGCTCGCTGCTCCGGTCGTCGGCGCGGCCGGCGGGCTGTTCGAGAAACCGCACTATAACCGGTATTTCCCTTCGCGCGCCTGCATTTTAAGCGGTATGTAATTACATGGAGTTCTATGGGAGACGAACCGGTGGTTTAAAAAAGCCGCGTTATACCCGGTCCTGCACTATAAGCGGTTACGTTGTAAGTGGTCTATACTGTATGTCATTCTCAAAAGCTTGGGACTGCTGTGCTGAATAACTGTGTTTACTAAATTGTATTTGTAACATGTTTATGCTATTTTTTGTTTTTCAACTCATTTATGCAAAAGGCAGAATGCAACATTCAATTGAGGCACAGCCATGGGTAGGGACTTCTATACATAGTGAGATCCTTCCAGCCGCAATGTGACGTCGGGTCGCTCTAGTCTTTACCCTGTGGAAGGCTTGTACTGCACATGATTTTGCTTGCTTCCAACGTGAAACATTGTGACACGGAAGTATTCCTCGCTTCAGCAGGATCACGGCAGAAGTGTTCCGCAATGGGAGCTCCACTTACGAGCCCCATATATCAGGATCTCTCCTATCTTAATGGAATTTGTAAGAAGGGAACTCTAGACTGACAAACTGTCTGGGTAGGCCGTGGTCGTGCGATCTGTATTCTTGCCTTAAAAATCTGTCTCGGTGCCTCCGCTGCCTTCTTGCCCCCTCTTTTCCCTCTTTCCATTGAGAGGAAATTTCACCATTTAAAAGTTGGAAGCTGCGAGCATTGGATTCTTTTTTTCTTTCTTTCTATGACTGACCTCTGAAGCGTTGGAATAAAACAAATAAAATTTTTAGATTACAGAACTGTTCGTATAAAAATTATGAAGGCTCAATCATGCTGACAAAACCAGATTTTGTGCTGGAATGTTTTATTTTATCTATCTTATTTTTACTTTATTATCTTATTTTTATTAATTAATTTTTTTATTTGTTATTTATGTTTAATATTTTTATATTATTAATTTTTTTTTATCCAAGATTGTCTGCCGTTGCCAGCATCTTTTGCACGCAAATGAAAACATTCATCCCTTCAGACCATGTGTGCTAGTAGCTAAGTGGCTATAGTATCCGTCTGCCACTGCATCGACCTAGGCTCAAGCCTCACCGGGGGTTTGGACTTTATATATTAACTTTAGATATAATAATAATGATATTGCTCTATTTCTTTAGTGCCCCAAAACAATGGTAAGGTTTTAATGTAAAAACGCACACATAGAAAAAAAAAAAGAGTGACTCATTGAGACACTGTCCTAGGCATGATACAGCAGCATATCAAGATCACGCTTGAAGGGAAATGAAGTCACGAAAAATATTGAGACATGGTGATGCTACGTCGTTAGTGAAATTTGCACGCAAATTAACGGTGGCAGTGTGTTCTTCGAGGACATATAGAATACATACTGTATTGTTTTCTACAGATAGCAGGCACGTGAAAATGGACAGAGGTTAACAGGTCAGCATGACATTGACCGTAGATCACTTTGTGTAAAAATAAAATATCACGCGAGAGTGTATGCGTCAATAAATTTTCTAAGTGTTAAGAATATATTCATAATCATAATAACACCTATTAAAATGCCAGTCATACACTCTGTGAGCAAAACAGTGCCGTACGGTTTCAATTCGTGACGTATCGGAGGTCGTCGGAGAGTTCCATATCACAGTACCAAACTCGAGTTTAGTACGTACTAGACAAAAAATAAGCGAACAATGCATTAAGCATTCTTAAAGTCACGAGACAAGCGAGATAACAAACCCAGCATTTGCATGGAAGAGGAGACAATTTGTGTGACATGATAAGAAAAAGAAAGTGTGGCATCAAAGATCCCAAGGTCACAAACCACGGTGACTTGTGTGATAGTGGCAGACAGGAGTACTATGGAAGTGTAAGATAATATATCGCGTTTTCAAGACATTGACAGAACTTTTGTTTTGCTTGGATTTAGATGCTAAAAATTTTCAGAACACAGACTGTCTTGTAAACGACTGCAGTTGTAGGATGACTGTACACGCTCAATGTCTAAGGATGACTGTACACCCTTACTGTCTGTCTTAGACATAAGGATACCCTTAATGTCTGTGACGCTACTCACTATGACGTTCATTTATGACGCTTGTTCACAATAATTTTCTTAAAGAAAAAGCTGCATAAAACGCACTCTGTGTTAAAAAAAAAAAAAATTTGCAGTTGTATTTTTTTTTACCTATTGATCAGACCGTCGTATGCAGAATCACATTTTTAAAGCAATGCAGCGGACGCTAACTCTGGTCTCGGCCTTCTAGCGACGCAATGTCGTGTCTAGCATTGCCACAATTTCCTATAGTAACATTTTTTTAACGCAGAATGTGTTTTACGAGTCATTTTTTTTTTTAGAAAATCGTCATGATTGAGCGTCGTGGCGAATGTCATGAACAATTCACACGCTGGGAGGGTTATAGATGTTAAGGTTATATAGAAAGTTTGAGCCCCGGCGGTTCCCGAACCGGGGTCGGTGGGCTGACAGTCGGATACTGCAGCCGCTGAGCTACTGGCACAGCTGGTCTGGAAGGTTAAATGATTTTATTTCAATGCGAACATGCCGGCCAGAGCGGCAAGTTTTGGATGAAAATAATAATAGTGAATAAAAATGAAATAAAAGAAATATAATAAATAAAAATATTAAATAAATAAAACATTGAATTAATTAAAATAAATGAAGAACATTATACGTAAACATAACAAATAGAAAAAAAAAAGATAATAAAAAGAATGAAAAATTTATTAAACGATGCACGGAGTCAGTTTTGTGCGATACGCATTGTATTCTCCCTGGTCTTCGTCGGCATGATCAAGCCTGGAATATTTTTCTCTAAGCTATCGATCTGGCGAAGTTTTCTCTAAGCGTCTCGAAGCCCTTTGTCCTGTCTCTTCTGCTGTCTTTTTTTCTTCCTTAGCCTCTTTTTTCTTTCACACTCCTTGTGTCGCTGTTCGAGCTCATGGTGCAGCTGTTTGGCAGCCAGCCAACTTTCTTGAATTATGGCCGCCGCGTCACGCTTAACCTTTCAAGACTAAGTCGAAGATAGCTTCGATAGGAATGCATTTCTGCATTATAAATGTGACTCGGTCCACCTCAGTCAATTCAACACCGAGGGGTCGCGTCAAACTGGGTTGGATTATCCTAAGGTCAAAGGATGCATGCAAAGTGCACATCAAATTTTATTTTCCTTCGTTAGAGGTAAGCTGTTATGGTTGCCTGCACTTCGGCTCATAATATTGCCTCGTACAAGCATTTTTCCAGCATTGAAATGTACTCCATAGCAAACTGTGTGCTACCTTCGTGCACCGAGTGTCGCTTCAAAAGGCGCTGTCTCGTCTTTTGCCCCGTTCCCTCGATCTCGAACCCCCGGGACGTTCCAACGGGTTGACTGTGTGGGTTTTATTTGGGTGAAATGAGTGGAGGATGGGAGGGAGCAAGAGGCACCATCTTCATTGTAGTCCAACTCTGTCTCCCATTGGATTTGCACACAAAAGCTTCTGTTAGGCTTTTCCGGTGATGGCTAGAGCGACCATGGTAGAGATCGCACGCTCGTCTTTGGAGATGCGGAGTACTTCATAATTAAAGATTTTTTTACAAGCAGAACAGAGGACAAAGTAATTGTAGACATCAAATCTGTTCTAAAACGCCTCTAAAAAAAAAAAAAAAAAAGTGCTAGGAAAGTGGTTAGTGCGGCTCAACCGACACTCCGAGATTATCAGAAGATGACGCCAGTACCAGACGAGGCTTCACCAAATCTGCGTTCTATCTTAGATCTTGCCCTCGACGTATAAATTTCTTCACTTTGGAATGCTTGCCCTGGGAGCCTATTGGTCTTGATCATGGGTTCTCAAGCTGGGTTCCTAGGAACGCAGGGGTTCCCCGGAGTACTCTCGTGTGGGTTCCCGACATTCCTAATTTCCTCGACCATCTCCGCCCCTATTGTAGCGGATCTAAGCCAAGCACTGATTCATAACTATGGGCTGGCCAACCACTCTCTAGTGCAGGGATGCACAACATACGGCTCGCGAGCCGCATGCGGCCCGCAGGCACTTTCTGTGTGGCCCGCGGCCCAGCTGAGCGCAGAAACCGCTCACCGTGTCATTCAATTCACTGCGGCCGTTGACTTGGCAGAAAGCATTCAAACCCGTTGACCTACTTTTCTCAGAGTCCCCTTTTCTGGGGGGAAACATTGCGTTCTCAATTCAAATATTTCCTCTCCACTAGACTCACAGAAAACAACAATACAAAAGTCTGTACAGCCATCCAGTGCGTTGTTATGACCCGACCCCGCGTCCCTGTGTTTGTGAGTGTTCCAGTTCTTCTTCATCCCGTTTCCTCCTCCCTCTCTCCACAGAGGCTACAGCCCTCTCCCCTCCTGTTGGGTCATGATCAGTGACAGGTTGTTGCAGATAGAAAAAAAGCTAGTCGTGCCGTGCTTGGAATATGAGTGCACTTCCAAAGAAGAGAAAAATCGACCAGGAGGGCCAGAAATTCAACCAAGAGTGGACATGGGGGCACTTTTTCATTGAGAACGCATCAAAGTACTTATATCTTGTGTGTCGAGAGTCTCTCGCGGCTCCTAAAGAATACAACGTTCGACGCCACTACGAGACCAAACATGCCCGCGACTTCAGCACTCTTTCGGATTCGAAGAGAAAAACAAAGTCCGAGGACTTGAAACGGAATTTGCTTGCTGAGCAAAGTATTTTTACGAAAGCAAATAACACATCTGAAGCAGCCACGTGGGCGTCTTTTCAGATATCTCAACAGATCCCTCGTTCAGGTCGTCCGTTTACTGATGGCGACTTCATCAAGGAATGTTTTATGATTGCTTCTGAGGAGATGTGCCCGGACAAGAAGTTGGTTTTCCAAAACCTGAGCCTATCAAGAATGACAGTACAACGACGTGTGCATGAAATTGCCGACGACCTATCAAAAACAGCTGAAGAGGAGTTGCAGTCATTTTGTCTACTACTCTCTTGCTTTGGATGAGAGCACAGACATCAAAGACACAGCACAGCTGCTTGTTTTCATCCGTGGTGTGAACGAAAATTTCGAAGTGACTCAGGAGCTGGCAGAGCTTTGCTCAATGCACGGACGGACTACGGGAGAAGAGATCAGCAAGGAGGTCAAAGACGTCATCGAGAAGCTCAAGCTATCATGGGAAAAACTCGCAGGTGTCTGCCCCGATGGAGCCCTAGCCATGATGGGAAAGAGAAACGGAGCCGTTGCCTTACTTCATGCATCGGGAGTCTCAGCTGCTTGACTTGTACAGAAGCCTTGATAGGAGCAAGTTTGGAAACCTTGTGGACCACGGATTGAAGCTTGCATCACTTTAGCACGTATGTCTGTGAGCAGACGTTCTCACTGATGACCCTCAACAAGATCAGTCTTCGATCTTCTATGACGGACATGACACTGCAAGATGTGCTGAAGACGGCAACCAGTGCGATGACGCCAGACATTGAAAACTGTCTGCAGCAAAAAGGTGTAACGTGCCACACTAGGTGCGGCCCGCACAGTTTCCAATAAACAATTTTTGGCCCGCTTCTTTTTTGAGTTGTGCACCCCTGCTCTAGCGTTTAGAGACCCGTTTGCTCCTGTACTGCTTTATTGCATCAATGCTGAGACGGGGAAGGGTTTTCCAGCCATCAGTCGAGAGATACGGGGGCTCCTTGGTATTGAAAAGTTTGAGATGGTCTGTTCTGGTACTCCTGAGGTTTGACTGCATTGTGGGAGCGTCAGTGTCGACCCTTGCGGGGTCCCTAAGGAGGGTCTCTTTGTCCGCAGGGCTTTTTCTCCGAGAACAAGGAGAAGCAGGTGCAGAATGGGCTGGTCGCCATCCTGGACTGGGACAGTTCTCAGCAAGAGGACCTGGAGCCACTATTCCAGGCAATCAGGCGGCTGGTGGCCTGCAGGGCAGGCTTCGCCGCATTCACGCAGGTCCCCAGGCAGGTGTCCTGCCTGGTTCACTGGCAGCACCGTGCACGCAACTCGTATTTCATTGCTTGAGTGATCCTTGCCGTGTTCTTCATTTCTATTTTTTATTTATTACGTAAGTGGGTCCAGTGGAATAGGTAAAAAAGGAAGGGAAAGTTAGCATGCACATCCAGCATCATGACAATCAATACCGCAATCAGGGGAGAATGCAGGTCTTACCGGAGGTCAGCGTATCAGATATTTGAGTAAAGACGTCTCCCCCACCTCCCCTTTTCCCCGACCAAAATGTTTTCATGTGCGGAATTCAAGGGGGGAGGGGGGTCAGGACATCCTGACCCCCCCTCTTAATGCACCACTGGCCATGATCACGAGGCAGACGCCACTATTAATGCGTCAGCATTGGTACCTACATGACAGCGAAAAGCTGACGTGATCCGTCTGCAGACAAAACGGCGGAAAGGGAAGCGCGCCGCGTAGACAGGAGGAGAGCATTGAAGGACAAAGGCGAGAGGGAGGCGACGTCACAAGGCGGAAGCCAATGCACACGCGGGAAACCGGTGAACAGGGAAAGCAGTGCCAGGCAGCGGATGCCGCTGCTAATTAAGCGTGCAAGGCGGGAGAACGAGACAGATGAGCGGACGCAGCATCTAGCTCGGCTGGCCAAAATGCGGCGCAAGAAGCGGCAAGTTGACGCGGGTCTGCCTTTGACAGGCTGGGGCGAAGCAGGCTCTGCGCTTCACCAGAAAAAATTTAAGGACAATTCATGGGTGGATTTTTAGGGAATGCGTTAGCATGGCCCTTGTGAAACGCCGCCGACGTCTCCCTTTGGGAAACGCCAACAGTGACCCCATAACGAAGCCAAAAAGGGGCAGCAAAAAGTAGCGGAAGCAGTAGAGAAAGCCAAAACAAAAAAAAGTGAAGGGGGCGGCATTAGCGTTTCCCAAAGGGGGACGTGTGTGGCGTCTGCCAAGGGTCGTGCTAATGCATTCTCTAAGCATCGACCAATGGATCTTCCTTTAATTATTGGATGCGGCAAGTAATCGGATTTTACCCTTATGCTCACACGAAACGTGTAACGTGAGTATCAAGTCAGTTTACACAGTGCCAAAACTAGGTGACAGTTATAAGTCTTAATCTTTTACAAAAAAAAAAAATAGATAGATACAAAGAGTGGAGCGAGCATACAGTACAAAACGTTAAAAAAAGTTCACCGACATACTCAAGTTTAGATAAGTTTCTAACCATGTTCTTGGCGCATTGCACCCCCCAACCCTCAACCAGCTCGGTCAGTGGTGGAGACTCTGAACGGCCATCAAAGGCAGCACGGCTCTTGAAACTACCTAGCAGAAGGTTCTGGAAGTTTGCATACGGCTCGGCACATGTAAACAGATCCGAAACGCTAGAAAGACTGCAAAGAAGGCGACAAAAATGACTTGGATAATACGTTTTTATGCTTTGAGGGATGATATTTCTGGATAAAGTACACAAAATGAGTACTATACCTTACTTATGCAATGGCATACTGATGGTAAGATACCCATGTGCAGATTGTCGTACATAATTGTCATTCTGCTACTAAACTGAGCTGGAATCGGAGCGGAGGCTCTAAAGGGACTACGAGACAATCCTGGGTTTGAAAACTGCACACGTTACATGCTCATGTATTTTTTTTTTTAAATAAATGTATCGCACAAGCATACTGGCACAAGTGTGACACAAGCATGCTCGCACACAGCTGCCAAGCAAGAAGGTTTCTTACTGCAGTGCAATTTTAAGTATAGAAGTGAACTATCTTTTACAGCGTTAGCTCTTATGGGCCCTTCCCACCTCTGGAAATAATGTCCATTGTTGTTGTAGTTGTTAATGTTGTTGATGCTGTAGTTGGCATGATAGGGCATGGGGCATCTGCCATTGATATTGCCAACTGCTTAAAAAGGAATGCCTATCGCTGTCAGGACTCTATCCTGGGTCCGCTGAGAGTGAAGCGGGCGCGTTACCACAAAGCTGTACCACGGCCTTGCCAATCTGCTTGATATACAATATTTGTGGAGCAAACATGTGCGTACGAGAATTGTGTAGTGCCCGCTAGATGGCCACAGTTGTTGCGATGTCGCCATACAAAATTCCTCGTTATTTTTAATTCCAAATTTAATCAAAGTTGAGGGAGGACTTAACTTGGGAATGTCAACTTTTGAACCGCCCACTCATTTCGCATGAAATTTGCACGCGGTGTTTGAAGCCATATAGGAGGTGGGCATGCAAAGTTTCAGCCCTGTGAACCAATTTTATGAGGTACTACACCTTCAGAACAAAGTAAAGCATAGCTTGGCATGGAATTCGCTCAATGAATCTGTCGTTGCGAAATGCTGTTGATAACCAGATATTTTTCTGGTGGAATGGATATTGGAACATGTGTTGCCGGTTACTATGAAAAGAAATTTCACGAAATATGCATGTTCCAGCTAAAAAAAAGAAATTAAGATATATTTTTTAATTATTTATCTAGTTTTGCAGATTACAATTTTTCGTAATAAATAATTATGAAAATGCAAAATCTAAGTTTATAGTGACTGGCTCCATAAAAGTTTGGTATATAATCTGCCAAAATGAAGTCAGTTTCATAGTGAACCGATAGATTTACTAGGTGAACTTCGTGTCGTACAATTGAACGGAGAAAAACGGATTCAAAAGGCTCAAACCTCTACCTTTTCTTTAGCATTAGTAGGCTGAAAATAAATGATACAACTATGACTACACAGTTTAAACAATTCTAACATCCTGGGAAAACTCTCTAGATGTTGGTGAATGTAAATATGGCATGTTTCAAAATAAACTTTTTAGCAGAATTTTTTTTTCGAGATAGTGTTACCTCTAATTGTTGAAATCAAAAGTTTCGGCTAAGTGGTGCGAACCGTCGCCCGGTTAAAAGGGTTTAGGCATATTTATTCATCTGGTACCACCTAGAAGACGGGCCTGCACATTACGTCATTGTTAGTCGATCCCTGAGGCGCCCCAAGCAGCAAACGTGCCGAAACTTGATCAGAGTATGGCTCAAAGTGGCAGACACGCGGTCAAGCCACCTTGATAGTTCCGAGATAAGGTGCAGGCTTACGGATTTCCGGCTGATGGGATCGAATCCCAGTCAAGGTCCGTGCAATCTGACAGAGGCTCGTTGCGAGTAAGGTGCGGCGTAACCATACAGTCGAAATTATAACCCTTGATCTTCCTTTGGAGCGTGCCAGATGCCCCTCCTCGATCTGGCTCGTAAGACCCTCAAGTTCAACTCAATGTGGCGCGGTTTCTATCAATTGTACCGTGTCGCATTGTGCCATGCGGCACCGGGACGTGCAGCGTTGGTGTGGCACGGGGATTTTTAAGCGCGAATTCGATAGAACTTTAAAAAATAAAAATTTCTAATCCTATTGCGAGAGGTGACCGGTGTGGCCATTGTCACGGTGCAAATTGCAGGGTGCGCGAGCGCATCGGCAACCTGGTGGTGAAGGCCCTCAAGCGAGACGACCCGGGGGTGACCTATGCAGCTGTCGACATGCTCTGTGCCCTGATGCAGGTCAGGGGCCTCTGTGCTCTTTCTCCTTTCTTGTTCCTCTCGAGACGGACACATTCCCGTTGCATTGGCTCGGTCGGTGCACACAACGGTGAGCGTGGGAAGAAGTTGGGCGTGCTCTAGTAGGTGCTTAATGAGTGCCGTCACCACAAACCCTGAGCCATATGGGTTCGCCAACCCAAGCCTGGCTGTGCATGGCTTAAACCGTGTCCAGAGAAAAGGGGATTCTGGTGGTTGAGCCAAGTCCGGGGCATGTTTAAACCCTTCGGGGCCCCCCTGGCGGGGCAGTATACCACTTCGGCCCCTGCTTCTCGTAGACGGGTGTCTTGGCTTGGCCCGACCGGAATGGTTCAGTGAGTCGCCTTTCTCCACCTCTCCTTTCTTCAACTTTCTTTTCTTTCTCATCTTCCTTCTTATTTCATCTTTGGCGGCAAGGGCTAACCTTAGGTGGTGAGAGATGCCCTCTTCCAGATCCACACTTGGTTATAGTTTCTTGGCAGCACTGGCAGCCGTAATATCCCGAGTCATCGCCCACCCCCCTACCGCCTGAAATTCATTAAAAGAGTGGGGTGGGCCATGACTTGGTGGGTGAGCACAAACACTTGAAAAAAAGCGGAAAAAACCGCCTATTTTTCTTTGCGTATCTAGCGCTGATGCACAAGAGATACATCAAACTCAAAACTCGATTTAGTTTCATTGTTTTATAGAAAAATATGCTCACGAAAGAATATTTTACTTTAGCGAAGTCCGTTGCTTGCATACGCGCTAGAAACACCGCCGATCTGCATATAGCGCGAACGTTTGTTCCGTGAAAGAATGTCACCACTATGTTCTCCTAGTTAGTAAAAAAAAGAAAGAAAAGCCTACAAGAAAATAGAAAAACCGACCAGGCGCAACGAGCGAGCGAGCGAGCGGACCAAAGAAGCGACCAAGAGCAATGCTGGGAAAGCAAGAAAGCCCGCGGTCGCGTTGGCAAATACTTTGGCGTCGGGCTAAGTCGGGCGCCTTGTCAATTGCAAGCTCTTGCGCAACTTTCTTGTTTGGTGCGTACATACGTGCGTCCGTACACGGCGGGCTATCAATGCACGGTTGGGACGCTCTGCAAACGTCAGTGTGGGGCGTTCCAGAAAAGCTTTATTTACGCGTTGGCTTTGCCTAAAATATTGCACAACCGCGGTCGCGACAAGCGGGAAGAAGGAGCGGGATCGCGGTGACCTTACTTCGGCAGAGACAGACTTTGACCTAACACTCCGCGGTTACATTAACAAACTCTTATTTTGTTATCTCCATCGTTTTCTTTTCGGACGGATGCACGACCACTTTGGGGTCGCTCACGGAGGAAATTCGTAAACAAAAAGAAGTGTCTTTCCCTCCTTCGTTTTACTATGTCACGAACGTCCTCCAACTATAAGGTCCGCGGCCGCGTCATTCGGGTAGGATGAGTGTTCGCGGATCGCTGAGTCCGCGCTGGGGTATTTGAAGGGGTGGGCGATGACTCGGTGTTTTTTCGGAAATCAATATTGGCCCAAAAAATGGGGTGGGCGATGGCTCCGGGATGGGCGATGACTCGGGATATTACGGTAGCTGTGTCAGCCAAGCCACTCCTGTTATGACACATTACTTATCCCCTTCTTTGGTTCAGTGGTGGGCGGTGCACCACAGATTCTGAACATTCTTGGCATTCTTATATGGCTGCCTCCTCTTTTAAACCCAACACTGTGCGCCCCTCTAAAAGGTATTGCTCCGTACTTACTTTAGAAAAAGCATCTGAACCACCAAAGTTCCCAAGATTTCTTGTCCGTCAAGCCCTAGATGAAGAAGAGCCTCTGTTTAAGCTCTCACCTTTCCTTGTGTCTCAATGCCTTGATGCCATCATTGGGAAAGCCTTCAAAGCAAAAAAGCTTTCTGGTAATCTTCTTGTCAAGGCCCAAACAGAAGTTCAAAGCAGAATGCTTCTGAAACAGACATGTTTGGGCGGACACCAGATGAAAGTCAGTTTGGCTCAGCTAAAGCATCGGTATTGAAAATGTTAGATCCTATTCATATTCAGGGGCTGCGGCTGTCTGTCGGTGCTTTCTGCACTTCCCCGGTTTCCAGCCTTTATGCAGAGGCCAAGGAGTTTTTTCTTAAGAAAATATGTTTTGCCTTAGGATTTATGTATTCACTCCGAGTAAGGTCTCTTCCTCTCCATCCTGCAGATGACCTTGTTGTAAAAATTAGGTTTCAAAGGACTTCCCAAAATAAGCCAAGTTTTGTTCCTTTTTATGCCTTGAGGAATACTATGCCAGCAGAACTCTTTGGCCTTGAGCCCAAACACTGCGCGTTGCAATACAGAAGCACTGTAGTTGCTTTGGGTTACGCTAGCCATTTATTGTGATTTTACACTCACAAAACAGAGTAAGAAAGACACTCCGAACGAAGTGCAAGAGTTTTTTTAACTGCAGGGCCACTATCAGCACCGCACGAGCCTTTACACAAATGGTACCAAAACTGAATCCTTTGTGGGCTGTGCAATGATTGGACCGTCTGTTTGCAGTGTAAAAAAAACTCGACCCCTCTGCCACAATTTTAACGGCAGAGTTGCACAGTCTACTTCCTGCTGTTAAATATAAGAAAAAGCTTTGTCGCTCCATGGTACAGACACCCTTTAAGCTGATGAAAAGCTCTTGTCTCATTGAAAATGCCCACAAACTCCTTTGTTTTCCTGCCTTCAGGGTAAACTAGGTAATCTGTGCAATCAAAAACAGATGTGATATTATGTTCTGTTGGGTACCAGGTCACATTGGCATCTTGGATAATGAGGAGGCAGATCAGACTGCACGCTTTGCTGCCACACAAATTGTGGACCCCAAAGAAATTTCTCTGAAGGATTTCCATAAAATGGTTAAACACTGCACACTGCAGAGATGGCAACATGAGTGGGATATTGAGATAAACAAGAAGTTGCATATGGTGAAGCATTTCTGGAAGGAATGGGAGAGTGCCTGGCGCCGTGAACAATTTTACGGGTGTTACTCTGCCGTCTAAGGATTGGCCATACACGGCTCACACATGGGCGCCTTTTTCATGGTGAAGATGCCCCGGAGTGCAAACATTGCCATAGTATTTTGACTATACTTCATATTCTAGTTGAATGTAATGCATATGACCTAGGATGCTGTAACCACTTTTCACAGCTTTGCAAAGAGCATACTCCTCAACATCTGATGATTTTACTTGGCGATGAACCTCTCATTCTACACTCTTACACTCCTGTGTTTTTAATTCCTCAAAGCAATTAGCCTTCTACACTGACAGTGATTTTACTTTATCTTTTGTCATGTCCATACCTTTTACACTTATACAGAGATCATGTCCATTGTTTTACCCTACTATTTGCCACTAAAGCTTTTTTTTTTCCTCAACCCTCTCCCAGCAATAGTGGATGCACCTGGTGCATTATTGCCAGATGCTTTTGCACTGCTAAAACCCAATCAATCAATCAATCAGCCGGAAACAAGACTAGCACTCATGTTCAATTGGTGAGGAGACGAGCGTTGCACTGGCATTTGGTTGGCATTAACGTTTCTTTGCGTTAAAAAGACAGTTACTGAAAATAGTCGCGGAGAGGGAGTACTTTGTGCCAAGCGATGAGCAGAGAATGAGTCTTGAGCCATTTTCTGTCTGTGAATTGCATCGCAGCCAATGCACGACAATGGAGACCTTTACCAAGAGCAGATGAACAAGACAGCCTTGCTGTCATCCAAGCCGTTCCTCGAGTTACTCATGTCACTGCTGGTGCATCACGTGGTAAGTCCCTTTCTCCTCTCTCACTCGAACTCACTCGAGCTCAGTCCTCATTCGCTCTCATGCAGACTTGCCTCTCGAGAGTGGTACTTGTACTTTACGCTCTTGGGTCTTCTGTCCCATCACATCTTGCGCTCCGCATGTCTCCTTTCATGCGCCTTGCCCTTTATATTCCATGTCCGGCCAAGCACTGAGCGGCCATGACAATGCACATGAAGCTCAAAGTGTGTGAATCGAGAAATGTGAAGCATGAGATATAAACCCTTTTACTGTTTACAAATATGAACTGCCGCTTGCATCCCAAGCGACTTAAAACGGACAACGAAGTTGGAGATTTATTGAGGGCCTTCGGTTGTACAATGTAACATCTTGGAAGAGATTTACAAGAATATTCGAAAAGTTTTAACAAATCTCGCGCTTCTTCGTTATTTTGGCGTTCACCTGGAGAATGGGTAATTAAATGTTTCATCAACATTTCAAGCTGCGATGTTGAGGTGGGCTTTGTTTATTCTTTTTATGAACTGGAAGTTTTCTGGGACGTCAAAGACTGGAGCACCGTTTTGTGGCGTTTGCCATAAAAAGGGTCTATAGCATAAGGACATGGTGATGTTGATTACGATAGGGATGTGGCTATTCTCCTTGTATCGGTTCAGCTCAAATTGCTTCCATGCCCGAACCTGGGAGCTTTAGTCCCATTACCGCCTGAGACCGATGTTCCTCCACCAGTTGTCTAGTTGCCTTTTTATGGCCCGTAGCCACCTTTGCCTTCGTGGGAAGGCTACCTGCCTATTCGCCTTGCGTCATCGCGTTGATTTGATGATGTTGCGGGTGGTGTTCCGAGGCCTCCAAATATCAGTCGATACGAGCTCATGAGAGATTGCAAGCTACGTCCCGTTGGATATTTCTTTTCATTATGCTACGGTGCCTCGAACCCGTCTCCGACTGGTGCGTTACCACGTCCACAAAAGTGGTCTCTCGATTTACGCCCGACGACGTTATAAAAGTATGTCGTCGCTGTCTGCAATCCTGGCGGTTTCACAGCAGCGGTGGTGTATGTGGTGGACGCCTGTTCCACTGCAGGTCGGTCTCCAGTGTGACAGCCCACGGAAGCTGCGGCAGCCAGAAGTCTGGACGCCGTGACGACGGCGACACTTCCACTCTCATGCGTTTTACAGCCGAGCTGTTAAGGGCTAGTTTCCCGAGGATCGTGTCCCCGGCAAAGAAATAGATGGCAGCAACCTTTCCAGTCTACCAGAGTGGAAAGGCTGGATTTCTTTAGGCATTGTCCTAGATGTCGTCCTCGTGGTCGTCCTAAAAGCCATCCTTGAGGTCGTCCTAGACGTCGTCCTTGAAATCGTCCTTGAGGTTGTCCGAGAGGTTGTCCTTGAGGTCGTCCTAGAAGTTGTCCTTGAGGTCGTCATAGACGTTGTCCTCGAGGTCATCCTAGAAGTAATCCTTGAGGTCGTCCTAGACTTCGTCCCTGAGGTCGTCCTAGGCGTTGTCCCTGAGGTTGTCCTTGAGGTCATCCTAGAAGTCGTCCTTCAGGTCGTCCTAGACGTCGTCCTTTAGGCGTTGTCCTTGAGGTCGTCCGAGAGTCATGCTTGAGGTCGTCCCACCATAGTACAGCTTCGCTGGTCTTCCTTCTTCACCAGAGTGGAAAGGCTGAAAGTGTTCCCAGAACTTTCACACCCAACCACCAGAGTAGTGACATTTGACAGCACAACACTCTGGTTTTTGTGACTTCATCTTTTGCCACTTCGGGACCACTTTCGATGCGTGGGTGGGATAGGACACTACAGTTGCTGACTGATTTCTTGAACACCGATTTTTCGGACACGTTTGATTATTCTGACGTTTTCGCCGAACCGTCACTTGCCCCATAGAGTTAATGTATAACATTGACCAAAATTTTGGACGTCATAAAGCTTGTTGCTCGATATTTTGGACATAATTTGCGTGATTTCCTCAGTTTACAGCCACAAAACAGCTGCCGCGATAGCGCCGTGAGCTTAGTCACCGCCATTTTAGTTGCTTTGATTTTTCCCTGTAGCCTCGATACCACGTCCTACGCAATAAACAAGCTGGGTTGAGGCTATAGTTGGGTTTTCCGGTTCCGCTATAGCCAACATGGCTGCCGTCTGCCCATTCTTATGGTTCTTCCAGTTCTTCTCGTGGTCTGTGTTCTTCGAGTGCGGCCGCGAGAAGAGTGGTTGTCTGCCAGTCTTGTGGTCTTTGAGCGCGAAGGTTCTCGCCAATAGGTTTAGTATTTAAAGGAGCTGTGCAACAATTTCAGGGCTTTGCTTAAATAATTGTGGAAGTTGATGCCTGACACATCTGAAGTGAGCTACAAAAAACAGATTTTGCCTGGATACCCTAGTTTTTATTTAAAAAAAGGAAAAAGATCCAGGTTTTTTCCGCCTCTCAACTCGTACACCGTCTTCCGGGTCACGTGCGCAGTGACGTTGATAAGGCAGGCACGAGGTTCCGGTAAAGTTCTCTCTTTAGAGCCATCTGTGAGCAGCGAGAACTCATCCGCTCGCGACCGCGTGACCACATGCTGGCAGGCGCGGCGCAAACAATATGGTGAAAGGAGGAAAGTCTCATCCGGGTCCGGCCATTCCTGCCTGGCCCTGTCCCCCTCCCCCTCCGGCTTCTGGCGGCTGTTCGCGGTAGCAGTTAGAGCTGACGGTTTTGTGGACCTAGGATAGATGGCGCCACTAAAACACCGTATAATAAAAGTTTTGTCGGTGATACCAAGTTTTTGACGCATTTGTATTTATGTTGGAACGACAAGATTTATAGAAAAGTTAACTTTTATCGAGCAGGTACTCGCACAACTTGCTATCTTTCTACAAGACCCCCCTTTGACGTCATGCCGCATGTTTCTCACGGCCGCCGCTCGCGGCTGCAAGTCGGGGAATATTCTGTTTTGCTTCGCTATTGCGCGGCGGATTCGCAACATTTCGATAAAAGGAGGTGTGTTTTCTGTCATTTGTGACAAGGTGAACAATATAAAAAGCAGAAGATGCCAATTCTTTCAACGTTAAAATCGTTGCACAGCTCCTTTAAGCGGGCTTGATGGACTAAACATCTTCAAATAGTGCCAAATAGCACCAGCTTCAACTTTGCTGTTTGCGCTAATGAAGGCGCCGACAAAGTGCAGCTTAATGATCAAACAGATCAACAAACAAGTGAAAAGTAAGCAGCATAAAGTGGACGTTGCACGGGAACTTAAAATTGACATCATACAAGCGGAAAGTGGCCAATGCGCAGCGGGAATATGTGCGGAAATCTGATATTTTGGCTGAAATAGATTTTTCAGACTGCTTCATTATTCGGACGATTTTGGGGTCCCCTCCGAGTCTGAAAAATCTGTCAGTGACAGTAAACACACCAATCAAAAATGCGTTTCGGGCACCATACTTCTGCGGCCCATTGGCACATACCACAGCCCCGTAACATGGCTGGTGCCGCAGTAGGTCGAAAGGGGCATGTGGTCTAATGTGCATGTGTGCAGGAGAGGGGAACGGGCACCCTGGTGGTGAGCAGCCTGCTGGACCTGCTGACCTTCGCCATGTGCCACCCGTACAGCGAGACCACCGAGGGGGCGCAGTTCGACTCCCTCCTCGACCTGGTGGCCTCCCACGGCCGCATCATGTTCCGTCTTTTCCAGGTACCAGGGTGTCTCAATTCCGTGGATCCGGTAGAAAGATTGAATAGAAAGTTTCTGAATTAAATGTGATTAGAATACACAGATATTATATTTCTATTGAAAATTTTGAATGTTCGTGGGATAGAGGGACGACAGTCACGGACACGGTCGCTCCTTTGGCTGCCTCTTTTCCGAAAGGGATTATTCTTTGGTTACCGTTCTCGATTTGTTCTCACCGGGGAGGGGGTCTGATGGGTGTCTCTTCCTTGCAGCATCCATCTGTAGCAATAGTCAAAGGAGCCGGAATGGTGATGAGAGCCATCATTGAGGTGAGTGTCTTTGGCAGAAGTGCATTGTACTACTCTAGAGAAGGCACCTAAGCAAACGCTTGCATCAACATTAGACTTCGAGACACCTCAAAGTTGTATAGATAGCGACTTCTGTGCACATAAGACTACGCCCCTGTAAGAACCGCGCTCTCAAACTTTATCTAATAAATTTTAAACACCGTCTGAAAGTAGCCACGTTTGCAGCTCGCAACATGCGTGACCGCCGCTTTTGCCGCATACTGGTGCTTTGCAACGCATTCCATCGTGTTGCGGTATGCTTTGCGGGCACTGTCCTCCCTATCCCCGGAAAGTGCAACAGAGCGTGACACTCGTGCCTCTCGGCTCTGGCTGAGTTCCTTTCATTAGCAACTTGTTGAACCTTTGGAGCTGGACTCTCCTCTCCCCAGGAAGGAGACGCGGGGACTTCCCGACGCATGCAGGAGCTGGCGCTGGCGGAAGCGGCGCTGGCCCGGCACCTGCACGACGCCCTGTTCGGGGGCGGGGGGCGACTCCCGGCTGCTGGCGCTGCGCCAGCTGAGCCGCCACCTGGTGGGGCTTTGGGTGGCCGGCCACCAGGAGGCCATGGGGGCCCTCAAGCGCATGCTGCCCCCGGGGCTGCTCGCCTTCCTCGAGGACCCCGCCAAGCCCCCCGCCGAGGCCGTGGAGAGGCTGCCCGAGCGGGACAACCTGCGCCTGGCAACCGTGAGTGCCTTTGGTCGTTCGTTCGGGGCCTTTCCAGTGCCGCCTAGAAGATTAGGCCCGTGCATGACGTCTCCATTGGTAGATTTCTGGCCCGACTTGAGCGGCAAATGCACCAAAGATCGACGTGATTCGCTCCATTGCGGCAGATGCATCCGTCACGCTCGTCGTGAGACGCTGTGAGGCGTGTTGGTGGCTATGCTGACGCGCGGTAGGCGGCACTGTGGGGATCTGCTAGTGCCGACGCTTGGGGGTAAAGGCGCAGGATTTGTCTTCTAGGTGGTGTTGGCGTCTCCTACCGGGACTCTTGCATGTGTCCGGTCTGAGAAATGCGGTCGCCGATACGAGGGGGATGATGCAGAAGTGCTTTTGTTTGTATCCAGTATTAGCCTTTCATTGTGTACAGTCGACTCTCATTAATTCAAACTCTCTTAATTCAAACCTGCAGATAATTCAAACTAACATGTAGGTCCCATCCTATGCATCTTTATGCGAGGAGACTCCTGATAATTCCAACTTGGCTTTATTCAAACAAATTTTCGGCGCCTCTCGAGTTTGAAATAACGAGATTCGAGTGTACTAGCCTTTCATTGCACCAGCCTTTTGTTCCACTAGCCTTTCGTCATACCATCGACTCTCAATAATTCTCAGCTCACGGAGACGGCAAAATGCTCCAACTTAAAGGGGCACTGAAACCGTGAAATCTATATTTTTTTACTGCCTTAAATGCTTCAAAATAATTTAATATATATAAAAAAATACACGGCAATCTCCCGAGTTATCGTCCATTCACGAGTCATTGCCCACCCCACTTTTTGGGTGGATATCAATTTCCAAAAAAGAAAACAGAGTGAACGGTCACCCCTACAAATGCCCCAACGTGCACTCTGCGATCCGCAAACATTCCACCATCCTCGAATGATGCAGCCATGGACCTTACAGTTGGAGGATGTCTGTGACAAAGTAGAATAAAGGAGGGAAAGACTTTTCTCTTTGTCTACGCATTTCCTCCCCGATTTCCGCAACCCTGAAGTCGTAGTACATCCATGCGAAAAGACAACGAGAGAGATTACAAAATAAAACGTTGTATTGCTTGCAAAAAAATTTGTCTGAACAAAAAAAAAAAAGTCAGCAAGATTACACAAGCAGTAACCCACTCAGGGATTGTGAGGTCAGCAAACGCACAATACCCTGAAATGTAACCGCGAAGTGTAAGATCAAAGATGGAAGGTCTGTCTTCATTTAAATAAGGTCCCACTGTGACCCCTCCCGTTCTTCCGTAACGTCATGACTGATGTTGGTAAGGTTGTGCATGTTTAAAGGGTAACCGCAAAGAAAAAAATGTGTATTTTTAAACAGCCTAATTGGGACAAGCATGTCGCAAAACAATTTTTCCAACAAAAACAAAATTTTTTACAGTAATATTTATCGCGCGGGACTGATTTTTGTTTGCGGCTATTTCGTCCGTTTTAAATTGCGCGCCACAAAGTTGGTATAATGCGTCACGGAGTGGCTGCTCTACGTCACGGAGTGACGTATTCTAGCCACTCCACGCGCGTCGAAAGAGCAGGAGTTTTTAAGTGTGGAGAGGTTGTGACTCCGACTAAATTACAGACCTGTGGCGTAATATTGCTAAAAAAGTTTGTTTTTTCGCGGAAGATTTGTTTTGTGACATGCTTGTCCCGATTAGGCTGTTTAAAAAACACTTTTTTTTCTTTGCAGTTACCCTTTAAGACAAAACCAACAGGTAAATAAAGATTTTCTGGAACACTGCACACAGACGTTTGTAGTGCGTCCCATTTCAAGCTCCATGTTTGTGGTGCCGTCCACGCCACGCAGCAACGCCGCCTCAACTCGCGCTGATAGTATGTCGCAAATGGACGCACGCATGTACCCACCGAACAAGAAAGTTTTGCAAAAGACTGCTCCTTGCAATTGAGAAAGCGCCTGACTTGGCCAGACGCCAAACTATTTGCCTACGCGATCGCCAGCTTTCCCCGCTTCCCCAGCATCGCTCTTCGTCACTTCTTTCGTCCGCTCGCTCGCTCGTTGTGCTTAATTGGCTTTTCTATTTTCTTGTTCACTTTTTTTTTAGTGGTGTTAGATAGGTGCTTTCACAAAACAAACGTTAGCGCTGTATACCAATCGGTGGTGTTCATCTGACATATGCAAGCAACAGACTTTGCAATGGTAAAACTTTACTTCGTGAGCATTTCTTGCATAAAACAATAAAACTAATTGGAGTCTTGAGTTTAATGTATATCCTGTGCAGCCACGCTGAGTACGTAGAGAAAAGTAGGCATTTTATTAGCGTTTTCTAAACTTTTTGTGGTCACCCACCAAGACATGGCCCACCCCAGTATTTTTTTCATGAATTTCAGGCGGCAGGAGGGTGGGCGATGACTCGGGATATTACGGAATATCTTTTGTGCCTTTTATAAAAGCGCAGCCTCTCCTGCCAGACACCTCCTTGTGATCGTTTTTCTGATCACATGCCGCAACGTCATCGATGGTTGGATATGCAAAAAGTTTGAGTTTGCAAAAGTTGTATTTCTATCACCTTAAATTATAACATGCACAAATCACATTTTGCACAAACGTGGCTCGTGCACGACGATGCTGGTTTCGAAATGTCATAATAAAATTCCGGAAATGTCCATCGTGACGGAAACACTTTTGGAAGGTGTCGAAGATGGCAAAGAGACGTTCCGACGTCGGCTCTTTGCCATCTTCGCTCTGATCTCAAAATGGTGTTGCTTGACGATTGAGCCGCAAGTGATCGCAATGTTGGCGATGGCTCAAAAGGTTGGGTGTCTTTTTCGGTATCGAACGGCCCTTTGGACTTTCGGAAGAAATTAATTGAATGTTGGCAGTGGTTGGGTCTGGTACCATACAAGACGCCTGATCGAAAGCTAGAAGATCCCGACGAAGACATTGCCGACTCGTCGGTACTTTCGCCTGCTTCAGATTTGTGGCACCTTGATAACACAGGCTGGTAATATCGCGTTGCATGCACCGAGCAGCTGTCCTGCAGGAATTGCTTCCAGCCACGCCTTCTCCGCTTCATTCTTTAGAAGCTTGCGGAAAGGGGCACTTTCAGACATGCTAGTGCTGGGACAATCCTTGACGCAGCACCGGTGCCACTTTGCACCTCACGCTCATCTAAGTCTGCCGCGCCTCGTCTTCAGCCTTACCGCTTTTGTAAGTGTTTTGGAATGCCCAAGCAGAACGGGGGACCAACGATATATAGAAACTCGCAACTGTCGTGCCGTCTGCTTACGCACACGTGGTTGGCACAGAGCATAGGGCGAAAGTCAAGAGCAAGCGCTTGATCGACTAGGAGAGAAGAGGGAGTAATGAACGACACTCTTAATTAAAAAGCAGCAGAAAAAAAAAAAAAAAAAAATGTGGCAAATTTGTTTTTTGACATCATCGAAGAGCACTGGCACTTCAAATTCGGCTTTGTGAAAAAATTTTTTTTCCTGTAAATATGTTATTTTTAGGCTTCAGATTTTGTGGGTGATCTGTAAATATTACGTCCAATTGTTTGGTAAATAAAAAAAAATGCATTTGGGTTGTGTTGCTGCCTTGGCATACTTTGAATTAAAATAGAACAGATTTAAACCATGTGTTTTTTTATTCACTAGTTACCGGGTGAAGTTGGTCTTTGGTTACGGCTGCTAACGGAGCCACTTGTCATTCTGCCACCAAAGTCGCACAGTATTAAGCATGCTGTAGAAATTGTAAGCTTTTCTTAGGAAGCCTCAGTACTTTCTTCGCCAAAGAAAATGCAAAATTTTACTCCGCGATGCCACAAGCAGTTTCTGAGTCGGCACGGAAAGCGATGGGATCCTTCCTAGGCCTAACCACTTGCACGATGTCACTGTCTGACCACGGCACATTTGTTGACATCAATATATTCAATGAATAAAACATCTCCTAGAACCGGGTAATGCCTCAAACCAAATGGAGGTTTGACTACCGTAACTCAAACGTTTCCAAAATACTTGACGGAACCAAACTGTTCAGTTTGTGTTGCAGAAGCTAAAAGCCGAGCTCACTTTCGTAAGTTCTGTGAGAACACCACCATGATGCCCATCTCCACAGCCATGCTTGCTTGGCTTGGCTTGTCTTGTCTTGTCTTAACTGGCTTGGCTGCCTGGTAGCTTAGTCGCGTGTCACGCTTGTTCCCTCTTTTGCCCGACCGCACACACGGTAGATAAAGGTGATCAAGTATCCACTGGTGTGGTTTGAGCTCTGTCACCAAAATCACGAGGCATTTTTATGCTCCCAGGGTCGCTGGAATTCTCGAGCATTTAAAAAAATCCTTAGAATTAACCAGTCCCAGAGGTTTAAGTATGAACTACCGCACATTTGTTTTTCATAAACTTGTATGTGTAATTCCTAGGACCACACCCCTGCTTCAATATAACTGAAAATTAGAATAAAGCAACTTTGAATTGCCGAGAGTCGACTGTACTAGCCTTTTGTTTTACGAGCCTTTCTTTGTACTACCCTTTTATTGTACTAACCTTTGATTGTACTAGCCTTTCGTTGTGCTGTGCGAACGCCTCATGCCTTTCATTTTACAGTAACCCGTCATTATAACGAGGTTTACAGTTCGACTGGTCCCTATTAAAATGCATGTGTTTTGAACTGAATTATTCAAAGTATTTCAGCAGGTGACCACGCTGAGGGCGAGCATGTGGTGTAGTGCGTGGCATTGTGCAGGGTCCCGGACTATTGAAACGTCTTTGGTGTGGCTAGATCGCAGTCAATGAAGTCTGGCCACCCCCCACCGCAGGAGCACCCCAGCGGCGGACACCAGGTGCCCTCCAAGATGGCGCAGCAGCTGCGCCACGTGGAGCGCCAAGTGGAACGCTTCCTGCAGCACTGGCGCCAGCACATTCACCCGGAGCACGTCGAGGTGGGTTCGCACGAACACATTGTTTTACGGTTCCATTATAGGGACTTGCCAGCTCTATTCGCGGCATTGGCATTGTGCCAGGCAGAGCGCTCCGTTTCCAAGCCGCTACACATTCCCGACTGTTTAATTTTGTTAGCACGTACTATCAGATGTCAAGCCACCCAACACTCGGTGCCTGTCTCGATTTAGTCTTGGGCAGGGACTCGTGCATGCAGTGTGTTCGCTTTCGTACATATATTTCATTGACCACGAGGCTGTGTTGCGTATGATCGAGTAAATAAAGAGTGGATGTGCATAAAAGTGGGTGTTACTAGGCACCATAACAGCTATCACCATCAATTGTTTGAGCGTTGTGGCAGAAATCTGCAGACCTTTTACGCAGAATGTGTTAAGGGCAGGGAGTTCTAATTGGTCGGAATGGCAGGTGTAGCGCCGATGTCTAGAAGTTTACGTAACCGACGTTACAAAAGGTGTGATGAAAGTGTGAAACGAAAGTGCTTTGTGATTCTCTGCAGCTATTGTATTTACTCGCACAATGAACGCACTCGCGTAATGAACGCACCCCCCAAGCCGGCTCTCAAAATTTCGACTTTTTTTTCACTCGCGTAATAAACGCACCCCCAACTCGGACGTCAAAATTTTGACCGCCTCCCCCCACGCGCGCGAAATGAACGCACTTTTCTATCCCGGTGCAGCGAGGTCGCGAATGCATGGGCAGCGTGGGCGAACAAAACGCCTTGCAAAAGGCGTTAAAAAAATTCGCAAAGATCCAACGGAAGCAAAAAAAAAAAACATGGAGAGTTGCTTTTTTTTTTTTCTTTGCACAGCGCAGGTCTGGACTTTGGGTTCGCGCGCCCCCGCGCGCAAGGAGGTAAGAAAGAGAAGCGGAGAAGCGCTCTAAGCGAACAAAACAGCTTGCAAAAGGCGGCCAAAAAAAAAAAAAAAAACAGAACTAAGAAAAAACGAAAACAGAAAGCTTTTTTTTTTTTTTCCTCTTTTTTTTTTTTTTGCACAGCGCAGTTTGGTTACCGGGGGTCGCGCGCCGCGCGCAAGGAGGTAAGAGGAGCGGAGAAGCCCTCTAAGCAAACGAAACAGCTTGCAAAAGTCGCAAAAAAAAAAAAACAAACAAACAACAACCCAGGGAGCTGAGAAACAAACAAAAGAAAAAGAGGAGCTTTTTTTTTTCTTTCTTTTTTTTTTTTTGCACAGCGCAGTTTGGTTACGGGGGTTCGTGCGTCGCGCGCCGCCCGCAAGGAGATAAGAAAGATAAGCGGAGAGCCCTCGCCTAAGGAAACAAAACAGCTTGTGAAAGGTGGCGAAAAAAAAATACCCAAGGAACTAAAAAAAAAAAGAAAAAACAAAGAGGAGTTTTTTTTGTTTTTCTTTTTACAGCTTAGTTTGGTCGGGCGCCCCGCGCAAAGAGATAAGAAGTTACTTCGATTTTTCAGGATAAAAGGTCCGTTCATTATGGGAGTAAATTCGGACCCAAAAATTTTACTTCGCGTAATGAACTCAACGCCCCCCTCAACTTTGCATCGATTTTTCGGAAAAAAGTGCGTTCATTCTGCGAGTAAATACGGTACTATAAGCGACAGTATTGTAACCTTCCACTGTGGGGTAAGTTTGAGCATTACATATTTTGGTCGCATACCTGTAACTTGTACCCATTTCTGGGACCAACCTCAAAACTTAAAGCATCGACTGATTTGTCTCTTTGAACTGCATTTAGTGCACCCAGAATTTCTAAAAAATAACTGGAAGTGTCTAAAATACTTTCTTTTTTTCCATGTAGCAAGAAAACATTTTTGTTTGTTTTTGTGTTATGTCGCAATAACAAAAAACATTTTTTTTCTATTGTGACATGACAAATCTTTCTACAAGCATTTGGCTGCTCTTAGAAGGCTTGTGGTGGCTTCAAGACCTCCTATGCCTCTGCCACAGAGCAGCAGAGCAAGAATGAGATGCTTACGGCACTTTTGCAAGCGATTAATTTTAATGCAGAATATCTTTTATGATATGTTAAGGTTATATATAAAGTTTATACGTGTAAAGTTTGAACTCCGGCGGGGCTTGAACTTGTATCGGTGGGGTGGCAGTTGAATACCATTGGCAAGGAGATCGAACTATAGCGGGTGCAGTTTCATCATAATCACATCAAGCAACCGCTGCATGGCAAACACATCCGTTGCCTGCACTCTCCTAGTGTACGTTGCATTGTTTCCACACTCTGCATATTAATACGTAAGCATTAACTGCCCCATGGAGCAAGCCGACGTCATCAGCCGCGCCAAACGGCAGATAAATTCATGAAGCCGCGATCTGAGGCATCCCAGCTTTGAAGCCGCGCAAAAAGCCACGCAGAACGGCAAGTAAATGAAGCCTAAAGAGGCCGCCGCACGTCAGTTTCAATTAGCACCACCCCATGGCGCTGCATGCCTGTGCCGCCAGCGTGCCGATTCCGTGCCGCCGACAGAGCGACAGCGTGGCCGATGTCGGCGAGCCGCGGCAACTTCACTAGGGTGCGCGCAAGAATGACATTCATGCTTTTGCATCTACAATGCAAAAGGCACGCCCGTGCATGACCACACATGTGCTTGTTTTGCCTTCCAAGAGGCCTTCGATGACATTGAACGCAAGAGGGGACTAGATTCCTTCTATCTAAAAGCGTTTAGGAGAAAAGAATAGTGATGCATCTTTCTTGAGCTTCGCGTTGTGGTCGTCCACGGCTGCGAATGCACTAATGACTGCGGTCGGAGGTTTTGTTTGCCGCACGGTGTTAGTTTCCGAGGTGGCCGCTAGGTAGCGCCACTCCTCAGTCTCTCCCCGATTGCCACTGAGCTTCTGGCACAGCTGGTCTGGAAGGTTTAATGATCTTATTCGAATGCAAACGTGCCGGCGAGATCGGCAGGCTTTAAACAAAAATAATAATATAATAAGAAATTATAAAATAAAGTAATAAATTTTATTTCAGAATACCCAAACGGACCGAGCAGCCGAGTTGTTTTTACATAGCATCTGTCGAGAGTGTTTGCTTACTCATCCATTGTTTTCCCTAGTCGGGATGTTTGAACAATGCAGTGCTGCGTGTATGTGTGTGTATGCAGGAGAAGCAGGCAAGGCCCGTGGTGCTGCGCAAGCGCCGTCAGCGGGTCAAGTCCGACGTGAACTGGCCCATGTTCTACTACCAGTTCCGGCAGGACCACGCCCGCCCCGACCTCATCTGGAACTTCAGGGTGGGTGGACCATCCTTGGTCGGCAGACTCTTTCTGGCAGTGCCTTTCTTCACTTCGTGAGCCTGCGTTTCGGCTTGCTAGCAGCAAGCCAGTTGTATCGTCGGCAAGGTCGACGACGCGGCACGGGATGTCCGTAGAAATGTACAAATGTGGGAGTAGTGGGAATTAGGCTCGAACATCATCTATTTCAATTTGGTGTTAGATCACCTCCTGAAGTAGGGTTAAAACAATGCTAATTGATTGCTTGCAGGAGATATCTAAGCCATGACATTGGAAATAACTTCTGTGGCCAGTGCAGCTGAAAAGCTGCACTTGCCTCAGAAGTCCCTTGGTGTTTATCAGAAGGCCTGGTGTCTATTTGAAGGCCACAGAAAGCCCTGGCATTTATCATTAATTTTTAATAAAAGTTTGCCGTTGCATCCTCAAAGATTGCCCACCCCATACTTAGCACCATTTATCTCTTCATTTTGGGCGGGCCTTCTTACAGGACATTATGGTAGAGTTGACAATTGTCAGCTTTAGTTTTCCTTTATGCAATGCCTGAAGCCTCCATTTCCTTGCAAAATAAAGCTAAACAAGGCTGGATACCGACCTCGGATGAAATATTTTGTTGGTTCTTTGTGCCTATTAAAGCCATACCAGCAATGTGGGCCCCCCGAAACCACTGGCATTTTCTTTATGCCCTGTCATTCTATGGCGGCTAAAATGCATAGGAACACGATGGATACGGTATGTTTCTCCAGATTTATTAAATTGTTGAGCACTTTTTATAACGAAAGCCCCTGCTCACAGAAATTTGCCCGTCCATGTGCCCTCGCATAGATTTACCTGCTACAATTAATGAGGAAATGGAATTGGTGTTCTGATTCAGGTTGGATCACATTGTGTGACTTTATTGGTCACGTGGGAAGTGTTCCCGCTGAATTTATTTAGAAGATTGAATCGGTACATAATTATATGCCAAATCAAGTCACGTTGTATCATGCGACGTGGTCGCGAGACACCTCAGCTCGTCACCATGACGTCCCGCCACATGCTTTTCTCGCCTAATGTCGCGTGGCATCAGGTTGCGTGACGTTGCTTAATAAACAATATGTTCTTTCCTGCCCAAATCAACTGTGATGTCTCCTTAAAGGGGCCCTGCAAGGACTTTTTTACTGGTTTTTAATTTGCACCGAACCTGAGCGCACTAAACGTAGTAACTTGATGAAACTTTTCTTTTCTCGAATTTTGCGGTATTTTAAAAGTTATAGGCAAATTGAAATTACAAAAACAAGCTAAAAATAACCTCCTTCATGACGTTTTTGGTTGCTTGAGTGGCCGTGAACTAGAGGAGGGGTAGTGAGCTCAGCGAGTGCTCACGGCTGCCGCACTCTGTGTCGACGGCGCGAGAGGGCGCCACCAAAGCATGTTCTGAATAGGCTGAATGAAGCGGGCAGCCAGGGCTGCTCACATTGCATTTGCTGCGCGATTAAACACTAATTCGGCACGACACTTCATTGGCCACAAACAACAGCAAACACTGGGTAAAGATCAGTTCAGAACGGGAGCCACTTTGCGCTGCTATACCGCCATAGGCCAAACCGCAAGCCAAAGCTACTCGCCGAAGGCTTTCGGAACGCTGGGAACCGGTCGGATCCTCCAGTCCGTACGACCGCAGCGCTGCCGCGTAGGTATATCCGGGACCTTTCTATGCTCGCCCCTCAATGGTGCCTGATCCCACTATACTTTTCTAGTATGCGCCGCCTTTTTTACCGCTTGGTGGCGGGTATGTCGAGAGGTCATTTCTTATTTCCGTACTTTCTAAACTGCATTTGTTTCTTTTCTGATCTAAAATACTGAACAAAAACTACTTTCATAAATAATTGAAACGGTTCGTGCCACTTATATTTGTATTTCAACTAAAAACAAGTTTTTAGTGGCTCTGACCAGTAGTAAGCCCAGGACCAAAGACGTCACATACTGCACACTTTCGGCAACGCGGGTCGCCCTCGTAGGTGGAGGAGGTTTCTGCGTCGTCCTGTTAAAATATGACTCACTGATATTTAGTTACTCTCTCCGTGCCCGCTGGCTTGCCCGAACTTCAAGAGACGTGGAAACCGCAAAAAAGGTAGATGCTTAAATATGATTGCACGGTCCCTTTAACAAAATTAATCAGTTGCTTTTTAAGGGGGCACTGACGCTCCAAAGGTCATATTTTTTTGTGGTTGTCTAAAACAATGCAAGTTGTAGTCATAAATGCAACAAAAAAAAATACAACGCAACAAAAAAAAGTTTTAGTTTTTGTTCTTTTTCTCTTCTCTCCTCCTCGTTTCTTTTAATTTGTGACATAATCGAATATCAAATTTAGAAGCTTTGTAAGCGACTTTTCTAATATATTTAATAACTATCTTCGTAAAACATGTTTGTTAATGCAATTGCAAATGCACTACGGCCCTTCTTTTTTAAATACTGAAAATTGGAGCTTGGAGTGAAGTCGTTTCCTGACTTTTTATCCTCCCTTGGAAAGCATCCAGGCGTTCGGCACACCTTGCACTGAGGATAATCGGTGAGTCGGGGAGTTGGACAAAGTCCTCTTTTTTATGTGCCCGACGACCTTTCAGACTTTGAAAAAGAAATCGTCGAACATTCGAAACAACTGGGTTTGGTGTCTATGTACCGTAGTTTCAGCTGTGACTCCACCGGGGCAGCCTTTCACACAGAACCGGCGCCACGTGGCCCCTCACGTCACTCAAAAAATGACCGCATCGCCACGTGGTGAATGATGTTGATTGGGGCGAAGCTCTGGTGGTGCTGATGATACTGATTTTGTTCATAGGTAGTGCTGATGGTGCTGATCTTTTTTTATTGCTCATAGGTAGTGCTGAGTTCCCACTGGTTCTTCTGGCGGATCATCTTGGATCCGCTAGAAGCCATGGAAATGCATCTCCACTGCTTAAGTCAACGGCCCATGTCAGAAAGAAAATGTGTGGTATGGAATGTGGTTATATGAGCATTTGACCGCAGCGCCCTCTCGTCTATAAATGTCGAGCCAATGCATGCAAAATTTAACGCGATTATATACGTATTTGACCGCAGCACCCTCTCCTGTATAGTCGTTGAGTGGCTACATGCAACGTTTCATCCATGACAGACAGATGGGATGGCAACCGATGTGAGCACGGATGCCGGACGGATGGACAAGGCTAGACCCTACCCTAAGGAGCTTCGCCCCTAAAACCCCAGCTCTGGAGTTACTACCCCATCTCGGAGCCCCCTACTCGTCCCGCAGTTGTGGCCGAGTGGTTAAGGCGATGGACTAGAAATCCATTGGGGTCTCCCCGCACATGTTTGAATCCTGTCGACTGTGCAAACATTTTTCCTTTTTCTTAAGAAGACAGATGGGATGGCAATCGATGGGAGCACGGACGCCGGATGGACAAGGCTAGACCCTAAGGAGCTTCGCCCCTAAAACTCCACTGCACATTATCTTCGACCTCACACTGTTTCAAACAATTTGAGATTACTGAAAGGGCTTTAAAAGAACTTCAAACTCAAAAGTGAAGTGTTGTCCGCTCAGAGCGATAGGCGGCACGTACGGAAAAGAGCGGTCAATACCAAGTTTCAAATTTTGAGGTTAATGTCCAGGCATCGTTTTCAATCCATTCATCTAATAATAATAATAATAAAAAAAAAAAGATTCTGCCTTGTTGAAGTTGCGTCTTGACGTCATTTTGTGCATTTGAGGACTAGGTATAAGATGACCGTCAATTTTCTCTGAACTTTGGCAGACCCGGGAGGAGCTTAGGGACGCCCTGGAGGCAGAGCTGCGCACCTTCAGCCACGACCAGGAGCTGAGCCAAGGCACCCCGGTGTCCTGGAACCATCGGGAGTTTGAGGTGCTCTATGCCAGCCTAGCCGACGAGGTCCGGGTTGGGGACTACTTCCTGCGGCTCCTGCTTGAGGAGGACCAGAACTCGGAGGGGCCGGGGGCCTCCTACATCCGGCGCTCGTGAGTGCCACGCTTCCTCTCCCCGGGTCTCTGGGAACACCTGCCCAGGTGTCAGGCTCCTGAGATGGGCCTAAAATGAAACGACGCTTCGGGTGTGTTATCAAGCTGAGAACAGCGCACTCAAGACAACCACGAAGGAGGGGAGCACACATACAGTGCTGACTTGCAACTGAAGTATCTATTGATAAGTCTATGGTACATATACCAGCAAGATAAAACAAACAAGGGAGCGTATGAACGAGCACTCTTTGCACACTCCTTTCTCTCAAGATGGTCTTTTGTTTGCGCCATTCGTGCCGTGCACGTTCATTAACTGGCCTAAGCTTGAGTCTTAACAGGGTCCAGGTGTGTGGTGCCCTCGGTGACACCGCGGAAAGCGTGACCATTTTAGTCGCCTTTTTGATGTGGAACCTTTTACTCTAAGTACCAAACAAAACGTGCGATGGCAAACTGATAGCAAGGAACGGTTCGCTGCTGTTGATGGTGATGAACTGTATTTTGCCAACACAGAACCTGGAACACAACAGAGTACACATCTCAAACCAACACTCATGTCATCAAATACCATGTCCGCAGCCAACAGATCGGACGTGGAGCCTAAAAACTGAACTGCCCAAGTCCAAACTCTCGACAGTCGTCGTCGCATCACTGCGTCACAGGCGCAGCGCCGACATAGCTTGACACAGGCGTTGTTGGTGGCGATTTTGTCCACGCTTGATATGGCCTTGGGCTCTGCTCCCCATGTGTCGTCATTGGTGATGCCTCCAAGTTTACAGTAATGTGTAGGCATGGGCGAGTAGAGGATTTTGGGTTCAAATCGAATTCGAAGCGAATAGTGATTTTGGCCGAATAATTTTGAATCGAATAGTTCGAATAGTACAAGCAACAAATACTACAAGATATGTTTAAACTATGGTTTTACATTTGCCCTTATTTGGTATTAGAAGTACTGCAATTGTTAATTTCAAATGTATTGTGTTCGGGAGCACGAAATGGTCAAAATGGTCTGAAGCTTGCACCACCTGGCCGGAAATCCAAGCCAGGGCAAGTCAAACCCATTTATATCGAACTCGCAAGAAAACATCTACCAGTTCGATATAGCGGGTAATTCAATATAAAAGTTTTAATGAATTTGACTCTGAAAAATCCACTTTCTGCTGAAATATTACCCAATGACGTAGTCTTGCATTTTCTGCTGTTTTTTCTTCATTGCATCCGTGACAACGATATTTTTCTACGCTATCGACGGACTCCAAAACGCTAAGGCCGCTGCCTTCTATATTCGAGCATTAGTGCCGAACTATGCCGAGAGCACGGAGCACGTCCGAGCGGGAGCACCTTCTCCTGCAGAGCGCCGTTTTGCTCTGCAAGTTGGCTCTCCTCTACACCAGGTGGCTGCCTTGGGGGAAGCCAGCTAGCAAAACAAGATGGCTTTCTTTTTTCTTTTTTTTTTCTTTTTTTTGGGTGGCTGCGTTAGGGAAAAATAATATTCTCTTTTGCAGAGGGAGCGGGGAGAGGGAGCACGGAGCACCGTCTCTCCGCTCCCTCCGCAAAAGCTATATTTTCTTTTCTTCCCTGCAGTCAACGTGGCAGCCCGGAAAAAAAATAAAAAATAATAAAGCCAGTGTGCTCTGCAAGTTGGCTTTCCCCCAATGCGGCCAGTCGCGTTGAGGGAAAGCCAGCTTGCAGAGCAAAACGGCGCTCTTGGCAGTTCGATATATCGGCAGTGGCTGCTATTTTTGTTCGATGCAACCATAGTTTTTGCTATATATTATCACTGTAACATTACTGTGCAAAAATATTTCTCAATATAAGAAATAATTCGATGTAAACGAGTTCGATACAGTCGGGTTTGACTGTATTTAGAAAGGTCGAATAATCCTATATTGTTGAATAATTCAATATTGTTGAATAATTCGAATTTGTCGAATACTTAAATTCGATTCCAAGCGAATGCCGAATAGAACAGAATTCGATTGGCTATTCATAATAACCGAATATTCGCCCATCCCTAGTAATGTGACTTGAGCATCTCTCAGGACTTGCATGAATGAACGTACCGAGAGATATCGGAGCACGTGCCAGGCCAGATATACTGCTCCCGTATACGTCTCAGTGTCTCCAGCACCAGATTGTTGTTCTTTTTGCCAGGAATTGCTGGAAAGACAACCCTCATCCACTTTCTTCGAATTCCGGCTCTTTCTGTCACACACGCTTCATTTCTGAATCTCTTCAAATTCGCCGGCAGGAAGTCCGTATTGAGTCAGTGTCTTCAGAAACTTGTTATGGCGGTCTTTCGACGATCTTCATTGATTGCCCTAAGATCTCTTTCTATGTTTGTATAAATCTTGCTCATGAAAGGTCAACCAGATTGGTTGACATTTAGAATAAACCTGTGTTCTGCCTAAAGCATGGTTTTCAAAGACTAACCATTTCAGCTGCTGTTTTCTTTTCATGCACACACTCTGCATCCTGTGGTCATCCATCACAAAATCAAAGAATACAGTAAAACCTCGTTAATTCAGATCTCATGGGACCGGCAAAAATGTCCGAATTATCCGAAAGTCGAAATATCGAAAGGACAAAGAAAACAGCGCGAAAACGTTTCCCTGTGACATACCTTTATTTTGAGAAGAAATCTGTTATTACCGCCTGTTTTCTGGACGATACTTGGGCGGAGACGGCAACTTTCCTTAGCACGGTCGAGTGTTCCACCGCACTCGCACTGTCGGAGCTACGCATCCCGTGCGCTGACAATATAGCACAGCAAGGTCTCTTCTAGTTTTGGGTGCTCCACCTTCCAAGGCCGCTTTCTTTTCGTGCTGAACTTCTCGCTCTCGATATCGGCCTCAATTTGCACGTACGGGGCCAAACTGCTTCTCTTGACGTCGTAACTTTCCGTCACTTGTCGAGAGACGCCGTCCTTCAAGGCCCTCAGTGTTTCCACTTTCGTCGCTAAATTCTTAGCCTAGTACAGCGGCAACGGAAAACGAGTCGCACAACTGACCAATAATCGGAGTGGCGAAATCACGACGCCCGGCGCTATTTTTCCCGAGCGCACCGATAGCGAGAGTGCCTGTCACGTTGCATTTTTCAACGCGGGGGTGGCCGGCGAAAAATTGAGGGATAAGATAGCTGTTAAAATGGCGGGCTTTAGGATCCCCGCATTGAGGCATGAAACGTGACTGTCACTCTCGCTATCGGCACGCTCAGGAACAATAACCCCACGTGTCGAGATTTTGCCATTTCGGTCGTCGGTCACTTGTGCTACCCTTTTTCCGTTGCAGCTAGGCTTCTGCCGCTTCCATGCCAGGAGAGCAACGCGCTGAAGCACGGCAATACAGAGCAAAACTGGTGCGAAACACGAAGAGCCGGAAGAGCGAAGAGCCATGGGAAAACCGAAAAAACCATGCGTGCACCTCGGATAGATAGCGGTCATACCCTTTGGAACGGACGGTAGCTAGCGCCACCTGCCGAATTTGTCCGAATTAACGGTACTGCACCCCGTTCCTTCCGAATTAATGAGTGTTTGCTGCCATTGACTAATACATACGTTTGACGGGACCGGATCGGCAGTTCAAATTATCCAAATTTCCGAATTAGCGGGGGTTGAATTAACGAGGTTTTACTGTATTGCTCGAACCCATTGTTAGGGACGATGTCCCGAGTTTCCAGGAGGGTATTTGGGGGCTGCGGGGCTAGGGAAGTGCAGCGCCTAGGGAAAAGTGGGAATCGGAGAGGGCGGGCGAAGCAATGAAAAATCACGGGACTGTGTGTCTGAGTATGATAGCGATTGGGTGTGGCTTTGGATGTGGTGACGAATTAAGGGGGTGCTAACCCTAACACCATAAACAAAAGCAGCCCAAGAAATCGTCCAATCCACCTAGATCTACGGCACTTGGCAGACTGATGTGGAAAGCTGTATGCTTGCAATACCTGGCAGTGTGACTGGTAGCTACAAAGCCTACGCACGAAAAGTTAAAATTCTGGTTATTTTTGCCTTCACTCTCCTTTATGCCATCAGTCACGATTAGCACCATAATCCTGAGGGGCAAGTCTAAGGCTCCGACTGACCTGGTGGTGTACCCCCCCTGCAGGTCGGAGTTCTTCAACGACCTGTACCACAGCTTCCTGTTGGCGTCTCGGGTGGAGCGCCGCTGCCAGTGCCTGCAGGCCATGGCACTAGTGTACGCCCGTCACCACGAGGAGATCGGGCCCTTCTCCGACACCCGTAACATGCTCGCCAAGCTGGAGCAGGTGGGCACGGGGAAGTCGTCCTAGTGACTTCTCGCTTTTGGCCAAGTCGTTTGTCACACTGGCGCATTGTCGGCTCTGCTCCGGAGTGCATGGAGCTCGTTGTGTAGTGCACACAGTTTCCTTTCAATCATCTCGTATCGAGATTAACCTGCTGAATTCTTATGTCCAAATATTTTATGTTGTTTCTAAATGAAAGAGTGGTTGTCCGTCTTCGTCTTTAATAGTAGTAATAAGGACTTTATTATAAACATTAGCATTATTCTTTAGAACTGTTCCATTCATATTCACAATGTGCTCTCACTCTTCAGTGCTGGTACCCCTTAAAGGGGTTATGACACGAAAATTAAACGGATAGATTATTCTTGAAATGGAATGCTCATAGGTAGGGGTGTGCGAATATTCGAGTTCCGAATTCGAATCGAATAGTGATTGGCCGAATAATTCGATTCGACTTTCGAATTTCTTCTATTCGAGTTTTCTAATAATTCGACACTTCGGATTTCAGTATTGTTAGAAAAATCTGGATTTATTCACGAACGTTGCCAGTATCATGACGTAGTGCTCACAGGCCTCTGCTAGATTTAAACCAAGCTAGCGTTCCAGGAAGCTTGGCTGACTTACCGTTTCGAGAGAAAGTGCTTCATTCCTTGTATTCCTTTAAACCAAATCGTCGTGATCGAGCTTCTGCGCCGCAGCTCCACGGCCGTCGTCAAACCACACAAGCCGCCATTTTGAAGTTGTGTTTCGCGGTTTCGCAACGCCTCCCACCTGCTGCCAGTTATGTACACTACAAACTTAGTTAAAACACAAATTAACTTAATCATAGAGCTTGTCATAGAGCATCAAGAAAAACCGAAGACATTTAATGAAAACAGAACCTTTTAGCTGTTAGCGGTACTGGCTCAATGACGCAAGACGCTACATCCAGCTTTCCACGGTTTAGGCTAGGTGGCGCAAGTTGCCGCCTGATACGGAGGTGGCAGCATTTCACGCTACCACATATCTATCCGTTTTGGTTTGTCACATTCGTAGTTCCACGTGGTTCGTCCTTTCCGCGTCGCCGCGTAGCCATTTCCTGCTGTTTTTTTAGGTGTTATTTGTTCATTCTTGTGCTGTGCCCGGTATCCTCTTGGTATGAATCCCAATGAAGAAAAGAAGCGAAGTTTCATATGGACTTTTTTTGAAAAATAAACTGCGTGCTCTGCAGTTTGCAAAGCATGCAACTCGACTCTGAAAACACCCTCCAGCACAACGAGCCCGCTTGTTAATCATTTGAAAAGCAAGCATCACGCGCTCTACTTGCGGTTTCTTGAGTCGTCCGTGAAGCAGAAGAAACGTAAAGATGAAGATCGAAGCCAGCCAACCTTGCTGGCCTTGAACAAGCAGAAGGGTCAGCTCTCAGAAAGTGTGAGAAAGCAAACCACTATGTTCATCGCGCGGATGATCGCGCTGGATTTCCAGCCATATGACATCGTCGAGAACAAGGGATTTCAAGAGCTAATCCACCATCTCCAGCCGCAGTACAACATCCCTCACAGGACTACGTTTTCCAGGACGATAGTCCCTGAGCTGTACAAGAGTACAGTGGACACGCTCAAGGCGGAAATGTCCGCGGACCTTGGAACAGGGTTGGAGTCGATCACGTTCACTGCAGACATGTGGACCTCAAGGGCCAATGAAGGGTACATCTCCCTGACATGTCATTACATGACACAAGGTTTTGCTATGAAGGCCTTCACATTGGCATGCACACATATGCCAGAAAGCCACACTGCAGTCAACATTCAGAGCTGCCTAACTGCAATCGTCCAGGAGTGGGCTCCTAACCTCAACAGTGTGGCTGTGTACGTGGTCACAGACAATGGCCGCAACATCCAAGCCGCAGTCCGCCAGATGGAGTGGACACCTCTTCAGTGCATGGGGCACACATTTCAGCTGGCAATTAAAGATGCCAAAGATGAAACTCCTGCTGTGTCTCTGCCCTGCAAAAAGGCACGAGCCATAGTGGGACACTACAAGCACAGTGCCCAGGCAACACAACGGCTCAAGGACTGCCAGAGGCACATGGAGCTGCCTAGCACAAGCCTCATTCAAGACGTCGACACTCGATGGAACAGCGAGCATGCAATGTTGAGTCGTCTGGTGCAGCTCAAAGATGCCGTGTCACTTGAAATGGCAACATCAGAAACGAGCGTCGCCTGTCTCTCAGGAAGTGAGTGGAATGCTGCAGAAAGCCTGGTCCAGATCCTGAAGCCTATTGCAGATGCGACCATTGATCTGGGCGGCCAAAAGTATGGAACCCTTTCATCTGCCATACCATTTCTTTATGGGGCAGAGCAAATCTTGAAGAGGTACTCTGCCATCGAGAGCGAAGTCGTAGCTTTTGCAAAGAACTTGCTTAAGAGCCTGAAATCTCGGTTTCCTCTCTACATGGAACAGAAGGAACTGGTGCTGGCCACTCTGTGTGACCCAAGATTTAAGGCCATTTTCTTCTCCACGTCGTACGACCATACACGGGCTGTTGAGCTGCTGGCGGCGGAGATTGCTGATCGAAGTCGTCGCATCGACTCTTCCCAGCAGTCCAGCAGGCAGGAACTTTACTGCCAGCCATCGACCAGCTCCAAGGACATCCCAGTGACAGTCTGGGAGACGGTTGAACTGTTGGCTTCACAAAAGAGCCAATGCAATAATGCCAGACCCTACAGCCAGGAGGTTGAGAAGTACTTCAATGAACCACTGCTCCCCAGGAAAGATGACCCCTTAACCTACTGGAAAGAACACGGAGCTGCGCTGTATCCTGGCATTGCAAAAATTGCTTTGAGGTACCTCCCTATCCCAGCTACAGAGGTGCCCAGCGAGCGCATGTTCTCCACAGCGGGCAACACAGTGACAACGCGCAGAGAAAACCTGAAGCCTGCACACGTGGAGCAGCTTGTGTTCCTGCATGACAACTTGTAGTTCACAAGAAGCTGTGTCCCGCTAACCGCAGGCTACCTACCTAAGCAGTGTTTTTGTGTATTTAGAATAAAAGTTGATATTTGACCACTATTCGATTCAAATTCGATTTACAAGTTTGAATATTCGGTATTCGATTCGAAATTCGAATTTTTGGCCACTATTCGACACTATTCGATTCGAATTCGATTCGAGATGAAATTTCACTATTCGCACACCCCTACTCATAGGCTACTTAGTATATACACCAAGTTACGCAATTTTTAGAGCTCTGATAATTGCAATATTCAATTTACGAATTTTTATAATTTTCATCTGGCGACCAGGCAACACTGCTCAAGTTAGTCACACCATGGTGTCCATAAACCACGTGACCATGAACACTCTCTCATTCTAGGCGCCCCCATGATCGCCCAAGCTCTTTTCGTCGCGGTACGAACAAAACCGCTCAAACTGCTCGGTAAACTGAAAGCTATTCTCGCTCTCACCCCCCGGCCGGTTGACCTTCCACCCTGCATGCGCCTGCGAGATATTCCCGGACGACGGCGAACTCGTCGTCGCTGGAGCTCGTCGCCAGCGGGTCGCAGTCAAAATGAACAGCTTCCAACATCTCTTGATAGCAATCCCTCTCATCGCTGCTGCGATCAATGTCGAACACTTCGACAAGGCGATCGATGCCGTAGACGTAATCGTCACAGACCGGATGCTGGAAACGTGGAAGGTAAACGAGGAAGCTGAGAGTTGATATGCCAAGAAGAGCCGAGTCTGTGAGTGCGTGCAAGTAGACACCACGCTGGAGGCTGGCTACGTCATCAGCCTCCAGGTCCGCCTGAATCTGCCCCTCCGGGGGGCCCGCATATAAATCGATTTATCCACGAAATTATCGCGCCTTTTTCAAAACAAATTTAGCAGGATCATAGGAACATACAATGGGTCCTAGCTGAGTAGTTATGTCATATTTTATTTTTGGCGTGTCATAACCCCTTTAAATGTACACCTTTTTAATTTATTTGATTTGCATTTCTTAAAATATATTCAGGACCTTTGAGTTTGATTAGTACACATTTTTAACATTAAATATTTAATTACTTTGAGTTGTTGGTAGTATCTTCATTCTTAATTCGACTTTTCATGTCTATTCACGTTTATGCGGGAAATTTGAAATTCTGTTGGAAGTCTGCATGGGCTGATTGATCTGTCTGACATGCATGCTCAGTAGCAGAATGCAAAATTCGCTGAAATGCCACCTCCTTGTTGGGAAGAGGTTGTCCACATTCAACACACTGCAAGGGATTTCGAGGGGCACTGATGTGGTAGAGGACAGAGCACGTGTGCTGGTTGTTTGGTGTCACAGCGAGACCCTTTTCCTTACAGTGCATGGATCGACTAGAACGGGACAGACTCCTGCTGTTCCTCAGCAAGCTCATGCTGAACCAGGTGGGAACCTCACTCACGGTGACAAATGCCCAAATGAAAAATTGTGCTGGAAACAAGATATATGATTTGTAGATGTCTGGGAAGTGAACGTAGATTACAGTTTTAAAGTCGGTTGTTGCATTTGTCTAATTTTTAGTGTGTTCTTCTATCGAATAACCGCAGCTTGACCATCCCTGGCAGTACCTGTAGCGATGGTAGCGTGTAAGGGCATCACTATGGACAGTATACCCCAATAGTGATGCTTATCTTTATGACTAAGAGCATTCCTGTGGAGCATTGTTTAAAGTTTTGAAGCTAGGTTCCTAGAGATTTTAGAGGAGTAATGGATGTGCTTCCTTCTCCCTATGGCAGAAAAACGTGAAGGACCTGTTGGATGTGAATGGTCTGACTACCCTGGTTGACCTGGTGACGTTGGCACACCTGCACACAGCACGGGCACTAGTGCCCACTCAGGTGAGGTCAGCTGAGGCGTCTCAGCCTGAAAGCTCGGGTCCTCGCTGTACTCTCTCCAGAAATCCTGCCAAAACCTCTCTCAACTATTTTTACTTTTCGGTCTACATGACTGTGTACCAATTTATCGACACCACACATAATGCAGGACATGGGTGCAGTAAGAAAAACACATGTATACATTTCAAACATATTCAGTAGGGAGAGAGCTACTCAAAGGCTCTGGCTAAGAAGTACTAATTATGTTACTGTAGTCAGTTCTTTGCATGAACTTGACAATTCGCAGCACAGAAATTGATGGACATCCACTTCTGCTCCTCTCAGCACCGAGGAACATGGCAGCGCCTGAGGCTTCTATATTTTCGGCAGCCGCAACCTTGGCAGTAGCGAAACGTGGCCTCCACGCCAGTACACACCGCAGATGAACTAAGGAAGCGGAAGAACAACATTCATGCTTAAGCATTTGCAGCTCATAAGAAGTGCTTAGGTGTCCTCAGAAATATTTTTTTTTTTCTCAGCAAGTTCTGGTGTGGAATTAACTCTGACATAATGTGGTGAATTACCTGCGAAGGTTCTCTTTTGCTTTGAGAGACGTCTTTGCTCTACTGATTCTGCCTCCTGTATAAGTTCCAAAGTTTATCTGCTGTGCACCTGAAAAAACCCCTTCGGCATTGTCCAGCACCGTATTTACTCGCGTAATAGACGCACTCGCATAATGAACGCACCTTCCACAACGGGCATCAAAATTTTGACTTTTTTCCCTCCCATAATCAACACACCTCCAATTTTCGGATCCCCGAGTCTCGAATTGCGTCCAATTTAGCAAGCCACCAAGCCAGTTTTCTTTTTTCGCCAAGTGGTCAAGCCAAGTCAAGCCAAGCCAGGCAGCTCACGTAATGGCCACATGTGCGTAGTTGCCAAGGAGGTTAGAAGTACTAGGAGAGGGCACGTTGCATTATGGGTGAAGCTTAGTCATAAAAAGTTTAAACGATGTTGTTGCCAATGTGACCGTAGACCTCTCTGGCGATTGTTGCGCGTGACATGTCACGTGCGAGATGGATGGTTGATTGTAGAAGGATTCCTCGCAAGCTTGCGCACGCTCCGTCCGGTAGGTTTTATCAGATCGAATGCTAGACTGTGGTGTATTCTAGTACCCCATAGCTAGACGAAGGCTAGCTACGGTCACGTGAAGTGGTCACGTTGCCTGATAAGTGAGGAGAGTAAGGAGGAAAATGAGAAAGAGGCGAGGCGTCAAGGGAGCATGGCTTGTGAAGGCAACGCGGCTGGCGTCATGCCCTCTACTACCCTTCTATCCTCCTTGGTAGTTGCGGTAGTTTCGGAAGTGATCGACCGTGAAACCAAGTGTCACGCACACTTGACGAAGCTTGGGTCAAGGAATTGCCGAGCCCCGGACATTCTTCGCTTATCAGATGCATTAATGTCAACAAACAAGCCGTCGTCTGTGGTCCTCTTCCGGACAGTGAAATCGTGAAAGTGGTTAGGCTTAGTTTCACATACTCGGGATAAATGCATTTATTCAATCCACAACAGAACACGCTGCTGCGCTGTAGGCTGATAGTGTCTGGTAGCCTCTTTGTGAACGAAACTTGACCGGTGCGAGCGGGCTTCCGGGGCCGGTGGTTGGACTTCGTACAAGTTCTTGTCTCCGTGAACGAAACTTGATTTATGCGAGCGACATCGGTGGTCGGGGGTTGGACTTCGTACGAGTTCTTGTACGCATAGTCATGGATTATACCTGACTGTGCCCGCCAGATACTAGCAATATATATCACCTAAGAACGGTCGTGTTGCTTTTTGTGCTGAGTGAGCTTCGTAGGGCGCTTTTCCTTCGGCAAAAGGCACCCGAAAGCGCCCTAAAAAGGTTTGCAATTTAAAAATTGCTGTGGCTTAGCTCGGCTATGCCAGGATGTACGTAGCGTGAGCTTATGCGCACAAAATGAGAGGCGCTATCAAGCGGCTCTGGTGCAGCGTCAGACTTGGCTACTGCGCAATGGGGGCGCACAGCTGGGCACGCGGCGGCGCCAGTGCGTTTGCCGCGGCTACGACGTCACTCCTCTGGAATGCGCAGACCGGCGAGGCGCGCGCGACGGCGGCGGCGGCTTTGGCGCGCCAGCTGTGTGCCATGTGACGTCACTGCTCCTCGCGCATGCGCAGCACGGCTCTTTGGGAGCCACGCGAAACTGCTCAACCTCGGCCAGTGTAGCTCATGCTACAAAAGCATGGTTATTGTGGCATGCATCCCCCCCCAGCCCTGGGTGTGCTTCCATCAATGGAGATGTGCCATAAGCCTTGCCGTGTCATATTGGCACCTAATATTACATTTGCACGAAGTGTGTAACTGCAAAAATTTTACCCCGTGTAATGAACGCCCCCCCTCCTCAAATATGTGTCAATTTTACACGAAAAAAAGTGTGCTCATTATACGAGTAAATACGGTAGTTACTAAGCAAGTGAATGCTATGCAGCACGCACTAACGCTGCATCGCATTCATTGCCCCTTAACATTTCTGCCTTCTACAAATCTGAGGGCCTCCTTCATCGCACAACAAAGTAATGCCATCAACCGCTGTGACCACGCAGAACCCATATTGGTTTTATGCCCATTTTTGCAGTACACTTGCTTCGATATGGCAGACACGATTTAAAGTTGTACATATACAGTGTAGACCGCATATAACGTATGTCGCGGGAGTCGCGAAAATCCGCACTATAATTGGTACCGCGCTATAACCAAAACATCAATTTTTCAGGCCAAAATACATGCCATCAGACAACTTACCTTTGTAAAAGAATTTATTTTATGCTAGATGAAAAATAAAGGTTAGTTTGAGGAAAGTCTTTATTTCACCAGACTTCTCTCTCTCTCTCTGACACACTTCTCTCTCAAGTGTGTCACACATTTTGAAAGAAATGAGTGACTTTTGCCTGGCGCAGCCTTTTAACGGCGTCGCAGGTTGCGGACGGACGTTGCGAGCGTTCAGGATTGCTAACCCTAATGACTTTTCTCCGGTGATGAAAACGCGTGAAAATTCGCATCCTTTATACGGTATGCGCCAGTAATACCTTCAACTTGAGCACACGCATGAAATGAGCCAAATAAGAAATTCGGGCGATGTTTAAGGACACAAATGCTTAGAAATCACCACTGTAGTCGAAGTAAACAAACACGACGACACGGGCGTTTCTGCTGTCTTGAGAGTGCCGCCAGGAGATCGCCGCACGAGTAGGTGGATCTTCTCTTCTAGTACGTGCTGGGTTATCATAGCCACACACAACGAAAATTCAGAGTCAAGGATGGCGCTTTTACCCGGAACGCTGAGCTCCCATCACGCCGTCGACGTCGACGATTACCACCGCCGTCATGTTTGCAGATGGAAGGAACCGGCCCGCGACCGGCATGTAACGCGCGCGAACAGCTGGTTGGGCTCGCTCCAACACCCCGCGCCGTCAACGACACGTGCATGTGTCCCTCCTTCGCTATGGCAGCTGAAGCCTCTTTCTTCGCTTCTCCCCGCTTCTTCGAGCAACATCCTTGCCATCCTTGGCATCGCGAGTGCCGCTTGCGGCTAACGCCGTTACAGTCGTCTAGTGTCGCACAGGGAAGCGTGCTCGCTGCACGGGTCGATCGGCGTGCTGCTCCAGAAACCGCACTATAACCGGTATTTCCCTTCGCGCGCCTGCATTTTAAGTGGTATGTAATTACATGGAGTTCCATGGGAGGCGAACCGGTGGTTTAAAAAAGCCGCGTTATACCCGGTCCTGCACTATAAGCGGTTACGTTGTGAGTGGTCTATACTATAGAAGGGAAGGACCTGGCTAAACTTGAACACAATATTCGACTATGGCCTTAGTTCGGCTTCTTTAGTATGTAGATGTAACTGAAGTTACAGGTAGAATCCAAGATGGCACCGAATAGGTTTGCGGCAGCAGTGGGGTTCATGCAATCGACACTAGCCATGGGAACCGAGAGTTTGAAAAATTAAGCAACGAGTTCTTTGGCATTTGTAATTTTAGTCATTGTTATTTAAAAACTGTTAATTGAGTGACAGTTCTGCAAAGACTGGAATGACTGAGCGAGTCTGAAATTTCGCTGCGTAAAAAATTGTATTGTATGGCAAGTATCAAAAAGTCCCCCTTCGCCGTACTAGCCTGGCAAAGGCAGTGGTAATACAGAATGTGATGTGTTAGTGTGGAAGAGCTGTGTATGCATGTGGAGACTGGATGGCGTGAAGTAACCCTGTGTTGTGCAAGGTAAGTGCATGAGTGCTTCGTGGATGTCTCACTTGTTGGTGCCATCTTCCGCGGTTGTAGTTTAAATGCGACTTTTTGAGAGCCTGTCGACGTGTGAGATGCAGTAGACAGAGCTTGCGAAAAACGGAACTATTGGAACGCGGCAGCACCGAGCAGAGCCCTGACACCATCTCGTGGCAAAAGAAAACAAACAAAAAAACTTTCAGCCTTTCCATTTTAGTGAAGAAGGAAGACCAGCGGAGCTGTATAACGGAAAGCAATGGCCGGCCGCAAGTCGGCAAGCCAGAGTGGAAAGGCTGCTGCCATCTATGAGCGACGGCGTTAACCGGATATGTGGCTTGCTGCCGTCGCTCCTAGATGGCGGTAGGTGTCCAAAGTTTGGTGTCTAAATTTCTTTGCAGGGGACATGATCCTGGGGAAACTAGTCCTTAACTGCTCCGCTGTAAAGGAGTCTGAGGACACCTAAGCACTTCTTATGAGTTCTGAATGCGAAAGCATGAATGTCATTCTTCCGCTCCCTTAGTTCGTGTGCGGCGTAGTGGCGTGGGCGGCCACGTTTCAGTACTGCAAAGGTAGTGGCTGACGGGTGAGCCCGTGCTCTTGTGAGCTGCGCTGAGCTCGACTGTACAACCTTTTGCGAGTTCGCCTGAATGGGCTTTGTGGCCAGACCCGCTCCGCCGCACCTCCCCGGGCCGCTGCGTGCGCTGCGCCGCCATGGAGAGGGCTTCTCTGGTAGTGGTTGTTGGAACCACGCCGCACGAGAGCCTATGGGAGCCTCATTCCTTGATGACATGCGCCAGCCAATGGGAGCATAATCCATTACTTCAATCCTTTTGGAGAGGCGATGCGTGGTTTTCGCGCGGTTTCAAAGCTGGGATGCCTCAGATTGCGGCTTCACTGCACTCCTTTGGGAGAGGGGAATTTAGGTGCCGTTTGGTGCGGCTGATGACGTCGGCTCACTCCATGGCACAGCTAATGCTTTCGCATTAAAACCAAACACTCGAAACTGCCTTAACCCATTGCATCAATGGAGTCTGCTTTTTTTTTTCTGCTTTCCTGTTGCTCTTTTTTGCGCTCTTTCTCTGAGGAAGCCCAAAGCGTGCTCTTTTCACGGAGCAGAGTGCCACCGTAGGTCTGAACACATGATGGTTTACTTTTATTGAGAGCAGCACGGAGGCACTCGAGGAAGATGTTCGGCTAACACTGATGTCAGTGATGTGATTGTTGCGCCGTTTGCACCAAACTGCACCAAAGGGCTTACTCTGCTACATTCCGCTACATCTAGCCCCAATGTGAGGAACTGGCACCAACATTGCACTAAAACTTGATTTCACCTTATTAATACTGAAAGTATGGCTCGGGCCACGCTACACGTCCGGATCATGGTATTCTTTTGCGAATTTTCGGACCTTTCGATTTTAGCCACAAATAACCTACAATCTTATTTGACCTCCCCGTCACTGTCAAACACTGACAGTACTTGGGATTTTTGCATTATGTTTCTAGTCTGCTCTGGCGTGCAAGTTAGCTTTGTTGAGTGCGCTTCTCACCGTGCTCTTGTGTACTGCAGGGAAGCGGCTACTGCAAAGTAAGCATTGCAGTTTTATTTATCGTGCTTTGCCGCAGTGCATCCAAGCGCTACAGTGAAAGCGCTCCCGCAGAGTGGGACGTTAAACATGCAAGCCTCTGGTATAGCAAAAATGGAACTTCGTGAGTGTTAATATAACAGCTCGTAGTTGCAGTAAAAATGTCTGAACACGCACAAGCGCAATGCCATGTGCTTGTCCGTGTCTACTTGCTTGTGATTGACCCTTGTGTCGCGCAAAAAACTTCGACTTCGGTATTCTGGCGATATCTTATTCAAATCCAGGACTTAGCGAGGGTTAGGTTCTGGTGGATCGTTTCCGGCAACAGACCGAGCATAGACCAGCAATTTTTAAACGCAACTATGTATGCCCCACTTTATACTCCTCTCCACCTCCGCCGCCTCTTTCCCGAGTCGTGTATACTCCGGTTCCTTGGGGCGTGTCTGTGTCTTGTGCTCAACAGCTTCGCTGGTCATCCACCTTCACAGAGTGGAGTGGCTCATGATTTATGTTCTTCCTGGTTTTCTTGGTCCTTGGGCCTTGGTTGCTCCATCTGCAGTTGATTGTGTTCCCTTTCAGATGAATGTCATTGAGGCATCTCCAGAGATGATGATAGACACGGAGAAGGAGTGGTACTATGGGACTGGTGAGGACCACAAGGGGCCCTTCAGCTTTTCCGAGGTGAGCAGGAGACTGTTCCTGGGCTGGTGAGGAGCCATGGGGACCCCCCTAAAGGCGACATTGAACTCACTTTTAGACACCTGTGCAGTGATTTAATTGTTGTGCCATTTGCACCAAGCTCTGCAATGTCCTGCTACATTTCACTAAACCGTGAGGAATTTGCGCCAATGTTGCGACAAAAGTTAATTACTCCTCAACAACTGAACTAACAAATGAAGCCCCGCTTTGCTGCCAGGCCGTTGCGGTAGGCACGTGCGAATTTTTGAAGATTTCAATCATTGATTGAAATAGCATACTATGCAATTGATTTTTTTATCAAATGCTGACAGTGTAGTAGGAAGTTTTGCAATGTTAGTGCCGTTCTACGTCTGTCTGGGTGAACTTGTTAGTTCCGTTGAGTGGCTGCCGGTGTAATGTGGAGAAGGATACCCGCAGTGTGGACGCCATGCAAGTGCATTTTGTGCTGTGTGCTATGTAGTATGTTATACTTCATGCACACCGTGCACCTTATGACAACTAATTAGGCAAATATGATTCTCTCGTTGCACTAAAAACTGGGATCACTCTGTTATGATAACCGTCAACCCTGCTCATTGAAATTTTTTTTTTTCTGCAGCAACTTACCCTTAGGTTTAAACAGCTCTTGCATTATTTGCACACTGAACGTTTTACCAAAACATCTGTAGGCCATAAAGCCATAGGGAGAGAGACCTGCCCACACTCAAATCAGAAATCGAGTGTCGCACACTCGGCAGCTGTTCCGAGCTCAGAACTCACCAGTTTAGACTTTCGGCTGTGAACATCTTTTCACTCTTAGAACATTGTAACGGTGGGCCACACTTCAACTTGCCGCCTTAGGAAACTGCCCAGCTCCTCATGCCTTCACCAATTCGCCCTACAAAGCAAAGTTGAATTTCATGGCTATAACAATAATTCAGTTCAAGGCACATGCATTTCATCTGGGCCTGTCTAATGCTTCAAATAAAGCTATAATGCGTGAGAAGCGACTTTGTTATAATGTGGGATTACTCTTTTTGAAAGGTTAAGATATTCACGCATATCTTGGCGCATTATTGGAAGCTGCGTGATCTACAGCAAAAATTCTCAAACTCCTCTATCTCAAGGAACACCTATTAAAGCGACAGCTTTAAGGAGCTTGTGTCGCAAAGAAGCCGGCGTCAGCGGCGGATGGGAAAATCCTGATTGGTCGTTGGTGTCATGACGTCACAGCCACATGATCTCTGGCGGGAATTTCAAACAATCCATAATACTCGCGTGAAATGTGACGTCACGCGTGGAATGAAAGTGATTAAAAGCATGACATGTAATGTGAATTAAAGGTCGCCACATGTCTCAAAGAATTTCACTTCATAAAGGAATTTGTTTGCCTTAAAGAAAACATCCGTAGAATTTTAGGCAGAGGCAGGATTCGAACCCACGACTCTTTGGTTCCGAGCCAGACAGGCTACCGACTAGGCCACGCAGACACGCTTGCACCGCTTGGGAACGAGTGGGGGTGTATATTTAGCTATCACGTTCCACTCTTAACGGCAAAGCTTAAGTGTCCTCCTGTAATTTTTTTCACCCCTCGAGAGCTCGGTACTGATCCAACAAAGCAGTGTAAAAGCCTACAATTGAAGCCATTAAGTGCACACCAGGGAGTGTTTAGCACATAGTTATGCACTGGTAGCTGGTTCAAATATTCTAGAAGAGTGTTTAAACTAGAAAAACACTCGACACAGGGCCAGTGGCATCCAAGGAAGCCTGTGAGCTCGGGGAACCCCCTGAGGGTACTGCAGGGAATCCCCGCGTTCCTCGGAACATAGTTTGAAAGCCCACGACCTACCGAAATGGCTTTGTCAGGCAGAGTGCAAAGCGAGCCAAAGCCATGCCTTCCGCGGAGTCTCCGAAGGAGCGTCTGCCCTTCCGCGCGTGCAGATGAAGGCGCTGTGGGCAGAGGGCCAGCTGACGGAGCGCTCGCAGTGCTGGGCCGCCGGCATGGGCAGCTGGCGGCCGCTGCACAAGATCGCCCAGCTACGCTGGGGCCTGGCGGCCACGGGCAGCGCGCTGCTGGACGACGGTCAGCTGGCGGCCACTGTGCTCAGCATGCTCATCACCATCTGCAGCTACTACCCTTCCAGGTAGGCGAGGGGATGGGGCCAACGAGGCCACCAAAGTGAGCTAGCCGAAACAGAAATCTAGTCGAACACCGCCTGGTGTTGGTAAAAGAGGAACGCCGCCTTTGTACATATTTTGAGCGACGGGCCGATCTCCTAGGGTGAGAGGAGCGACTTCTGGGACGCACAAAAGGGTGTCCTGGTAAGAGGGGGGTTTCCTCCTTCCCCTCTTCTCCAACTGTTTGGGGAACGCTCTCGCCCTTGTACCTTCGGGCTGTCATGTGCTTAACTCCGTCGCTCCGATTGACTCAAGGGGGCCGTTCGCCCTTGGCCGAGTTGCAGCGAAGCAAAGAGATGCCAGCATGGGGCACGAATTGGGCAGAGTGCTGTGTCGGGTCCTGGCCAAACTCTGATGCAGCGCTCATGTCCAGTACAGTAATCCCTCGTTAACTCCGAGTCGTAAGAACTGAAAAAAAAAATGGAGATAAGCAGAGTTTCGAGGCGAGTGGGGTGGCAAAGTTTTATTCCACCAATTGCAAATGGAACCCATCCAACAATCGCGCCAATGAACTAGACACTTGCTCACGCGGCGCCGTGAAGAGAACAGTACCGTGGGGAGAATAAGACGACTGCAGCAAAATGATCAACAAGCAACGCTTGCGAGTTGAGACCTTGAGACTGGGAAGCAAGATTGCAAAGGCTGAAAAGATCCACAAAAAACGGAGAAAGAAACGAATGAAAAAGACAGAGCGGAAGATAACATCGAGCGCGAGGGAGAAAGAAACAGTGGCAGCGAACGCCGAGCCAAGACTTGGGGAAGAAGAAAAAAAAGTAAGACAACAAAGGTCTTTGAGACGCACGCCGATGTGACTGCGGAGCTTTTTTGTTGTTTTGTGCGTTTTCACGCCTGCAATAATGCCAGACTTTGGTATCCGAGGTTGTCCCGAAAACCTTTCGAGATAAGCGACGAGTCCATGGTAGTTCATCTCATGGCAAGAAAATCTTTTGACTTGACCAATATTTCAAGATAGCCTAGTTCGAGTTGACAAGGGATTACAGTATGCGACCCATGCTGGCTGCTGGCAGGTGGTGGGGAAAGCCGACTACTACAGTCTTGTCGTCCAGAAGCTGTGGCTGGTCTATAGCTCTACCCTGCTTAAATGATGTCACTGTTCAGACTGTTATTTTGCGCAGCCTCTTTCATGTTGGAGTGCAGTGAAAGTGCAGATGCTTACAAAAATTCTAACCGGTTTCGGGGAGTGCAGCGTAGTCTTAAGAATGCTTCGCCAGACGATACACTTCCCCTCAGGCACTGACCCCAATTCATCGTCTTAGAACTACAGTCGGTGGCAAGTCATAAATTCGGCGGCAAATGCCATTCCAAGGGATTCTTATCGCTCTGCCAGCCAATCGCCTCCTCTCAATCTTAAGACATCACAGCCTTATGACATTGTCTTTACTACAGTGGTGCATCTAGCATCCCAGTTGTTGGCAATTTGACAACGCCGACAGATGTCGTCTTCGCGGCAGTTTTTTTTTACTGTTTACCTACTCTCATTTACTGTAAACCACGAAGTCACACCAACAGGGCGATGTCTCGGGAGCTGTGCTCGAGCGTACTTTAGTCGGTGACTGGTTAAGGGTTCTAAGGAAGCTCCTCCCATCCCTTTTCACTTTAGCGGGACAAACGCTGGAAAGGAGGGGACCTGCTCTTTAGTGTTGTGTTTGCTATAGTGGAGCTTCCTCTAAACTCTTAACCTGTCATCGACTGTAGAGTGTTTCTTTTCAACATTGCCTCGTTCTCTATGCAGAGAAACAGATGGCGCAGTGGTGCGACCACTTCCCCGGGCCAAGCGGAAACTATCTGAACGTTCCTGTCTAGTGCATATAGTGCAGGTGAGTGCCTGGTTACGTCTCTGAGAATGGATATACACTCGTACGGAGGGCGGGGTCTCTTGGTACCAAGCTGCTAGCTGATTGGTCCTAATAGTTTGTAGTTTTCGAGTGCAGCTATTAGGCACCCGCTTCTGGCTTGAGTGGCGTCGCTGTCGGCGTAACTGCACGTGTAACTGCGCCATCTGTTATGAGAAAATATCCCCGCTAAATTTAGCGGAAAAATTTTCGCAATATTTTCCCATTAAATTTAGCAGAAAAATTCCCCTCTAAATTTAGCAGAAAAATTTCTCTGCTAAATTTTTTTGCTAATTTTAGCGGGGAAATGTTTCTGCTAAATTTAGCGGGGAACTTTTTCCACTAAATTTAGCGGGAACATTTTTTTGCTAAATTTAGCTGGGAAATTTTTTCACTAAGACTCTTGGCCACCATTTATGTGGTGAGAGTGTTTGAAGCACTTGTGTTCCTGGCACAGCTCCAACGCTACTCGTAAATACCTGTTCATTGCTTCGTGTTACGTCATGTCATTGTAAGCAGACAGGAGTGAATGGTAATAATAAAAACAAGGTGAGGAATCATAGCTCCCAAATCAGTCTAAACAGCACAATCTCACTGCTTTGAGCAGGAAGGAAATGCACATGCAAACTGCACGTAGACAGTTGGTGGGGCAAATGTTTTTGGGATGTTGTTTGGATGACTGAAAGTGTACTCTGGATAGTGCATAGCTGGCCTACCATGCAGCACTGTCACACACACAGTCTGCAAAAGCTACTTGCACGCACACACCCTTACTATACGCCCTTCCAAAAACCACTCGGCCCCGGGGACGGGAGAACCTGCTTCCTAACTGAACGAACTGTTCATTTGGATAGGCGCAATTTCAGACACTGCTGGCAGCTAAACTCTTGCCTTTTCCCGCTGTTTTTTTCTTAGGGGCTAGCCTGGTTCGTCCGGCGTCTGTGCTCACATCGATTGCCATCCCATCTGTCTTCTTAAAAAAAGAAAAAATGTTTGCGCAGTCTACAGGATTCGAACCTGTGCTGTGAGACCCTAATGGATTTCTAGTCCATCGCCTTAACCACTCGGCCATGACTGCGGGACGAGTAGGGGGCTCTGAGATGTGGTAGTAACTCAAGGGCTGGGGATGTCATGGATGAAACGTTGCGTGTAGCCGCTCAACGTCTATACAGGAGAGGGTGCTGCAATCAAATGCGTATACAATTGCGTTCAACTTTGCATGCATTGGCTCAATGTTTATAGACGAGAGGGCGCTGCGGTCAAATGCTCAACTGCGTATATAACCACGATCCATACCACACATTCTCTTTCTGACATGGACCGTTGACTTAAGCGGTGGAGATGAATTCCTACAACTTCTAGCGGATTTAAGCTGATCCGCTAGAAGAACCACTGGCTCTACATTTCTCCGACCATAAAGTAGTAATAATGAAGTCGAAACGCAACCCGGAGCTCAGCACTACCTGTGAGCAATAAAAAAAAAAATCGACACCACCAGAGCTTCGCCCCAATCAGCATCATTCACCACGTGAAGATGCGGTCATTTTTTTTTTTTTATGGTGTATGTTTTTTTACGAGGACATTGAGAAAGCATTGTTACTTTGAAACAAAAAACAAACTGTAAGCTATTTTTGTTGGGTATGCGCGAGACAGGGCGGGTATGCTTGTAATGTTTGTTTTATTTTAAGAGTTTTGACGGCACCGCTCACTCAGTCATGTCAATCGACAAAGCGCTTAGCTGTCGACAATACTTTAAAACAGAAGATAGCCGAAAGGCGTGCATATTTTATGCGCACAAATAATGTGTTTACCGATGTGCATGACACGACTCTGACATGAAATTTAGCACATGTTAACATTAACAATACATTGTATATACCACATGGTGCAGCGTTATCTGAAAATAATTTTTTCGAAAGAGCTTAAATAACACAACACTTGTTGTGTCTGCAACAGTCACATCTTGGCGATCGGATGGAATCCAAAAGGACCTTGTTTTGAGAAATGTTTTGGGGAAAGCTCCCTTTTTCACACCAGTACCAAGGCAAAGGTACGAACGCTACTGCTCCGTTCCCAACCCCAACCCAAACAGCTACTTTTGGCGATGACCAAGAAGGGCTTTACACAGATCATCTCTGGGAGTGGGGAGAACGGTTGGCATTGTTCTCAAAATCGCCTAGGGTGCCGTTCAATGTTCTTCTCTCCCTTTCTTTCTTATGAATGTCGAACAGAAACACTTGAATGGCAGGCACTTACAGGCCCTATTTCTCACAGCGGAAGATAAGATGAGAAGGGTACGGCATGCAAACTTTCAAAAGAGGCTGAAAGACTTGGAATGCAGAGCCGCAAAACATAGGTGGAGAATCGCGCTGCAGAATCGCAAAACATAGGCAAAACTTTCTTGCTGATAGGGGGCGTAAGAGTCTTACCGGCTGCATCTTCATCAGCAACATGGTGGCAGCTTAGAGGCGTTTCTTGGAAAGGTGTACATTCATGTTGCGCTGCAACGACGATATTGCCAGGCCCATGAATGGTGTCACCAACATGAGAACACATTAGCATGGACTTGATCCTAATGAACCCTGCTGCCTGTTATACTCTTTCACGGTATTCTTGTCTGCTTTCCGAGAGATTCGGTTGCGTGCAAGAAACTGATGGTCGCCATAAAAAGTGACAAGGGCAGGCACTTCTGTTGCAAAAAGGCACAAAATTAGGGGTATACGATACACAAGCTGCGAAAACATAACCATAGAGTATGTAACTCATGGCATTCACTAATGCAGAATTGGGGGTTTATCCACGAAGCAATGTCGCCGCTTGAACCGATGGCGGCTCGAGGTGGTTTTCGGTGACAAATGTGTAGCTACGCCACTGTTTACTGTCGCTCGTCTATGGGGTGGCATAGTACATTCTAAGCTCGTTATAACAGACCTTGATTTTGACCAAGATTTTGGTCTGTTGTAAAAGGAGTATGTTGTATACAGATATGAAGTTGAGCCAATGGTATGTGGAGGAAAATCAACTGAACTTCACAAATCAGTATGCTATAGCCAAATGTCTGTTGTAATGAGCTTAGACTGTACTTGTTAACTTTGCCTATAGTGATATAGCCATGATATGTCGGCTATTTGCTTAAATAGCCGACATATCATGGCAGCACACCTCACAAACAGTGTTGCCTGTTGTAGTCTTTATGGCTCAGTCCTGCAAGAGCAACAAACAGAAACAAACAACAGCGACAAGCCTCAAAACTAGACTCTTTCGTGGTTTGACAGGCTTTGTAGAATAAAGGAGCTTAGGCTCAAACATGAGCAGCATGCACGCAAGGGTATCCTTTGGCAGGTTTTCAATCACTTGTGCTTAGTTCACGAGCACCAAAACGACTAAACTCCTGCCAAAGGAACCATCGCGAGCATGCTGCATGTGTTTGAGGCTTGTCGCTGTCGTTTGTTTCTGTTTGTCGCTCTAGCGGGACATTAGCCTACCGTAATATCCCGAGTCGTTGCCCATCTTTGAGTCATCGCATTTTGGCTGAATACCAATTTTCAAAAGATGCAGAGTGATTGCCCACCCCTACAAACACACCATTGCGGAGCGGACTCCGTGATCTGCGAATATTCATCCTTCCCGAATGATGCATCCACAGACCTTACAGTTGGAGGATGTCTGTGACAAAGTAGAACAAAGGAGGAAAAGACTCTTCTCTTTGTTTACGCATTTCCTTCCTGATCTCGACGACCCCGAAGTTGCAGTGCATGCGTGCGAAAAGAAAACGATGGAGATAACAGAATGAAACATTGTCTTGCTTACAAAGTAACCTATTCAGGGATTGCGAGGTCAGCGAACACCCCATGTCCTGGAATGTAACCGCTAAGAGTAAGGTCAAAGTTCGTCTCCACCAAAGTAAGGTCACCGCGAACCCGCTCTCACCCCCGGAACATCGCAACAGCAGTTTGGAAAGGTTATGCAGTGTTATAGACAAGGCCAACGAGCAAAAAGACATTTCCTCAAAAGCCTGCACGCAGACGTTTGTAGAGCGTCCCATTTCGAGCTCAGTGTTCCTGGTGCCGGCGCCTTAACCCGCATTGATTGCACGATGTGCACGGACGCACGCATGTATGCGCCAAGCCAGAAAGTTGCGCAAAAGTCTGCTCCTTGCTTGCGATTGACAGAGTGCCTGACTTGGTCCAACCTCAAAGAATATGCTAACACAATCACCGGCTTCCCCGCTTCTTCGGCATCGCTCTTCGTCGCTTCTATTGTCTGCTCGCTCTCTCACTCGTTGTGCCTGCTTGGTTGTTCTATTTTCTTGTTTACATTTTTTTTTTATTCACGAAGAGAACATAGCAGTGTTAGAAACATGCTTTCACGAAACTATGTTTGTGCTGTGTACTGATCGGCGGTGTTCATCGCACGTATGCAATTGGCAAACTTTGTGATAGTAAAACATTCTTTCATGAGCATTTCTTGCATAAAACAATGAAATTAATTTGAGATTCGAGTTTAATGTATCTCCTGTGCAGCCGCACCGAGACACGGCCACCCCACTTTTTTTTATGAATTTCAGGCGGCAGGGGGATGGGCGATGACTCTGAATATTACTGTAGTCAAACATGCCGTTCTACGGTTGCCAGCAGCTATTTCGTAAAGGGTCTATTGTAAAGAAAGAAGGAACAACAAAGGCAAAAGAATGAAGACGAGGCAGGACAGAGGGCTTTAAAAGACTTTGAAGAGGCTTTGCCAGCTGCAAAACTTAAAAGAAACAATGAGAAGAGAAACTGCAAAAGGAGGACATGGCGATGCTGACGCGGTGGTGCGGGTCTGGAAGGCTGAGACTTTAGTTAGTGACTGCTGCGCTCCTTATAAAACGTTATTACGCATATGACAATTTGGTAAATAAATCTAAATAAAACCAAATATTTTGTAACAGTTCATCATAACCGGGGCTCTCTTCACGGCTTTTGCACCAATTAAAACTTGTGTTTGGGCGAGTTGGTTCATACTGATTAAAAAGGTTAAAAAGCGCAACAAAACAAGGACAATAAAGACACAAAGACGACAGGACGGGCGCTAACTCGCAACTGATTTTATTAGAAAAAACACTCACTTTTATACACAAGATCATATGCCAAACCCACACTGCAACCAATCACCCCTCTCACAAGCAGTTAGTATCTAGAAACATTACTTCTTCCTGGAGCAAAAAGAGAGAAGGCATTCTAACGCATTTGTCATCTTTCCTTTTGATATAAAATGCCTCTATAATCTCTCTCTCGGTCTTGTCTTTTGATTTCTTTAAAAACTTTGTTTCAGCCAAAAGAGGCTTACAGTGAGCACATCGCCTGCAGTGGTCTACCAGGTGTCCACCCGCGTTGTTGCGCACAGAAAGATTATGCTCACGTGCCCTGTAGTTAAAACAGCGGCCGGGTTGTCCATTATAAACTTTTCCACAGCTTAATGGAATCTCGTATACAACATTGGTCACACTTTCAGTGTACTGTACAGCAGAAAAAAGCACGCTGTACAGTACACTGAATGTGTGACCAATGTTGTATACGAGATTCCATTAAGCTGTGGAAAAGTTTATAGTGGACAAACCGGCCACTGTTTTAACGACAGGGCACGTGAGCATAACCCTTCTGTGCGCAACAACGCGCGTAAACACCTGGCAGACCACTGGAGGCGATGTGCTCACTGTAAGCCTCTTTTGGCTGAAACAAAGTTTTTAAAGAAATCAAAAGACAAGACCGAGAGAGAGATTATAGAGGCATTTTATATCAAAAGGAAAGATGACAAATGCGTTAGAATGCCTTCTCTCTTTTTGCTCCAGGAAGAAGTAATGTTTCTAGATACTAACTGCTTGTGAGAGGGGTGATTGGTTGCAGTGTGGGTTTGGCATACGATCTTGTGTATAAAAGTGAGTGTTTTTTCTAATAAAATCAGTTGTGAGTTAGCGCCCGTCCTGTCGTCTTTGCGTCTTTATTGTCCTTGTTTTGTTGCGCTTTTTAACCATCTTTTGCACCACCCCAGCTCCGACGCCGCTGTGCCGGCTCGTATTGCCGCACCCCGTACGTGTCGTCGGTGCAGCGTGCAGAAACGGTTGCTTCCTCCTGCAGGTTCTGCTGACCTTCGACCCCGTGCTGGTGGAGAAGGTGGCAGTGCTTCTCCTGTCTGTGATGGAGGACAACCCTGCGGTGCAGCAGCTCTACACCACGGGCTTCTTCTTTTTCGTGTTGCTCTACACGGGCTCCAACCTGCTGGGCATCGGCCAGCTCCTGCACTACTCACACACCAGCCAGGCCTTCCGGCTGGACGAGGCAAGTCGTTCCCCGGGACTAGGGCGCCCGAATGCTTTTTCGACCGATGCGTTCACCGCACCCTAAAAAGTGGCATCTCGATTTTTGCCTGAGGACGTTGTAGACGCGTCACGTCGTGTCCGATCGTGACCTTGGTGGAGTCACAGCGGCGGTGGTGGACGTGGCTCACGCCTGTTCCACCGCAGGCCACTCTCCATTTTGACAGTCCACGGAAGCTTTGACTTCCGGAAGTGTGTAGAGATGCCACGACGACAGCGGCGCCTTCATTCTGTCGTGCTTTTTCCTGGAACTTCTATGCGCAAGCACCAAGGTCGCGGCATCCGACAGCACAACAGTCCGGCTTTTGCAACGTCATTTGTTGCCACTTCGGAACCTCTTTCGACGCATGGGTGGAAGAGCAGGCTAGACACTCCAGTTAAGGATGCGTTCCAAACACCTTACCGAAACGGTTGAGGGAAGTCTGGCTGCCGCGAAAGGCCCGGTCACGCGAGCGTTTTAAATATGTAGCATTTATCGGGCCAGCTCTTAACATTTTCATGTGCAAGCCTGGGACATAGCCTCAATGGTGCGTGCAGTGGCCAGTTGCACATATGAGGACTTCCCTCAGTGTGCGCTTAGGGACAGTAAGGCAAACTGCCTGCACCACTACGAAGGCTCTTGCTTGCAGGATTGTGTATCAGAAAAGCGAAGCAGGGGCGACAGCAGCGGGGGTAGCGAGCTGAAGTGGGAGAGGCGAGCCATGCGACTGCAAAATGAGAGCTCCAGGCACAGCAGCGATACGAAGCTAGCTGCCATTACACAGCGGTTGACTGACAGTTTGGGCACCAGTTCACGGACAATCCTTTTGGTGCAATGTGCAACGGGCGTGTGAGGCTTATTTCGGGTGGGCGAGATTCAAAGGTCTTCAAATGCTATGCGTTTACAATGCCTAAAGAGACGGACGTTTTTTTTTCGTTGAATAAGGGACATTGCTCTTTCTGTAATGTCTAATCTAATGTGTGTGAGACTCAGATAGTGCACAAAACTCTTATAGTACCGCATTTTTTGGTGTACAAGTCACGGCTTTTTCCCGGGATGTTCTCTGGGTTCATCTGGTACTGCAGTCTAATCTATGCGAGTTTTATTTTTCTAGTCAAGTACCAACTTAACCGTGAAAGATGTAGGACATATCCACATTTACGACAAAAAAAGAACGGCAGAGCACAATTCCTTCTTTTTTGCTGCACGCGGTGCAAGTCGTGTTCTATGTGGACAGCCCTTCACACCGAAGCATAGTTCTTTCAGTGACTAGCCAGGGGACAGGGGCTCCTGGTGAACACGTGCATTGTGGTGGGGTGATGGTGACTCGGTGGTGACTTGTCGGTAACCTGCCGTCGTGCAGGGCAGCACCTTGAGCCAGAGGAGCATCCTGGGCCAGATCCTGCCGGAGGCCATGGTCTGCTACTTAGAGAACCACGGGGCGGCCAAGTTTGCTGAGATCTTCCTCGGGGAGTTCGATACCCCGGAGGCCATCTGGAATGCCGAGATGAGGTGGGTGGACATCCTCAAAAGGGAGCTCTTTCCCCGGATGGGACGGGGTGGCCAGGGCATACCTCACCGCATAGTTTTTCAGCCGAGACGTTGGCTTCCATGACAAACATAAGGTGACAAAGACCGAGCTTGGAGGTAGCCAAGTGTGTCTGTGGTACAGCCCATCAATAACAAAAGTAGGAGTTTAGAAATATTCACAGTTTTTTGCCACAGTATGCGAAAAAGTGGCGGTGATAGTTATTGTTTCACATAGTGACGCATGCTTTTATGCATGTACACTTTTTATTTACTTGGTCCCACACTGCACGCATTTGCCAACGTCCCTGCCTAAGACTAAATCGATGCAGGTTATCTGTTGTGGGTTGCTTTACATCTGAGTACGCACAAGTCAAGTGTTGAGGAATGTGTAGCTGTGTCTTCCGACGCTGCCACCTGACAAGAACCAAGAGCACGCAGTTTGCCTGGGGTCTCGGGACGGTGCACGCACGACAGCACATAAAATGGAGTTTTCTGCCTGGCACAATGCCGACATCACGGATGCAGCTTGTGTTTGCTATATTGAGAGCTTGATATGATGGTCTGGCAGTTACAAAGAATAAGCTTGGCTTGAAACTTTTTTTTTTTTTTTTTTTTTTTTTCCGTATGGTAAAATCTTGAATGAACACCTGCTCTCGGATGGTCGCCTACTGTCAAAAGATTGCCTGCCCTGTTTTAGAGCGCAGCTCTTAGGCGCTCGTTTCCGGCTTGAGCGGCGTTGCCGTCACTGCGCAGTGTGTTATGGGACATTTCCCATGATGCAACGTGCGAGGAGAAGGAGGAAAGGGAAGATGGGAGGATAGGAGGGGAGGAGCTTGAAGAATGAGGGGAGGAGGAGGACGAGGAGGAGGAAGAGAAGGGAGGAGGAGTATACGCTCCCCTCAGTACCCTTCCCTCCTCCTCCCCAAGAGCTGCACTCTAATTCGGCGTTACAGGGAGTTGTGAACGGTTTTCATTTTTTTTCAGGCTAAATATTTGTGGGCAGAAACTACCGAAACATCACTTGTCCTGTCTTCATGCGATGTCCGACAAGACTCCATTTAGCTGTCACACTACCGGTTAAAACAGAATGCCATGGGGCTGCAAGTTGGCTAGTTAGAAATAAAGGTTGGCTGTGCCTCTAATAAGATTTTGTGCATTTCATTGTTCCATGACACAGCGTAGCATAAAATGCGGTAAGCATACTCGAAATAGAAGCTGTAAAAAGCGAATACTATTTAAGATTTCTCGTTTATCGTCGTCATCCTGTCTTCTTTGCCAATCCGCTCGGTCGTTCCCACTGTCAGAAGTGCACGCCAGCAATTGGCAATAAATGAAATTTCGCCAGGTGATATCCACCACCAAATTACACCTTTAGCGATAATTTGAGTGTCGATTTCTCCAGCCGATTTTACAGCGTGCCTCGGGAATCATGACACTCCATAAACTCCACTTATTATGCAAGATACTTTTTTTTTTTGTATTTGGGAGCTAATGAGGATTTGCCTTCCCACGCAAGATTTTTTTCTTTTTCTTTTTTAAGATTTGGGAGTTACTGAGGATTTGCCTTGTATAATGAGGTTCGCCTCGGACCTACATCGCCATGTCAAAGGGACGCAGGTTTGAAGTAGCAGTTGTGCCATCTGCCAAAGGGGGGGGGGGAGGGTTTTCAAAACTTTACTGTCTCAAGAAATCCTTATCTCCCTCAATTGACAGCCTAAGAACCTTTTCCGTAGGGGTGTGCAAATATTCAAAACTTCATATACTTCGCGAATAATGCTTGCTATTTTATTCAATTCAATTCGCTTCGCACTTTCTCTGTTCGAAGTATTCAAGTTCTTCAAATACTTGAAAACTACAAATAACGGTGAACTCGCTGAGTAGTGTCAACTTGCAGTCGAGTTCTCTGTCTTGTTTTTGGACTGTGCAGTATGTTTTCAAGCTTGGCAAATCCAAAAAGCCAACCTACCATAGAAGACCGTGCATCCGCCCATTCTACACTAAGTGCCCATACCCAAATTTGTAAGATCTGAGAAAATATGCACAGTACATTTATATGTAAAATTGATGACCAGACAAGCGTCCATCCCCCATTTTTTTGCGATTATCTCTAAATTTTGAGTGGGTGCTTGCCCGGTATTTTATGGTAAGTGCCTTTTTTTTTTTGTAGGAAGCACTGGAAAGTTACTTGCACGCGGTAGCGCGATCTGTCCTTTGCCTGCCCTGATGTGTGGATTGTGGAGTTGGCGAGGTGGTCGTGGTGCGAACGCTGCGATAGATTTGATGAAGGACTACGATTTGCAGCGGCAAGTGCATTGTCGTAAGCACAAACGCGACGGACGACACCACTGATTTTTATGTCTATTTGCTGGATCGCGTTTGACCTATGGACGGGAACGTGGCCACAGTCGGCCATCTTTTTGGTAGAGTTATTTTATCTCTAGCCATCGTGGTAATACGGCGGACAGCGCTATGGCGGCAGGCTACCATAAACATAGCCGTGGGTCTAGTACACTGTACCGTGGGTGATATTTCGTGCTTGATTGAAGTTGTTCCACGAAACAGATTCTTGAAACCCGGCGTGAACGGTTGCCCCATCTTTGAGGACCCGGCGAAAGTTTTACGAAAGCGCAGCTCGCCTCGAAAGCAGACCCCGTTCCGGCGTCTGCTTTCGACGCTTCTTTCCATGCGGCTATTGTTGCGTGCTGTGCTGCTTTTTCCCGGTGCTGCGATTTCGGGAAACTTTCACCGGGTCCTCTAAGATCGGGCTAACGTTCACGCCGGGTTTCATAAATATGTTTCGTCAAACTATTTCAGTCGAGCACAAAATATCACCCACGCTATTTTGATGGCAGCCTGCCACCACAACTGCCACAACGCTGTCTGCCATGGATGGATGATAGTGGCTGAACCAGCTGTACATTGGCAAGAGGTAACATAACTCTACCAAAAAGATGGCCGCCAGAGTGCCGCATTCGCGGAACCGGGCAAACGCAATCAGGCAATCATCATAGAGATCAGTGGACCACACTCACTACAGTCCTTTCTATAGCCACTACAGTGGCCAAGGTGCTATGGATTCGGATATGGATTTATAGCTCACCTCGGCTATCGGCGATATCTGGCTCGTGTTATTTTCCGCTTGATTTTCCGGTTCATCAGTTTGCCAGTATTTCTTTTGTTATTTATTTCTACTTGTTTTCACTGGTAAAAGTAAGACTTGCTCCCTCCAACAAAAAAAACAACAACATATTCTTTATTTTTTGCTTCTTTGTGGCACCCTCTATCAGCAGAATTATTTCACACGGAAAGAGACGGCGCAAAGTCAGTGCGGCTGCGCGGCGCGATCGCATGATTTTTAACTCTGCTGTCGCTTGCGACCCGCCTCCGCTTGTGTACTTCCGTTTTCATTCACATGGTTGCGTTCACCCGCGTAAAAAGAGATTGTAAAAGTCGGTGGAGCTGAGCGACGCGATCTTCGATTTTGTATTGTGGCTTGACAACCACTTGTTACTCTCATTTACGTTCTGTAACTGCACTTTGAATGGTGTTTTACTGACTGATATTTGATTTCATCTGTTTTAATGCAAAAGCATTAACTGTTCCATGGAGCGAACCGGCACTTTTTATCAATCACATGTGTGACATTTTTCTTATTGCAATATAAGTAATCTTTTCATAAGTGTTTGTTGAAAAAAACATTCTAGTTGTGTTTTGATTGAGCATTCTTGTTTAATGCTCATCAAGTTAAAAATATGTTGAAAAAATTTTCTTATTAGAAACTATTATTTATATTCGAAAATATTAGGGTTGCACGAATATTCAAAATTTCGAATAGTAGTTATAAATAATACACTATTCGATATTCGCTTCGAAAAGAACTGCACTATTCGCGTTTTTCGAAGTGTTGATTACGGCGGGTTAGCCCCGTTAAGTGCGCTTCTCACCAAGCACCGGTGCGCTGCGGAGAAGCAAAACCCGCGGAAGTGAGCTTCGCGGGTGTTGCTTCTCCACATTACATCGGTGCTTGCTAAGAAGCGCACTTAACGGTGCACCCGTGCCGACTGTATTTGAAAATGAATGGAAACTTTGTGAATGTGTATATCTACATTGTAGTAAAAGTTTCAAAATTAAGCTTTTACGGAAGAGTATACTATGTTAGGCAGAGATGCTTTTACAACCTGTGTTCATCATGCGCGACTCATTCTTTTTTAACTTAAGATTAAAGAAAATATTTTATATATCAAGATTTGAAAATTCACCCAAGTGGTATGTCAAGTCCGTCGTTTATATAGATAGAGAAATATAGATAGATTAAGCTTAGCTTATGAATGAAAAAGTGGAATAACCTTTGCAGGTTTAGCTGGGTTTTCGTCTAAGCATTACGCAATGGTAGTGAAAGTCGTGGAAAAACTATTCGATATTCGAATCGAAAATGTTCGGCCAAAAGCACTATTCGCTTCGGACTCAAAATCCACTATTCGCACAAGACTAGAAAATATTCTATTTGATTTTATTCGTAACCTTTATTATTCGATTCGATTCGAAAGATTTTGATATTCGCACACCTCTACTTTTCCGGTCTTGGCACTGATGCAGTAAAATGTTGTAGAAGCCAATGTGCCTTGTAAACATTAATTCACATGTTAGGGAGTGTTTGGGTCATAGCTCCGCTTGAGTGGATGGCCGAGGACTTTAAAAACAGCTCTCAACTCGAAGAACACTTTACTTAGAAGCGTCAAGGAAATCCAGGCACTCGGGGAGCTCCTGGGGTTATTCTGGCGATCCTAGTTTGAGAGCCTGTGTGCTAGGGGGCGTGGGCCGTGTGCAGGCGCTTCATGATGGAGAAGATTGCCAGCCACCTGGGGGACTTCACTCCCCGGCTCAAGTCAAACACCCGGGCCCAGTACGAGTACTGCCCCATCCCGGCGGTGCGCTACCCGCAGCTGCAGCACGAGCTCTTCTGCAACATCTATTACCTGCGCCACCTGTGCGACACCGACCGCTTCCCGGACTGGCCCATAGCAGAGCCTGTGAGTTCACAACGCTCGTTTTGATGGAGTGCACTGGACGTCTTGACCGAGCCGACTCTAGAGTAACTCCAGAGTTACTCTAGAATTACACTCCGGAGTAACGACGTTTCGGCCATCTTGGGGTTTAGATTCACTGTTGCCAGTTTTCTGCAACCTTGAGACTTTTTGAGGCTTGCTGAAGTTCCCTTGGACAAAAAATGTTTGATAATTCTTGATCTAGAGAGTTTCAGAAAGTTTCATTTGTTTACTCTGCATAGTTATTTTTTATAAATTATTATGGGGTCTATCAATGCTAAAGTAAAGGTAGAGGTTCAAACACTTTGAACGAGTTTTTATTTTTTTCGGTTCATTTTTTTATATAAATGTCACTTCAGGAAAACTATTGTTTGGTAACGGGACAAAAGGAAAGGCTCACTCACTGTTTTTCCTAACTGGAATTTAATGGGCAATAATGCAACTGTGGCATTGTATACTATTTTCCTTTGTGGATGTCTTTTTTAAAAGATGTTCAGATTTTGTCAATGACATAAGAGGCAAACAGTTTATTAGATTTTTCAGCACAATGTTAGCATAATATAAATTCCTTTCTGGGAATTTTATTTTCACAGTGGCACCCTCCAGGCATTCTGCTGTGTATCTAGTGAAAAAAAAAAAAACGTTGGATATTCAGTTTTTTAATGATAGCTTTCCTAAACAATGTCAGTCTACTTTAGATAGAAACGACTATAATATCTTTCAGAATTTTTGTACACAGATGAAACTTTGCACTGCATTTTGCCTCGCAACTGCCAGTACATGTGATTAATGTAATTTATATTAAGCTGAAGGTTTAAAATTTGACCCCTTGGGTAGCATCCTCCCCTAATACTTCCTTGTAGGGGGGGGGGGTACTTGCATACCCCCCCCCCCCCTACAAAAAGGAGATGTAGTATTAAATAAATAAATGGCAGCTACACTTTCCCGTCGTCCAGAAACACTAAGACAGTCCGTGGCAAAGCATAAAGATGTCGACCGAGCTTTCTGACACTGTTCCTAAAGATGAAGAAGTCGCATTTTCTAATCGTAACGATTGCCACTCGACCCTTTGGAATAATACCAAAAGGCTGCATGCAAGGTCCTATGCTTGGCCCTGCAATGTTTTTTTTTTCCTGTGATACCGAAGAGAGCGAGAGGGGTAATGCTGGAGCTAGAGTTTCTCAATAACCTATGCTACAAGGCAATGACACTTCAGCCGTCTCGTTGCTTAAAATCACCATTGCCAGTTGTCCGAAGCTTTATCTGAAATCATAGAAAACACTTTTCTGTACTCCAGAAATGTTGAAACAGTCCGCGAGAGAGCAAATCGGTATCGCGCGAGCTTCTTGACACCGCATCTATAGCTCAGGAAGTTGCACTTTCAAACCGCAGTGCACTTTCAGACCGCAACCGTCGCCAGTTGTGCCCGCTCTGCAGTAGGCAACAATATGGCAGTGCCCACGAGGTATTTGGGGAATAGCGTGTCGATACTTTAAGTATACCCCATTTAGTGGCTGTGTTTTACTTTGTTTCCAAGCAGCCATGATTGAAAATCTGTGTCGACGTGTTTCTCGCCCAGACAGTTAAAACCTGCTGCTGCTTAGTGAACACAAATTAAGGTCAACTTGTTTGTTGTTGCATTCGACAGACAGCGCCACCTATATCTTTTGCTAAAATTGACACGCATTTAACTTCACGCGGTGCACATTGGAAGAAAGTGTAGTGTGTTTTCCAATATGCTTTCCCAATAAACGGTCGACTGCCTCACTTTGAAGAACGATTCTGAAGGAAGCAATTGGCAGAGGTCGGGGCAAGTGGGAGCAATGTCTGACGAGTGCCACCATCAACCCCCTTGCATTGCCCCAGTTCTGTCAAATTCTTGACGGGGAGTTTTGCCAGGTGAGACTTTCACTGACAGGTGATGGCACTACTCGTAACAAAATGCTAGGGGGACTCCATGTTTCTTTGTTAGTGACAGGGGTTCTCAAAGTTTTCTAAATCAAATAGTGCCACGTCATTCCTGGCTTCCCCAGGGCAATGGAAAGTCGCAACATGCAGGCCCTTTCGACAGTGCCCAAGCTATGAATGACACAGTGCCCTTCGGCTCGAAGCAGCATTTACACGCCCCTCTTTAGTGGGCACGGGTCCACAGACCAAATCCTTCAGCCTTTCGACTTTCGTGAAGAAGGAAGACCAGCGGAGCTGTACTCTATACACTGTGTGCTTCTTCCTCATCATCTGTTTTTCGCGCTGTTTCCTACGATGAATTCTCACCAGTGCGCCCAACTATCTATTCTTCTATTTAGCTGGAAAGGTTGGCACCATCTACGAGCGACGTCGGAAACCATACTGGTTGTGTGCTTGTGTGCTTGCGGCTGTCGCTTATAGATGGTGGTAGCTGTCCAGGCAAGGTTGTGTCGACATACCAAACATGATCCTGGGGAACCTAGCCCTTAACAGCTCTGCTGTAAAAAGGCCAACAAAGATTTGCTTTGTTAGTCGTGGCTACGGCAGCTGCGTGTATGCAGATGCAAATAAAATTATTTGAAATGATTTGAATTTGAGTGCGACTCTGCACCGTGACTCGCAAGTGTGACATTGGTTGCATCTGCGCAGGTGGTTCTGCTGCGTGAGGTTCTGGCACGCTGGCGCCAGGAGCTGGAGCGGAAGCCCCCCGAGCTGTCCCTGGAGGACGCCTGCCGCACCCTGAAGCTGTCTGCTGACGACAGGTGGGCGGGGCAGATGCCGACACGACCAGTAGGACACTATACAGGTTGTGATTGCGATGAAACGAGACGCTTCCCTATTCCCTTTATGAATCGTTTTCCGTTTGGGAAGTTGTCAACAAAAAAAACGTAGGCATTTCTTTTTATTATTAAAAGCATGTCTCTCAATTTGCTAGCGTAGCCGAAAGTGTTTTTTTGGGGAACTAACCTAAGCCATAAAAATTCTGTAAAAGAAACACAAAAAAGACCGCCGATGTTGTATTCACGTTAACTGTATTGTGCCGTGTACTTTGTAACTGTCCTGTTTGCACCAAAGCTGCCAAATAGTATTACATTGCTCGTTCCTAGTACCACAAACTGAAGAAGGCAGAGGGTCAATTGTGAGTTGCCGGGGCCCCTTCCGAATAGTCCGGAAAGGAAGGGCCACGTAGGTGAAGAGAAATTGCCCGCTCTGCCCTAGGTCGGATGACAACAAGATCCGGCGTGCCTACTTTCGGCTGGCCCAGAAGTACCATCCGGACAAGAACCCAGACGGCAGGGTGAGTCCCGCGGCATTGTCTGTAGACGTAACGACAGTGCCGGGAAAACACCAGGGGCCAAGAACAACATGCACATTCCTGGATCCTTAGGTTTTTTTTGGCATTGCTGATATATTGGATCTATCGTAAAATACTGAGCATCCGCCCATTCCACAATAAGTGCCCACACTTCAATTTTTGTAACATTTAGAAAAGAAACAGAAAACATATCTTCACATATTGTTGACCTAAGAAGCAACCATCCCCCAGTTTCACATTATTTTCTCAATTTTGAGTATGCGCTTGCCCAGGATTTTACGGTATACATATGACAGGCTCTAGACTTCCCAGTTTTAACTGACAAACATCTGTCTGTGTCAAAAATACAAAATCGATTTGAACCGAAAAATACCGATGAATACCGTATTTACTCGCAGAATGAACGCACTTTTTTTCCCCAAAAATCGATGCAAAGTTAGGGGGGGGCGTTCATTACGCGAAGTAAAATTTTTGTGTCAGTATTTACTCGCATAATGAATGAACCTTTTATCCTGAAAAATCGAAGTAAATTCTTATCTCTTTGTGCGCGGCGCCCGACCCCGTAACCAAACTAAACTGTGCAAAAAAAAAAAACAACTCGTTTTCTTGTCCTCTTAGTTTCTTTTTTTTTTTTTTGCCGCCTCTCGCAAGCTTTTTTTTTTTTTTTTTTGCTTAGGCGTTGCTTAGGCGAAGGCTCTCCGCTTAACTTTCTTAGGGAGTTTTCGTAGATCGTTTTCGCCGTCCCGCAACGGCTCTCCGCAACCCGCTACGATAGCGGGAACTCTACAGTCAAGGCCATCGGCGCGCAGGCGCAGTAGCGGCATCTTCGTTGCGGAGGGCTTAGCGGAGGGGGAAACGCGGTCTGCGGAAACCATAGAGATCATATACTAAATCTAGAGGAAAAGGTCCGCCATTTTCCCATACATTCTGGCTGCCGCAAGCGGCGGACCATGCAGGCAGACCCTCTGGGTCCCAAACACGGTTACATCATCAGAGCAGTTTCGTGAACTTCAACAATCCACGAACTTACCGGTGGAAAAATACTCGCGGTCCTTTCGAAGGTTTCTTTTTGCATAGCGCGCAGATGTACGGCCTCGCGTTAACGCTAAACTAAACCATATATTCGGCTTCGCTGGTGGGGCGCGGCTGGGCGCGGTTGAGGAATACGAAACTGCGCAACCACCAGATTTCCGAGATTTCGACAGAAGGGAAGTTAATGCAGCGTAATGACTTTATTGCTTTTTATAAGCGTTAGAATAGCTCAGAATTTAGTTTACAACGTTAAATTATCACTGTTTATATTGCTGAGAGTTTACACTCTTCGCGTTTACCGCGTTTACCATGGCAACGTTGCTTTCTTTCTCTCGTGTTCTGTCGCTCTCTTTCGCGATCGTTCACTCGGGACCCAGGATGTCGGCGCACGGGATTTGCCACTCCTCCTCACCCACCTTTACCCCCCTGGCGGAAACTCCCTCTTATCTCTTTGCGCGCGGCGCGCGACGCACGACCCTTCCTAACCAAACTGCGCCGTGCAAAAAGGAAAAAAAAAAAAAAAAAAAAAAAAAAAACCTCCTTTTTTTTTTTTTTTTTTAGTTCGTGGATTGTTTTATTTTTTTTTCTTTCTGCCGCCTTTCGCAAGCTGTTTCGTTTGCTTAGAGGGCTTCTCCGCTCCTCTTTCTTACCTCCTTGTGCGCGGCGCGCGGCCCCCCGTAACCAAACTCCGCTGTGCAAATAAAAAAGAAAAAAAAAAAGCTCTTTGTTTTTTTCTTAGTTCTGCGGGTTTTTTTTTTTTTTTTCTTTTTGCCGCCTTTCGCAAGCTGTTTCGTTCCTTAGAGCGCTTCTCCGCTTCTCTTTCTTACCTCCTTGCGCGCGGCGGCGCGCGAACCCAAAATCCAGACTGCGCTGTGCAAAAAAAAAAAAAAAAAAAGCTCCTCTTTGTTTTTGTTTTCTTGCTTCCGTTGGACCTTTGCGAATTTTTTTTAACGCCTTTTGCATTGCAAGGCGTTTTGTTCGCCCACGCTGCCCATGCATTCGCGACCTCGCTGCACCAGGAAAAAAAAGTGCGTTCATTTCGCGCGCATGGGGGGAGGTGGTCAAAATTTTGACGTCCAAGTTGGGGGTGCGTTTATTACGCGAGTGAAAAAAAAGTCGAAATTTTGAGAGCCGACTTGGGGGGTGCGTTCATTACGCGAGTGCGTTCATTGTGCGAGTAAATACGGTAAACGTTGGTGTCAAAAATGCAAAATGTAAAACACTGGTTTCTGATAATTTTTGCTCCAGCTAGGGATATTCTTGTCAAAGCCCTCCCTTCATAGACCTCAACTCGATTCTTCATTAGAGTTTTAATGCAAAAGAATTAACTGTCCCATGGAGCGAAGCAGGCGTTGTCTGTAGCAGCAAAATGAGCCATGAATTCCCATTGGCTACGACACGTCATATGGCTCCATAGCAACGGTGTCATTGTTGCTAAAGGGCCAGCCGAACTGCTTGTAGCGCAGCGGGAGGGGGGGATGCGGGTATGCGCTGGCCTGACATTAGGCTTATCGTTAGGCTTTAAGGTCTAACATTGTCAAGCAGTATGCACAGCTGTTTGACGTGAGGAAGGCACGTGGATATGTGTCCCCCCCTCACGTCATCAAGCACGTGGCGCTCAATCGTGCACTCAAGGACGACACCGTCTTTGGCGTCGTCTCTGAGGTTGTTCTAGACATTGTTCTCTGGACGTTGTCTTTGAGGTCGTCCTAGAGGTCCTCTCGATGTCATCCTAGAGGTAGTTTTCTCGACGTCATCCTAGACGTCGCCCTAGAGGTCATCCTAGATGCCGTTGACGTCGTCCTAAATATCGTCTTCTAGGCGTCATTCTCACATCATCCTAGACGTCGTCCTTGAGGCGTCGTTCTTGACGTTGTCCTAGACATCATCCTTAAGGTCATCCTATAGGTCCTCCTAGAAGTCGTCCTAGACGCCATCCTTGAGGTCGTCCTCGGCGTTGTCCTACACGTCATCCTAAACTTTAATAAGTGTAGAAACATTACTCGAAAACATTTCACCTGCGGGACTATAATGCTTTCGCCGTCCTACACGTAAGCAGTTTTAATTGTACTCCATTTTTCACTGATAATCACTGTTTTTAACATCCATCCAAAATAGATTATTGAAATACAGCTTTATTTAAAAGACGAATGAATGCCGCACAGTATCCGTCGATTTATAAACAAACACCAGAAAGTCTACGGCCTATAAATGACGAACTAGCCAAATTTCCTGTCACATTACAATGCCATAGATGCGCACAGCCATCACTTAGGTAACAAATTCGTAGTGCTGGATTTTCAGTGTCACCTACAGGTACCCAAAGCAGTGACTAAATGCTTGTAGTGCATCTGCATTCAACTGAGGCTAGTGATTTCACTGATTGAACACGAGTGCTGAAGCTGAAGTCCAATGCTGAAGCAGCATTTGTGTCCAATCTCTTCTTCATGTAGCTGTAGGCGATGTAAAAAATTCACCGCTTCAGCCTTATTTTCTAGGAGGTGCAGGGCAAGCGTGCTCGCACATATGGTGGGAGAGTGTGCAGGAGACAGCAGGGCACAGAACAAGCCCATATTTTGGGGGAAATGAGGAGTTGCAAAATAGCAAGGTCAAAGCTGGGCTGTGCAACTGCAAGAGGTGCAAACTATATGTCCCACTCTCGTCGGAGTGTTAGCTTCGGCAGGGTTTTATTAATGCAGAAAGGCATTCTTGCTGAAGCTTACTGATTTAGCCTTGAAACGTGAAGTGTGCCATGATTAAACAGAGTTGACCGGCTGCCAAACACCCGTGCCGCATGCACCGCTGGCCACATGATGCAACTGTGAAAGAAAAAAAAAGTGACAGGAGATTGGGCCCTGAGATGCTTGAGAAGACTTTGTCTGCTCTTACAACTTTGCAAACAAGAAAACAAAGCTATAAAAGAAGAATGAAAGACGTTTACAATTCTCTGTAATGCCGAATTAGAGCATAGCTCTTGAGGAGGAGGAGGAGGGGAGGGTATGCCCTCCTACCCCCCGGTAACCTCCCCTTCTCCTCTCCTGCTCCCCCCATTTAGCAGGAAATTTGCCAACATTTTCCTGCTAAATTTAGTAAGAAATTTAGCAAATATTTCCTAGCCAAATTTAGTGGGGAAACTGAATTGGTGTTAAGGTCTTGTGACGTCAATTTTCCTGCTACATTTAGCAAGGAAATTTTTCCGCTAAAATTAGCGGAAAAGTTTTTCTGCTAAATTTGACGTGATGTCAGATTCATTCACGTGATGTCACATGTGACGTCACGTGTGATGTCACGATGGTAAAATTTTCCGCTAAATTTAACGTAGGAATTTTCCCGCTAAATTTAATGCAATAATTTTCCCCGGGTTGAATAGCGTCATGTGTGATGTCACACGTGACGTTCCGTGTAATGTTGCGAGGGTAAAATTTTCCCGCTAAATTTTCTACCAAATTTAGCAGGAAAATTTTACCATCGCATAATGGGAAACGTTCCATAATGCAACGCACGCTTACGCCGTCAGTGACAGCAGCGCCGCTCGACTCGGAAACGGGCGCCTAAGAGCTGCGCTCTAAAAGGAGCATGTGGTGACACTAGACACGGCGTCACATGCCTGGAAGGCCGAGACTGGAATTGGCATGCACAGTGTTCTTCATAAAACGCAATTCTGCAAATGACTGTTCAATTTAAATATTGACGAAATTCAACCGCAAATTTTTCAGAGGTGCTACGCACAATGATGTTCGCACCGTCTAGGAACAAAATTTGTGCCACATTCCCTTGTGCAACGTCACCAAGAGGCAACGCACAATTTATTGTGTTTTTGCCCTCCCCCCCAACTAACGGTAAACGTCCGGCCTCTGGCTATGACATACACGTTAGTATTTCTTCTTTTGCGAGCCTTCTTTCTCTCTCCTTCTCTCTTGCCTTTGCCATGATGGTGCAGGAAAGGAGCAATTATTTATAGATGCTTTCAGTGAGTCAGTTACTCTAGCTGCCACCAGTTGGCAGCGCGCGCTTTCCGGGCCGCCATAGCCGACCTTCTGTTTCTCGCCGTTGCTCCGCGTTGTGTGCTGCACACGCCACTACCGGAGCTTTGTTTTCGTGTTCTTTTACATTCCGCGTTGAAATCTTGTGTTTCCTTTAGGTCTTTTTGATATTTAGGACTTTCATTTAATCATTTTATATTTATATTTTGACATTGCTCTTGTATTTTCTTATTTATGGAATGGAATCGGTCAGCGAATGGGTCGACGATACAAGATTATGAGGCTTCAATGACCGTTTAAGTTCATCCCAATCTTACGTTTTTGTCGCTAATTAAGGGCAGTCAACACTATTGCGACATATGTCAATTGCAACTGACGCAGACGGCTGTCACAGTCGTGCATCTCGCTGCATGTGCGTGCTCATTCCAAAAAGCCGACCCGCATGTAAGTGATTTAGCGTGCGACAAGACGAGCGATGGAGATTTCTTACTGTCGCCCGTCGTATCGCTCGGTTTTGGGATTTCTAGAGAACGTCGCTCACCGTCTTGGTTGCTTGCTCCGTCGCTTCCATGCGGTTTGCCTCGTCGCGCGACTGACTGAGTGACAGCGAAGAGGGTCGCCGTCGCTTATCTGGTCACTCGCCAAATCACAAGCGGCTTATACTCAATTAATTTTTATGCACACAGCATTTAACCATTGGAGCCTCAATATTAAGTATAAACCGCATGCAAGCGATTCGGCGAGCAACGAGACAAGCGACGGTGACCCGCTTCGCTGTCGCTTGGGCAGTCGCGCGACGAGGCAAACCGCGTGGAATCGACGGGAGCATGCGACCAAGACGGTGAGCGAGGTTTTCTAGAAACCCAAAAAACCGAGCGATCCAACAGGCAACAGTGAGAAATCTTTGTCGCTGACTCTCGTCGTTGTCGATGGTTGAGACTATATATACCGGAACACGTTTTCAATAAAATTCAGTTGAAAGTTGCGCCTTGTTGTGTCCTCTTCTCTGCTTTTGTCCTTGTCTTTGTTGCGCACAAGATTGTATAAGAGGTCGTTGTCGCCGTCGCTCGTCTCGTCGCAGGCTCAATCGCTGATATGCGGGTCGGCTTTACGGAAACGAGCGCGCACATGCAACGAGAAGCATGACTGGATAGCCTTACTGCGTCAGTTGAAATTTGCATTTGCCGCAATGGTTTTGACTGCCCTTAATTAGCGAGAAAAACGTTAAAACGGGATGAACTGACATGGTCTCTGAAGCTACAGTGTAGACCGCATATAACGTATGTCGCGGGAGTCGCGAAAATCCGCACTATAAGTGGTACCGCACTATAACCAAAACATCAATTTTTCAGCCCAAAATACATGCCATGAGACAACTTGCCGTCGTAAAAGAATTTATTTTATGTTAGATGAAAAATAAAGCTTAGTTTGAGGAAAGTCTTTATTTCACCAGACTAGTACAGTTCTGTCTCAAGTGTGTCACACATTTTGAAAGAAATGAGCGGCTTTTGCCTGGCGCAGCCTTTTAACGGCGTCGCGAGTTGCGGACGGACGTTGCGAGCGGTCAGGATTGCTAACCCTAATCACTTTTCTTTGGAGATGAAAACGCGTGAAAATTCGCATCCTTCATACGGTACGCGCCAGTAATACCTTCCACTTGAGCACACGCATGAAATGCGCCAAATAAGAAATCCGGACGATGTAATACCTTCCACTTGAGCACACGCATGAAATGCGCCAAATAAGAAATCCGGGCGATGTTCGAGGACACAAATGCTTAGAAATCACCGCTGTAGTCGAAGTAAACAAACACGACGACACGGGCGTTTCTGCCGTCTTGAGAGCGCCGCCACGACATCGCTGCACGAGTAGGTGAATCTTCCCTTTTAGTACGTGCTGGGTTATCATAGCGACACACAACGAAAATTCACAGTCAAGGATAGCGCTTTTACGCAGAACGATGAGATGAACGCCGTCTACGACGACGATTACAACTGACGCCATGTTTGCGGATAGAAGTGATAGAAGCAGCCGGCCCGCGACCGGCATGCAACGCACGCGAACACTTCTCCTCGATCGTTTCTTTGTTTCCGCTGCGTGGAAACAAAGAAACAAATAACCGCACCTGTCGGTGCGGTTATTTGTTTCTTTGTTTCCACGCAGCGGAAGGGCGGAGGGACGCACGCACGTGAACGACACGTGCGTGCGTCCCTACTGAAGCCTCTCTCTTCGCTTCTCCCCACTTCTTCGAGCAACATCCTCGCCCCGCGCCATCAGCGCCGTTATCTAGTGTCGCACAGGGAAGCGTGCTCGCTGCTCCGGTCGTCGGCGCGGTCGGCGGGCTGTGCCAAAAACCGCACTATAACCGGTATTTCCCTTCGCGCGCCTGCATTTTAAGCATATGTAAATGCATGGAGTTCTATGGGAGGCGAACCAGTGGTTTAAAAATACCGCGTTATACCCTTTCCTGAACTATAAGCGGTTACGTTGTAAGAGGTCTATACTGTATAATCTTGTATCGTCGATCCATTCGCTGTCCGATTCCATTTAATAAATAAGAAAATACAAGAGCTATGTTTAAATATAGGTATCAAAATGATTAAGTGAAAGCCCGAAATATCGAAAAGACCTAAAGAAAACACACGATTTCAACGCGGACCGTAAAAGAACGCGAAAACAAAGCTCTGGTAGTGGCCGATACAGCACACAACGCGGAGGAATGGCGAGAAACTGAAGGTCGGCTATGGCGGCAGGGTCACGTGACGTCAAGATGGCGATGCCCATGAAACGTTTCCTGAAAGGTTCTATATCTAAAATATTAGAATGAAGAAAGCAATGTTACAAACATTTTCGTTGGCCCCGCAGAATTGTTTTTAAAAATTTTTGCAGCATCGGCTTATGAAGGTTTTTGCATCATAAAGTGAATCCTCGTGTGTTTGTCAATCACTTTCTGCATAGGTAAGTTTTCAAATGGGAGTTTGTTGGGGTCTCAAGGACGATAGTGAAAGACGGTAACAATAGTGAAGGACAATTCTACTGTGACCTTGATAACTGTTAATGGGAATTTACTGTGAACCGTTTCGTGTCCTGGCGCAGGAGGCCTTTGAGCAAGTGAACAAGGCGTACGAGTTCCTCTCGGACAAGTCACAACGGCGCTCGGAGGGTCCGGACCCAGTGAACCTGCAGCTGATCCTTAAAACGCAGGCCATCCTGTTCAGCAGACACGGCACGGGTGAGGCCCCTGGGACACAAGTCGCTCCTTTGGGCTGTTTGCTTGCCGGACGTGTGTGTCCGGCGTTTCTTTGAAAATTTGAATATGCGGACAATCCTACATGACACCTTTTTCTCTAGATTATGACATTAGCTCTCTGTTGTGCAGAGCTGGGTCCGTACAAGTATGCCGGCTATGGGCTGCTGATCCAGACACTGGAGGCGGAGGTAGACGACCCCCAACTGCTAAGCAAGGCCACGCCCCTCCTGGGAGTGGCCACCGAGGCCTGTCTGCACACACTGCGCTGCTCGCCCCTCAACGTAGAGGAGCTGCGCAGGGAAGGCGGACTCCAGGTATGCCCTGGTCTCCAGCGGCCCGCTTTCCAAAGCATGTCGCTTCTGCACTAAATTTTCCTTTGCTTTGCTCGTGCGGCCTGTTTTTGACAAGGTGTGGTGTGGCGGTTGAATTAGCCGAATAATGATATAATACAGTGGTTCTCAAATGGGGGTCCGTGGACCCTTTGGGGTCTGCGAAGGCATTTTAGGGGTCCGCGAAGCCCTGCCTCGTCAGCCAAGCCTGGCAATAAAAGTTGCTTTTTATGCCATTAAGAAGAAAAGCTCCAATTTTGGGTGAGTTTTCTCGTGTGTATGTCAGTGAGGGAAGTCTGCTTCACACCAGCCCTTACTTGTATCCATATACTAAATCATTATCATAACTAACCTATACCTTTTCCTACCCCTCACCACAAACGGGGTCCTTCATCATCTCCGCCGATCCACAAGGGGTCCACGAAACATCGATGGCTGAGAAACACTGATATAATATAATAGTATTTTAATGCCCCCATCTTTTGCCTCTGCAAGTTTCAGTATCTCTCGACTTATCACTGTTCAGAGGCCGGAGCCTAAACTTGATGTTCCTGTGCTAGTGGGGACCAAAGTTTCTTCATGAACTGTTGTTTGCACTAGCACGCTTTCGAGTATTGTTGACCTAACCTCTGTCGTGCTTTTGTCTCCCCCTTGTCATTCCGGTTGTATAGAATTAATTTTTTTATTGAATTTTATTTCTATGTACTATGTTATTTCTGCTTGTCTCTGACACTCTGCAAACATGCAAAACAAAGAAAGTTACCTTTTTGGGGTTGGGGGGGGGGGGGGGAGGGGAGGAGGAGGAGGAGGAGGAGGAGGAGGAGGAGGAGGAGGAGGAGGAGGAGGGAGGAGAGGAGAGGAGGGAGGGAGGGAGGGAGGGAGGGAGGGAGGGAGGGAGGGAGGGAGGAGGAGGAAGGAGGGAGGAGGGAGGGAGGAAGGGAGGGGTATAGAAATTATTTTCAAAACAAAACATTGTCTGCTTATCAGAAATTGCCACTGAAAATTTTCCCGGTTCCTAAAATAAGTCTGCGAAAGGCAGAAAACTTTAAAAATGTATTCTACTTCTATAAAATGTTTTTTTGCCTGTTAAACAATAGCAGACAAGAATCAGTACCCAGCCCCCACATGTCAAGAAAAAAGAATGGGTGAAACAGCTTGTTTCTGTTTTGTGGCAAACGAGTATGTAGCAATCCCCTGGCTTCAATCTGCGCCCTTTGAAAATTGCGAGCGCCTATCCCTAGGTAAGCTCCTTACTGACAGCCGGCGCCACTACCGTTTTGCTGTCACCACTCCAAAACGAAAACAAATTTGACATTCGTGTTTTAGACACTGTAATCTCGGTCTGCCTTCGAGGTATAGTGGCACTTGTTCACGTCGTAGATGAGAAGTTTAACCAGTGCAGTACAGTTGAACCTCGATTTATCGAAACCCGATTTTACGAATTTCTCGATTTGACAAACAAATTTGGATTCCCCGCGTAGCCTATGCGCTTGGTCTCCCTTGCTCGATTTTACGAGGGACCCGATTTAACGAAATAATTAGCGGGTCCCGGTGACTTCGTTAAAACGAGGTCCAACTGTACCACTGCTAGCCCGAGGTCGTGCACCACGCAGTAGTTATACATGACTGCACGTTGGTACGATGCTCATCCAGATCGAAACGGGCAGGGGTGGGCATTGAACCCAGAATCCCTAGGTTTTACATCGCGAGCTTTCACTCCACGTGCTCCAAGCTGGGGTGAACTAACAAACTCTGCCACCAGTCCTCCCCATTCCCCTCACCACTCGCAATTCATGAGCGTCACGATCAGCACTCGGGCAGTTCTGGATATTTTACCGTTAATGTGGGTGCTATACAGGTCGCTTTTGTCATCATAATCATTTGGGCCATGTTCTCAGACTGGGTTCTTAGGAACCCGAGCATTCCCCAAGCTCACAATTTTTCGCAGTGCCAAATAGCTCCCATAATAATCCTCCTTCATCTTTATGGCACATCTGTTCTCAATTCCTCTCGCCGGTCCCAGTTCCTAAGTAAGGTGTTTTTTTTGGAATTTGAAAGCACTATTTTAGAAGATTTGAACCATTCATTGATGCGTAACAATGCACCACACGCTTCCGAGTGCAGTACAGCCCACTTATAACAAACTTGGAAATAACGGTATAATGAACAGATCTAATTTAAGCGAAACATGGATATAACAAACGGATTTAATTAAGCAGAATGTGGATATTACAGACAATATAATGAACGGATTTAATTTAGTGAAATATGGATATAGGAACTAAACGCAAAAACAGTCGCATATCGACAACGCAACTAACATGCCCGCCACGCTTCATTCGAACGAGCGAGAAGCTCGCGCTGCATGGCAAGTTCGCCTCTTCTGCAGTACGCACCAATGTGCACCTCTGCGCTTGCACGCGGGCTATTTCGGGGTTTCAACATTTTTGTTCCTCGCTTTCCTGTCCTCCGGGCCCCGGCCCACCATCTTGTCTATTGTATGGGCAAGATGGTGGGCCAGAATACTTCAATCGTGCCACCCTTGCTTCCTTACCTAGTCCCCTAGTCTCGCAAGGTGGGAGCACATCGGCTTATCCACAGCCGCATTCCTCTTCTGCTTCTTGCTGTCTACGGACTTCCGCTTGATCACTTCGCTTCTCTCCGACTACAAACCTACGCCAAAGTTACTCTCAGCAAAGACGCGGACTTCCCCTCCCGCACTACGACTACGAAACTACGCCCGACTACTAAATCTATCACTGCCGACCATGTCTGTCCCCGGATGTTGTGAATTATGTCTCTCCTCGGATGAATTGCGTCAAGGTGCGGGAAAAGACTGTCCGAGTTCGGCCCGTTTGGCACCGACGAAGTACTCTCGGAGAGTATCCACCACAGCGAGAGCCATTTCGGCAGACACCAACTTTCTCGCGGAGTCATAGACATCCTCGTCGCTTTCGGTTGCTACCTCCACATACACATCGGTGCCAAACGGGCCGAACTCGGACAGTCTTTTCCCGCACCTTGACGCAATTCGGTGAACAATCAGGAAGGCGTCCCTTACGAAGCGCGTATAGTCGCAGATCGACGGCTACTTCGGAGCGCATTAAAATCTCGTGCTAAAGCAGCTGATCTCTCGTTTTCTTTTTCCAAATTTCACATATAGCGAAAAATGTATATATAGCAAACTGGTTTCAGATTCCTGCGGCGTTCGTTATATGCCGGCTGTACTGGGTGCATTATCGTTTGCAAGGTCTGTAGGCTTCTGAACTGCATTATACACCAACTCATGTTTACAAACAAACCGGAGCGCCCCTAGCGGACGTCACCAGCGCCGCGCATGCGCGATGGAGTGTGGGCAAGAAGCTCGCCGTCGCCCATAAACAAACAATTAAAATGCGATGTTGTCGGCGTTGGTGCGAGTCCTCCTGCCCTGTTTCGCATTCAAATTGTTGATTCTATGTCTTCCTGGCAATGTCTGACTACCTGAGTGGCCTCAGCGAAATTACCGAGGCTCGTTACACCACAAAATTTTGCTTGAATAATGTGACATGCGACGATTCATTCCGCGTGGACGCCGCAGAATGTGCGCTAAAGCCTGATTCGCATGACGAGATTTCACTCGCATTTTTCAGTCGCGACGTCGCTCAAGCTGCAAAAGCGTGAACCGTAGCTGAGATGGTCGACGTCGATACTGAAAATCGCCAGCAGAATCGAACCAAGTGAATCAGGCGTAACAAGTCGGTGATCGCCACTGGTAACAATGATCAACATCTCTTTGTATCTACTGTTTACATCGAGCCTGCTTACCAACCTTCAAACTTAAGTCTTTTGAGGCCTGCACTTGCTTCTTATTGCAAGTACCGGGCAAACATTTGGTGTACGGGCCGGTGTCGTCTAAAAGAGCAGACGACAGTTTGAACGATCACGCGGCCGCTTGAACTTGAAGGCACGCTGAACGTAGTTCGCAGGTGGTCGGTACAACTTGGAGGTTTTCCGGCGTTCATGTTGGAACAAAACAAATAAATCTGACGACCACAGATATCCGTGAATTCAACTCAAAGTGCTTCCCGCCCAAGCAATCGTGGTCCGACGGCATCTGGTTTTCTCTTTTCACGGCACATTTCCACGTCCTCGGACGAACCGAGCACTTGAAAACTGACCTTCAAACTTTTCTCCACTCTTTTGTTACGGCCCCAGTCGCAGCGTTCTGACGAGAAGGCAGGTTTTTGTCTCGTTCCTTTCAAAACAATGCAGGAATACACGTCTCACATGGGGACATCCGCCCACAGCCCTAGACCGGAAGTGCGTTCGACGCGCCACCACTGCGCTGTGACGTAACAGAGATGAGTTGGTGTATTGCATCATTGCCAAGGCTGGGAGGGTTCTCTGGCTCTCAGTCGAGGGAACAGTGTTCCCCAAAATTGAAGCGCTCGAGAACCCCTACATTACCGTAAAATACTGGGCAAGCGTCCACTCGAAACTTCAGAGATAATCACAAAAAATGGGGGATGGGCGCTTGTCCGGTCATCCATTTTACATATAAATGTAAAATTACATATAAATGTACCGTAATGTTTTCTGGTTGCAGGTGCTGGTGCGTGCAGTGTCCCGCAGCGTGGAGGTGCTGAACCAGAGCTCTGGGCCGGGTTCCCTGGAGGCCCAGGTGTTGTCCCACACGGCCTCCTGCTTGGCCGTGGCCGCCCAGTTCCCGGCCTGCTGCCAGGCCCTGGCCGGCATGGAGGGCCTGGCAAGAGACATCTGCCGGGGACTCTACTTCGAGGTGAGCACTTGACGCTTGACAAGCGTACGCGTGCCGCGCATTTCCACTGCGCCCGCTGAACAGTGCGTGGCGGGTGGGTTGGCAAGGGCCGAGTAAACTACCGGCTTGTTGGGCTGTCAGCCACATCCGAATGTTCATATGAGTAGAGTGGCATTGATGCGCCTCTTTCTCGACTTCTACGTGGCCTCTGAGAAACACGCAGTTCGAGTGTGCAGATAAATGAGTCGTACATCAGGTCAAATTAGAAATCTGACCGTTTATGGAATCGTTGACTTCTAGGGTTTGTAAATCTCCCTTGAACTCCCCGGGTAGGAGTCAGTATGATAGAAAATACCTTGCGACTTTGCTAGGATGTTTCTTTAGCGGAGCATGTAGTGTCCTGGTGTCATGATTCGGCTGGTGGCCGAGAGATAGCGTGGCCAGGCGCACGTGCTTACCCGCGCTTTTCAAGAGCATGGCCCTGGGGAACGGTTTGGGTGCACGGGCCTTGGGACTAAAAGTGCCATTAAAAAAAAAAAAATATTCGGATGCTTTTCAGTGTCTTGCTTGGGCTCCGACTTAGATATGCTTGGTCATCGCTTGGGATACTCTACACTCAGCATGGGACAACATCGAGCACATTGTCAATTGGAGACATTGGGCAAATTATTTATTGAGCGGGTAGATGTTGTCACGTAACAGCAAGTGTGCTTGTAGGTGTGGTAGGAGAATGTGTGGGAGGAGGGGTAAGAGAAAACAAGTGCGTGCTGAGGAGGTAATGGAGAGAGACAAAATAGCAGGGTCGCACAGCCCAAGGCTGGGCTGTGCGACCACTAGGAATGCGAACTTCACTTACCTCTTGCGCGAGCACTAACCTGGGCAGGGTTTTCTTTGGGAGACACTTTGCGCAACAATGTTTGTGCCGTCAATGGACAAATTGTATATCGATTCGTCCATGGAACATCACCGTGAAGCTACTCAATATAATCTGCATTACCACTGGCTTTGCCACGATAGTGCTGGAAAGGAGTAAAGCATGACTTCCCCTTAGATTAAACACTCATCTCATCTGCAAAATGATATGGTAATATAGTACCATATTTTCTGAGCCATTTTTCGTGAACTGTACATGTTTCAAAGTTGAAATTTCATGTGCTGTGGACCATAAAAGTATTTGTTTCTTTTTAAGACTGTTCATTGCGACAATTACACTGGCAATTTGGTGAATGACAGATTACGTCTACGACAATCTCTGCTCGATGCCAGTCATTCGCGCATCGATAAAGCGGGCATCTTTCGAGGTGTGCTTCTGTGCACAAAAATCTTTGATGCACAGAGCGTGAACCAGGTGCGATCTATGCACCGGGTTGCGGAGTACGGATATGGTGCGGAGTACGTTCAGAAGAATATGGTACTTGCTTTGCCACGGTCACAATGATTGCGATGAGGGCCATGGCGGGGCCGAACCGGGTGTGTCCTGGTGCACTCGCAGCACCTCTCGGAGCTGTCCCTGGTGCTGGTGCGCTGCGTGGGGGCCCTGGCGGTGGATGCCTGCCTGCAGACGCTGCTGCTGGAGGCCGGGGCCCTCTTCCCGCTGCTGCTCTTCATGTTCCGCTACGACTACACCCTGGCCGAGGGGGGCGTCGACTCTTCGGCCTCCAGCAACCAGCAGGTGGGCATGCGGATGTGCCGCTTTTTCTCAGAAGCGGCGACGGATCTCGGGCCCACTCTGGGCTGGGCAATTTTCCGGGCAATTTTCCCGGCAATTTCGAGGTTGCCGGCGGGTTGTCCCGTAAATCAGGGGTTCTCGCACCTTTAAGTCACGAGGAACGCCCATCTCCGGCGAAACTTCGATAGTCGTTGACTTGCCTAAACTTTGGTTCGACGTGTTAACAGACACATCTCAAGTTAGGGTGACCACCCGTCCCGCGACTCGCGGAACTGTCCCGCATTGAGGGCTCGTGTCCTGCATCCCGCGAGAAATATAAATATCTTTGAAATGTCCCGCATTTGTCATTGTCGTAAAAGTTACTACGCAACTCATGGCGCTGACGAACAACGGGGCACGGGGAAGCGTGGAGATATCCCTGGTGACCGATATGTAAATTGCGATGGTACAACATTTTCTATCCAAGCATAGCGGGAAGCGACCGTCTTTCTTACAGAACTGACGCGCATGCGCCATTGTGCCTCCCTTCCCTTGGTGGCAAAATATTGCAAAAAACATTGCTCACCAAAAGTTTAAAATAAGTTCTTTTAATTTTCAAATTGTGCTGTGCCAATGCAAAAAAAATTGCTCTAAAAAGTTTTTTTTTTTTTTTATATTATTGAAGACGATTAATTAAGGCAAGAAAACTGCAACTCAAAACGGTTAAAAATAACAACATAAGGAAATAAACATAACAACATAAGGAAAATGTTGGAAAAATTGAGAATCGACAGGAAACCAGAAGCCTTAAAAGATTTACTGCTTCCTCTATCCATTTGATGCATTTAGTTCTGCTGCTTTCGATTTTATGTTTTCAACTTAGGCCCCTTTGGTCAGCATATAGGGCATGAAAACTTAAAATATATCCCTGGGAGTGAAAATTATTAGCTTAATTGCCGCAATACAATTTTCAGCTGTATAATATGCTTTCGGTCAAGACAGGATATTAAATGCGTTAGCAGAGCCCCATTTCGTGGCGTGTGTTGATAAATTTCCTCGAATTGTTACTTTTTTCCGTGGTTTTTTCTTGTTTTTTTTTTTTTTTAACCTGGGACTGGGGCAGAAAGCAGAAACAAATGTTTCCTCCTCCTTCCAGTTTCGGGTTGAAAGGCATCATGGTAAATTACCACCAGTCCGACTGCACACTAAGCTCTTTTTCTCTTTTTTGCAGTTGCCATAGTCGAAATTTCGAAATATAATACAGTTCTTCTAACCCCCCCCCCCCCCCCGGTCAGCGTGTCCCGCATTTCGCTAGCGAGAAGGTGGTCACCCTATCTGAAGTAGTAATCCAAATTAGAAATTGTAATAATCTTTTTTTTTTTTTGTGAGGTTGCATTAATTTTTATGTTTGGTCTGGGAAGTTGAAAGGCTTTGCCGGCAATGCCAAAGATGTGACACCAAGTGTAATACGGGGGCAGCACAGTTTGTTTCCTGTGGGTTACAAAAAGTTTGAAGGTGCGAAATGAATGCCCTGAACTTTTTCGTATAACCGAAGTCGAATGAACTTTTTCGTGTTGCACGAGCAACACAAAAAGAAGAATGTGTAATATGTCGAGCTTTTAACTGCCCGCTCGACTTGCAAGGTATACGACGTGCGACGTCGCCCGACTGGAGAGCACGGGAAAATTTTAACATTAGTAGTATTGGCGTTTTCTCAATGGCTTTTTTTAATTATGATATAATAAATAGCGTGCCAGGAAGAGTGGAGCCTGGGTATTCCTAAAATGCATTTGGTTAGCTAGAGAAACTGCGGGAGCTTTCTTTTAATTGACCTCCCATTCTTGGCATTGATGCAGTAAAGCAGTACAAAAGCCTTGTACTGCTTTGTGCGTACAAGGCTTTTGGCAGCTTGCTGCTACGCCGTCAAATCGCCGCCCGCTTTTCTGCTGCCTCGACACTCATTCTTTATTTTGTTTGGCGCAAGTTCGCCTATTAAACATTTATTTTCAGTTCATGCTTTGTCCTCTTGTCACCTCTATTCGTGACAGTGTCGATGTTATGTGCCACTTGTCACGCAAGGAACTCTGCAACGAGCAATCCATCCTTGCAGGAGGTGCTAAACCAGCTGGCAGAGCAGAGTGTGATTGCCTGTGGCCGCCTGGGTGGTCTACTCTCTGGGGCGCAGTCGTCACCCCCGCACCCTGGTGTGCGTGGGGTGTTGGGCGCCTTGCTGACACCGTACTTGGTGCGCAAGATGGCCCTGCTGACGCCCGCGGAGCTGCTGTGTCTGCTCACTGCCAACACCCACAGCCCGTACCTGATCTGGGATAACGGCACCCGCCAAGAGCTCAGGGACTACCTGAAGACGCAGCAAAGGAGCATGGTGCGATCGGTGCGTATGAGCCTTCCTTGAGGTGCTTGCTGGGAAGTTGGGCGTAACATAGTTGCATGCAGTGTGGTTGCACCACAGTTGAGTGTCTCTCAATAAACTTGCACGCAATTTGGTAGCACAGCCTGTAATATACTTTTCAAAAGTCCATTAAACAGCACTGGTGGCCGCCATAGTTTGGGCGTCGCTTGCTGCGTGAAGCATGAGATAGGATCTGATCCAATCTGATATTTTGTAATGTAGTTAAATGCAATGTAGTTCAATGCTGTGAAGTGTAATGCATTGAGGTTGAGGTTGCATCTAACTTGTGACCATAATGAAGCTGAATGCAATGAAAGTTATCCCATTAAAATTTTGCACTGTGAAGATGAATGCCATGAAGTTGCGTTAAACTTGTGAACCTGATGAGCGTTGTGAAGTTTAATGTAATGAATTTTCATGCCATAAAGTCAAGCAGAGTGTGGTTTTGCACGATGCAGTTGTGTGCAATGTATTTTTGCTCAATGTAGTTCGCGCTTTGTAGGTTTTGCTTGATGAAGTATCAAGCAGCGTAGGTCTTGCACGATGCAGGTTTTGTGTAATGCAGGTTGCTTGCAAAGTAAGTTCTGTGCGATGTAGGTTGTGTGCTGTGTGAGTTTTGTGCATCGAGCGCAACTACATTGCTTCTTGGAAAGAGAAATTAGAGAAAAGAGGAAGAGCTAAGGGACAACTGACCTAGAAAAAAGATACTTATTGCATCTCTCATAAAAAAAACTTAAAAAAAAAAAAGAAACTTTTGGATAAGGCGTAGTTACAGGCCTCAAAATATTGAAGCAGTATTTACACACTCCGTGCGACGCAACCGGCACGCCGGCGCGCAGCCGTTATTGGAGTTAGGCTGCAAGCATCCCAGTGAAACAAGACCACGCCGTGTTTGTCTGTGTGCTTTGAGGTTGAAGCGGTACAGTTGCTCTGGGTTGACAGTATGAATGGCTGCGTCGTTAAGTGTTTCAATAGTTATGCATTGTGTCTCATGGGGATAGTTTCCTGGTTTTTCAACTCTCTGTTGTTTTGTGGAACAGTGACAACAATAGACCTGCACCTTACGACACAAGAAATCGGGTCTCGCGATCATGTGTCGACACGGCACGTGATCGGGAGACCATGCCCTGTGTCGGCACTGTGTCGGCACGGCAGATATATTTTGCACTGCCGCTTCGCATGCTGTTTATTTTTGTGCCAGCGACGCATTCATATCTCAGCACCGATGGGACGGCCCGGAATACCATCCCACACTCGTGGACATGCCGGGCCCATTTTGTTGGAAGGATGCCCTCCCAAGACGTTTCATCCACATTGCACGTGTCAATGATATTTTCGGACCATTATTACATGGAGCGTATAAGGCCAACCAACTTCAAAAGCTACGCAAGTACGAAATGTGTAGGTCACTCACTTCATAACCCCTAAACAACCTTGAAGAAAAAAAAAATGGTAACGGGTGCCGGGGACTGAATCCCGGTCATCGGCATGGAAGTTGAGTGCGCTGTTGACTGAGCTACGGGCCCAGTATGTAGGAAGGGAAGGAGCAGAAGCAGGTGGTGTGAGAAAGTGCACTGAGCAGAGAGGGGTGGAAAGGGCAGGAAGGAGCACTTCCCCTCTCTTGCTAACCAAGAAAATTTGGTGCAAAGGCTTTGTATTTGGGTAATGCTGAAGGGAAGCACGTGCAGCGTCACAATGAGACAGTGGTGTGACGTAATCTGTTTCCATACAAAGACTATCCTTGGCACCACCTGAACTAAGTGCACCACCCACCCCAGGCACTGAAAAACTAAGGGTCATCCTGCCCTAGTCACCGTCCAAACTAAGATTACCACCCACCTTAGAAATGCGTTCGGCAGAATGACCAAACATGCAGCCAATTTTTTTATGACTTCATGTGTGCATTTGTCATCAATCTTTACTCTGGAGCACTTCATTATGCCCAGTTGTTTGTTTGTTTGCACCTTTAAAATGGTGAATTGTTGGTTGTTCCTCTTGAATAAATATCAATGTACGTAGTATGTGCAGTTTTATACAATATGCTGCAAAGGGTCAGCCATAACTTTAAAACTCCTCTTGAGGACACAAGTTTTTCCAATTGTTTATTTAAAGTGAGACATCTATTCAGCAAAGGTATTAAAGAGATTGACAAAAAAAAGGTTGTTCAGTGCTTGGCCACTGCCAGTTGTGGCCATCACAATATTTTCACTGTCACATAAAACTGCACTTCAAACTTGTCCCGTTCCCCAAGAATTTGGTCAGGGAGTTTCGATAAAATAGTCCAGAAAAACCTGAAAAAGGCGGGAAGCTTGGAGATGTCATTTGTGTAGACATCCTATCTGTACACCTTGTTCCTGGTCCCTTCGTGGCACTATTATCATATTAGGTAGTTTTAGTGGATTGCTCCCATAACTCCAGCAACGATACCCTATACTCCACTGACGCCTCTGCGGATTCATCACATCGTTTGCGGGTATTGCCATCGGAGATATCAGAACCATCCGTTAAAACTCCCTAATGTATCGGGACAGAAGTACATCCTTCTTTTCAGGGGCTGTAGTATCGCCAGCAAAATCTGTAAGTCTGCAATATTTTTATTTAAATGGGCCTTCCTGCAAGTGCGAGAGTTGACCAGTTGACCTGGACTGAGTTGTGATTCTCTATCGCAGGGAGAGTGCGACGAGTCCCGCGGAGCGGACTTCCTCTACTCGTCCCACAAAGACGAGCTGGTGGTGGGTGACGTGTATGTGCGCGTCTACAACGAGCAGCCCACCTTCCCGCTGGAGGTGAGTGCTTTCTGTGTCCATCTTTTTCCCATTGCCAAATACCCTCGAGTGGACGTAGCCTCAATGTCACGCTATGCTGTGACATGGTGTCACGTGACCCAACATTGCATCACGTGGTCATGTGACATCATGCCACGTGTCACCGTGACATCGCGGATGACCTACAAGTGCTATGCTTTTTGGGTGCCTTTGGGACGTACCGAAGAAACAGGCAGCTTTTACACCGGTTTTTACGGATCTCCGAGGGGATTGCATCCACACTTTCTATGTGCTCCTTCCAGGCTGGCCTTCTAACCGCGGACATTGCGCATAATTGATAAAAAAAAAAATGTCGTACCAGCATTAAAAAGTGACCCAGAACTAGCACTACACTTTTCTGTGTGACCAGAGTGACGAGGGTCGCCAGTGACGTCACAAGGGTCACGAAGGTCACAAGTGACATCACAAGGGCAACCAGTGACGTCACGAGCATCACGAAGGTCACCAGTGATGTCACGAGTGATGTCACGAGGGTCATTTGTGGCGTCAAGAGGGTCACGAAAATCACCAGTGACGTCACAAGTGATGTCACTAGGGTCACGTGTTACGTCACGAGCGCCACGAGTGAAGTCACCCTCGTGACGTCATACGGGCATACCCTCCCCTTCCCTCCCCTTCCTCAAGAGCTGTGCTCCAATTCGGGATTACAGGGAATTGTAAATGTCTTTAATTTTTTTTTCGGTTTGTTAATACTGAAAACATAACTTGGGCCCTGCTACACGTCCGGATCATTACGGTAGGCTTGTGCGAATTTTAACAACTTTCGATTACAGTATAGACCACTTACAACGTAACCGCTTATAGTGCAGGACCGGGTATAACGCGGCTTTTTTAAACGACCGGTTCGCCTCCCATAGAACTCCATGTAATTACATACCACTTAAAATGCAGGCGCGCGAAGGGAAATACCGGTTGTGCGGTTTTTGGAACAGCCCGGCGACCGCGCCGACTGACCGACCCAGAGAGCACGCTTCCCTGTGCGACTCTAGATAACGGCGCGAGCCGCAAGGCACTCGCGGGGCAAGGAGGTTGCTCGAAGAAGCGGGGAGAAGCGAAGAGTGAGGCTTCAGTTGCCATAGCGACGGAGGGATGCACGCATGTGTCGTTCACGTGCGTGCGTCCCTCGCTGCGGTGGAAAACAACCGCAACGACAGACCAATCGCAGGTCGAGGAGAAGTGTTCGCGCGTTGCATGCCGGTCGCGGGCCGGCCGGCCGGCTGCTTCTATCCGCAAACATGGCGTCGGTTTTGATCGTCGACATAGATGGCATAGAAGCTCATCGGTCCGCGTAAAAGCGCCATTCTTGACTTTGAATTTTCGTTGTGTGTCGCTATGATAACCCAGCACGTACTAGAAGGGAAGATCCACCTACCCGTGCGGCGATGTTGTGGCGGTACTCTCAAGATGGCAGAAACGCCCGTGTCGTCGTGTTTGTTTACTTCGACTACAGTGGTGCTTTCTGAGCATTTGTGTTTTCGAACATCGCCCGGATTTCTTATTTGGAGCATTTCATGCCTGTGCTCAAGTTGAAGGTATTACTAGCGCGTACCGTATAAAGGATGCGAATTTTCTCGCGTTTTCATCGCCGGAGAAAAGTGATTAGGGTTAGCAATCCTGAACGCTCGCAACGTCCGTCCGCAACCCGCGACGCCGTTAAAAGGCTGCACCAGGCAAAAGTCGCTCATTTCTTTCAAAATTTGTGACACACTTGAGAGAGAAGTGTACTAGTCTGGTGAAATAAAGACTTTCCTCAAACTAAAGCTTTATTTTTCATTTAACATAAAATAAATTCTTTTACAAAGGTAAGTGGTCTGATGGCATGCATTTTGACTGAAAAATTTATGTTTTGGTTATAGCGCGGTACCGCTTACAGTGCGGATTTTCGCGACTCCCGCGACATACGTTATATGCGGTCTACACTGTATCGCCTCAAATAACATCATATTGATTTTAACTCTGTATCAAACATTGACAGTACCTAAGTGTTTTGCAATATTTCTCATTCTCTATGTCTGTTTTGGATGGATAGGTAGCATTGTTGAGTGTGCTTGTCTATCCATTCAATGGCACAGTAAATACAGTAAATTAAAACAAAATTTGCTGGAGCAGTAAATCAAGCCTAAGAATAATCTAAACGGGTTCGTTGTTTTTTTTTTATGAAAGCATATTTATCATTTATATTCAGATTTTCTTATGAAATTCCGCTAATAAAATGTCATGATGTACATAATCATATGGCAAAAGCTTTGTCTTCTATCTAAAGTCAAAACTGCAGTTTTATTGCAACCTTCAGAATTTGAAGAAAACATCAATTTGGGTGCTCGAAATCGTTATGTTCTAACATTATTTGAGTGGAATATACTATATTGCCTACCGTATTTACTCGCAGAATGAACGCACTTTTTTTTCCGAAAAATCAATGCAAAGGTGGGGGGGGGGGGGGGGGGCATTCATTACGCGAAGTAAAATTTTTGCGTCCGTATTTACCCGCATAATGAACGGACCTTTTATCCTAAAAAATCGACAAAACTTCTTATCTCTTTGCACGCGGCGTGTGACCCCTTAACCAAACTGGGCTGTGTAAAAAGAAAAAAAAAAAGCTCCTCTTTGTTTTGTTTTTCTCTTAATTCCGTGGTTCTTTTTGTTTTTTTGCCGCTTTTCGCAAGTTATTTCGTTTGCTTAGGCGTTGCTGAGGCGACGGCTTCTCCGCTTTTCTTTATCTCCTTGCGCCCGGCACACGACCCCTAACCAAACTGCGCTGTGCAAAAAAAAAAAGCAAAAAAAAAAAGCTCCTCTTTGTTTTTTTGTTTTTCTCTTAATTCCGTGGGTTGTTTCTTTTTTCCGCCTTTGGCAAACTGTTGTGTTTGCTTAGGCTTGCTTACGTGTTGTTTAGGCGAGGGCTTCTCCGCTTATCTTTTTTATCTCCTTGTGCGCCGCGCGCGACCCCAAAGTTCAGACTGGGCTGTGCAAAAAAAAAAAAAAAGCTCCTCTCCATGTTTCTTTCTTGCTTCAGTTGGATCTTTTTTTATTTTTTTTAACGCCTTTTGCAAGGCGTTTTGTTTGCCCACGCTGCCCATGCATTTGCAACCTCGCTGCACCAAGATAGAAAAGTGTGTTCATCTTTCGCGCGCGTGGGGGGAGGGGGTCAAATTTTTGACGTCCTAGTTGGGGGTGCGTTTAATACGCGAGTGAAAAAAAAAAGTCGAAATTTTGAGAGCCGACTTGGGGGTGCGTTCATTACATGAGTGCTTTCATTGTGCGAGTAAATACATGTATGATTTTATACCTGAAATAACCATTCAGAGCAGTTATGTACTCCCTCATCAATCAGCGTCTTGCTACCGTGCCTTGTGCTTCTATATGCAGTTAGACTGCCAACTAGGGAATCAAAGCTGTCATGCTGGAGATGCCATCAAAAGGTTGCACGGAAGCAAAAAGACAAAGTAGACAAATTTTTACATGATATTTACACTGCTAATAATGAAAATCTAATGTGTGCTTATGCTCCGAAAGTGTTTTTTGCTGCCCCAGAACAAACTCTTAGCTGCTCCGAAAGGTGCTCCAAAATGACTGACCAGTCACATCGCTAAAACGGTGAAGGGACGTCTGGAGCCCAAGGACCAACCCCGTGTCTGAGAATGTCATACCACATTCCACATGGCAGCACGTGCCTTGAGAGCACCTTTGATTGGATGCATTTTGTTTTTTGGTACATTCGTGAGATGAAAAATTCTGAAGGATGAGGTGGGGTGGTGCGACAGTTAACGTACCACACCGGGGTCAAGGAGACCGGAAGTTTGTATGCAGAGTCCACTAAACTTTGCTTTTCGGTAGCTTTCTAACCTTTATTCCCATTTGATTAGTACGGTTTCTTTGTTCATATATCTTGCCCATCTCTAGTATAAACAGTCACGAGTCTATCTTTCTAGTATGCACAATTCCCACGCCCTCTTTTCTTCATCCTACAAATCGAGAACAATCTCTACATGTTTGGTGCTGCAACTTAAATTTTCACGAGCGAGTGCGCTTTTAGCAGTGCCCCAACTGTCCAGTTGTACAAGTAATTGTGTTTTGTTTCTTATTTTCTTTTTATCATTTGTTTTCAGGTCATGTTTGGATATACCAGTGTCTAGAGTGACTATAAATTCTCAAACTGGATTCTTGGGAACCCAGAGGTTCTCCCAGCGTACCCTTATGGGTTCTCTAGCCCCCAAATAAAGAGTTTCTTTAGTTTAAACGCTAATTTAGAGCAGATCGGAACCACCCACTGATGCATAACTAGGAGAGGAGTGCTCTCTAGTATGCACGTTATTGCTTACACGGTCCGTAGGCTCGTTTATCGTTTCATTGCATCAACATCGAGACCAGGAAGGGTTCCTCTGCCCATGTCCCTCGTGGTTAGAAAGTGAACCTAGACAATTGCTTCCCAAACTGGGTTCCCGGGAACCCAGAAATTCTCTGGAGTATCCTCAAGGGTCCCCCAACTCCCTGAATTTTTTTGACCATCTTCCTAACTGATGTGTTTTTCAGTTCAAGCACTATTTTAGCAGACCTAAGTCACCCTTCTACGCACAACTAAGATTCTAACACTCCCTGGGATGTACAGGGTGTCCCCCCAAGAAATTTACAGGTTTTTTTTTTCCACTGCAAGAATAAGCTATGCATTGCCGAACGCTCATTCTCTGGCCAAATGTAGCCCCAGCAGTCTGAACGAGGTGCCAAGGTTTCAGAACTAACCATTGCCTTGTTCAAAATTTATTAGCGATTTTTTCAAATTTTTAATAAGAAAATGGCAGTCGGACGGACCTCTCAAATACACGGAGCTGAATGGCGCCAGTTTCCGAAAACGGGCTCCATTTTACCATTAAAATTATTAGGGAATTACTTCTTCTGACTGAAATAACAGTTTGTTCTGTCATCTGGTTCAGAGCACTGGAGCCAGATTTTGGCAGAGAATGAGCGTCCGGTGATGCATAGTTTATTTTTGGGATAAAAAAAAAAACACTGTGAATTGTTTGTTGGGACCCACTGTACATCATTGTTTATGGTCTGTAGGCCTGTGAACCGCTTCCTTGCATTAATGCTGGTAGTGGAAAAAATTCCTCCACTGCCATTCAAGGCAGGTGACGATTCCCCGAGATTGAAAAGTTTGAGAGCACCTGCTCTGGTCTATAGCTGTTCCTGGATATAAATACCTGCACATGAGCTTTCTCAAAGCTTTTTCTATCTTAAGGAACGCCTTTTTCTCAACTGGCAACCGAGGAACCCTGCCTGGTTTTGGCATTGAGGCAATAAATACTGCAAAAACCTGGATTCGCTAAAAAAAATTTTTTTTTTTATTCATGGATTAATGGAATTAGATCTTCCAAACCTGGGCTTAAGCTCACTCTTTCCTCGAGAGCACGGATGACCAAGAAAAATTGTGAGCTTGGGGAACCCCCGGGGTGCTTGGGAGGGTGCCTGGGATCTAGGAACCCGTGCCTGTGCAAACAGCCCGAGGAGGCTGAAGCCTAAGCGGTGCCTTGTTGTGGCGTCCATCGCAGAACCCCCGGCAATTCATCCTGGACCTGCTGGACTTTGTAGGGTCTCAGGCCCAGTACCTGCACTCGGCGCGGTCCCTGACGGAGGCACCCACGGCTCACCGTTTTGAGCAGTCGGAGCAGGCGCTGCTCGCCCTGCATAACGCGCTGCGCAACAACCCAGGCAAGAGAGCCATCCGTGCACCATTTGGCGTCTGGGCTCAGCAAGCAGACGATGGCACTCGGTTGAAAGCCGACGGCACTCGGCCGAAAGCGGATGGCACTCGGGTGAAAGCCGACGGCTCGAAAGCGGATGGCACTCGGTCGAAAGCAGACGGGACTTTGTCAAAAGCAGACAACACTCGGTTGAATGCAGACGAGACCGTCGCCCGCTTGCCGCGCCTGTCGGGAGGTGGCGCCACAGATATTAACCTCGTTTAGAGAGCCTTGATTTAAGAAAGGGAGCAACTCGAACTGTGTGCAGCTCTTGCAATTTAAGGGGAGACGTCTTGTGTGCAGATTGAGTGCATGTGTGCATGCATGCATTGTCATGTGGCAAGATGGATAGCAGGCAGAGCAAGGCAGAAACGCTTGCAAACAACTGATGTGTTTGTATTCTCATCGCAGCTTATATTGCAAACACAGCCCATAAACCATGTGACTCCGATCGAGCAGTTGAAAACACTCAAATCTAGGCACACTACTCCCGGTTAAAGGGCAACTCCACTCAAAAAGTCGACCCTATCGCAATGACTGATATCGCTTTAGGGGGTCAAAATACGGTCATACACAAAATATCACGTCAAACCTACGCCACATTACCGATTAAAACCAATATTAAAAATGTTCTCCCGGCTAGGTTAGTGGTCCGAAAGCGGGTGAGCAATGCTAGCACCGGGTGAGCTAGTGAAGCAACACTGGGCAATGACGTAGGTTTAGTCCTACGTTCTCGTACGGACGCCGCGGACGCAACGTTTCCCGTGGCATTCTGCGATTCTGCTGACGTTAAGAGGTGCTTACCACGTTATGCTGTGTTCTCCTATTTTTATTAGCGTCCAGGCAGTTCATTTAACTCCAGCATTGCTTCCGCGACAGCGCGGAAGAGAGCGAAGTGGTGCTGCTCGCTCACGCGCAAGTCGTGGAGCCAGAGAGACTCGCCAGACTCGTGTTGGACACTGTTGAGCACTACTTGTGGTGCTGTCGGTTGCACCAACAATCCGGTGCGCAACCCGGAGCTGCGGTTCCACAAGTTCCCAAGAGACCGTAAGAGGCACAAGGTGTGGGTCGGTGCCGTTCGCCGGATAGACTTCGGAAGACCGTCGACTCCGAGCTACAACGCGAAGCTCTGTTCCCAGCACTTTATGTCAGACACCTACGCACGGTATCTGCGGCTGCTGACTGTTGCGTGTTTCTCCACGAAACACGCGTCTTGAAGAACGATGCGGTGCCGTCGCTGTTCGCGTACCGTCCGCCGGCTGCTCCAGCACGATCGGCCGGACGCAGCAGGTCGCGGCTGATCTAACTAGCGTGCACATAAAGGCACTTTAGCTTTAACAACTTAGACCGCTTGTGGATACATCTGTCCATATATATCTCCCATTATTTCTTTTTCTCTCGGTCCACGAGCAAGAAACAAATACAGTCACACTGTGCCGGCACTGACCGCGTCATATTTATTGCAGTCGGATTCGCTTTTTGGCCGGCAAATTTATAAATACACGCTAAAGCCTACTACATTTGGTGCATATTAACAAAGTGAAGCGGTAAAAAAGAAAATGTGCAACTTACCTTCTGTTTTTTTTAATCTCCTCATGCAACTGAGCCGACATTGTCGGTGCGTCGGCTCGGGAGCGCGGAACGAGAACTAGGTCATGCCAATGACGCGCCACTAGTATCAGTGTTGCCAGGCTGCTTCAGCCCGTAGTTTCGGTTTCGCTGTGCCGCCAGAACGATACTTAGATTTGCGATATCTACAAAACTATACACACTACCGAAAAACAAATTATATCTCGTGATTCAAGGTCGCCGACTTCCACTAAACAGATCATAACCCCAAAATTGTAAAAATGGAGTGGAGTTGCCCTTTAATTTTGTTGTTTGGGTGGGTACCTGCCGTTCAAGATGTCAAGAGTACTGGTCTCATTTTTTCTAGGAAGGTCTCTGTGCCTTAAAATTGCATGGGGTAAGATGACCCACTAAAATATACCGTTGGTGAAAGTTCGAGATTGCTGCGCGCAAGGGCTGGTTTTTACAGCAGAGCTGTTAAAGGGTAACTGCAAAGAAAAAAAAAGTGCTTTTTTAAACAGCCTAATTGGGACAAGCATGTCACAAAACAAATATTCCGCAAAAAAACAAATTTTGTCTAGCAATATTTACGCCACAGGGCGTAATTTAGTCGGGGTCACAACTTCTCCACATTTGAAACTCCCGCTCTTTCGACGTGCGTGGAGTGGCTGTAATACTTCACTCCGTGACGTTTAGCAGCCACTCCGTGATGTATAATACCAACTTTGTGGCGTGCGATTTAAAACGGACGAAATAGCCACAAACTAAAATCAGTCTCGCGCAATAGATATTGCTGTAAAAAAAAATTTTTTTTTTTTTTTTTTGGCGGAACAGTTGTTTTGTGACATGCTTGTTCCAATTGGGCTGTTTAAAAATACACTTTTTTTTCTTTGCAGTTACCCTTTAAGGGCTAGGTTCCCCAGGATCGTGTCCGGTATCTCGACACAAACCTACCTGGATAGCTACCACCATCTATAAGCGACGGCGGCAAGCACACAACCAGTATGGTTTCCGCCGTCCTTCGTAGGTGGCGCCAACCTTTCCAGGCTCCAGCTATAATAGAAGAATGGATACTTGGGCGTGTCGGTGGGAATTCAAGGTAAAAAACAGCGCGAAAAACAAACGACGACGAAGAAGAAGCACACGGTGTATCGAGTGCAGCTTCGCTGGTCTTCCTTCTTCACGAGAGTGGAAAGGCTGAACGTTTTTTCTTTTAATATTAGAATAAGCCTCTTATATTCATAACACCCTATACGGGATGACTAATTTTAATTCGAACGGAATAAAAAAAAGAAAGGGGTGAGAGTTAGACCAGTGCTGTCTTGATCATGTATTAGGCTTGGTGGACATTAGATGAGGGGATAACTGCCACGGTAAGTTTGCTAATTAACTAAAGTATGTTGACTTTAGAATTTTTTGTCTTAAGGCTCATGTTGCAACAGCAGTATTGACAGCAATTACCATTAGAGGCCAGACGTCCTATAGGTGTCGTCCTTGAGGTCGTTTTAGAAGTCGTCCTTGAAGTCATGCTAGACGTTGTTCTTGAGATCATCCTCAAGGTTGTCCTCGAGGTCACCCTTGAGGTCATCCTAGATGTCGTCCTCGAGGTCATCCTAGATGTCGTCCTCGAGGTCATCCTTAAGAATGTCCTAGACATTGTCTTCGAGTTTATCCTAGAAGTCATCCTTGAGGTTTTCCTAGACGTCGTCCCTGAGGTCGTCCCAGGCATTGTCCTCGTGGTCGTTCTAGAAGTGTCCTTGAAGTCGTCCTAGACGTCGTCCTTGAGGTTGTTCAGGAAGTCGTCCTTGAGGTTGTCTAGATGTCATCTTCTAGGCATCATCCCAGGCATCGTAAAGAAAATGGCTTCGCTGGTTCTCTATCTTGACGTCAAGTGGAAGGGCTGTACATTTTTGCCAGGAAGGGGCACTACCAGCTACCGCTGCGAAACATTGCCGCTAAAAAAAAGAAGTAACGGCCAGCTTGGCCCGCCTCGGCATGCCTTTTAGACTTGAATGCAAGGCCTGTGCCTGTCCCGGGCCCTTCATGAATGTAGTCGTGAAGCCCGAGCCCTACTTGTGGGCCGGGCTGGCCCTTGGTTTACGGGCTGGCCCGTACCTGTGCAGACCTCCACTAACTGGGTCTCCCGCCACTCGCAGGCCTGGAGTCCCTGTGTATCGGACACCTGCGCCTGCTGTTCTGCCTGCTGAGCTTGGAGGGGTGTGGCAGCTTGCAGCTGGCCACGGTGCAGGTGATCCAGGTGCTGACAGGCAGCCAGGACTGCGTGCAGGACGTGGCCTCCTGCGGGGTGCTGGGACACCTGCTTCTCACCCTGGCCGCCTCCAGCAGTCCCCAGAGTGAGTGGGCAGCCACCCGCTGCACCAGGACGTCCTGCCTACATATGTCTCGCATTGACGTCGCATCAGCAGCTATTGCGGCGGCTTTGCTGCCGAGCGAGTTTCTTTCGCAGCAAACATTTCGCACCACCCACTTAGTTTTTTCTCGGCAAGAGCAATTCGAAATGACACCCGGCACTGTGCAAGGACGTCAAGTACGAGCCACGTTTAGTTTCTCACTGTTTTTCCAGATGGTACCACAGTCTTCTCGAGCTTTGTGTTTTCTGTACTTCATTTCGTTCTTCCGTTTCTTGCGCTTTATGTATCGTGTATCCTGGGATGTGGCATCGTACCAGAACAAAGGCTGTGGCATCGTTCGTGTTATGACTGTCAAGCAGTTCAGAGGTGTCTTCTTTGCTTCTTTGCTTGTTGTGTTTGACCTTAACAGCATTGATACGGTAAGTACTACTACGAGCGATCACGGTCATGTGAGCATTTTAGGGGGTAAGATTGTTGCTGTCCATGTTGCCATCCACACTTGCAGACCTAGTTCATAAACAGCGCCCATTTTATTTGAATAGTGTTGCCTCTTACGGGTGGAGGGAGGGAGGAGGGCGGAGTGGATAGAGGGTGAGAGGAAGATGTAGGGAAGGTGAAGTATGTGAGGGAACGAGGATGTTGTGGGAGCGAGGGGAAGTGTAAGTGGTGCCATGTGATGTGTGCAGGGTAGACAGTGTAAATTTCCCCGCTAAATTTAGATGGGAAACATGATTACTGTATACGTTGCATGAGATCAGTTTGAAACAGAATCGGTATATAGGTCACACAATGTGAATTAGCCCTCTAAATTTAGCGGAAGAAATTAATTGGATATATAGGTCACAGGACAACAATTTTTCCGCTAAATTTAGCGGGGAAACAAAATTGGTGTAGAGGCTATGCAACAACAAAATTCTCCGCTAAACGTAGATGGGAAACTTGATTGGTGCATACGTCACAGGACATCAATTGGAAACAATCAGTGTATAGGTAACATGAGTTTCAATTACCTCACTAAATTTAGCAGTGAAATTAAATTCATATATTGGTCACATGACATCCATTTCTTCGCTAAATTTAGCGGGGAAAAGTAAATTGGTGTATTGGTCACATAACGTCAATTTCTCCGCTATATTTAGTGAAAAGGGGACATAGAGACGAATTTCTGGGAATAGCGGGTTCCGGTTAAAAAGCTCTTCAAGCTTTAATAACATCTCAACGGGTAACTCGAATACAGTAAAACCTCGTTAATTCAACGCCCGCTAATTCGGAAATTCGTATGATTTGAACTGCCGATCCGGTCCCGTCAAACATCTGTATTAGTCAATGGCACCAAACGCTCATTAATTCGGAGGCAGATGGGTGCCCTACGGTTAATTCGGACGGCAGGTGGTGCAAGCTACCGCCCGTTCTGAAGGGTATGACCGCTATCCATCCGAAGCACGCACGTGCTCTTTTTTTTTTTTTTTTCGGGCCTCTTCTTCCGTGTTTTGCGCCAGTTTTGCTTTGGAATACCGCGCGTTCAACGCACTGGTTCGCACGCTCTGCTCCTCGCATGTCATCACCGCGTGCAGCAACTTCCATGGCGGCGCCGCCAGCAAAGCGGCTGAAGTACAAGGCCAAGGATTTAGCTACGAAAGTGGAAATACTGAGGGCATTGAAGGACGGCGTCTCTCGACGACAAGTGATGGAAACGTACGACGTCAAAAGAAGCACTTTGGCCACGTACGTGAAAAATGAGGCCGAGATCCTACGGGCTTTCGAGAGCGAGCAGTTCAACGTGAAATGAAAGCGGCTGCGGAAGGCGGAGCACCCAAAACTCAAAGAGGCCTTGCTGCGGTGGATCATCAGCGCACGGGACGCGCAGTTGCCTTTGAGTGGTCCTCTGATCTGCGCGCAAGCAGAGAAGTATGCAGTGAAGATGAAGATTGTTTCATTAAAAGCATCGGAAGGCTGGTTTGCCCACTTCAAAGACAGACATGGACTGGCCTTCAGACACGTGTGCGGAGAGAAAGGTGCCGTCGACGGCGATGTAGTCGATGAATGGAAGAATGTCAAGCTTCGCGAGCACCTCGCTGCATATGAGCCGAACGACATCTTCAACGCAGACGAGACAGCGTTGTTTTACAAAGCTTTACCAGACAAAACCATCACACTGAAAGGAGACCCCTGTGCATGCGGCAAAAGAAGTAAAGAAAGGATCACAGTTCTCCTCGGAGCAAACATGACCGGTACGGAGCGCTTGCCACTTCATGTGATTGGAAAGGCGAAGAAGCCGAGATGTTTCAAAAATCTCAAACAACTTCCCGTGGACTACCAAGCGAACCGGAAGGCCTGGATGACGTCTGAAATTTTTCGAGCTTGGCTGCACCAGCTAGACGGACGCTTCCGCGTTAAGAAGCGCAAGGTGTTGATGGTCGTCAATAATATCAGCGCCCACTCCAACGTGTCGGGACTGCAGTGCATTCAGGTCGTGTTTTTGCCTCCGAACACTACTGCTGCCCTTCAACCCATGGATCAAGGGATCATTCAGTACATGAAAAGCAGATACAGGAAGCACGTATTGGAGCGAATGTTGCTGTGCATCGAAACTGCGAAGGAATACGAAGTTTCGCTCCTCAGCGCAATCCACATTTTGTCTTACGTTTGGAACAACACACCTGCTGAGGTTATCGCAAACTGTTTTAAGCACAGCGGCTTTGTCCGGTCCAAAGCTTGTCAGGAGGTGGAGACCCCAGACGTCGCTGAAGACGACGACGGCCATTTCGACGGTGTCCTTCCTGCCCAAGTGCAACTTGCCGACTACCTTGCGATTGATGACGATGTTGTTGTGGCCGGTCAGCCGAGTGACGATGAGGTCGTCAGGGATGCCCTATGTGACAACGGGCACGCTTCGGACGAAGAGGGAGACTGTCTGTGTGAGGAGCCGCCGCCGCGTCGCACTGTGCAAGAGGCCGCGGAGGCTCTTGTTGTGCTCGAAGAATTTTGCTACAATACCCCTGACAGTACGAGCGCGGTGGAGCACCTTACCGCGCTAAGGAAGCTTGTCGTCTCAGCTTGAATTTCGTCAAGAAAGCAGGCGGCAATTACAGATTTCTTCCAAAAATAAAGGTATGTCACAGAGGAACGTTTTTGCACAGTTTTCTTTGTCCACCTGATATTTCGACTTTCGGATAATTCGGATATTTTTGCCGGTCCCAAGAGATCCGAATTAACGAGGTTTTACTGTAGTTCCCTGCTGACACATAAAATGTGTTTGGGACACGTTGACACCTGCCTGCGTAGTAGAACTGCGGGATATGGAACGGGGCAGCGTGGAACGGCCCTCCTTCCTTGTGGTTTAGGGAGCCTTACCGTGCTGTGCACGTTTTTGTGCTTGTCCCCAGTGCGGCTGGCGGTGATGGATGCGCTGCTGCCCCTCATGTCCAACAGCAAGCTGGTCAAGGAGGCCATTGGGAAAGGTGAGTGTCACGGCAGACGCTTTGTCACACTTCCTTCTGCTGCTGGGTCTTAGTTGGAAGTGCTTGGAATAAAAAGATATTGCTGTTTCAAAGGGATGGAAGAGCAGAGTTCCTTTAACTGCACTAGCCAAATGCTCCTCCGCACATGGATGCGAAAGTGTTCGCACAGCCTAGTTGGTTGTACAGCTAGGTTTAAAACTGGCCAGCAACCAATCTTTTTTAGTGACCTTGGCGATTCTGGCAAGTCCTTTGGCAGCAGTCGGATGCCCCCACCAGGTGGGGCGTGGGCAGGGGCGATTTCGGGAAGAGGTGCAACCTCACGCTTGGTGGGTAACGACTCGGGAAATTATTGTATCTGCAAATTGGGGACGCAACAGAACTGCGCAAGTGCATGGACCAGCAAAACAAGAAATGAAAGAACTGAAGCCCGGTATCGTTGGCCACGTTTGTTTTCGTCGCCGAATTGGGATTTCAATCTGTGTCACCTTGCGGCCACAACGTGAACCAAACGTACAAAAGTGGCAAATTAACTGGGTAGGTGTGTGCCGAAGGCTTGTATTATCCGGTCATTATTTCCTGGGAATTGCGAGACCCTTAAAGATTTAGGAATTGGTCAAGATTTCAAATAAACTGCTATTGAGTTATCATTGTTCTGCTTACGAATTTCTGGAGTAATATTTCCATTGTTCCCGAACAGCTGTCACCCTGACGTATAGTCTTCCCAAGAGAGTGGAACTGCCACCGCTTGCCGAACTTGGCCTAAACAATTCCACACATAGCTGGTTTCTAGTTTGACCAGATAGCATATATTCTCACAGAAGAAATGATTAGAAACTCGATTTTACGAAAGTTACGATTTCTTTAAATTATCATTCCCCTACAAATTCTCATGGGGCTCCATGCTCTGGTGAAGTCAAAATAATTAAATAAATTTGACAGTCAACCAGAGTTTAACGAGGCAATCCTGGAAAAAGAATAAGTGCAAATTGGGATAATTTCACAGGTATTTCGTTTAGAATGCCTCAAAATTTGTTGTTGGCATGTCAGCAATAAGATTGCGTGACCTCAGTTTTGTTTTTACGGAAAAAGAAACCTGACTCTTCGGGCTTTTTGTCAGTTATGCTATAAATGGTGCTAGCTGTTTTATGGCATTTTGTTCATGTCGCACACGACAGGTGGCACCGATGAAGTTTGCCACCTGTTCGGTTACATTCGGTGCTGGTTCGCCCTCCAGTTTGACCTAACGACGGGCGTGGCGGATATGAATGGCAGGATGTTGCCAAGACAAGAGCGGTAGTCAGGTCTTTCAGTGGCCGCGCCTCCAGTTCAAGCTTTTTACTTGGTGCTTCCGTGTCTCGTGATCTTCGAGCAACCAACACACGATGGAGTACAACGAGTGCTTGTTGGATGCTAAGAAAGAGACGACGCCGTGCGCTTATTCCATCGTTGATTTTTGCTTCACCTTGAAAGGAAGCTTCGAAGGAAAAAAAGCGCTTGCTTTCGAAGAAAACACGAAAATCATTCATGCTTGGATTAAAAAGTGCACTCTTTTTGCATCTCTGGTGGGGCACGTGGACTTCAGTACGAGCCTAGGCTGGCCTTCACGGTTTGCCGATGGAGGGGCACGGATTGTGGTGTGAGGAAACTCTTAAACTCATTTTCTTGAGAGTTCTAAGGTTTCCTTCACGCACTAGCGGTGCGGGTCATCTTTGGAAACGAATTTCATACGCGCGTAAATCAGATTTTTTAGCGTGCGAACATTTTGGAAGTCCAATATCGCTCTAGCTCTCTAAAAGCCGCTACATTAAAGCTAGGTTTACCGAATTCAATGCCCGAGAAATGCCATTTTCGATTTAACGAAGTTCCCGGTTTAACAAACCAATCCGTGGCTTCCGTCGGCATCGTTAGATCAAGTTTTAACTGTAGTCAGTTGAACTCTATTATCATGAGCTTATGTTGCATTAGGTTGCAGAGCTTATGTCTGCTCATATCAAGAGTTGTAGAGACATCCATGCTTCGTTCAAAGCATGGCAACCAGTTTAAGGAGTAACTTTGCATGCAACATATGAAGCATGGATGTCCCGGTAACTCATACAAGTAACATAAGAAAACATGTGCAAATTCTTTCGCGTGAATGGGTCTTCACACGCGCGACATGAGACTTAAGTGAGACAAAATTAGGTGGGCAGGTTGTTTTTACCGTGGTTGTTTTAGTGCAACAACTGTTTGCCGTTGGACGCACCCTTTGCCGTGGAAGTGCGTGCGTGTAGCAGCGTGTGTCCCCCTTGTGCCCAGGGGCGCTGGTGTATCTACTGGACCAGTGGTGCAACGGCCAGCAGGGGTCGCTGCGTGAGCGCACGGCGGAGCTGCTGGTCAAGATGGCGGCAGACAAGCTGCACGGGGCGCGCCTGCAGCGCAACCTGGAACGCTTCCTGCCGCCCCTCTTTCTGGACGCCATGCGGCAGAGCCCCACCGAGGCCCTGCACCTCTTCCAGGGTGGGTGCCCCTCCCTGCACACCTTAGGTTCCCCTATTCGGGGCTTGCCTTCCTTTGCCACCCAAGTTTATTTCGGGGCTTGGGTGATACAGATTTAGGGAACTTAGTTCTGTGTCAGTTCTGAACTAGGGGACTAGGCTCTTGATTCTTAGGGAACTGAGCTCTGTGCCAGTTCTGAACTAGGGGATTAGGTTCTTCAGGTTCCTAAGGAACCGAGCTCTGTGCTGCTCGCATGGTGGTTATGTCCACCCCTAAAAAATTCCTGGGGAGAACCCTGTCTGTGTACATAAATTGTAAAGGAAATTATGTTGTTTTTAATAGGAACACACCAACATTGCTTAGTAAAACTAGAAAAAAAAAAGCTAATATAATACCCAACATTTTTCTTCACCAGATATGCAGCAGAATGCCTGGAGGGCGCAACTGTAAAAACGAAATTTCGAAAAAGTAATATAGTTTAAGCTAACAATATGCTGAAAAATCAAATATATTTTTTGCCTTTTGTGATGTCGACAAAATCTTAACATCCTTTATAAAAGACATCCACAAAGTAAAAAATAAAATGCCACAGTTGCATTATTGCTCACGAAATTCCAGTTAGAAAAAACAATGAGTGAGCCTCTCCTTTTGTCCCATTACTAAACAATAATTTTCCTAAAGTGAAATTTATGCCAAAAAATTGAACAGAGAAAAACACGTTCAAACTGTTTGAACCTTTTTCTTTAGCATTGATGGACCGAAAATAATTTATAAAAAAATAACTGTGCAGTGTGAACATACGAAACTTTCTGGGAATACTCTAGGTGTTGGCGAATGTAAATATGTAATTTTTCAAAATCAACTTGTTTTTCAGAATTTCATTTTTTTGGGTAGCGTCCACCCTTAAGTTAAGAGTTCCTCTTTTGAATCCCGTTTTAAGATGGTAATATTGTTACCAGTCTATGTCGAGCGCCGACGCTTGAGGCAAGCATGAGGCGGACACCTGACTGTTCACAATTTTGGGGCAGACAAGAGCGTCCATGCACCAAGATCTATTTCAATGTGTAGAGGTAAACTGAGCCCCGAATCCCTCTTGTCACAGGCAACCAAGAAAACCCGGAGCTGGTGTGGAACGAGGAGTGCCGTGAGCGCCTGTGCAGTGGAGTACAGCGCCTCGCGCAGGAGTGAGTAGACCGGTGGCGGCGGGGAGAGTGCCACCCGTGCTGATTGGTCTCCTTACTTTTGCAGGCAGCTGCAGCTGCACAGGAAGGACCCAGATGCCCTCTGTAAGGTGAGGGACGCTCGTAGAGGCGGGCAATGGATAGTTGTGACAGTGGTGAACAAATCTTCCTTTGTGTGCGTCGGTGCATTGTACAGTTCAGTTCACAAACCAAGGAGGTGACGGTATGGCAGCTTCGTTGGCTTTTGCTTGTCTCGTGCTGTTTATGTTGGGATGTCTTTTAAAGCGGTAGCTTTTTAGACCCAACCACACGCAAGGTCATGTAACACCCATGGCTGAAGCATAAGGTTGAAATCACCGGTCGCTTAAGCGCTGGTTGCGTAAGCTCCGTTCGCGTAGGCACCAGTCGCGTAAGCTGCAGCTGTAGCTGAAGCTGACATGACGATGTCGTCCTAGAGGCCATCCTTGAGGTCGTCCTAGACATCATTGTTGACGTCGTCCTCTAGTACAACGTCCTAGACGCTGTCCTTGATGTTCTTCTCGACGTCATCCTAGATGTCGTCCTTGAGGTCATCCTAGACTCCATCCTTCACGTTGTCCTTGAGGTTGTCCTAGATGTTCCCTTGAAGTCGTCCTCTAGGACGTCGTCCTAAATGCGATCCTTGATGTCGTCTGCGTCTTAGGCGCCGTCCTTGATGTTGTCCTTGTTGTTGTCCTTGAGGTCGTCCTAGAGGACCTCGACGTCGTTCTTGATACCATTCTTTAGGACGTTGTGCTAGACGCTGGCCTTGACGTCGTCCTCGATGTATGTATGACATAGTACAACCATATTATCACTGTACCTATTCCTTTCCTAATCGTTTTCACTAACGATGTTCCTGTAAAGCTACTGTATTTCATAGCATTTGTTCGAATGAGCAAACCTGCATAAATTTTTTTACAATAATAGCTCTTATGGGCTTTTCCCACCACTAGAAATGACACCCGTTGTTGATGTAGTTGTTGATGTTGTAGTTGTTGTCGTTGTTGTAGTTTACATTGTAGGGTGTCCGTTGTTGATCATGCCAAATCCTTGAAAAAGATTGCCCACCGCTTGCGGGAATCGAACCTGGGTCCGCTCCGTGGGAAGCGGAGACGGTACTGCTGATCTATGCTGCAGCATTAACAACCCGTCTTTATATATAGGGTTTTTTGTAGTATGCGATGCCCACTGCACGCACACTCTGGAACGATACAAAGAAATAACCGATAACAAAATACTGCCGTTGCACTGTCAATGCCAAGAGCTTGTGTTTGGTAATTCCAGTTTCCCAGAGTGGATGGCTTTGTGGGAAGAGTTTTTGAAGGGTTCTGAAACATTTTTTTTTTTAATTCTGAGCTATATGTCTATTTGGAATCCTTGTCCTTTGTTATACTACCACATTAATTTTTTTTAATGTCCGGATTCATTTATTAACGCAAAAAGATAATTTCGGTTTTCCAGGAAACTTCCCTCTTGGTTCCATAAATGCAGTCGCCGACCGATTATTCGGACTTCGTAGGGACCAAAAAAACGTCCGAATAATAGAGCAGTCCGAAAAATCAGCAGATTGAAAAGCTTGCCTTTATTACTTCCAGGTGGGCTTAAAAAAGCCGTAAATAATGCCTTGCTTCAGGTTATGCCTGCGTGCCTTGTTTTAGGGTACAGCTACGCCTCGGCAACTTTCTGTTAGCTCTAGAATCTCTGCTTTCTTTTATAGCGTTATGGTCGCATACTTTCTGCGCTTCTTAACGACACATCGCGGCGGCAGAAGAAGAGATGGGGCCATGACGTCCAAGCCAGCGGTGTCCGAACGGGATGAGGCGCAAATCAACGAGCACAAAATGGCGACTGGCGACGCGAAAGTGGGGCGGAGGCACGAAGGGATGGAAGAAAGCAAAGCAAAATGATGATGATGATGATGATGACGTGCAGCTAAATGGAAAAACTAGGGAGGCTCAAGTGAGGGGGGGTGCAACTGCTAGATCGGACTCATGGGATATGGATGCCATTTACAGTATAGACCACTTACAACGTAACCGCTTATAGTGCAGGACCGGGTATAACGCGGCTTTTTTAAACCACCGGTTCGCCTCCCATAGACCTCTATGTAATTGCATACCGCTTAAAATGCAGGCGCGCGATGGGAAATACGGGTTATAGTGCGGTTTCTGGCACAGCCCGCCGACGCAGCAAGCACGCTTCCCTGTGCGACACTAGATAACGGCGCGAGCCGCAAACGGCACTCGCGGGGCAAGGAGGTTGCTCGAAGAAGTGGGGAGAAGCGAAGAGAGGCTTCAGTTGCCATAGCGACGGAGGGACGCACGCACGCACGTGTCGTTCACGTGCATGCGTTCAATGCTGCATTGGAAACAATCGTAACGACAGACCAATCGCAGGTCGAAGTGAAGTGTTAGCGCGCGTTGCATGCCGGTCGCGGGCCGGCCGGGCCGGCTTCTTCTATCGGCAAATATGGCGTCGGTTGTGATCGTCGACATAGACGGCGTGGTGGAAGCTCATCGTTCCGCGTAAAAGCACTTTCCTTGACTATGAATTTTCGTTGTGTGTCGCTATGATAACCCAGCACGTACTAGAAGGGAAGATCCACCTACTCGTGCGGCGATGTTGTGGCGGCACTCTCAAGACAGCAGAAACGCCCGTGTCGTCGTGTTTGTTTACTTCGACTACAGTGGTGCTTTCTAAGCATTTGTGTTTTCGAACATCGCCCGGATTTCTTATTTGGAGCATTTCATGCCTGTGCTCAAGTTGAAGGTATTACTGGCGCGTACCGTATAAAGGATGCGAATTTTCACGCGTTTTCATCACCGGAGAAAAGTGATTACGGTTAGCAATTCTGAACGCTCGCAACGTCCGTCCGCAACCCGCGACGCCGTTAAAAGGCTGCGCCAGGCGAAAGTCGCTCATTCCTTTCAAAATGTTTGACACACTTGAGAGAGAAGTTGACTAGTCTGGTGAAATAAAGACTTTCGTCAAACTAAGCTTTATTTTTCATCTAACATAAAATAAATTGTTTTACAAAGGTAAATTGTCTCATGGCATGTATTTTGGCCTGAAAAATTGAAGTTTTGGTTATAGCGCGGTACCGCTTATAGTGCGGATTTTCGCGACTCCCGCAACATACATTATATGCGGTCTACACTGTAATTTCTAAATTTTGCTGGGAGCCTATGGGGCAAAGGGTCGTTTTATTTCCTAACTCAGGTCATAAAAGCCTATTAAGGTGGTTGAATAATTTACGCAGGGTATAAATGATAACTTTTCCATAGCCACCAGTTTCGTTGCGATAGGTTAAGTATTTTTTTAACACGAAAATGGTAAATGCCGCTATCTTGGACGTTGCTGCTAGTCTGGCAACCCTGCTTTCTCCTCTCGACGTTTGCAATTCTCGGAGCGAGAAGGAAGCGAGAGAGGCTGCGCCAAGGCGTTCGTTGCTTGCAATGGGAGGCGAGAGGAGGAAAGGCGCATGGAGCAACAGAGTTGCAACAGAGCGGGCGTCTGCTCTCGTGCAGGCAACATTGGCGCATATCCTTTCCCGAATCCTCTCCCTCAGGCGCCGCCATTAAATTGCAAACGCTCTCCAGGTGTTGAGTTGCACCCACCCTCACTAGAGCCTCCCTAGGAAAAACAGGGATAGCATAGCGTCACCTAGCGGTAGGACTCGGGAGTACTTGAGTAGCGCTGCCAAACCAAGCCAATCCATTTGCAGCCAACATAGAATTCAAAATGGCCGCTTTTTGGTAATGTTTCCCGCTGGTCGCTCGCGACAATTTTGTCCGAATAATCAAACTTTCGGACTTCAAGCTGTACGAAACATTAGTTGTGAATATGTACTATTTCTATGGGGTAAGGCACTTTAGGTCGGAATTATCAAACAAGTATGAATTATCGGAGTCCGAAAAAACTGTCGGTGACTGTGCGTCATGATAGGTAACCAATGGGGAATTTTTATTGCCTGCACAAGATAGTGACGTAGACTGGACTTGAGGAGCAAAGCCAGAACATCGGATATCACTCCAACAGCGGCGGCATAATGACGTTGCGCACGTGAATCAACGAATGATATCCGATGTCCAATATTATGCTTGGATAATTCTCAGATGGCCGACCCCATTGAGCTCTGGCTACTCTAACCAGCTTTGAGGTTTCGAGCCGTACGCCGACATCGTACGTTGTTTGTGCAACCGCATGTGCTACAAAGAAAAGTTTGTGAGGGAATCGTTTGTAACTTGGACTGGTGCAACTTTTATTTTCCTGATATGATCGTCAAATGACGAGCCACAAATACATTCTCACTTCAACCTGAAAAGTGCCAACCTAATTGCAGAAAAAGGACGAGAAGGCTGGAAACGTAAGCGAAATGAATCACCTTTACATACTTGAGGAGCAGCATGTCAAGTTAATGCCGAGGAAGATTGTGGTGATTAGTGTAAAGGGAAATTAATGAAAAACTCGTGACTGCTGGTTGTGGGGAATACGAAAATACTCCGTCCTATGGCTACGCCCGCAAAAATAGGCGGGCCAAAACGAATATGTTGATAGTCGAGAGGTCACATGTGCGTGTTCTTCCTTACTACTGATTTTGCAAAGTTCCGAGTTTGAATCCTTTTGGGGCTCAAACTTTTTTGTTGCTTAGCTTTATGTTTTATTTGAATTATAATCCACACTCGGGCTCCACAACCGCGTTCCACAAGGAATACGAGCCGCTGCGGGACGGTCAGCGTGGTTTCGATGGTTACCAAGCGAGAGACAACTTCGATGTGTTTGAAATCAAAACTTTACTACAATCATGTGATGTAGTGGCATGCAGCTAATACTAGAATGTCAATAAATAACTCAATGTTTTACAGTGGAGCTGTTAAGGGCCAGTGTTTTCAGTATCGTGTTCGTGTGCAAACACATCTCGACACAAAACTCTGGGCAGCTACCGCCATCCGCTATCTATTATCGACGGCGGCAACCTTTCGAGCCTTCCCACTCTGGCTTGGCGACTTGCGGCCGGCCATTACTTCATTCCCACCATAGTACAGCTTCGCTGGTCTTCCTTGTTCACCAGATTGGACAGGCTGAAAGTTTTTATCACCCCCAATTTAATAGTTGAAGATTAAATAAAACTGAATATCTGGTCAAGCTTTACATATAGTTATTGCAATGTTTTCTTGCTCGTACTGCCGAGGGGTGTCGCATGGTTGTTTTCAAACAATCCAAAAAACGCGATTTGTAAACACAGTTTATAAAATCCATATGTAATATTTTGCCATAATACCAAGGAATCAACGTCTTTGTGGTTTAATGAATATAAAAAAATTAAAATCTGGCAGATACATTTTCTTTTCATGACCCCTTTAACCTGTCGCTAAATATAGTTAGCAAAAATAAAAAGATGGCTTCATACTCTCTTCAACCACTGTCCTACAAATCGTGGGCGCATTGGTCTTAAATCTGGTTGATGGCCTCTCGATTGGTCACACACTAAATGTAACTGGCATTGAGATTGTGCTGCATGTTATGGATTTGCAAGTGGTCTAAATTCCCATTTGCTGAGGAAATTCCCCTTGCCTTTTATTGCTTTAAGAATTAGGTGGCAAGAATATAGAACTTCGACTGTTTGGTATAAATAGGACGTCACACAAGAGGACATAAGGACGAGCAAGAGACCCACACAAACACAGCGCTGTGTTGATGTGAAACATTCTTTGGCTAGTTGATTGGGATTTCGTGAAGCCGTGCCCTGTGACGTCACATGAGTACAGTTTTTCCGCTAGATTTAGTGAGAAAATTGACATCGCATGACGTCAAAACCAATTCAGTTTCCCGATAAATTTAGCAGAAAAATAGACGTCACGTGGCCTACACATAAATTCAGTTTACCCGCTACATTCAGCGGGAAAATTGACACGTGACCGGCTGCAGCCCGTTGTTCTTCATATTCTGTGGGGACAGGCAGACTTGAGGGGAAAGCTAATGGGATGAAGAGGAGTGGGTGGAGGCAATGGGAGAGGAGTGGAGGGACCTGGAGACACAGCTTTAGAAAAAATGCCTGGAGGTTACTAGTGGTAAACCAGGAACATTTGGCACATTAATACTTTAGACCCATGTTTTTGTAAAAAAAAAACTATCTCGAAGCTCCGGTCTAAAAACATGTTTTTTGTGTAAGGCTTGTTGATATATGAGGTGCTAGATAAAAACAACCTTCTATACATTGAATTCTTAGTTTGAACTCCTTTTGTTTACGTTCTGCCTATTGAAAAGCATGCAGAAAAGGCCTCAGCTCGCACCTCGTATTGCTGCGGCGCAGTGTTCTTCCGCAGCGTAAAGGCCATCTACTTTCATTGCCGTCACCATGGCAACGAATACCGAACGAATGGAAGCTTGCATGGTACCGCCGCGTGAAGCCAACGACAGCTGACACCATTTTCTGAACGCCGTCTGCTAGCCAAAATTTAATAGTTTTCTAATGAACAGTTGCAGTGAATGGGGGGCGTGGGTTGGGTTAATATGCTCCCCAGTGATACAAGCACCGTCCGAAAAAATCATTTGGCATTCATTGCCATGGTGATGAAAGCAGACGGCCCTTATGCTGCAGAAGAACACTGTGGTGCAGCGATATGAGAGGCGTGCTGAGGCCCTTCCTGCCTGCTTTTCGATGGGTGGAACACAAACAGAAAGTTTGAAATAAGAATTTAACGCAGAAGGCTGGTTTTCTCCAGTGCCTCATAATTTGACGAGCCTTAGACGAAAAGTGTGTTTCTTTGGCCATCCCCGCCCTGTTTTTTTTTATCCGTAACATGGGTCTAAATTATCAAACTGGCAAACGTTTCACGTAGCAACACAATTGCAGGGTAACTTGCCTCGCAATTTTACTTCTTGTCTTTGCAGCTTTTCTTTGCACCATTTTATTTAATCTGATCACACGCATACTTGGCCAACCACACATCTCGCCACTGCCTCACCGTTTACCATGTGACCCATTTTCTGCAGCTCCCCGACGACCTAAACCTGGTACAGCGCGATCCCGGGGAGCTGGTGGTGGCCGGGGTGTATGTGCGCCTGCTCGTCCAGAACCCCGGCTGGTCCCTGAGGCGCCCTGTGGAGTTCCTCTCGGAGGGCCTCAACGCCCTCTGCGCCCTGCTGGCCAGGGAGCCACACCAGGTAGGACACCGCCGTCATAAATGTGGGGCCAATGGCATTGCAATTTTGCTGACGAGGACGCCAAAGAATGAATCGCGATACAAAAAGCGTGAGCGTAACAATCCCGCCTTTTTACGGCGACAGTCGACAGTGAGAAACTCCCGGAAAAAATCCGCCGGCGTCCTTTGCCGAAATACCCGGTGACGTCGTGAATCACACGAATGCTCCCAGATGCCGCTGCGGAGCTTATTCTAAAACAAACATTTTCGTCCGCCGAGCCAAGTTTGGACCGGCAACCCGTGGATGCCAGCAATCGGTTACAATAAACCGCCTTGCCAACTAAGCAATCAACGGGACAAATTTCCGAGAATTAAAGGCAATATTCATTCTATTTCTTTCTATCTTTAATAATGCTTCGGCATCTCAAGAGCCTCAAGTGTGTGCTGGAGGCCAACCGTTCAAAAGAGTTGCCCTGCCACTCTCACCTTGTCAGTGGGAAGGTGTTGGCTGTACCAATTCTGCCAAGAATACAAGGCCTGCACCTTTCCCCCTCCAGACATCACCCCTAGTGGATCAAAGCAGCGCAGCCTACCTTGTGTGAGCGTCGTCGACAGAAACGTTAGCACGCGGCGGCGCGAACACGGAAGTGTCTGCCGCTTCGCGGGGGCTGTCATCAAGCTTCGCCATTCAGGCAGACAAACGTACTACCGTGTGGCCAGACTTCGGAAAGTGGGTGCGGATCTGAAGAAGGCAAATATCAGTTGCGGCGCGCCGAGGACGTTCGTCGTAGGCAAAGTACGCACACGAGGTACGCGAGCGAACTAGGGAAATGGCACGAGAATTCTTGGAGTCGTGCTCGGGACGCCGCAAAGAGGCGACGACAGCGCCGCAACGACGGTGATTTACGCGAGCTGCGAGCTGCCATCACCGTGAAACACGTTACGAGGGAGCATAAATGCGCTCGAAATTTTTAAACTGCTCACGACTCTGGTGTTAGTGGTATTTAATTAGGCTTGGGACAGCCGCAACACCCCAGAAAGGCTGGCAGTTTGTGCCGAGGAAGCCCACAGCGGTGCATATCGTAGAGTGGGTGTGGGGTGGATATGGAGAGACATGTAAATGGTGATTGCAGAGGTGAAAAAATGAAGTGAAAGTTTACTAGCAAGTGGCAAAGTGCTTTTATCATGGAGGTAGGAACCTTCTGGAGGCAACACGACGTCACCAGAGGTGAAGCCAGAAGTGTGGAGGGACACGCCTCCAATGATGGCCAAAACAGCTGTGGTTTTGATCATCGTTGGGGGGCGTGTCCCTCTACACTTATGGCTTCATCTCTGGTGGTGTCATGTTGCCTCCAGAAGCTTCCAATCTCCATGGCTTTCATGCATCCAACCAGTGCCTCCTATATAAGTTACACTATGCCTGTCAGCTCCGAGCACTGGCAAGCGGAAGGGAGAGGGCAAATAGTATGTGTGGCTGCCGTGCGGTGGAGCCATTTAGGCATACAAACCTGCCATGTAGTGAAGCCAACCATCTCTTCCGTAGGAGATTCAATGATGTCGCCCCAGCAGCACCGACAGCAAGAAATCTAAATGTTTTTGACTGACAGCTCGGGATCAGCTCGCTGTTTTCAACGGAATATTACTTCTTATTTACCTACCTTTTCACTTGCACACGTCCTGGCGCCAACTATTTCTATGCGCGCGATTCAAGGCGACTGCCAAAGCCCTAAACTGCCGCCAAAGTAGACGGTCAAGCGGCCAAGCGTTCTCCGCATTCGCGCTGCGAAAGCGAGGCCTGGCCGTGCTTGTTTCTTAGTTTCGTATTTTGTCTCAGTGAAACTCGTTTGAATCAGAGTGGTCACATCGAGAACAGTGTTCGGCATGTTGTTAAAAAAACATATATATGATATATCTTCAATAATAAGGTAAATACAACATGCTAAAAAAATAGACAAAACGAATGTCCGCCAGGCGGCGCTACCTAGCTGTATGTGCGTGTTGTGAGGTGAAGCATCGGGCCTGGACATGTCTTGGAGAGAAGCCGACAGGCATAGTGTAACTTATATAGGAGGCACTGACCCAACGTGTTATAGCAGTTTCGCAGTTTGGGAAACGTGACTTTCTCCCATCTTTTCGCCTTTTTTTAGAGGTGTGTGAATATCAAAATCTTCAGAAGCGAATAAAATAAAATAATAAAGGTCACGAATCGAATCGATTCGAATATTTTCGAATAAGAACATTTTTTAAATAAAATATTTTCTATTGGATGTTAATTGAACAAGAATGCTCAATAAAAAATAACTAGAATTTTTTTTTTCAAGAAACATTTTTCAAAAGTTTACTTTTATTGCAATAAGAAAAATGTCACACATGTGCCTAATAAAAGATGAAATAAGAGATCAGTCAGTAAAGCACCATTCAAGGAAAGTATGCAAGTGAAGGCGGGTCAGCAAACTACAACACAGTCGGAGATCGCGTCACAGCCGAGCACAACCACGTGAGCGTAAACAAAAGTATGCAAGCGGTGGCGGGTCGGCAAGCAACAATACAAAGTCAAAGATCACGTCACGCAGCTGCACCAACTTTGTGCAATCTCTTTTTACGCGGGTGAACGGAACCACGTGAACGAACGTAAACAGAAGTATTCAAGTAAAGGAGGGTCAACAGGTCACAGCAGAGTTGGAGCTCGTGCGATCGCGCCACGCAGCCACACTGACTTTCCGCCATATCTTTCCGTGTGCAATAGTTCTGTCAATAGATGGTGCCACAAAGAAGCAATAAAATAATAATACTTTCTTTTTTTCCATTGAGGGAGCAGGTCTCACTTTTGGCAGTGAAGACGGGTAGAAATAAATAACAAAAAAATTGACCGCATCTCCACGTGGTGAATGATGTTGATTGGGGCGAAGCTCTGGTGGTGCTTGTCTGTGTAGACGCTGAGCCGCAGCATGCCGAGCTTCTCGTTCGTTTTCATCCTTGTCAGAAAGAGAATGTGTGGTATGGAACGTGGTTATATACGCATTTGACCGCAGTGCCCTCTCGTCTATAAACGTTGAGGCAGTGCATGCAAAGTTTTACACGATTATATACGCATTTGACCGCAGTGCCCTCTCCTTTATAGATGTTGACCGGCTACATGCAACATTTCATCCATGACATCCCCAGCTCTTGAGTTACTACCACATCTCAGCCCCCTACTCGTCCTGCAGTCGTGGCCGAGGGGTTATGGTGATAGACTAGAAATTCATTGGGGTCTCCCCGCACAGGTTCAAATCCTGTCAACTGCGCAAACATTTTTTTTTTTAATCTTTTCTTTTTTTTTTTTTTTTGCCCTACACGAGCTTGTAAGCTCACGAGCACAAGCACGAACACCAGCAAGATCGATGTGAACACGGACGCCGGACGGACAAGGCTAGACCCTAAGGAGCTTCGTCTCTAAAAGGAATACTGGAAAATTGATTAACCGGAAAATAAAGCGAAAATAACACGAGCCAGATATCGCCGATAGCCGAGGTGAGCTACTGTGATTGGCTACTGTAGTTGCTGTAGTGACTGGAGGAACGACAGAAGTGAGTGTAATTTGTTCCGCCGTTGCACCGTTGTGCATGACGGTGCACGTGCCGTTGCAAATTGTAGTCCTTCATCAAATCTATCGCTGCGTTTGTGCCACGACCACTTTGCCAACTCCGCACTCCAGACATCATGGCAAGCAAACGGCAGATTGCGCTACTGCGTGCAAATAACTTTCCAGTGCTTCATAGAAAAAAAAAGGCTCTTAGGTTGGCTTTTTGGGTTTGCCAAGCTTGAAACTATACTGCGCAGTCCAAAAACATAACAGGGAACTCAACCGCGAGTTAACACTAATCAGCGAGTTCCGCGTTATTTGTAGTTTTCGAAAAATTTGAAAAACTCGAATACTTTGAACAACGAAAGTCGGAGAAAATTGAATCGAATAGTAAGCACTAAGATCGCAAAGTATTCGAAGTTCCGAATATTCGCACACCCCTACCTTTTTTGCTTCCACAAGGGTGCCAATAGGCAAAGCAGCCGGGCAGGGGAGCGTGTTTTGAGATCGACCAAACACCGGAAGGACGGAAGATTGAAAATAGAAAGCGACCCTTACGTATCTCATTAACATCTTCGCTCGAAATGGGTAGGACGGTAAATCTTCTAAAATGGTATGGCAGATATTGAATGCTCAGGAAATATTTGTGGGGGGAAACTGGGCTTCTAGCAAATGCTGCCTTTGTGTTGAGAAAGAAGCACACTGGGTCGGTCGGTACTGGTCATGTGAACAAAAGTTTTGGGAGCTTTCAGAGTATAATGTTGCTCACATTGGTGCATTCTAAGGGAGCGCATATTGACAAAGAAGAAGGAAAGAGTGAAGAGGGGTTGTTGCTACCTTTCAATAGGGGCTTCATGTGGTGCCTGGGTCGCTGCCTCAAAAACAGCAGCACGAACGTTTGATACGGAGAGATACCAAGCGGAATGGCCACTTTTCAAAACAACAGCTGGTAGACAGTCAGCAGGGGCTGTCCTGTGACCTGGAAATTCACGCACCTATTGAGAATTATCCTTTGCTCTGTGCCTCTGCGCTTCATTAATTGGCATATTTTAAAAGACCTTATTTAGCTAAGGGGGGGGGGGGGGGGGGGGGGACACTACCCAAAAGGGTCAACTTTTGAACCTATGGCTTAATATGAATGAAATTTGAAGTATATCCCGGCAGTTGCAAGGCAAAATGCTGTGCAAAGTTTCATCTATGTACATGAATTGTAAAATAAATTATAGTTGTTTTTATCAGGAACACACCAACTTCGTTTAGAAAGACTATCGTTAGGAAACTAATATAATACCCAACATTTTTCTACTCTAAATCTGCAGCAGAATGCCGGGAAAGTGCAACTGTGAAAACAAAATTTCAAAAAAGTTATTTCTTTTATGCTAATATTGCAGTGAAAAACTAATAAATTTTTTGCCTTTTATGTTGTCGACAAAATCTTAACATCTTTTATAAAAGACATCCACTAAGTCAAAAAACAGTTCCACAGTTGCATTGCCCATAAAATTCCAGTTAGGAAAAAGAATGAGTGAGTATTTCCTCTTCTCCCATTAACAAACAATAGTTTTCCTAAAGTGAAATTTATGTCAAAAAGTGGAATGGAGAAAAATGTGTCCAAAGTAGGGGTGTGCAAATACCCAATAGTAGCTTTCAAATTGAATGCCGAATCAAATTAAGAAAAAAACGCTGAATATTGAATCGAATATTGAATAGTGATTTTATTTGTAGGAATTTTTTAAAGTGTGCTGTGAATGAGATTATTATATGTGCAGAGTATGCGCCTGGTGCAGAATATGCGTCTCGTATGGAACAAAAGATCAAATGTATAAAAGTTCTGGTGAAAAAAAAGCAGCTGCTGATGGGCATTGTACACTAAAGATCCAATTTTATGGCGCAAACATAATCTATCTACCCTAAGCGTCACGAGAAAACCCAAAGTTACAGCCATGCGTGCCTTTTTTTTTTTCTTGTTATAAGTGGGGGTGTGCGAATATTCGAAATTTCGAATACTTCGCGAATAATGCTTGCTATTCGATTCGATTCGCTTCGCCCTTTCGCTGTTCGAACTATTCGAGTTCTTCGAATACTTCGAAAACTACGAATAACGCGGAACTCATTTATTAGTGTCAACTTGCGGTCGAGTTCTCTGTTTTGTTTTTGGACTGCGCAGTATGGTTTCAAGCTTGGCAAACCTACACAACCAACCTAAGTGTCTTTTTTTTTTTTTTTGTAGGAAGGATTGGAAAGTTATTTGCACGCGGTAGCGCGATCTGGTCCTTTGCTTGCCGTGATGTCCGGATTGCAGTGTTGGCTAAGTGGTCGTGGCGCAAACGCTGCGATAGATAGGATGAAGGACTACGATTTGCAACGGCACATGCATCGTCGCGACGGACCGCACGACATTTCGGGCGTCCGCCCGAGACGTCTTGTATACGTTCCTGTCCACATTCATTTTTAATGTAGCACAACCGTATATTCGTGATTTCCTACCTACAGTGACTACAGTAGCCAAGGTGCTATGGATTCGGATATGGATTTATGGCTCACCTCGGCTATCGGTGATATCTGGCTTGTGCTATTTTCCGCTTGATTTTCCAGTTCATCAGTTTGCCAGTATTCCTTTTGTTATTTATTTCTACCCGTTTTCACTGGTAAAAGTGAGACTCCCCCCCCCCCCCCCTCGCCAACAAAAAACATATTCTTAATTTATTGCATCTTTGTGGCGCCCTCTATGGACAGAACTATTGCACACGGAAAGAGATGGTGGATAGTCAGTGCGGTTGCGCAGCGCGATCGCGCAATCTGAAACTCTGCTGTGGCCTGTCGACCCGCCTCCGCTTGTGTACTTCCGTTTACGTTCACGTGGTTGCGTTCACGAGCGTAAAAAGAGATCGCACAAAGTAGAGACGCAATCATCGACTTTGTATTGCGGCTTGCGGACCCGCCACCGCTTGTGTACTTGTTTTTACGCTCAAGTGCCTCCTTTCGTCCGCGATGCGATCTCCGACTGCCTTGTGGCTTGCCGACCTGCCTTCACTTTTGCACTTTCATTTACGTTCTCTAACCTCACTCAAGGAATGGTGTTTTACTGACTGATCTTTTTTTCATCTGTTTTTTTTTAACAGTCACATGTGTGACATTTTTCTTATTGCAATAAAAGTAACCTTTTCATAAACGTTTGTTGAAAAAAAATTCCAGTTGTGTTTTTTATTAAGCATTCTTGTTTAATTCACATCAAATAGAAAATATTTGTTTTCAAATATCTCCTTATTTGAAACTACTATTCGTATTCGAACATATTCGATTCGATTCGATTCGTAACCTTTATTATTCGATTCGATTCGCTTCGAAAGATTTTGATATTCGCACACCTCTAGTTATAAGCACAACCTAACACCGGAAATGTCCTTTTTTTATATTTATCAATCTCAGAAAAGGGGAATTTTGTGATATTTGGTATCAATGTTATGGAAGAAAAGGGCACCCAGGATTTCATTTCACATAAATAAACAGATAGGGGTTAAATCTGAGTAAACAGCCTTAAACAATATAATCTGAAGTAAGAAATAATAATGTGTGGTTAGGTGGCGCAAGTCACCGTCCAACTGTCGCTACGCATCCGTTCCTCCATCCATCTATCCTGTTTTAGAGAGCCTAGATTTAAAAGAGGGAGTAAGCGAAACTGAAACCACTGAGACTGCTGCAGCGCAGATTGGTCATGACTCGTAAGTGCGCATGTGTTGTGTTGTCGCATGAAAAGAAGGCGAGAAAACGGAAGAGGGACGACACTTGCCATGCCTGCCCGATCTCGATCGACGCTTTCGTCTTTTCGTCACTTTTTCGTCATTCAAACGTGGTTATTAAACGGTTGGAAATACTCTCAAATCTAGGCACACTATTTTTCCGTTCTGTTTCGTACCAAATTCGAACTTGCAGCTTGCGGTTCCAAAAAGAATGATGACGACAACTCAGCTGGTTTCACCGGCGTGGTTAATGTGGTTTTCTTTCTGTGATCATGCAGTCGCCGATTTCTGTGATTGCGGCAAGTGTGTTCTACATCGGCGCTTCAATCTGAAACTAGGGTCTTTACTTGTGAAAAGAATTGGGCATGGCACAGAATTCCGGCCTCCCAACAATTCCTCTCTGGAAGCGGTGCAAACGGGATGTTTCGGTTGTGATTCAAGGGTAGATTGTGTCACGATTATGAGTAAATGTATGTGCTATAAAGTTTGTGGCGTTCGTTACTTTTCTTTTTTTCTAATCTGTGCATTAGATTTTTGGGGAATGGTAGGACCAAGGGGTGTTTCTTGCATGGTCTGTCTAACATCACGGCGCTAACATCAGGAGGAAGAACGTCTTTTTTCTCAGCTCCGCGCCAACCGCGCTCTTTTAGCCGAATATATTGAATATTCGAGTGACTGAATACTAGGAATTCGATTGGAATTCGTATATTCGAGTATTCGCATACCCCTAGTCCAAAGTGCTCTAACCTCTACCTTTTCTTTAGCATCGGTGAACAGAAAATAATTTATAAAAAATTAACTATGCAGTGTATACTAATGAAACTTTCTGGGAATACTCTCTAGATGTTTTAGCAAGTACAAGTCCGATTTTAGGTTTTTTTTTGTTAATTCTTGACTGAGCTCTGCTTGTAAATGTTGCACAGATATACTCTGTTCACTCTTAAGCTGAGACTTCAGCCAAAGTTACAAGTGCGAGCTAGCCCACGTTCCTGACTTTGAGATGCGCATTTCTAGGGCGAGTGCTCGTTCTGCAGAAGAACGCTTCAAAGCAGCGACCTCGAGCTCTCGTGCTTGTGGCACTGGCAGCAGTCTCAGCTAAAAGGTGAACGAAGTATATATTACAGCCTCTCTTCGACGCTTTTTCTGACCGTTCACTAGCGCCTGTCTTGTCAAACTTCTGCAGGAATGGGGTGTTGACTTCCTATTTCTAGCATTCGTCTTCCCAACTGCATATCACAGACTGCCACTGGATGCGCCCTACACGTGTTGGGCCACACAACCACGCTCGCACCTTAGTGAGACAAACTTTTACCTAAAGCAAACTACAATAAGCGACGCCATGGGCATCAATGTCTGCGTGATGCCAGGGTCAAGTGCTAGCGCGAGACCATGCTTCTTCTATTGCAACCCATGGTCACAAACATTCTGGACCAGTTTTGCTTTCTAAACTGGTCTCATGGGCATCCGCAAAAGGAAAGCGTCAATACCTACGCCGCGATCACCGGGGCACGTTCCGGTGCTTTGCTGCCGCAGATACTTGAGAGGCTACATATTATTTCTTTATCTATGTTCTAGAGCGCAGCTCTTAGGTGCCCGTTTGCGGCTTGAGCGGCGTCGCCGTCCGCGTAACCAAGGTCACGTGACCCCTTCCAAGGTCACGTGACCCCCCCCCCCCCCAAGGTCACGTGACCCCCCGAGGTCGCCTCAAGGTCACGTGGTCCCCCCCCCCCTCCCCGAGGTCAGGTGACCCCCCTGGAGCATATTAAAGAATGAGGGGAGGAGGAGGAGAAGGAGGTGGAGGGGTCTACCCTCTCCTCAGTGCCCTTCCCTCCTCCTCAAGAGCTGCGCTCCAGTTCGGCGTTACAGGGAGTTGTAAACGGCTTTCACTTTTTTCTTTCTCTTTTTTTCTACTTTCACGTTTTCTGCCCCCATCTTTGGTGACCGATTGTTGCATAGGTTTTGTAACTGGGTTCCTAGGAACCCGGGGGTTTGCCAGAGTGTCCTCGAGGTTTCACGCAAGCTCCCAAATTTTCTTTGTCATTTCCGTCCCTAAGTAAAGTACTTCTCTGTTTTAGGCACCATTTGTTATAGATCCGAGCCGTTTGCCCATTCATAACTGTATGCCGAACATTCCCTAGTAATGGGCATCATTGTTTGCCAGGTATGTAGGCTTCTCCACCATTTCACTGCATCGGTGCCAAGATCGGAAGGGGTGTCTCGGCCATCAGTCTAGCTAGATGGGTGTCCCTCGAGATTGAGAAGTTTGAGAACCCCTGCGCTATGGAGTGAATAGAAAAAATAAACAGTAGTTAGTTTGCGCTTACGTGCGGATGCCCCGTTATCTCGCACCTCGGCAGCTTCTCGTACATAACACAACAGTGCAGTTTCACGACTGTCTCGCGAAACCGACCAGCCCATTCCCGATCTCCGTTGCAAAGCAACAAGTGCGGCTTTGAGCGAAACAGGGTGGGTCCTGAAAGAGGTCCGGTTGTGTGTGCAGCCGGAGCAGCTGGAACTCCTGTGCCAGGCCCTGTGCGGGGTCCTGCAGCGCCAGCCCCCGCTGCGTGAGCGGCTGCCCGCCATGGGCCACCTCCCCCAGCTGGCACAGGGGGCGCTGGCCGTCGCCCCCGCGCGCCTCTGCTGCCTGCGCCTGCTGCACGAAGCGGCGCACAGCCAGGTGAGGACACGTTGCAGGGCGCACCGGCTGGACGCTCGCCCGGGAATGTTTCCAACTTGGCAAAGCTTCCTTTGGAGGCTGTATACTTGCTGGGGCAGAAAGGGGGTGAAGAGAGGAGCAGAGTGTGGCAAGTCGCGAGCACTGGCATCGATGGCACCGAGAGAAAGGGCGAGGAAGAGAGCGATGGAAAGGTGGAAATGAAGGCAGACGATATGTTAGGTGTGAAATGAGTCATCGTCTAGACAAGTTGGCGCACAGTCATGCTGAAGAAAACCCTGACACAGGGGAGGCAAACTTTGTTCTGATTTTCCCGCAGATAGGGAAAACTTTGTTTTCCCCCGTCTCAAACGTCTTTTCTTTTCTTTTCCTTTTTTTTTTTTTTTTCAGTTTAACATTGGCTGTGTTCATTTTCTTGGGACACATTAAAGTGGTTTGAATGCTTGTCAACTTTCTTATATATACAATGCATGATGCCAGTGTTTTCTCAACTAAGACTATGCACCGATCTTGCAAGTCGTATTTTGCAGCTGCTTTGCGTCTAGTAGGGCCTCACCAGCAATCTAAACCCGCCGTCTCTGACCTTCGTCGGTCTAAGGCAGCCGAAATGCATGGGAAAAAGGGGGACTTTTTCCCCTCGATTCTTTACATACATTCCGTGGAGCAAATGTTGGCCACGAAGGTGATGCCGGTAGCGTGGTTCCCCTCCCTCAGGCGTGTGCCCAGGCCCTTGCAGCGACGCAGTGCGTGTCCTCACTGGCGGAGTCCCTGCGCCAGCGGCAGAGCCCCGAGGTGGTGCAGCTGGCCTGCCAGCTTCTGCATGTCCTGCTCCAGAGGGAAGTGCCGGCCCTGGTCCAGCAGGTGAGAAAGACGCTCGCTCTCTCCGTTTCATGTTCTCGGTGCGGCGTCAGCAACATGCAGTTTGTCATCGTCAACAGATTGTTCCTCGCTATCAGTTAGCTGTCGCACGTTTCTCTTTGGTTGTTGTGTTAAATGCCTAGTATTTTTAGGGCCAGTTCTTGGTTTCGTGTCCATGTGAAGGATGTAGCCTCAATGGAGAAGAGAGCCTTGTTGAAAGAGGGGCGTCCCACTAGGTTTGGCGGACAGCGTTAACGTGACATTGACATTGTTGGCACGACTGTTGTGTTAGCGACACAGTGACGTCACCTGACACTGACATCACGTGACATCATGATGTCACGTCATGTGACATCATAATGTTATGCGACACTGGTGTTATGGTGTCGTGTGACATGACCCAATGCCACATCACACGACGTAGCATCACATGACACTGACATCAGGTGACAATGATGTCGCAGAGAGCCTGTAAATGCTCTGCGTTTAGAGTGCACTCGGAACTACCAAAGAGGCAGGCAGTTTTTTTCTCTTACTAAAAGACATTTGAGATTAGATTGTTGACTCATACGGTTGTTCTATCCACGGTCTCACCGAGGATACCAAACTTCCCTTTCTAGGCTGGCCTCGTTTGCATGCGAGAAGAGCGAAGCATGTCGATTGACTGCATGCACCTTTCTACTCTGAACAGTTGGCCATTTTTGCCTGTGCCAGTTAAGAAAGCAAATCGCCTTAAAGGGGCAGTGCAACAATTTTAACGTTGAATGAACTTTCAGCTTATATTTCTTGTATTTATCTCAACACAAGTGAAGGAAAACGCTCCACCCTCCCCCAAATGCTACTGCTATTCTCACGCAAAATCGCAAAGGGTTAGAACACGAGATAATGATGCAATTAATGCAAAGGTGCAAGTGAACTGGATGAGATTCACTACATACTGCTTGCACCTTTGCATTAATTGCATTATTATCATAACCTTAAAATACAGGCCGTTCACCCTTTTTGGTGTTAGACTGGTGGCAGCCATCAAAACCCGTTTGCTCTACTGACGTTTAACTCCCGGTTAGCTCAGTTGGTAGAGCGCTTCTCTGGAAATAGAGAGGTCACCGTTTCGATACCAGGACCGGGCGGATTTTTTCAGTCACACACCAGTCACCTATGGTAGCTGTGTTGGGAGATTTATGTTTGTCCCTTCTCCTCCTTGTTCCCCTTCTCCAGGGATTATTATTGTTACTCGGAAATAATTTTTTTTTTCCCCCCAGATGTGCAGCCACACGTGGCAGTTGTCGGAACCGCGGTGTGACATTGTTCGGAGTTCGCAAGTTTTGGTGGTGCCATAGATCGAAGTCAACAAAACCATTTCCTTTTCGGCGCTACCCTCCCCATCTTCTTTGCGGCGAACCGCCTTTTGTCTCAATCGCCCGCCGCGACCTTTGACGATGCCAAGGGGGCATGGTGACCTGTCCTAGCCAAATCGAACCTCGAAAAGTCAACAATCACAGGGGGAGAGTCGGAAGCCCTGAAGATAGACCCAAACATGGTATGCGGAGCGACTTCACTGCGTACCTCACTCGAAAGACTGTGCAAGTTGAGGCGTACCCTGACCTTCGATTTGTTTCATATTTTTGAACACGGAATGTGTTATATTGCTGGCAGCTAACCATTTCCATCCTCGATCGGGGATAGAAGTCGACGGGCCAACTGCCAGCCGAATGCCGATGCAGCACTCGTCTCCTCGCAAATCGGAGGCCAATGCCAGCCGAACGTCTTCCTTGAATGCCTTTGTATTACTTCCGGCGGGGGAAAAACGTCACGTGTTCAGACCTTTGGCACCCCTCTGCTCCTATTATGGGCTTGCTTTGGGCTTCTCTGGAGAAAGAGTGCGAGAGAAAGTGACAGAGAAGCGGAGAAAACACACGGTGCACCAAAGGGGCGCCGCGCGGTTGCTCAACAACGGGGAAAGCGATGCTACTCGTCAAGTGCAGCGACCACCATTGGTGGCGAAATGCCTCAAAAAGCGTGCGCTTGCTTGTGGTCGAGACAAACGCACGTCTATCCAACTCGTACACAAAACGGTGATGTAGTGATAGTACTTCTCCAGCTATTCTTCACGACCCAATGAGATGTCGCCACCCCGAACACTCTACGGCACGGGTTAGACAATGAGCGGCCGGCACTCGGGCGGTGTGTACCACTTTACTACCAGCTTATTATTCTAATTTGATAAATTATGCATGCTACCATTTTGGACAAGTTCGTTCCAATGCCAAGTTCCAAGTTCGTTCCAATGCCAAGGTTCAGCTGCCTCCCTGTTTCTCTTTTTAATTGGCTTTAACAACTAAAGAAACGTTTGGCCAATTATGGCCCTCATTTTTTTATATTATATTGGATTAAACCTGTTATACCGTCAGGTGGTGCAGGTAGAGAGAAACAGTTTATTTCCTTTTTTTTAGCTCTCACTTAGAAATTGAGTAATTGAATTGAGTCTCCATGTGTGCACGCTGTTTCCCAGACTGACATGTCACAATCTGTGTTACCACCGCCTTTGCCACGCTAGTACGACAAAGGGACTACCGGTTTATGTTTTTATAAATAGTAGCGCATGCAAGAAAAAATAGTTTTCAGTTCTTTTCTTAGTTTTATAGGTGAAATAGATGAATTCCTGCAATTAATTGGCCAAAGTTTTAAGATTGGTGTACTGCCCCTTTAATGACACCATGGTGTAACATCGCATGGACTGGTGTCACATGACCTGACCTCATGGCACATGGTTGGTTGGTGTCACGTGACACTCATGTGGCACCAACGAACAACGTGGTTCACAGTTCACCAAGTCTGCTGGGAATGTGGCAGTTTGGGGCGCAACGTCACGTCACACTTCCTCTGCCCATAAACACATTCTGCATCATAAAATTACTTTAAAGACTCGATGCTGACGCTCTCTTTTTGCGTTGCAGGCCGTGCAGAGTGGCCTGGTGGAGCAGCTGCTGACCCTGCTGGGCCAGACGTGGGCCCCGGCCGCCACCAAGGCCCTGGCCGTGCAGGCACTCAAGGCCATGGCCAGCGACCTCGGCAGCGGAGACCAGGTAACGGAGGGGGGACGCCGTCTCTATACCTTCTCAAAACCCTCGCAACGTGCCCTTTCATGGCCTCCTTGCTGCGCCCGTTAAACGGGGAGCGCTACAAATGCTACACATTTGCAGTGATGTGATTGCTGCGCCAATTGCGCCAAACTGCACCAAGGGGCTAACCCTGCTACATCCTGCTACATTTTTCCAAAATATGGGTAAATCTGCGCCAAGCCTGCGCCAAAAGTTCAATTTTGGTCATCTTTCAAAACCGAAACTAAACTGAGTACCGTAATTGAGCATGCATGAGCTAGGTAGTGCAAGCGGCCGCCCAGCAAGAAGTACCCTGTATCAATTGTCCATCCGGTCTTGCATAGTTTTTCCCGCCACCCCTCGTTTCACGCTCTCGTCGTTCACGTGTCTCGTCTCGCGTTTTTTTTTTGTTTTTTTTTTAAATTTTAACGATAGACGCAGGCGTGTGTTGACGCTTCAGTGCTTCAGTCGTTGTACAAAGCGCTACAAGTACTTTTTGACCCTGACTCGCGATGTCTTGTTTTGACCTGACTCGCTCAGGTTCTTTTTTTTTTTTTTTCTGTGTGTTTAGCTTGTACCTTGCCTGCCGGCCTGGCAAGCACGTGCCGATGGACTGTTTTTTCGTCGTATGCTGGACAATTACATTTTGCATACAATTTTGGGAACCAGTTGTCGCCGGACCGGAGTGGCAGGGTGTCTGTTTCGATCGAACAGCCATCTCCGCTCGCGCGACGAAGCACGTGCAAATGCAAGCCTGCCGAGGTTGCCCTCATGTGCACGCGAACATGACTGCACGACAGAGGCACCAGCCGGGACACTTGCAACCCATTGTTTTACGTTTGCTTACTTTTGACGAAAATCTGGCACGTCGGGAAGCAGTAAAACGGTGGCAAGCGGTTTTTCGGAATTGCTCGGCAACGCCCACAGCACTGTCCACTTGTGGGATGTCTCAATGTCTCTTTGAAGACATTGAAAGTGGGAATTCATTACTAGCCAAAGGCAAAGCGAGGCTTGCAGCAGCCTTGTAGAGAGTTTCGAAAAGCAAAAAGAAAAGCACCCGCTAGTCGTAATGCACCTTTGTCTTGTGTACAATTTCGCATTGCACTGCAGAAGTTACGTGTTTCATCAGTCGGAGACAGCTCCTATTTATTATATTATATAACTATGGTAGTCAACCTAATGCTGTGATATTTACTAATAATCTGGTCATTTTCAAATAAATTTTAATATGTGCAGTTTGGTTCCTATTTATCTATAACGGTACATATATATGTATAATTTAACGGAAGCATTGCAAAATGTGTCATGTCATTGGCATTTCAGTTACATGTTGAAAGACTCCCAGGTGGTCGAACTTGACCATAATTTGTTTATTGCGGCGAGCGAAGTGTCCTTCATTCGTCCAGCACTTTAAGCGAATATGTTTATTGTTCTAAGAATATCTGCTCCAAAAGCCACTTTTGCTGCTCCAAAACACCGTTTTGGCTGCTCCAAAAGGTGCTCCAAAATGGCTTAGGCCAATCACATCACTGCATTTGGAATGCTCTTGCGAAATTCCAAAGAGACTGCCAATTTCTGATCAGTATAGCAGAATTTCTGCGCCTGCATATTCTTTTTTGTGGCATGGACTTGGAGAAACTTAGGTGGGTGCAGGAGCTCCGGTTTCTGACCGACCGCGTCTTCCTGGCAGGTGACCGGGCTGCTGGGGCAGTCCCCCATCTGGTCCGACTACAGGGACCAGAGGCACGACCTGTTTGTGGCTGCCACGCCCACCGCCGGATGCCTGCCCAGTGAGTGCCCTTTCCATTCACATCGCATCCAACTGCTTTATGGATCGGACCCTTGGAGAGAGCTTGTTTGTGGGTTTAACAGCACAACCAAAGAAGGAATTTCCCCTGTCCACAAAGTTGCCATGCACCGGATCCATATAAACCATACTTAAAAGTTGAGCTAATCTGACATACAGTATAGACCACTTACAACGTAACCGCTTATAGTGCAGGACCGGGTATAACGCGGTTTTTTTAAACCACCGGTTCACCTCCCATAGAACTCCATGTAATTACATACCGCTTAAAATGCAGGCGCGCGAAGGGAAATACCGGTTATAGTGCGGTTTCTGGAACAGCCTGCCGACCGGCGCAGCGAGCACGCTTCCCTGTGCGACACTAGATAACGGCGCCTGCGGCACGGCGATGGCTGCAAGCGGCACTCGCGGGGCAAGGAGCGAAGAGAGAGGCTTCAGTTGCCATGGCGACGGAGGGACGCACGCATGTGTCGTTCACGTGCGTGCGTCCCTCCGCTGCGCTGGAAACCACGGCCAGAGCACGACCAACTCCATAAAGTTGGTCGTGGACCAGAGTTGGTCGTGTTGGAAACAACCGCAACGACAGACCAATTGCAGGTCGAGGAGAAGTGTTCGCACGCATTGCATGCCGGTCGCGGGCCGGCTTCTATCCGCAAACATGGCGTCGGTTGCAATCGTCGACGTAGACGGCGTTCGTTCCGCGTAAAAGCGCTATCCTTGACTGTGAATTTTCGTTGCGTGTCGCTATGATAACCCAGCACGTACTAGAAGGGAAGATCCACCTACTCGTGCAGCGATCTCGGGGTGGCACTCTCAAGACGGCAGAAACGCCCGTGTCGTCGTGTTTGTTTACTTTGACTACAGTGGTGCTTTCTAAGCATTTGTGTTTTCGAACATCGCCCGGATTTCTTCTTTGGAGCATTTCATGCCTGTGCTCAAGTTGAAGGCATTGCTGGCGCGTACCGTATAAAGGATGCGAATTTTCACGCGTTTTCATCACCGGAGAAAAGTGATTAGGGTTAGCAATCCTGAACGCTCGCAACGTCCGTCCGCGACACCGTTAAAAGGCTGCCCTAGGCAAAAGTCGCTCATTTCTTCCAAAATGTGTGACACACTTGAGAGAGAAGTGTACTAGTCTGGTGAAATAAAGACTTTCCTCAAACTAAGCTTTATTTTTCATCTAACATAACATAAATTATTTTACAATGGTTAAGTTGTCTCATGGCATGTATTTTGACCTGAAAAATTGATGTTTTGGTTATAACGCGGTACCGCTTATAGTGCGGATTTTCGCGACTCCCACGACATACGTTATATGTGGTCTACACTGTATTGTTTTTGCTAGATGGTAAGCACCTCTTTTGTTTTTCAAGCTCCCATCGCTCAGGTTCAAAAGATGCTAAATGTCTGAATATTTTTGCAAGAAATGTCACTTCATTTTAGGGAAATGCAGAGGTAATTGGTACACCAAAAGTAAAACGGGGATATAGCATAGATTTAGTTGGTCAGCTTGCCTAATCTAGTTCTTTCTTTGTACCATGCTTTGACAGTCACTCACTCTCGCTCACGCTCGACGACGCGTCCTCCGTTCCGCTGCTCAAACAAAGTTCCCTCGACTCTTACCGCATTTCATGCTTTTGCAGCCAGAGCGGCGTTGCGACTGAAAATTGCGAGCGAAATCTCGTCATGTGAATCAGGCTTTAGCGTACATACTGCGGCGTCCACGCGGAATGAATTGCCTCATGTCACACTATTCGGGCGAAGTTTTGCGGTGTAGCGAGCCTCGGTAATTTCGCTGACGCTGCTCAAGTAGTCGGACATCGCCAGGAAGACGTAGAATCAACAATTCCAACGTGAAAAAGGGCAGGGGGACTCACACCGACGCCGACAACGTCCCATTTCAGTGGTTTGTTTATGGGCGACGACGAGCTTCTTGCCCACACCCCCACCGCGCATGCGCGGCGCCGGTGGCGTCTGCTAGGGGCGCTCTGGTTTGTTTGTAAACATGAGTTGGTGTATACGTGTATGTGATTTTCTGAAATTTTCAATGGAAAAACGGTGTCCGACAGATCTCTCGGATACATAAAGCTCTATGGCGCCAGTTACCGGAAACGAGCAAAAATGGGCTCCATTTTCCCATAGAAATTTTCAGAAAATAACTTATAGGGGTGTCGCAAACCTGCCCAAGTTTGTGTTCGACGAAGTTCGACTTTTTCGAAATTTGAACGTGGTGTTCGACAAGGGTTCGACTGAAGTTAGGCTTTTGTGCGCATGCGCGAAAATTAAAAGAACCAGTTGACACTCCACCTGGTGGAGGAAAAGTGCAATATTTGTTGGGTGTATTGGAATCACTGGTTCACATTAATAACGAAAGCATTAAAAGTGTATATTTTCGCTTTTATATAGTGCAAACATTGGTAACCCTTTTATAAAATAAAAATTAAGCTACTTTTCAAATTATTTGTTTCCCAAAGTTCAAAATATTCATGTAGAAGCCGGGCAACACTGTCCATAAGTCAAACTTTTTTAACTTCCGTGAAAGTTCGAAGGTTCGGCAAACCAGTCGAAACTTGCGGTTAGACGTCAAAATCGGGATTCGACAAAATTTCACGACACCCCTGATAACTTATAACTTCTTAATAAAATGACAGCGCCAAAACTTTGGCATCTGGTTTGGACCGCTAGTGCTACTTTTGGGCGGAGAACGAACATTCACCGATACATAGTTTATTTTTGCGGCGAAAAAAATGCCGTAAATGTTTTGGGCGGGACACGCTGTACAACATAGGCCTATGGCAAGTGCATTGAAGAGTATGACGACGTGCCCTGCGCAGGTTCCAGCGCAGGCTACCTGACCCAAGGACAGACCGGGGTGCTGCTGCCCCAGTCCCCGCCCCCGCTGGGACACAGCTGATGCCGCGCCGCCTCTGCTTGTTTTTGTTACGCTACTTTAATTATGGCTGGCTCGTGAGGGCCCATGTTCCAATAAACTTTGTCACTCTTGTTGCCTGAAAGTTACACTGGAGGGCCCGGCCCGGACACAACACACACAGATGGCAGTTGAGCACGCTTACCTCCAGTGAACGCCTCAAGGGCACAAGGAGGGAGTGTTGAATCTCCCAAGGGAGAGCGGTAGGGTTCTAGGGAAGGGGCACTCGGCCGCAGATGATGATAATGAAGTGCATGTTACCAGCACAGAACCAAGAACCCTACAGCAGCATAAAGGCAGACTTCACCCGCTTTCCATTTGGAGTGTTGGCAAGCATCTAGTTGTCCGAGTAGACCAAGAATGAAAAGACTGTGCAGTTTTGCGGTCCTCGGGCATTTGAACGGGGGTAGATGATGACAAGGTGATGCTGTCCAGTACTGGCCATACAGCAATGGGCCACGTTGTAAACCTTCGAAACTGCAAGCACTTGGCTCTTTAGGGCATTTTGGACGATCTATAGAGGCATTCAAAATAGATCTGTACTTTTGCCATTCACAGTTATAGTAGTATTAACTTAATTCTGAATGTGCTGTTTGTTTATATATACAGTAGTACCTCGTTAACTCGAACACGGCTATCTCGAAATAGTGGTTAAGTCGTAAAATTTCCTTGTCATGGAATAAGCTCCCATAGGCACAATGCATTTTGGCCTTGCTTATCTTGAAAGGTTTTCAGGACGGACTCCGGATATCTCAAAATCTCGTCAGCGAAAATCGCAAAAAATAAATAAATAAACAACGAAAGCTGTTACAAAAAATTATGAGCGCAAAAAAAAAAAAAAAGAAAATGCGGGTGTAATGCATGGAGGCGCGGAGAGACGTGAGACTCAAAAACGTTTGTTAGCAAGCTGGGACAGCTTGCATACGGTGCCTCTTTTCCACTAGAGCGTTTTGTTCCGCTCTGTCTTTCGTTTTCCTTTCTTTGTTTCTGGGTTCTTCTGTTTCCCGGTTCAGTCGTCGTCTTGTCAGTCTCGTGTTTTGCACAGGCCCCTTGTTCGTTTCGAGTATTGCTGCTCTTTGTTGCTTGTCCGTCATTTTTTATTCGGGTGTTTCGATTGTCTCGCGGCGCCATACGAGCGAGGGCCAAGTGGTCAATTCGGTCATCGGTTGTGAATTCCGTGACGTTGTTGGCGCGTGACTCGATTGACTGCGAAGATGGCACAGCCCAAACAGTGCAAATCATTGACGCTTGAGAGGAAAGTTGCTCTCATCAGAGAAGTCGATGTTGCCGCGATTGTTAGAAGTTTTGTTTAGAACATTGCGCGATCAGGGGTTAAAAAAATCGGGTACTTTGCTTATCTCGAAATTCCGCTGATCTCGAATTTCTTTACGGTTTTTATGACTTCAAGTTGTCTATATGGGTTTTAGTCTCCCCTTAAGATAATATGATTTAAAATTTGTAAAAGGTGTACCATGAATTCCGCCTAGACAATGCATTAGACTTGGTGGTGAATGCACATTTCACTTTTATGCAAGTCAATCCAATTTTTTTTTTCATTCTGACGATAACTTTTTCGAGTCCCACAGACGTACGCAGATTGTATGCAGCACGACTCTAGTGGTCGTTTGTTGTGACTGCCGTAATTGGACATTGGAGTAGGGGCTCTAGCGACAAATGCTGCAGCACAGTTCAAGAAAAAAGACAAAAAAACTTGGGTTTGTTGTCTCTTTAGTCCTTGGTTTTGGTTTATTTTAACGATTCAAGCTTACCTGCTCGGTTTGTTATTTCTCACGTTAGTGTTTGCTTGCATTATATTGTAGCAAGCACCCAACAGAACAAAAAGGGGCTTTCAAGGTCTCTGACTAGTTAGGCTGAAATTGTAACACCCAGAGGTTGGCCTATTTTTGACAGTTTACGCAGAACCATGTTATCCCCTGTTTGTTGTCTTTGTGAGCATGTTTTACTTGAGAACACCTAGGAAAATGTTCTCCATCTACAACGATGTATACTAAATTCTCCTGGAAGGTTTGGTGCCTCAAGCACAATCCTACGTGTCGTCTGCTCGGGGCACGCAGCATACACCTTTCAGTGGCGATAGTTTGCACAAAATGTAAGAGTTGCATTCCTTTACCAAAACAACTTGCAATGCCCAGAAGCTGGCTGATCAGTTGGGAAAATATTTTTCCAACAATTTTGTTGCGGGCAAAGTTGAAATATCTACATTGGTTGATACAGTGTGGCTCCTAACAGACTGAAAAGATGAGGAGGAACTATTGCATCTTTCGTAAGAAATGCTTCGTGGCTTGAACGTCTGTGTTGAGAGGGGAGAATCTCCGCAAATAGAGTTTTAGGGTGCAAAAAAAGAAGGGCATCGGCATTTGTCAAAAAATGCCCGAGAAGAATTCCTTTTTGTGAACATGAGGCAAGTGACCAGTTCTACAACATAGCCCAGGGGCCCTAGATTCGTTAGACAAAGTCTGAGCCGAAAGTTTGCAGAGCGTGCCAGTTGAACTTTGGTGACAAAAAAAGCGCGGCGGCGTCTGAGGGTCCAATCGGTGCTCTCCGTAAACTTCAGCCCCAACTTTCTGTTTGACGAGTCTAGGGCCCCGGTTCCCAGTACATTCTCAAAGCGGAAATGCATTCTGCTTGCAAGCAGAATGGAAGCAGAATAGCTTGAACAAAGTTAAGTATGGTCGTTTCGGTCTGTCTTGGGCAGAAGTCGCACTACATTGCAAGAATGCCAGTATCAGTGTCCAAGAATATTCAATGTGTATACTTCTCGCGCTGCAATATGTCACTGAGGACTTTCTGGTTGTGATGGCATTGGAATTTGGTGAACTGAAACTTTGCCACGGACTCTCGGTACTTAATGCAGTCTGCCTGTGCTGTCAAATGAGTTTGTTTTTCGAACCACAAGTAAAAAAAGACCCTGGTAGGGGTTGTGCAGTCATCGTACCTGTCATGACAACTGACCATGTTTTATGACAAGGCATGGTGTTGGGCTAGTTGGTTTGACATATTGAAGTGGGAAAGTATAAGTTACATACATGCAGCGCTGACTTGCAACTGAAAATTATACTTCTGCACAATATAGCAAGTAGGTAATTGTGATACTAGACAGGATAGACACAAAAACAAACAGCCTAATAACATAATACCCCCTCCCCCATCCTGCTGACACACACCTTGCGAACTTCCCAGACTTTCTAATAAATTCCACTTCATTGCCCACCAGCGCTACTTTTTTTTTTTTTTCACTTCCGTCTGTCTTATGAGTCTATCTTCAACATAGCTGTCGCTAGATCCAGGAAATAACTTCAAGTTCCACTTACGAAGAACACTGGGACAAACACTAAAGGCAACCCGTTGATGACCAGTTGGGATACTGACGAAATTGGGCTGCACCTTGAGAGGTCGGAAATTGACGACGACAATAGAAATGATGAACAGTATGAATGTTGCCACGACGATGGTGCCGGTAACACTGAAACGAGACGAGTTTGTAACAATGATAAATATACCATTTATTTTAAAAGGACCAATAGACCATTTGCTGTACTAGCCAAGCATCAAGGAGAATGCAGGGATAGGTGTTCCACGTGCCACATGCGCACGCCTTCCCAGTATAAAAGATTCGAAGTAAATAATCAAAATAAAGCATTGACGAACGCGCGTGCAAGATGCCATTTGTTTTAGGTTTTCGCTTTAGAAAAGTTACTACTGCTAAGGCCAGCACGTGTGGCACGTGGAACACCAATCCCTGCATTCTCCTTGATGCTTGGGTAATATAGCAATAGGTCTATAGCTAGTTATAAAGACAATAGGTAGTTATCAGCGTGCTTGTGCCACTGGGGCCGTTCTTGTAGTGCAGCTCTCGAATGTTTTGCGCCCCTCGGTAGAGGGGGAGACTTCAGGAGACCTCTTCTTGGACCTTGGACAGGCTTGCGACCAGCGATGAATACAAGCGGAGCTGATCCACGCCTTTGAGCAGGGACCTTGAAAGAGTAGAATACAGTCATACTTCTGTGACTGCTTATGACTGTCTGCCTAAAGGCCAATTCACACTGGGCCATTTTTTGCGTTACTCTACGTACAACGCATTCAAGGCCCGTTCGCACAGGGGCGTCTCCTTACGCTAAGAGCAATTACAATGAGCTATGATGGTGAGTTACCGTGGCAACCGAGGACACGAAGCTCGTCATAACATAACCTAAGGAGTTGAGCTCGGCTAAATTTTTAAAGACTGGTTACGTTGCGTCTAATACCCTAGTTACATGGGCGCTCTCAACTGCCATTGAGTCAATGACAGTTGAGTCAATCGCGATCGGCCAGAGTTGCACGGTGGGACCAACTGTCATCGAGCCGCTAATGACAGTTGAGTTCAACAGAGCTCCCCTACCTCAGTTAAACTGAACAAACTTCCCCAACGGAGGTAAAATGGCGCCTGTCTGCGGGACCGCTGCTGCCGACCATCGTTTGCGAGGTGCTTACTGTTTCGGAATGCAGGGGGAGGGGGAGGTGTCAACAAAGAATCGTAGCAGCAAAATATCCTTAAAGAAATAGGATCATGCATCCGAGCTGCTGCTAAAACGATCCCGGCTAGCCGGCAAGCCACCAAACGAGCGGAGATAACGGAGGGACCAGGTGTATAAAAAGACAATAGTAATGGGTGGACTCATCGTAGCAGGCGGTAGCTTGCACCACCAAGACTAAAATATGCGCAATCTAGCCCTGTATCCGCTTCGGTACTCGTGTAAACGCCGCTAGGAAGCAACAAGGTATTGAACATACTGTATGATATACTTGTAATAAATAAAAGGCAGGTTACGTAAGCTTATGTAACCTAAGGAATCTGGGCTCTGTGAACCAGCCATTACAATTTCTTGTGGTCTCTTGCGACCAGAACATATAGGGGAGAGTTTAGTCAGCTGGCGTGGCCTCATTGGCAGCTCGTCAATTGTATGTCGCTGAGACGACACGTGAATGCCGTGGCCACTCCCATTTCGCCATGTTCGATCCCAATTGATGTTTGAGACCTGCCGTTTTGTTTGGTTCTTGGTTTCCTCCAATGTATTACTGTTTTAAGTCATCTGCTAGCAATATTTGGGCTGTGTCGGGTTTATTCAGGAGACACATATATTAGGTTAGTTCCCGGTTACGTTGTCTATTCTCCCTTCATGTGTGCCGTAACACCAGCCCGTTGGTACGCTTTGCGGACGTTCGGTGCGTCACGCAAATTACGTTTGCATAATTTCGCAATTTTCAGTTCTAGTTGACACCTTATTTTAGCGGTGCACGACAATAACTTCCAGTTCACAGCTAAGGGGCTTTCCGTAGAGCGTTCTGATAAGTGAGCGCAGAGAATGCCATCATTGCCTGTGTTCTCGAAGAAAATTTTAAATTGTAAAGTAAGATGAAGCCTTTCGTCGGAACGTTTCCCAGAGTTTTGTTTCTTCCTAATTCCGTTTGCTCTTGACTACGCATCAGCATGTCAAATGAGATGGCTTGATCGAAGCAATCGCTACTCCTGATATGGGATGGTCACGCCGTGCATGCTTATGCCCGAGTCCCACTAGAGCGACAAACAGATACAACAGACACCGACAAGCCTCAAACCTATGCATCATACACGCAAAAGTGTCTTTGGCAGGCTTGCAACCACTCCTGCTCACTTCACGAGCACCGAGACTGCAAGCCTGCGAAAGGTACCGTCGCGTGCATGCTGCACGTGTTTAAGCTATGGTTTGAGGCTTGTCGGCATTGTTTGTTTCTGTTTGTCGCTCTAGTGGAACTCGGGCAATATCATTTGCCTTCACCAAACTATCTCAGCAATGAAACAGAAATCTTTCTCCGAACATCTAGGAAGCCGGAAGGATTTGAGGAGAGAAATAAAATGAATGCAGATTGTGAGAGTTTGATGTCATTAAAATTGGCGCCGGCACTAACGTCTATTTCGTAACGGAAGGTTAGGAAATAAACATGGAGCGACTCAGCATAGGGCGGCTCTTTGAGAATGGTAAGGTTGCTTGTTCCAACAATATGTTGCCGAGAGCCGCGCAGTGCAAACGCAAGTCCTTTCTGATCTGCTGACTTGCTCGCTTCAACGCGATGCGCTGCTGTCTAACTAAAATGGCGATAGACGCTGCTCTGGCAGCCGTGATTCCGCAATCTTCGCTCATCGCTCGGCTGGACAGCAGCCGGGCTGGCACGCTCTGCGGCACGGGCAGTTTGCGCAACTATGGCGCACAACTCGGCGACGTGTTATAAACAATTGCATGCATTTCCGCATATGCGCCTCGGACACGGCGGTGTGGGGGCTGCACGTTTGCCTCTACCGGACTCCGAGCCACGAGCATTCGCTTCTTGCGCTCCTGACATCGTCATGTGGCAGAGACCCGTGGACGTTTCTTCAGCTGTGGTTGTAGTTTTACAGATATTTATGGCAGCGTAGTAAACCTATGTCCCAACCACTTTTTTTTTCTCAGTTACATTGTACGGACGGCGGAGACGCCGTCAGCTGAGGCTACTCGGGCGCGCGCGATGAGGTCTATATAATGGTCGATCACGCCGCAGCATCCTCCATGCTGTGTGTCATAACCTTATATATCTTGCAATGTGCTCCAGGGTCACCGCATAGATGACGCCAGTATGCCGGAGTGTTGTCTGGTCATAAGAGATCGCAAGAGCTCTGTCCTAAGCAAACTTAAGTGTCTGAACGGGCCTTAAAGGGGCACTGACACATCGAAATCATATTTTTTTTATTATCCGAAACGATTGAAAACGATGCCGGAACATTACCCTCAAAATCTGAAATTTGGGAATTCGGTATTTGTGAAGTAAAAAAACAATTTCCAAATGTCGAATTTGAAGTTCCCGCGCGATCCGCGCCGGTGCGTTGACGTCAAATATTGCGGACTCCTGAGAGTCCACTTTTTTTCACGAGTCCCTGCTATTGCCATGGCGACCCAAAGCAAGGAGGAAAGGAGCGAGCGCCGGCGTTGCGGCGGACCGGTTTTGAGCGGTGTCGCCTGTTTTCCGTGGGGGGATACAAATCCAGGAGACGGCACCACAACGAACTCCCGATTTTTGGTATTTCAAAAAGAAGGGCCGTAGTGCGTTCACAATTGCATTAAAAAACATGTTTTAGGATTGCCGTTATAAAATGTTATAGAGATGTTGCCTACGAAGCTTCTAAATTTCCTGATTTTTGACGTCACCGATCAAAAGAAGCGAGGAGGCGAGAAGCGGGAAAATCAAACGCCAAAAATTAAAAAGGCGCGCGCGCGCGCAAGAAAATGTTTTTTCGAGATGCGTTTTTTTTTGTGTGTCTATGACTGCAACTTGCATTGTTTTAGACAATAAAAAAAAATATGACCTTTGGGGTGTCAGTGCCCCTTTAAAACTGTATGGCACGAGACACCAGGAATGCATAACTGCTATAGAGCATAGTGAACAAGCTTACATCGTATACCATAGTTTTTTTCTAAAGTCCACACAGTTGCATCTCGTTCATATGGACCTTGTTAATATGAACATCCTGCTATATAGAAAAATGTTTTTGGGGACGAAGTAGGTAAATATGTGCACTATTCTCTCATTATTATGGAAAACACGAATTATGTGTGATTTTTGGGGGGAATGCAAGTATCCATATTAACGAGACGTGGCTGTATGACGCATAAGCTTTTCAGGTTCCTACAGACAATAGTATTGCTTGGTGCTTGATTATGGAAGTTTCGAAGAGTAAAGCCACTACACCTAACAGTAAAAACAAGCTGTTCTCAACCAGAAAAATAAACAAAATAACATGTAGGCCGCTGCAGTGAAAAGTTACCATTTCTACTGGGTAGAACGTGAATATTATAAATTTTTTTATTGCAAAAGTAATATTTTCAGATACAAATATTTTACATTTAAGTGGAATTGTTTTCAGATACAAGTATTTTACATTTGACTTGAATCGAGCGTGGATAATTTAAGAAGTCACGGCCAGAGATCTTTCCTAGAAAGCATGCCTATTAAAGGAAACAGTCTATTTCATAAGAAACATTTTAGATAACTCGTATTAGAAGACATGGGTTCTCGTGGAATGAGTTTGGTAAAACATAATATAACATAGTAAGCAAAGCAATTTACAGCTTTTTTTTTTTTTTAAATTGCCAGAGGTTTTCTCTTTTGGTACTGTCCTTTCGAATCGAGTGTCGAAGTATAATGATTCAAGAGTGCTGACGTACAAAAGTGAGCAAAAAATTGTGGTGGCTTAGCTCCGCTATGCCAGGATATACGTAGCGTGAGCTTATGCGCACAAAATGAGAGGCGCTATGAAGCGGCTCTGGTGCAGCGTTAGACTTGGCTACTGTGCAACGGAGGCGCACAGCTGGGCACGTGGCGGCGCCAATGCGTCTGTTGCGGCTATGACGTCGCTCCTCTGGAATGCGCAGACCGGCGAGGCGCGTTTTGCGGCGGCGGCGGCGGCTCTGGCGCGCCAGCTGTGCGCCGTGTGACGTCACTGCTCCTCGCGCATGCGCAGCACGGCTCTTTGGGGGCCACGCGAAACTGCTCAACCTCGGCCAGTGTAGCTCACGCAACAAAAATGCTGGAGACCATTCGGCCAATAGCAATACACCGACACGTCAGTCATTTCTCCTGGTACACCAGTGCATAACAATGAAGCTTCACATGTGCACACAGGTGAAAAATACAGCGAAAGCTGCCATATATATCGTGGCTCCCATGCAAAGTGGTGAAGTTTGATTCGAGAAACTGGAGAATTCTCAAGACATTATAATTGTAATTTTCCAATTTTCTAAAAACGTGAACACTCCTAACTGTACAAATGCCACAAATAAAATAGAATGGGAAATGCTGTTTGCAAATCATTCGAAATTTTGAATATTCACGCACCTCTAGTTCAAGAAACAAAAAGGTAAGTTTCAAATTAGCGCTTCTGTGTGCCCACCAACCTACCTAAGCGACATTTCAGCGTCGTCTGCCGCAGTCCGGAGCTTAGCCGAGATGTCCGTCGTAGCTTGGGACAGGTTGGAATGAGAATCCGTTTCCAGCTGCCTGCAGCGTGCCTGGGACAGTTTGCGCAAATTAGCCGTACAGAGCGACACGACGGAATTGTGTCGAACGCATGTTTAGACGGCGGCTAGCTTTAATAGGCCCCACTGGGTGTCTGGGCTGTAGACCAGAAATTTAGCCAGTGCAACCCTGAGTCTTTAACGTGCACTACACAGCGGCAATGCACGATCGCACACAGGTATGATGCTCGTGACTGAAACGAGCAAGGGTGGGAATTGAACCCAGGATCTCTGGGTTATGTAGCACGAGAGCTTTCGCTCCACTTGCCCCGAGCTGTGGCATGTCAACACGCTCGGCCACTGATACCCCGATTCGAACAGTGCAGTGCCTCCACTGCACTGATGGAAAGCGTTCAAACGCCGAACGGTAGAAGCCGGCATCCTTCATTTCATCGCATTTAACGAGTGAAGAGGACAGTTGAGACGACGGCAGCTAGCTTTGCCTCTAACCATGAACAGTGATGGAAGTGCTGCGCCATTTGCACCAAAGTGCGCCATGAACGAAAGTCCACTACGTCTTGCGCCAAGGTGCCATTTTTGCTAAGAACTGCACCACACCTGCGCTGAAATGGGCTTAAGAGCAAAAAATATAAAATATTTTAATATTGATTGACCCTCATATTTAGTGAAGTAGGACGAAAGAAAAACGGTACAAATATGTAGGTATTTCACAGCACGAAGTCACGAAGAATTATTTCCCAGTGTCTGTAATTCACGGCATCTGGTGTGGCTGGCATGCATTTCACAGAAGTTATATTTACAGGCTAAATAAAATACCGGATGTAAAAGTGGGAGAGAAGGGAGGCTTCATTCCAACTGAAGTGGTGCGCTTCGATTCATTTTTGAACATTTTTATGTACCCATTGCAAATGAAACTTACTCTGTCTGGAGTCTTATTTCTAAAAAAAAGGTTCCGTGTTTCCTGTGTGCTTTTTATCTACTCTTATTACAAAAGGTAATACCTAATATGCTCCAGTATCAAAGAGGAACCCTCATTCATTACCAAAGGTGAACTCGTTTAGCGATGCAATCACTTTTTCGCTTTCGGGCGACCTCTAAACAGATGCTGGCATCTGCTCGAAAAGCATCAGTGGCTGCTCCGAACAAATTTTTTGCCTGCTACAGAACCTGCTACAAATGGTCAAATGCCACTTCCGTCACTGCACAAATAGTTCCAGTCAGAGCTCGGTGTTCTGGCATCCCCGTGCACTCTTGTTTCCTCCTCTTTCTCCGTTCCTGCCCGCGTGGTCGCTGACCCAAAGAGAACAGAAGGGCGTGTCTTTTGAATGCTCGGCCTCCAGCAGAAGGCTCCATGCCTCCCGCCGTGCTTTGGCTGTGCATGTGCTGGAGGCGGGACAGTTGAAGCTCCTCCCTGCCATTCTCACCTTGGCAGTGATTGTAGCTTGGCCTCGCTCTGAGCCAAGCATCGGTGGCATGAGCTACCAAGCCACTCTGCTAACCTGACAGCACTGCAGAAAGCCAGCAAACTATGTGTCGCCACGCTTCGGCACACCAACATTATGCCGCGTAAGCATCCGACGTCGAATTTGCTTGTTCCAGGGTACACCCGCGCGACATCCACGAGGACATCCGTCCTGTCTGGGTCTCGGTTTTACGAGCCACGGGGCATCACCTGGAGTGTCTTGACTTGCTGCTTGAGTCGAGCAGAAGCCAGTTCCGCACTTGAGGCTCGCTCCTGGAAAGAGGCTCAAATCAGGTCGAAGCTCCACCAACAATGGGGTACTTTACGTAAATTACTAAGAAATTATCCGAGGTGGCAGCAGCAAGGGAGACGCCGGCAGCAACGTTGGTAGTTGTGCGTGAGTATGCTGTATATTAGATACAAAAAACAATGAAAGACGTTTACAATTCTCTGTAACGGCGAATTGGAGCGCAGCTCTTGAGGAGAAGAAGGGGAGGGTACGGAAGGGAGGGTATTGCCATCCTCCTCCTCCATACCCTCTCCTCCTCGTCTTCTCCTTCTCCATCCTCTCCTCTCCCCTCCTCCTCCAATTCAGTTTCCACGCTAAATTTAGCGGGAAAAATGACGTCACATGACTTGGTGTCAGGTCACCTATGAACAAATTCAGTTTCTCCGCTAGATTTAGCAGGAAAACTGACGTCACGTGATGTCAATTTTCCCACTAAATTTGGCGCGGTTACCCCGATGCCACTCAACCCATAGCGGGCGCAAGAGCCGCGCTCTAGAAGTGGATAACGGTAGAGAAGGGTTAGCCAAGCTTTGCCTCAAGAGGCGCATGCAGCTCTTTGCGTGTTAAAGTGTGGATGCCAGCTTTCTAGAAAACCTAACCCCCCCCCCCCCCCCCCCCTTTCTTGCCTCCCTCCGGTGACCTGAGCACTTCCCCAAAAAGAGAAATGGAGCACATTTTAAATTCGAAAGCATTAACTGTCCCATGGAGCGAAGCCAGCATTATCTGGTGTCTGTAGCAGCAATAAACAGAACCTAAATACCCGTTGGCTGAGCGAAACGGCACCTTAAGTCCCATTGGCTGAGCAAAATGGCACGTAAACTCCCAGTGGCTGAGCGAAACAGCACATAAATTCCCATTAGCTGTAAAGCGGGCGCGCCTCAGAAAACATAAAACACAAAGAAATGTACAGCAACGCAGATGCTTTGTCACGGAAGCCGGCTGGTGCGCTCAAGTTGAAAGCGAACACGCTTCAAAAATAAAACACAAAGGAAAGCACAGCAACGCAATGCTTCGTCACGGAAGCTGTCGTGAAGCTGGTAGAGTTCGCCGCGCCTGCGCAGTGGGGAAGCGTGATGTCACCGCCGAAGCGCCGTGTGCAATAGAAAGACGAGGTGCACTACTTGTAGGAATGCGCTGCATGTAGGGCGCATTCCTACACGTAAGCAATTTTAAGTGTCTCAGCCAAATTTTTTATGTTGAAAGGCAGGTTGCAGTTTGCTGTGTTTTTTCCACAACCATCTCGGCATGACCCTGGGTGCTACACTCGTATTCACCCTGTTCCCGAGCCCATCGGCTTGGATTCCCCGTTCACCCTCCACGAAGTCGAGGCCGCCCTGGATAGGTCAAACACACACAGTGCACCAGGCCCTGACAACATCACCGTCGGGCAACTTCGCAACCTTCCCACCGCCCTAAAAGAGACCATACTGACGGAGATCAACCTGGTGTGGGATTCTGGGTGCGTCCCTTCCGAGTGGCGTCACTCGACGGTATGTCCTATTCCGAAGCCCGGCAAACCACCTACGTCTCTCACAAATCTACGCCCAGTATCCCTCACATCATGTCTCTGCAAAACGGTTGAGAGCATGCTGAACGCCCGTCTGCAGTGGTGGCTTGAGTCCAACCAGCTGCTCAGCCCATCGCAATACGGGTTCCGCCCTGGACTCTCCACTCAGGACGTCATGAGCCGCCTCCAGCACGATACGCTATCTACATCATCACCGCATCTTCGTATTGTGGCAGGGTTCGACGTGCGCAAGGCGTTTGACAGCGTCCCGCACTCCTCCGTCCTCTCAATGGCACAACAGCTAGGCATCACCGGTCGGGCATACAACTTCATTGCGGCGTTCCTCGAAGATCGCACTTTCATTGTTCACGTCGGCACATCCAACGGAATCACCCATACAAACCGAGTGGGCGTTCCACAAGGGTCCGTTCTTTCTCCAGTACTTTTCAAGATCGTCCTTGCTGGCCTTCCTCCCCGCCTTAGTGAGGTGCCTAACCTCGAACATGCGATCTACGCCGACGATATTACGTTATGGACCCACTCTGGCTCACCCGGTTACCAACAGGATGCCATTCAAGCTGGGCTCGACATCATTCACGACTACATCCAGTCTGTTGGCCTCGCTCCCGCTCCCGACAAGACGGAGTTCGTCGTTATTCATGGCAGTCGTCGCACACCAGCAAAAGAAGCAGAAAAACAGTGCATTCAGCTCACGCTCGCAGGTACTGCCATCTCACGCCGCACGAGCATCCGGATTCTTGGTTTTCACCTCGACCAAGACAGCCGGGCGGCGACTTGGTTTCAGCGTACCATCAGCACCTCGAAACAGCTGAACCACCTGTTATACAGGGTAGCTCACCGCTCCCGCGGGGTGCACGAACATGATCTCCGTATCTTTGCTAGGGCCTTCGTGGTGTCCCGCATTATGTACGGCTACCCGTACTACCACCTTACCCGCACCCAACAACTTCGGCTTGAAATAATTAATCGGGAACTGCAACGAATTGTCACCGGCCTTCCGAGATACACGCGAATCGATGCGCTTACCAGCTGCAGCCAGATGAACAGCCTTGACGACCTGGCCTCCACCCAGATCGCAACTCAAGAAACTCGACTCCGAGCCACTCTAGCGGGGCGCTTCACACTGCGTAAGCTAGGTTACAACATCGACCACCTCCTACCTTTACCCACCCCACCCCCGCCATGGGAGCTCTGCCCTCTCACAGCACCCCGTCCCCTCCCTCGGAACATGGGTAAAAAAGCGCAAGCCCGCCGCAGCGACTTTGCTCGCCGACATCTCCACTCTCTCCTTGTTCGCTCTTCATCGGCTCTAGTTTTCTACGCGGACGCGACTGTGGACAATAACTCCACGCCAATCTTCAGCACGGCATGGTGCGATGTCGACGGTCATCGACACGGTACACAAGTTTTCATGACCCCCTGCTCCTCTAGTCACGCTAAACTTTGTGCTATACTGCACTGCTTAACCTCCGTTAACACTTTCACCCTGGTACCCTCCTCCAGAATCGTAATATATACAGATTCTCAGGAAGCCATCCGTGCTCTCCGCCACTCATCTCCATCATCTGCCATCGCTATTCAGATTCATCGGGCAGCCATTTCTATCCGGACAGCCGGCCACCATCCCCTCATCGACTGGGTGCCTGCCCACAGCGGCATACCCGGCAATGAAAGGGCTCACCGACTTGCGCGCGCTAAACTTCTCTCCGCGCGAGCCGGGGCCCCTACTTTTCCTACGCCACCGGAGCTCACACCTGGCTCCTTTCACGATTCACACGAAGCCCGGCAGGAGCACGCCAGCCAATGGCGTCATTACCTGACTACTCAGTCTAACCCCCTTGACTTCCCCTCTCTTTCCCACCTTCCTCTCACTCGCCACGAGACCTCCCTTCTACAGCAAGCCAGGTCAGGAGCGCTCCTCGCTCCCTCCCTGCTTGCAAAGATGTATCCCCAGGTCCACATCAACCCTCAGTGTACCCACTGCCACATTCCTGCTAGTCTCCCCCATCTTTTGTGGGACTGCCCGCTCCACTCAACAGCCCGCGTTCGCGCGCTCTCAACCCTCTCACCTCCCCCCTCCACTCTTACTGAGTGGCTCAACCCCCCATCCGCTCCTGACCCTGGTCGTGTCCTGGCGGCATTCCAGGCGATCCTCCGATATTTAGAGGACCCGCAGGCGCCCCCACTCGGCTCCAGGCTGCTCAAGCAATACGAGCCAATCATCGCCGCCGCCCGACGTCTCTCTGCCCCTGGTAACACCAGGGACACATAAGACGACGAGATAAAAGACCATCCAGCAGAGCGCATAGGGCGCTCATTCATTTGGTCTGTAAATAAAGACGTTTGAAAGAAGAAGAAGAACAAAAGTTTGCCCCCCCCCCAGTTTCTGCCTTTCCTCTTCCAGTCAGCTCTTGCAAGTTTCGTGGTTTTGTTTGTGGCTCTTAGGCCGGATCAGCCTGGCCACCCTTCCTCTAGAGTATAACTATAACTCATCTGAAACTAGTGTCCAAAACTGAAGATGTCCTGAAATATTAGATGTTACACAGACTTCCACGGACTTAAATGCACAATGTGGCTATATATATTCCCTAGAACATTCCTACCCAAATTGATGAAAAGAAAGCCTCATCAATGGAGAAGGTGCCAAAATATTTTCCAAGGGTGCAACAGCACATGCTGTGTGGAAATCCTTAATTCCTACATGATTTCCATCTGAAAAGACTAATTTCGACTTTAGTACTCAACGTCCCACAACATACACATTTTTTAGAGCCACGGTAACAGCACATTGCAAATGACATGCCCTTGCCCGAAGACAGAAATAGTCACAAATTCTTTCTTCATTTAACCAACCGAAGATTAGAACTGTCTTTTTAATCACACAGTGCAACTGGGAGACTTGGGCCATACCAAAGAAGACATAGCTTCAGAAACCCTTCAGAGCTATTGTCAAATGCCTCATCTCAAGCCCCATTTTCCTTGCAGAAGTAAAATCCAAACAAGCTTTTCCAACATCTTTTTATTATAAACAGGTTCTAGAAACTAATTGCCTTCAATGTGGCTATGGTACTGTAATTACTTGCATAATGAACACACTTTTTTTTTCCAAAAATTTAGACATATTTGAGGGGTGCATTCATTATGCGGAGTAAAATGTTTGCATTTACATACTTTGCGCAAATGTCATATTAGGTGTCAATATGACACGGCAGTTTACTGTGGCATGTCCCCAATGACGGATGTGCACCCATGACTGGTCGTGGGCGTGCCCAAAGTAACCATGTTCTATAAATTGCGAACCTTTTTAGGGTGCTTTCGGCGTGCCTTTTGCTAAATGAAAAGCGCCCAATGAAGCTCACTCAGTATGGAGAACAACGAAACTGTTCTTAGGCCTAACTACTTTCACGATTTCTGTTTGAAAGCAGACCACACACGACGGTGTGTTTGTTGACATCAATGCATCCGATAGGCGAATCATGTCCGGGGCTGGACAATTCCTCGACCCCAGCTTTGTTAGGTCTGCGCGTCGCTCGGTTCCACAATTGATCACTTCTGCAACTACGCACTTAAAGGGGCGGTGCAACGATATTCAATTGGAATGTTTTTTTACTTTACACAAGCTTACTGGCACCAGTGGGGCTCAAGGATACTCGCACGCAATGCTACTGACCAAGAAACTCCTTTGTTGCGCTGTAATTTCGAGGACAAAACCGAGTGTTTTCATTCAACCTCTCCTTCGCAAAACCTGATGACGTAGCTGGGCGGTAGCAGTACCGCCCAGTGACGACATTTGAATGCGGCTCATAGATTGGACACGAGCATTTCGTCGGCACTCGATTTGGGCTCGTGATAATTACTAGCTCGAGAAACATTCGGGTAGTGTCCTGTGTCCAATCGCTGCAATGACGACAACAGCCGAGCCATAACAATGTCTGGAACTCAGCGCGTGTCCTGTGCCTTGCCAACCCCAGCGCAAGGCTATCATCAACTTTGGCGGCATATAATCGGCTCCCGATCACGTGGCCACTTGTTCTGGCTGCGAGTTGAGGGGGCGAACTCTGCTCGTTTTTCTTTATTTTTTTCTGCGACTTCGATTGCGTGTGGTGAAAAACGACCAGGTATTTCACAGGTCATCAAAGTCAGGGATCCGTTCTAAGCGGTATTTGCGCAAAATACAAAAATCGTTGCATTGCCCCTTTAAAGCCATTACGAGAGCGGCTTGGCTTGGCTTGGCTTAGCTTGGCTTGGCCTGGCCTGGCCACTTGGCGGCCAGGCCAGGTCGAGTCAAGCCAGCCAAGTCAAGTCAAGCCAAGCCAAGCCTGGCAACTTGGCGGCAAAAAAGACTTTCAGTCTTTCCACTCGTGTGAAGAAGGAAGACCAGCGAAGCTGTACTATGATGGGACGACCTCAAGCACAACTTCTTAGACGACCTCAAGGATGACGCCTAGAGGACGTCTAGACGACCTCGGGAACGACGTCTAGGACGACGTCAAGGACGACGCCTAGGACGACCTCAGGGACGAAGTCTAGGACGACATCAAGGACAACCTCAAGGACAACTTCTAGGACGACCTCGAGGATAACGTCTACGACGACCTTAGGCACAACTTCTAGGATGACCATAAGGATGACTTCTAGGACGACCTCAAGGAAAAGCTCTTGGACAACCTCAAGGACGACTTCTAGGACGCCCTCAAGGACGGCATCTAAGACGACGCCTAGAGGGATTCAGCCTTTCCACTCTGGTGAAAACCAGAGTGGAAAGGCTCCAAAGTTGCCGCTATCTATGAGCGAGGCTTGCAAGCCGGTTGTCTGGTTGCCGCCGTCGCTCATAGATGGCGGTAGCTGTCCAGAGTTTTATGTCGACATTTCTTTGCGGGGGACATAATCCTCGGGAAACTAGCCCTTAACAGCTCTGCTGTAAAAATTGGCTTGGTGGGCTTGGTGGCTAGCACGAGACTCGCAGAGCCGAAAATTGTAGGTGCGTTCATTACGTGAGGGAAAAAAAAAGTTCAAATATTGATGCCCATTTTGGGGGGTGCGTTCATTATGCAAGCGCGTTTATTGTGCGAGTAGATACGGTATTTGTGCTTTATTTACTTTCAGAAAGGGGTTACAACTTGACATACATACTACTAAGTTTATCTGGATCCACAGTCATTATGAAAGTAAAAAAACAAGTATATGAAAGTAAAAAAGCAGAGCTTGCACCACTTCAAACTCTTTAGAATCTTAATTTATTTTCCCCATCTCTTTCTATAAAGCAGGATACACAACAAGTAAGTTACGAAGAAATGAGCAATGGCACAAGCAACGTAAAGAGTGAATTGGTAACAGAATGATGCAAACCCATATTCCTTTCTCACATACCCAGAAATTCTGGCAAGTCGGAAGCCTTGAGAAAAGCGACAGCATGCCCGAAATTGCCGCCCAAAGAGTTAATCAGCATGAGACCTCACCAGGGGGACCGCATCATTTCGGTGAAAATTGTTTCATAAAAACATGTTTCGAAGACCACATTTCATGGACACACATTTTGTTGACACCGCAATGTTTTGTGGAAAATCATTTCATGGACGCAGGCTCCTGTGACAATTCGTCCTGTAACATATTTATTTTTTTACTACCTACTTAAGTGGATATGATTGAATTACTGGCTTAATTTCGTCCACTAGAAGCATACCAGAACTAAAGCAGGCTCGTCCAGCCGACTCCAGTAGGGTGAAAATAAACTCTCGAGCCCTAATGCTAGGCTTCCAAACGGTTTGTGCCCTGCCCGGGGAAACTTGAATGTAATTTCATGGCCAAACTTGCACCACGCCTCGTCGGAACAGCCAAGGGTTTGCCAAGCTAGGCCACCGTCCGGGTGCCAGCAACTGAGGTAACACGCAGAGAAAGACGCTTTTGACGAAACATTGAAAGGTACCTCGATGAGACTTTGCAGTGTCAACGAAACAATACGTCGATAAGACGTCGTTCTACGAACTGGCTGCCACTGCTCACCAGGGCCGCCTTGAGGCTGCACTCGACCTGCCGCACGACCTGCTCGAGAGCTGCCGTCTCCTCACGCTCCTTGTGCCGCTGGGCCTCCTGCTCCTCCTCCAGGGCCTCCAGCCTGCAGAAATGTCGGTCAACGACAGGGTAAGAACAGCAGGGAGGTCTCTCAGTTGTCCCGCCTCCAGTGCGAGCCTCCCAAGCTTGATAACACCTTTGCGTATTGCAAGCTTTGAGCGTGTATCAGGGGCAAGGTGGACCAAACTGGTTTGGGGAGCATTTTTGGGAGCAGAAAAATCCGGAATTTGGAGCTGCATAAAAGGAAAAAAATTTGTGTGTTTGGAGCAACTTGGGAATAACTGTGACATTATTTTAAGGATAGTCTTAGCCAGCTATACCATGAGTTACAATTCAAGCAAACCAGGCTTGTACTACAAGTGTTAGAAAGTATTGACCGTATTTTCGCGATTCTAAGCACCCTCCCCCCCACTTTCAAACATGAACACCTGAAAAAAAGTTTGCGTGCGAATGTAAGCACCCCCCTCCCACCAAGACATTTGAGATCGGAGACGCCGGTATCGCCGAGCGCCAAAGTCGCAAACGGCCGCTGGCGCTTGGTTTCAACGTCAGTTAATAGATGGCAGCACATACCACCATTTTCCACTTTCGCATCCGTGCAGGTTGAGAAAGCGTTGCCGTACCTTCTATCGAAGATGTTTTGTCTGTTTGCTCTCCTTGCACTTGTTGCAGTCGGTTTTTTAGTCTGTTAAGCCTATTCATCCGCGTTGGCCTCGCAACCGTATTCCGTTCACTGTGTGCAGATGGTTTGTGGAAGTCGTCCATCATGAGTGCGAAGAAAACTTCATACACAATGAAGTTCAAGAGAACGGTTATTACTTACGCTGAAGACAACAGAAATCACGGCGCTGCTGAACAGTTTGAAATGCGGCATTCCGCGCAAGCTGAGGCTTGAGTGGGACGATTTCTCTTTGAGACGTCGCACCACTATCTGCCAGAAGCTACCGGTGGACTTCGAGGACAAGCTTGTCAACTTCCAACTTTATGTGATGAAGCTGCGTCGCGAATCTCGCTACGGACTCGGGCAGATCGGCAATGCCGATGAGACCTCTGTGTACATCGACATGCCAAGGACGTGCACCATAAACGAAGTAAGCGCCCGAGAAGTAAAAGTGCGTACGACTGGCTGTGAGAAGCAAAGGGTGACCATAATGCTGTGCATCACAGCCGACGGTCGGAAACTTGCGCCCTACATGATCCTCAAAAGACTAGTCGCGAGAGCGACTAGTCGACCCTGGTGCAAACTGATGGCGAGCGGGCTACTCTCCAGTCTTTACTTATTTCCTTTAGAACACTTATTCTTTTATTTTGATTATAATAAATTCATACTTCTAATGAAAATTTCGTATTTTCGGGCCATTTTCCGAATCTAAGCACCCCCACCCCCTCTTTGAACATCGTGGGTGTGAAAAAAAGGGGGTGCTTAGAATTGAGTAAATACGGTGAATAGAACTTTACAGTGAAATATCTGAAAATGCACGCCTAAAATAAAAGATATTTTATTTCAGGAACAAATTTCAACAAAAAGTGAAGGGGCACGACTCGGGAACGAGGATGTATGGATGTATACATCAAACCCTTCGGGTAGATGGACGAATTTACAGATCTGGCTGAACCAAGGAATCTGGCGGCGGCTTGCGCCATCTGGCGATGGAATAGCCAAGGTTTTCAACGGAGCTTTAACTTTCTGCTAAATCTAGCATCTCCGTGATCTTTGGCGCAGCGCGGCACAATTTTGGTCGATTTCAGGCTTCTGGCACCGGCGCAGAAATTTGTGAATGCACCAAATTGGCGCAATTGGCGCAGCTGTTTGACCCCTGGTGCATTCGCAGCCAAGGCACTGCAGAAGGTAACAAGCGTCTGCTGGAGTTTAGACATTCCAAAGAGACGCCTCATTGTTCTTATCCTGCCAGTGACTATAAAGGGTCCATATCATTATATAGAAACATGTTTCGTCGAGAGCGTTTCGTCTACATACTTTTAGCCAACACTGACCTTTCGTGGAAGCTTGTTTCGTGAACCTCATTTCGCCCGCCCCGACACAATTCGACACGGCAATAGAATAAATATAAATGTATCTTAATCCCACGAATAGAGTCGCGAGACACATTATACGTATGCAGCGTGTCTTCGGCACTTAGAAAAGCTTGTAGACAGCCAGTGCAACTCGAAACGTGCTGCACAGTCTGTCTCCCAACTTTATCTGTAGGAATAAGTTGCATCTTTTTAAGTAAACTTGAGAAAAACACGTAATTCCTGTGCAGGCATTTCAAGTATACTAATATTGTAAAACTGCCATTAAAGTAAAGCTGTCTTTCTTTGCAAAGTTAACTGGACTACAAAAAAGGTTTACCATCTTAAAAAAAAAAGATTAGTGCAAGATTCGTGATATTCAATTCCATCTCAAAGTTTTTAAAACAGCATTCAGCACATGCTAAAGTGAGTGATCCTTGCCTCGCCAGCTGGAGCCGATTGGTCTCGAGCGCCTCCAGACACTGCCGTTTGAGTCGTGCATTTTCCTCTTCCAGCTGCAAGCAAATGAAGAACCGTTCAAAAACCTGAGGACGAACCAACCACGTGGGGTAACAAGACCAGTGGCATCACTAGAGGGGGGGGGGGGGGGGGTGGCAGACTGCCCAGGGTGCAGTGCTCGGGGGGCGTCGCAGCAGGCCATGAGAGCGAATGTGGGGTGGGAGGGGGTGAGGGGGGGTGTTGCAGGGGGCCACTGCCCCGGGTGTCGCTGACCCTAGTGACGCCACTGAACATGCCTCCAACTTGGCACAATATACGAGGTGCAGCGGCACCTTGAATACACAGCTCAAGCACTGATTCTCAACGGAACTCCATTTGAAAAAGAAAACCTTAGTACAGAGCACAAGTGCACAAACGATAGAATAAAGGCCAGCACATCACTGGTCTGTGAAATAGAGGACGATGAAATCAGAACGGCTGCACAGATGTTAGCCGGTCTGGAGGTTGAGGGTCACCTTCATCCTCGGAGCCTCCTAATCAAAATAGGAAGGGTGCCATATGACCGTTTTTGTACCAAGCTTATCTTTTTTGTGTCTTTGCTTTTGTTCTGATAGATAAATGGATGTTAATGGATATACCCTTTGTAAAGGGTGGTAGCTTGTGCCACCCAGCTTAAGTCTAAACAAACAAACATGATTCCTCTCGCCTTTCTAAGCCAATTTTCTCCCCCTATCACAGTCCACTCTGCAAAAATTATATACTTTGAGGAAGTTGGTAACACCTAGCAGTTGCTTGCTTAGTAAGGATGCTATACAAATGACCAATTATTCGGGAGAAATATTCACTGAACGACTTATGGGTTAAATATAATGAAGCAGTTAGTTCACTGTCAACATTATTGGTCATTTATATAGCTTGCACAATGCCCTACTTTTATTCAGCCTACTAAACATGTGCCAGCAATGATGGACTGCAAAAGATGCATGCATCTTGCAAAAGGTGTGGCAAACTATATAGACATTGCTTGATTCTCCTGACTGTTAAGTTCAAGTGTAAAAAAAATTGTTTTAATTTTTTTACCCTCAATTTTATATTTTATTGATAGAATCCAGAAAGTATGCCGTCCAAGTGCACTTTGTTTCGAGAAAAGTGCTATGGCACTCAAATGAGACATTAGGCAACAGACATGATGGGGTTATGAAGAGCATCCTTCCCTAAAAGGTATGTCATTCCTAGCACATGTTTCTTTGAATTTCTTGTCCGTAAAACTTAAAAATCTCCAGCTTAGCCATGCATAGTCCTACGATAAACCATGCCAAGGGCACTTGAAGTTTCCCAACCGGACGTCGCCACCTACCCTACTGATGGAGCTTCTGTGCTCGCAGGAACATTGCTCCTCTGCGGGGTTCGGAAGCTCGACATCCCTCCGGTCCCAGCAAGGCACTGGTTCTGGGCTGCATTGGCCAATCGCGTCTGGACGCTGCTCTAAGACACGCTCACATTCCACTGTCACTGCAACCAACATGGGGACATGGTCACAGTGAGGTCAAAAACAACTCCACAAGCCCTCACATAAGTGGAGCACGTAGATTGTATGCTAAGCGACATGCTGGACATGATGGAGCATGCACTTTGCATTTGAAAGCAATCGAAAAAATTTGCCCCCGTCTAGCACTATCGGGGCAAAAGCACTGGTAACACAGAATGCATCGTGCATTGATTCATGACGATGTTGCACCGATAGACTTAGAGGAATTTCGTGCCTCGAGTGTGCAGACATTCTTAAGTGCAGCATTCTTCAAAAAAATATCTGTCAAAGCTAGTGCTCTAGCGGGGCTGGAATGCAAAGTTCACGTCTTGTGTAGTCACATTTGCCAACTGTGATCTTGCTATTTCGCTTCTCCCTTCTGAGGCACATGCTTGTTCTCTTCTGCCTTGCCCCCTGCACACTCTCCCATTATATGTGCAAGCACACTCGCTCAACAGCTCCTAGACGACAAGGTCATGGTGCCGGATTGCCTATTTCACTTAGTGGACGCCGGCATGGGGCAGATTGACACGAGTGCCGTCACCAGAAACTGCTAGGAGCCAGTCATAGAACACATTATGTCTTAAAGCTATTCATTTGTTCACTGTTTCATCGAAGCTAGCCATGCACAGTATTGGAGCCTTTGGGAAGGCGACACTTCACTATGAACAAGTGCATAAAGCTTTGGGTGAGTACAAAATCTGAATCAAGGATACCAACCTCACACTCCAAATAATTATACATAGTACAAGCAAATGGTGCCATTGAGATAGCCAATGATATTTGGCAATGTTCTGTAATAAAGAGGTGACAAAATGTTTGCTCCACATGTGGTGCCAACAGCCAGTGCCGTGACGCTGGACACACGCAGTGAATGTCACCGGACAGAATTTGTGGCTTGTTCGTAGCATATTTTCTGCATGGAGGCTAGCCTTTATGCAGTGCAAAAAATGTGTATACCACTCGCACATTTGCAACAGGTACATGGCAGTTAAAATGTAAGAGGTAAAGAAAAGAAGACACAAAAATATTCACCCTGAAATGATTGCTTAATCCTTGCAGGAGGAAGCAGGAAGACCCTGTATAATAAACATACTGTATGAAACTGTGGACGTCGTCTGCAAAGAGTACCGTAATATTCCTAGTGATAGCCCACCTAAAATCGAAAGCAAATAGGGTGAAAATAAGGAGTGGGCTAACCTTCACTGTGCTATAAAGAAGTTAAAAAAATGCTCGTTTTAGATTCTGTGATCTGAAAAACTTGTGATTGCAGGGAAAGGCGATGAACCGAAGACGACTGTCCATCCCAGTCAGAAATGTGTGTTTATCTCCCGTTGTCGCTAAGTAACACCATTTCTGCTGAGGTCACCATTGGCCAGGACACTGCAATTACTAAAAGTGGGCGATCTTTCAATGTTTCTGGCATATCCCGCCAAAAATAGGGACGGGTTATCTTTCGGGGGTGGGGCGTCTTTTGGTACATTACAGTAGTAGTTCTTCCACAATTTCTGTGGTATCGAAGCAAAGTGACAGCGACCAAAAAGGCTTCCAGCAAAGACTCCTGCAATTCGACAGGGCCTTACTGCGACATAGCCACTGTGCAGCTGGAAATTTTGATGCACATTAAGGATCCTCAAGTTGTCTAAATCAATGCTCAATCTTTTGCTATACTCTGTTCACCCTTAAGCTGACCAGCTGCTGGCCCTTCAATAACAAATACCGTAGCAATCTGGCTGGCACTCAGTCCCTATCGGACGAGTTGACAGTGTTTGCCCCCAAGAAGCAAGATCTGAATGCTTGATGCTAGGTTCTGGATTTTTAAACATTGGAGCGGTGTTTTTGCACCCAATCTCCCGACTTTTGCGACCATGTTTGCACCCGGACATGCCCGGGAACTGCATGGTTCATTTCTTCCCGTGCAAAAAAGGCTCCTCGGAGCAGTCCGGGGTGCGTTCCCGTACGGACCTGTGGATGCGTCCATCAGCCGTAGACTGCCCACGGTCGTCGGGGAGAGACGACAGCGTCCCTTCGCAGGTGGCTGGGAGTGGTCGATAGCATTCTGGCCGCTCACGAAGCGTTGGAACGAAAACGGGTTGACGCAGGCATCCTCTTCAACCTCGTCGATGGGAGCCGCCATTGTGAACGCCCATCCCACTAATGCGGCCGCCGAGAGAACAGCCGCATCAGCGTCCTTGTCAAACATAGCATTTTGCAGGTCCCGGAAAGTTATTCCACCGTATATGCTGTTCTATTAAAAAATTATATATATATTATCCACTTTGTCAGAGCACCTGCCACTTGCGGAGAGTGGCAGACTCGCGCCTAAAGCCTGCGAAACCCAACCAAGTGTGGCAGCTCGGCCGACTCATCGTTACCAACTCCAAGATGGCGCGCGTCGAGAAAAAGCAGACGACAACAAAACGGCTGTCAAAATTTCCAAACTCGACTGACAACTTTAATTGGAGACTGCAGAAGCAGAAGCAGAAGCAGCGGCGACAGGGTTCGGTAACCGCCTCAGCTCCCGATGTCGGCACTGTGGACAATGAGCAGCCGCCCCGGATGAAACTCTCAACGTCGTTGGAGCCAACTGTAGCCCCTTCGGAGCTGCCGTCCGCCGCGAGTAAGGAGAATGAACGAGGACTACAGATTGCTACAGATGGGCTGCTGGCGACACGACCGGGTGGCAATTACTCAAAAAATAACTTACCGCGAAAAGGCTGTCACTGGATCTGTCAGAGCTCGCGCAGCGCGTGTTCAACAAACGGCTGACAAAAAAGAGCGAGTTCCCCGCTGTCGTCGCGGGAATCGGTTCGAGCGCATCGCGCACATAAACATAAACCAAATAGCTTGGAAGAGCTCGTCCACAACGGCGGATGCCAGGAGACACGAGCCGTTGCAGCTTTGTACTATTCGGATATCTGTTGCAGGAGGCACTTTGGCTGTGCATGGGGAATAGGTTGTCTTGTCCACGATAACTTAGTAAATTGGCAAGATGGGCTCGTTCACTGGGCAGGTCTCTGCATGGACACGTCTCTGAAGTATCTGTGCTTGAGCGCCTGGATGGCCGGTATCCGAGCCTCAGGGTCGGCGATGAGCAGCTTCAGGATGAGGTCTTCGCCGTCGGGGTCCAGCCCCGGGACCAGCTTGGTCAGGCTCTGGGGCTCCCAGCGCGGGAAGCTGGGCTTGTAGTCCGGCAGCTGGGTGACCCCAGGCCAGGAGTCCTCGTCGGGCGTGCCCAGGGTCCGAAAGATGCGGAACAGCTGGTCGATCTCCGAGTCGCCCGGAAAGAGCGCCTTGAGAGTGTGCATCTCGGCGAAGATGCAGCCGATGCTCCAGACGTCCACGGGCGTGGAGTAGAACTTGGCGCCCAGCAGAATTTCGGGGGCCCTGTACCAGAGCGTGACCACTTCGTGTGTGTACGTGCGCAGCGGGAGTCCGAACGCCCTGGCCAGCCCGAAGTCGGCCAGCTTTATGTTCCCATTCGGGTCAATGAGCAGGTTCTGCGGCTTCAGGTCCCGGTGCAGGATGCGGTGAGCGTGGCAGTACGCGATGCCCTGCAGCAGCTGCCATAAGTAGCTCTTGACCAGTTTGGGCCCCAGGAGGGCCTTGCCGTGGGCCGCCTTGTCCATGTGCTTCTTGAGGTCATCGGTCATGTACTCGAAGACCAAGTAGAGCTTCTTCTCGCACGGCACAACGTCCAGAAGCCGCACAACATTCGGGTGCTGGAGCTCCTTGAGCAGGGCAATCTCCCGGATAGCTGTGCTCGGCACCCCTTCGGACTCGCTCTCGAGCCGGAACTTCTTGAGCGCGATGGGGCGCCCGCTCCCCTTCTCTTTGGCCTTGTACACGACGCCGTACGTGCCTTCGCCGATTTTTTCCAGCTTGTGGAATTTCTCGGTTAACATGCCGGCCATCGAGGGCGATGCACCGCAATTTTCGCGCGAAACCAGCGTCAGGGTGGCCAGCTGGAGATGTGCTTCTGCCCAGAACGACGGAAAGACAGTCACTGGTCACGTGATCGCCCGAAACCGAAACGGCCGTACGAAGCGCGGCACTAAGAAAATAGTTTATTTTCACAACTTTGACTGAATTGCATTATAAAGCAGTCCCGAAGAACACTGTTCCTCGTAAACAGAAATTATAAACGAAGAGACAAAACATTTAACGATTTCTTTCTCGTGGTTGTGCACGTGCACTGAATCACCGGGTCATCAGGTGCAAGTACTGCGTGCACAGGGGATAATGTGATCCGAAAAATGCCGCTCCCGCTTCCTGCCTAGGAATCTAATCCCGCCTCTCCACGAGCTACTTGTAGCCATTCACATAAACTATACTCTATTTCAAGTATTCTAGTACACTGTATTATGATGTACTGCAGGAAAGGCAACAAGCACGAGCTCCTTGTTCTAGGGCACCTCTCGGCGGCACAAGGTCTCGTGCACTAAGGGCTGATGCCAATGCTACGAGCTCGCGCTTCTAGCCTTCGCTGCGGTACAACATAAGGTGAAACGGAGTATAGTAATCTATACAGATGATGAACCTAGGGAGCCTTCATGTGCGCTTTGCTAGGGTGATGCCTCCCTTTGAAATACCACTCGCCTCGCTGACAAACCAGCAGCCATTTTGTTCCTCGGCGATAATCCGTGAGGCTTATAACCCTCCCGGAAACAAGCACCTTATCTCAGAAGTTCGGAGCAGCGTTGTGGAACCCACGGAGGGAGGATTAGCATTTTCCCCCTCGGATGGGATTACCGATGAACACAAAGGCCACTTTCCGGCGCACGGGGTAACAATGAGAGAAACAAAGTGGCGGTGGAAGAGGGTGTGAGAAAGGGAAACAGGCAGTTGGCATCACTCTATGCGAAGCGCACATGAAGGCACTCTAGATGAACCCAGTTGAAGCGCTTTTTCAAAGCGTTCCGATGCACGATAAGTACTCCTTCAGTTTTGTTTTCAAGATATCACCAAATCTTTTAACTGGAACTCTCTTTGCTTTAGCTTATTGGAGGGATACTTTGCCGTGAACACATAAATATTAGGTAAATTTATTTCATCATTCTTGAATGCAACTCCTGCATCACGAAAACGTGGTTTTAAAAAGTTTGCTCGACCAAAAAGGGGGCAAAATGCAAAGTAAAAAAAAAGGCCTCGCGCGAGTTATGCTCTTTAACCAAGTTATACCTCCAGTGAAAAAGATAATTCTCAAATAACCTGATACCCAAGTAAAAATATATGGCAAGCTCGTAGGTCGATGCAAGGAAAACAACTGTGCATGGACACAATGGGATGAGATATGGCAGAGAAATTAAATGGAGTTTCAAAGGGAGTTCGAAGTCATTGCTTCCAACATCAATGGAAGAGCAGGTTTATTTCATTCAGATGACGTGACTAGAAAACAGTACAGGCACTCTAGACTTCAGCTTTCGAGTCGGGTCGAAAGAGCTGCTGTGGGAGAAACATGAGAAGTCATTCAATCGCTGCGCTACTTTGAATGGGTCGATCTTTGGCAAATTCTCACAAATCTCACATCCTCTGCCAAGTTTAAATTTGAATGGGTCCTGTTGCAAGCACATGCACATTCTTTTCGACGAGCGGGTCCCACTGGCTACCGACACGTAAGCTTGAACAGGCTTGCGGTGGTTCTTGAAGCAAAATCCTGCGTGGTTGAAGAGTAGACTTCCGAATGAAGCCCTTCCTTCACGCTTGATGCAAGCCTTCATCAAGAATGAGGAGGTAAAACTATGGCAAGACCCTCAGTGACACGCACTACAACATACTTCACAGCAATGAAGTTAACTGAAAGCACAAACCATGTTTAGTGGGTTACATGTCTGCATCAGTTCTTGATCTAATAAATATAAAGTAAAACACAATTCATGCCACTCAGAGAAAACTGCTACAATGGCATGTCTCACATGTTGAACAAAATAAATGACAGCATCACTCAGAAGGCTGTATAAACTGAAAGACTCGCACAATTAAGGTGTAAAAATAGAATATATTAAAAATTTTGGGGCTTCCAAGCCATACCAACGAAAAACATGCGCATGCCCCAACATATGCCTGCCCCAACAGAAACCACCTGGGGATTGGTTTGAGAAACACTGCACCAACCCTCGCTACGATTTGAACCTGCCGACTGGAAATCCATAGCATAAATAACATGTTCAGAAATTAATCCATCATTCATCTAAGCACCAAATGAACAAAGAGTGATCTCCGTTCAACTTCATAGCAGCATACTTTCAGGAGACTACATACACACCTCATTCATCTGACATTTGGTAAAGCGAAATATCTGGTTAGCCCAACTGCTCGGTTCAAAAAGGAAGGGGCTAAACCATTCTGTCAATCTGGTCAACTAAATATTCGGTCACACGGACAGTCTAAGCAAGAGTTCAGAGCCATCTTTAGTCGCACATTCCTGAAGCAGCAGCAGTTGAAGCGGACATTGTGCATTCAAATGTAACAAGTGGTAAAAGGTGTATACACTCTTAAACATAGTCCCACAATCTGAGACGTCTAGGCACTTTTTCCACGGCGTAGAACAAGCTGGGACCTGAACGTGTACATTCGACAGGGATCTGTCAGGTTGGGTGGAATAATAAAAAGGAGGAGGTCCAACCAAGCCCTAATTGAAAATGTTTCGTGTCCTACTACTCGGCCTCTTCTTCGGGGGCCACTGTCGCTGCACCTTGACGGCCGTCACCAAAGTCGCCCCTTAAGAGACAGGGTTGGAATTAGAAACACTGGGCTTCATATTAGGGCTTGGTTGGACGTCTTCCTTTCTTAACGAACAAGCTGGAAGCGTGCCAAAACTGAGGTCCTTACCCTCTCAGTCTTTTACAGAATCAATAGCTCAAAAGCAGTAATCATTACGACAGACCCTTTTCAGAAGTGCATCGAGCAACATCGATGGTCACCATTTTTTGGGGCACGAAGCACGCGATTGGATCCCAGTCCTCGCCGAATGCCGACGCAGCGCTCGCTTTCAATAAGAGACGAGCCGAGTTCACGCCGAACGCTGACGCAATCCTCGTATCCGATGCATGCTCAGAGTACATGAACAAGCAATTGTGGACAGGCGATGGCACGGACTTTTGAAAAGGGTTCATTGGAGCAGAAAAGAGGGCATTATGGTTCGTTCAACGTACAAGGGAGTGAGCCAAATAAGGAAACACACACTGGGGGATGCACTGGCTCATGACGATCAATTGCGACACACCAATGGGAACGTTGGCAAGTAAAAAATGCAGCCTCCAAGACCTGAGCCAGAAACAGGCAAACGTAGCCAGCCGGGGATTCTCGCGAGAATTCTTTGCGTAGTTAAAGGGGCAGTCAATTGCACAACTCGAGAACAAGGGCCCTGAAACCTCGTCAAACTTAGCATCTTCTTAGATGCTGGCGAATAAATAATGACGCATAAATCGCTACATGTCCCGCCAAAGAAAGCGAGTGCTACTCGACAAGAAGTTATGAACGAGACCCCTACGACGTAATTTCTACGAAATCGGACTGTCGAAGAAATAAGACGGGTATTCAGGTCTGCATTCCCTCGTCAAGTGCATGAGGCACGGCAGGGCGTTCCAAACAATGGTTCAGAAAGAAAGAACACACGGATGGGAAGACCACTGCGAGAGGCTCGTGAGAATTAATGAAACAGGAACCAAAACTTGGGCACGTAGGCACTTGGCAGTGCAATAGGCATGACGGGTGGACTAGGTATGGCACATTCCACTTGCAGCAGTTTCACATACAACGAATTGCCTTCACAGACTATAAAGAAACCGTTAAATATGGAGCAAGCGTGCAAATGATATTTCGCTGAAAACAAATCTAGAGGTATGACACATTTCAAAGAACCTTTCTTATACCGTGGGTTCCACTCTACATTGTTGGCTATAGATGAAACAAGCGTGGGTGGAAGGGTAACATAAAAGAACACTGAAAGTGTTGTCTTCATTTGCACAAATCAATTACACAACAAAAAAACTACTTCCTATACTAGTGGTTGACGGTTCTTTTTGGGTACTGTATCTTGCTCAAAAATATCCCCCTAAAAATTCTGAAAAACACTGGAAAGTACACTGAACCCATTAGAAAGCATAGAGCACAATTTTTTTAAAACCATTTTTCAATAGGCCCTTTTAGTCAGGCATGCCCCCCATCCCTCCAAACATCAACAAAAGAGCTGGTGCAAACACCCAACCAATGCTCTCTCAATCACACTTCAAGAGTACCTAATCCCGTAAACAATGGTAAAAAGCATTAAACCCAGTAATTAAGGCCCTATGTCGCGTCGTTCCACAAAACATGAATTTGCACAGTTGCCTCATTTTGGCCACTAATATATGTTTGTGACAACTGCTTAATTTAACATGAGACCATGCAAACAACAGCAGCGAAAACAGGACAATGCACTCTCGGTGGTCATTGCACTCTCTGGTGTACTAAATAAATTATAAAAACTGCGGCACACCAGGATTGCACATTCACCTTGTGCAACCTTTCTATGGAGAGATGAAAAAAATTACATGTCACAAGCGTAATTTGTTTTTTGGTCTTTGTTAAACTAGTCGGGTACAACTTGAGAGCACCTAAAACAAGCGGCAATGGTGGTGTAGAGAAAAGCGAAAGTCACCTCACTGAACTGTTGGGTTTTCAGCAGAAGCGCAACGTCAAATGGCTATGGAAATAACCGCAATACCTGCAGCTTTTGACGAAGGAATGTGACCGTTAAAATGCAGAACAACAAACAACTGTAAAGCACATTTCTATGGCTGGCCTCCAGAATCTTCGAAATGATGCACTCAAGTAATAACACTTGCCATGTGGTAGCAAGTCCGCCTTTCCTGCCAACAAATGCAAACATCGCTCGTGCAAGTAAGAAAATAAATCTAGGAAAATTGCACCAGATTTTCCATATATTTTGCCCCTTGCTGAAGCTCAGGGCACCAACAAGGTGGCAACTGGCTTGGAATAGAGCCACTAAATAAGCGATGCTTAGACCAGGCCTTCTCAAACTGCCCACCTATGTCTCCTGAACACAGGTGGTCAGTTTGAGAAGGCGTAGGTGGTCAAACTTACCCCCTTCGTGTCTCAAACGCTAGAGGAGGGACCCCTCTCGGCCTTGGCACTGATGCAACGAGGCAGTGCAGAAGGGAACAGCCCTTGTAAACAATGACGTGCATGGTTCTCAAACTGGGCTCCCATATAACGAGGGATTCCACAGAGTGACCTCAAGGCTCCCCCATGCTGCATTCCTGCCCTTGAGTAAAGTTTTCTTTAAATCGTTTAGAAGATTGGAGTCGTGCATTAATGCGTAACTATATATGAGTCAAGCAATTCCTAGTATGTGCACTACGATTTAAGGGGGGACACTGGCTAGAGGTTAAACTTTTGAACTACTCAAGTGATCAAAGTGAAATTTTCAGGGGAGATTTAGCTTCAGATGTAGCTGTACTGTGCAAACTTTCAGCTCCCTAGGACAAATTTACATACCAGCATAAGATGATGTGTCACTTTTCATTAAGAAATCTATGATATTCAAATGAAGCAAATAAGCATCACTTTGACTGCTTGAATATAAAGTGGGGGATATGGGACCTTGGGCTATCTAGTTTTAATAACTTAAATGTAAATATTTCAGGAAGAGTTATTACCTCAAAATATGAGATGCATATCTGTCCTATGTCAATTTTTGAAAACTTAGTTTTTTATCACTGAGGACTTCAACTTAAAACAAAATAAAGTAGATAGCCCGATTCCCCAGTAAATTTCAGTTCAGAAACATCTTGATTGTGGTATCCAAATACTTTTACCTTCGAACAAAAGATTCCTTTGTATGAATTTTGCAGCAAAAAGTGGAACTGAGAAAAATGCATTCAAACATTGAACTCCTTTACTTTGTTACTGCCTCACAATGTGTTGAAAATATTTTATATCAACGTAACTATTTGGCATATAGTTATCAAATTTGGTGTAAGGGTGTATAATAAGTTTATAAAACTGAAAACCTTAAAATTGAAAAATGAATTTTTTCAATAAAATTTAAAATTTAGGCCCATGTCCCCCCTTAAAAAGTCTGTGGGCTTCTGCACTGTATTGTTGCGTCGATGCCCAGACGGGGAGGGGTCCCTTGGCAACCAATGAAGACTGCCGGCCGCGTGCTTGATCAAGCTCGCTTCACTAACCAGACGACGTGCGGGGGGACATGTGGGCTTAGTGCTCTGGTCCGAAGGTGCATTTCCCTTTTTGCTTGCCTGGAACGGAACAAGCTTACAGGAGTGCTTCATTTCATCCCCCCATGGCCGAGGTTTCCTTCTCAACCAATTCAAAACCTGCTTTGTCGGAGTTAAATCGGCAGTGCATCGAGCAATGAACCAGCACCGCACTGTACGTGGGAACAGGCCTCCGAGCACCTCAAGACTCTTGCGCGTGGTCTACCTACCTCGATATTGTCCCTAGGTTATTTCGAGCCTAACTAGAATGCGTGGCAAACACGCATCTGGTTCTTTGGTGATCTGCTGCCATATCTAAAGCTCAGTTTCACTATTTCAAGTTCGGTAAGCAGAGTGCCTGAGCAACTCCTCCGGAAAAATTATGCAAAGCACAAGCCTGTCCAAAAAAAGAGGGGCTCTAAAATAAGGGACCTTGATAGAGCACCAAACTTCCCCTCTCATCTCAGTCTGCTGTCAACAGGTGTCCATTGACTGTAATGGAATCTACAAACGTGTTTAAAAAATATCTCTTCCCAACTTCTCTTTGAAACCCATCTCCCCCACATAAACTACAATAAATCACAACCAGGTAGGCACCCATGAAAAGGAAGTGAGAAACGTTCACAATTAACCCGAGAGAAGAAAACGTAAAACATGGCAAGCACGAGCCATTGCAAGTACCATAAGCAACAATGTTACTGCAGGCTTAATGTCGTCATTAATTCTAAGAAGTACTACCTTTAGAATATTTTACAGGAGCAAGATTTTGAGACGGGTAAATTAGTGTGCCTTCACGTGCACTTTGTTTAGGACAGACCTTTCTTGATACCAGCCGTGGGTATTTCTCTATTTTCGTTGGCCATGATGTTTCATGGCCAGAGTACCCAAAAGTGCCAGGCAATGGCATTGATAACCTTGTCAAAAGATTGTGGGTCGCCAGTCACACGGGCACGTAGCCGACCACTGTAGCCATGCAAGTAGGTAATGTTAGGTTATGTGTTTGTCATTAAAGACACAATATTTTTAAAGCATTTGCTCACTTTGATTCTCATAGCTTGCAAGATGAATGGCCAAAACACAAATGACAGCTAAATAAAAATTCAAAGTATAGTTAATATTACTTGCGTTATGCTAGAAGCTATGATTACCTCTAGCTTTCAACATAAACATATGAGGTAGCAGAGTAATGAAAGTATGAAGCATTGAAATGAACACAACTGTACCCACTGAACTGCCTGAAATCGGTCGATTCTATGGAAACCATAGTAGCCGCGTAGCGTTGCCAGAGCTTACAGGCTGGCACGAACTCAATGTTGCTAATGGCCTCGCGAAAATATCCAAAAAACAAGATGGTGGTGGGAGAAAGGAACGGGCAGTTGGCACCGCCCTAAGCAAGGCCTGCATGAAGGCACCCTGGGGTAAATTACAGTCAAACCCGTTTATAACGAACAGCAGGAAACACTACGATCAGTTCAATATAGCAAGTAGTTCGATATAGCAAAAACCATTAACAACGAACTTCTACGATGCGTTTGCTGTAAGGCGATAGGTTCTTTTTCTTTCTCATCTCTTCGCTTCCGCCTTGTAACAAAATGCTGGAAAATTTGATTTTTTTTTTTTTTTAATGCAAGCAGAGTTTGTTTTTTTAGCTTATATCCACTTTTGAATCGCTTTTCTTCGTGAACAACTGCTTTGGGATGGTGTTTCTAGAGCTTTCTCCCCTTCTAAATCGCTTCTCTTCGCTCAATTTTGTTCGCGGTTAGCTTATAAACTTTTCTTTCTTTCCTACTTTTTTTTTTTTGGGGGGGGGGGGGGGGGAAAGGGGGGGGGGGGGAGGGCCTAGGCTAGAAGACGATTGTTTTGGGGTTTTTGGAAGTCTTCCCGGTAGGTAAAATGTTTGATATAGCCAATATGTTGTTCGTTATAAAAAGTACATTTTACATGCATTTTTATTTAAATTTTCCGTGAGTTCGATATCGACAATAATTCGCTGTACGTGGGTTAGTTCTAAACAGGTTTCACTCTAAAGTCGCTACATCCTGAGAAAGTAGTGCCAAGTTATGGTCGCCGTTTTGATCCATGGAATTAGCTAATTCTGCTCAACAACTCTAGTTTTGGTGAGCCAATCCAAAATTGCGGCATCAGGTCACTTCATGAAGACATTTGTTGCGATTCGATATTTATTTAGGTCTGAAATCAACTGAGTTGTCGAGTCTCCGGTCATTGTGTAATCATCTCTAGTAACCCTAACTCTTTTTTACGTTTTGATCCTCGGTGGCCACGGAACAAGTGCACAGCATTGTGCCGCCACAAAGCGCAATGGCGGTGCTCAGCAGCATTTAAAAATTATTCCACCCTCATAAAATATGCACGAAGGACAATATCGCTTTAAAGGATAGGTGGAGATAACCTAAGTTGATTGCATATATGGTGCAAAAGATGCTGAGATGTGGCCATGAACACTTTCAGTACAATTACACGTCATCCAGATCTAGGCATGGCTGGTTCAGAATGACCACCTCGAAGCTTTGAATTATTGGAAGGGCCAAGATGGCGACCGCCACGGCAACAGATACTGTTTTGCGAGGTTCCTTTTTGTCAGTGTGTATCTGTTTCTGTCCTGGTGGCGGGGGGGAAGGCAGAGTTCAGTGTAAATCAGCTCACATGGCAAGCACATATAGGTACCACATTTGCGGGTATGTTTTGCGATTATCCTCGCTTTACAAAGTTGGAAACTACCGCAGTATATGAGCAATTTTCAGTGTCTTTCTTTCCGTTTCTTTTGTCCCGGGTTCACTGTGGACATTGCTCGCCAGCTCGGCGGTGCTTTATCGCTCATTTGTCTGCCTTGGCGCCCACACTATGGACCAGGGGGTCTCTGTCTGCGCTGGGAGGACTAGGCACAAAGCATGCGGCAGACATTCCAGGGCAGTAGTCGGCTTCTACGCTGCATTATCACTGGCATCGATCGAGGATGACCATATAGCGCACGTCGACGTAACAACCACACAGTTCTCGCAAAAAAAAAAAAAAAGCTTTGTTAGTTCGTTGCAGCTTAGCGCGATTGGAGAAATCTTTCTCTCATAATTTCCCGATGCACTAAGACGGTGCTCCCTAGAAAATAGCGTCCCAACTATAGTAATTCTGCTGGCTCCGAGGTAAGCGTACGAGAACAAAACTTCGCCAATCGCGTGAGCATGCAGTGGCAAACACAAGCGGCTGGGCAATGCAGCGGAGCCGTTCGGTGCGATCGCAGACGCGTTTGCGAGTTTCGTTCGTCCGTGGCTCGGGGTTGGCTCAAGAGTTCACGTTTGAGCGACCCTTAGTGCGTAGAGCCCACTTGCGACCGATATGATGTGCCGGCGCCGTTTATCATGCAGCCCAAGGATGGCACCAGTCCACACATTCATTTTCCAATCTTTCATGCGTCGTCATTTCGCCATGGGCTCCGAGTAACTCGGACGACGCTACGAGCGACCGTTTCTCGCAGATGGTGCGTTGATTTTGTCCTGCAAATGTGCCACGGAACGTTGTTGCCATTTATTTTGGGGCGAAAGGAACGATGGAAGCCGGGACAGGCCTCCGGTCAGGGGCAGGTTGCCGCCTAGTAAGTTACACGCAGGTTGCAAGTGTCCCGGGGCTGCTTGATAGATAGCGCCCGCTGCTACGTCGTACGGCTAGGTGGTGCGCGCCGCCACCTGGTGTGAAGGGTTCAACGGTATTCCTTTATGCATCCGTATTAACCTGCAGTGGCTACGCTCGGTGTGCACCACTGTGTTTGATTTATAAGTGCGGTCTATACCACAATACAACCGAAAGTACATTGCTCCACACTTTTCTGCATCAGTGCAGCGGGTGCAAGTAAATGAATCGAGCCTACATTCACTGACAAAACGAGAATGGCGAGGAGGTCCTTCGATAATCCCACCTCCGGCGCATGCTTCCTACCTTCGACGATGCTGCCGATTCTTGCAAGCCTCCAGCGCGCATGCGCGGCCAAAGTGCTGCGGAGGGTAGCGTGCGCTTGCTGGAGGCATTCTAAAGAGCCACTCCACCGTACTCGCTATGTCGGCGACTACGGTTAGATGCAAATCTAAGAGTTTCAAGGGCTGCTCAATAGATGGCCCCGGCATGACACCGTGTCCTCTCGTCGTAAGCGGCCCAGGGTGGTTCCGACGCTTCCGGTCGAGTGCAAACGTGCGGCAACCGGACGACGACGCAGAGCGGGTCCCCGGGCTCAGTTGCCGGCGACACAGGAGAGAAAGGGTGGCCCTGCCCCTTGCCCCGCCGGGGTGCCGGGTCAGCTGGTGCTGCACTTGCGCCAGTACCAGACGACCTGCAGCAGGATGGCGACGTCCAGCGCCACCTGGAGGCCGCCGCACACCCAGAACTGTGTCGGGGCGGAGCGCACCACGAAGTAGACCGTCTTGAACACGTCCCCCAGGGTCCACAGGAGCACCATCTGGTTGCTGAGTGGTCCGCGGAAGAGGGAAGGCACGCGTTTTTGACTGGGGGCTCTCAAATTCTCGAATGTAGAGTTTAAGAAGCAATTTCTAAATTTGTTTAGAAAACATTAAACAGTTTTTTTATGGAGCGAAAAACAGCCCATATTTTCGTTAATTTCCCTCCTAAATTTAGCGGGTAAACTAAATTTGTTATGGGTCATGTGACGCCAATTTACTTTAGAGGGAAAGGGACAGACAGACGGACAAAGTTCTGGGATTAGGGGGGTTTCATTAAAAAGCATTCGATGCTTCAATACACAAAAGGCAGAAACAAAAGGCACCTCATGCCCCGTGTGGAGCGGTTGCGCAGGTTCCTCCAGAACTGGGGCAGCCCCAGCAGGGCCTCGGTGAGCAGGGCCAGGAAGCCCAGGGCCTCCACCAGAGGGGCGCAGTCCAGGAACAGGTACAGAAGGGCCCCCGTGCACAGGGCAAAGCTGGCCATGAACTCCAGGTAGCTCAGGAAGTCCGTCCAGGCCCAGAACTGCCGCCAGGGGTGCTCTGCCGGGCACGTTGGGCAGACGAACCACGCAAACCCTCACGGAGTCAGGACGGGCGTCGGCTACCACGCTTTCCGACTACGAACACGGCTCGACCGACTCCGTTTATTGTCGCCGACGAGGTAACAAAAACGGAGAGTGCCTTCGGACATCCCGCCTCCAGCGCGAGCTTGCTACCTTTGACGACGCTTCAACGTCTCGTGCAGCTCGAGTGTGAGTACCCGGCCAAAGCACGGCTGGAAGGCACGGAGATCGTGCTGGAGGCTGGGCGTTCGAAAGTCGCGCCCTGCCCTTCTCACTCTGTCAGCGATCATAAAATGACCGATGCCCATGAACTAGAATTTCAATGTCGTCTCAGCGAGTGCGCGTGCAGACTCGACACGAGTGCTGCGCCAGTGCTCGGCCGGGCCTCGTGTTCGGTCAGCGCGTTCGAGGACGCTTGGCGTCGGGCCTGATTGCTGAGTTGGCACGGATGACGTTACATGGAGGAGGCTGTTCACAGGATTTGATTATTATGCGGAGCGCAAATTTGTCCGCCTCTTGCGCAGGGTCGCAGCGCTGTCAGTATGCAGAGCTCAGATTGGCTCCGATTGGAAGGCTAGTGGGTAGAATTTGAGGCAGCTAGCATTGAGGTCTACCCACTGCTCTTCCAACAGAGCCAATCCGGGCTTGGCGTCCTGATGGCACTGCAACCCCTGTGCAAGAAGCTGACGAACTTGCACTCCGCAGAGGCAGTGTTGGCTCAGTTAAGGGCAAGCAAATACTGTTTTCATCATTTATATGTTTTACTCTCAAAGCCAAAACAACTACAGAGGGGAGCGGTAAAAAAAAATGATAACAATGGTTAGTACAATGTGTCCCAAAAAAATTTACAGCCTTTTTTTCTTTTGTTTGGCCAAAATAAATAATGCATCACCGAACACTCATTCTTCGGCCAAATGTAGGCCTAGCGGTCTAAACCTGCCAAGGTGTCAGAACTAACCGTTATCCTTGTGGCCGACAGGGCCGGCCTTAGAGCAGCAAGCGCCCTGGGCAAACTGCGGCCGTGGCGCCCCCCCCCCCCCTCCCCTTATTTTCGCACCCAACAGAAGTAAACATGCCAGAGTGACCCAGCGCGAATGGTCGCGATTTTTTTTGTTGTCAATCGAGAACCATATTCTAAAAACAAACGACGTTCGTGAGTATTGAGAGTTTTGTCGGCACCGTGATCAAATGGTTCAAAATACATTTATTTCTCAGATTAACCAAATTTCAGCTGTGGGTCTCCCACAGCAAGCTAACGTCTGATAGAAAGAGAAAACAAAAGCACAAATTAACCATGTCAAATACCCTAGAAAGCAACCTTCCGAGCCTTCAACATCGCAAATTGGGCGACGGCAAATTGGGCGACATATCCAGGCTAGACGCTATCCTGTTATCAATGGACAAAATTCCCAGTGACGATAACCTGTCATCTTCCATGGTTGATCTTAGGTATGTCTTTGTAAGCTTTAATTTTGAGAAACTCCTCTCAGCGGTGGCCACTGAATTAAAATTAACTGTTGGGCTAGTTGGTCACACACCTTTATTACAAAAGCGCTTGGCGCTTTTGTAATTAAGGTGGCCACTGACACAGGCAAAGTGAGGAGGATCCTCAATGACATAAGGGAAGTTGCCACGTAGATGGTTGTGCAGAATGAAGTAGAGGATGTCCTGGGGATCACTGCATCCAGTGGGCAGCAGGCTGCATGGGTAGATCAGCTCTTCGCAGAGATCTGTACCGTCGATGTCTGCACTTTTTAGGTGTCTCAGTGCATGGTCAAGGTCTTGGCACAGTTTAAGAAGTTCTGCTTTGTCGGGAAGTCGGGTGAGTTCCTAAAGAAACCTCCAGAGGCTCACGTGCTGCTCCATCCGCGTGAAGCCCTCTTCAATCGATATCTTTACGGTGCCAATCATCTCTTAGAAGAACTCCCGTTTGAATTTTGTCTCGACATCATCAACCTCCTCTTGGCACTCATAACTGAATAGACCGATCTCACCAGGTAGTTTGAGAACGCCACCGCTGCCGCCAAGCATCCTGGGAGCTGTAGTCTTTCTGCACGCGCGACAACCCCACTGGCGGTCTGCGCGCGCAGAGCACGAGGCGGCATGAGCTCTCTCGTGAACTGGCATGTGACTCCTATGAACTACAGTTATGGTGGCGTCGCGCATGCGTGGAACGCTTGGTGAGATCGGTATATTGGCGCTTTTTACGTCGCAGTCAAGGGGCCGGTTTCATCACTCTGTCAACACCCATGCTCTCGGCAAGACCGTTCGCAGTTGCCAGTGCAGTTTCGTACCCGACTTCGGGATGATTGTCGATGTAATCGCTGCATGCTTTCAGCAGCTGGGTGGTTGCTACGTATAAGGTCCGTGGGCTGCCCTGCAAGAGTTCAAGCTTCATGTTGGACGCCAGGGTCTGCCTGCGGTGATTCGGCCACTCCTATGCAACATTATTCATTTAGCGGTTTTCGGGATTCTTGCGGCGTGTTTCTGAATTTTTGAGTTGGCAACACTAATCGGCATTGCGAGTCCGGGGTCGTCACTGGTCGCTCACACAAAAAAGAGAGAGCTGCGGATCCAAAGTTCTTCACACATTATTTTCAGTCGGGTTGAAGCCTCTGGGCACAGAGGCTCACCGGATGCCGAGGAGGCATTGGTTCGTTTATAGCCTACTTCCAAAGACTCCAGAGCGAGTGTTGCCCAAAGCGCAGCTCGAATGCTGGGAGAAATCGGGTTCAATTTACCCCCGGTCAGACCTCCTGAGCGAAGGCATGCTTCAGCTCAGAATAACTTGGCAAAGGGGCGAAGCTTACATTTTCTGCGAGCCAATCAGAGCCTCTGAGCGAAGCACGGGATAACTAAGAGCAAAAATCCGTTCCAATAGTATTTTGTCACGTGACACGGGACGTTTCTTTTTTTTATTTTTTTTTATTTTATGTTGGATTAAACCTGTTATACCGTCGGGTGGTGCAGGTGGAGAGGAACAGTTTATTTCCTTTTCTTTTAGCTTCCACTTAAAAATTGAGTATTTTGTCACGTGACTCGCTCCGACACACTGATTTGCTCGCCGATGAGCTTGGCGCCACCGTTTGGTAAGTATCGCTAAGATTGCGGCATGCTGGCTCCATCGCTTTTTTCGAGTCAGGTTTTGCTCCGCTCGTAATTCGAGAGCTGTGCGGAGGTGATCGCTTGCCGTTCACGATTCATTCCCTGACGCTTTGAATCTCACGGAGGAGAGGTTCTCTATAGTAAAACATCTGCAAGTGGCTGTGAGTCGATGGACGCCAGTTATAACAATAGCCTATACTTGGTTACAGCTTAGGTCCGAGCGTGGCCGTTGTTATGAGCCGAAGGTCCAATCAAAGAGCGCAAAAAGTTCAACGTCATGGCGTTCTTCGCTCTTGACAGGATGAGCTGGTGGAGGAGCACGATCTGAAAGACCGCGAACACCACTGGTCCTATCAACTGCGGAGAGCACGCCATGACGGTGTGCCTTTTTCGACGTTAGATTGGCCCTTCCGCTCGTAACATCGGCCACGCTCGGAGCTAAGGTGAAACAAAGTATAGTCGCTGGTTTTGCGGCCGCAATGCCAAAGAGCGAGCGCCAACAACTTTTTCTACATGTAGGGGGGAGGGGGCGCACTCAGCGAACCGATCGTGTTTTTTGTTTTTTTATCCCCTCGAGATACGGGTCCTGCATGAGCTGGCGGCCCTTTCCGCGCCCCCCTATGAATGGCGCCCTGTGCGGCTGCGCAGGTCGCCCACCCCAAAGGCCGGCCCTGGTGGCCGATGAACCTCTTATAATACATGCAGGTGAATGGCACCAGTTACCAAAACAATCCCCATTTTCCAATTGAAATTTTCAGAAAATCACCTGTAACTTTTGACTGAGATAACGGTTAGTTCTGAAAGTTTAGCATCCAATTCGGACCGCTAGGGCTACATTTCGGCAGAGAATGAGCGTTCAATGATGCATAGAATATTTTTGCACTAAAAAAATGTCCGTAAATATTTTTGGGGACACCTTTTACATAATGACTAAACAATAGAAAAAAAGGGTTTGAAACACTGAACGGAAGAAAGCGCAATCAACATTCCATGCAAGTGGTGCAGGCAGGTGGTTCCGCAAGCTCTAGGGATAAATGATTAAACAAATTTAACGGCAAAATGGGATGCCTGCTTTGGGACCATGGTTTAGACTTGAAGAAACAAATCATGGTGGGGCTATTAGCTGATTTCTTAGTTGTGTTGTGTGTGAAATATTTTTAATTGAATGGCGCGGTGCTTTGACACCGATAAAAGCCCTTGGCTTCAATGCTGTTAAAAATCTTGCCTCTATCACTCCAATAAACCCAGAACCTGCAGGATGCGTCTCGTGTGTGTTAGGCGTGTGTTACGATTTGCTATGCTTGGTTGCAGGAAGGTTTGGATGGGTTCAGATGCACTGCACATTCGACACTCTTACGACCTCCGGGTTCACCTGAACTATAAAGAAAAGTTTAAATTCCTCCAAAAGTAGAGTGTGTCACGAACATACATTGCTGATGAGTTTTCCACGGGTCTACTCCTTTGGCAAGTGTGTGTAGGGCCTCGATTTCTTAGTGCCCTTCAATTGTAAGGAGCCCCTTTGTTGTAACTGAAGTAATCGCGAGGGGAGGAGGCCGTTGCACACCTTACTTCATAAATTGATTGCGACGTAAAACGCCCGCTGTGCCCTCCCTCAGTACGGTACGATTAAGGCCGCGATGTCACGAGCCCATGTGGCGAGCTGCAGTTTGTCCGGAATCAGCTGGGCACGCCGACGGTCGCCTGCGGTTCATACCTGGTTCCGCTTCAAGTCCGAACGCTTCCGACGCTACGATTCGAGGAAGCCAATCAAGCAGTGACAAAAGTGCATCGTCACTGCGCTCGTCGTCTTTGCAAGTTTGCCATCGCCACCTGAACTAATCACACACAATAAAGGTGCCGCGATCCTGCGCT